TTGCAGTCTTTTTGTTCTTTCAACAGTTAAGCTATTTAATGTATGACGTTCATGCTAAGACAGCTCCTAAAAGTCTTCTCGATAAGTTTGCGAAAATCAATACAGAACATCATTATAATACGCGATTATCTGCAAAAGAATGCTTCTCTGTCAAATTCTCTAGAACTGAAAAAATGAAAAATCTTTTACTAGAATCGGTGTGTCTATTTGGAATTCTATTCCACTTTCTGTTAAGACTCTCAACGTTTCTAATTTTCGTAAAAAAATTAAATTACTACTCCTTAATGTTCTAGGTAATGAAGATAATTATTTGAATGTTAAGTTTTTAATAGAATATTTTGTGAAGTTAACCTGATATATTGTATATACCTCTAGTTGTAATTTTAGTCTTTTTCAAATAACAAAATCCCTTGTACTTGAATTTATATGTAAGATGTTTCTTTCTGTATGTTTTTGTATTTCTTCTTTTCTTTTTTCTTATGTAATTTAATAACGCCTTTAGTTAAAGTCTTGTCCTGCCTAGATTAGCGTTGTAGCTATTTGCAGGACATGAAGTTTTGTAAACCTTATACTGGTCTGCTTGCATACTAGCTTTGTATTCGAAGGTTGACATGCTTTGTGTGTTTGCCTGCTTGACCCTTCAATGTTCAACAGCACACGCTTTATTATTGTATGAAACAAAAGCACACTCTCATCAAAATGTGCCCTAGTGCAAGACGTTTTGTGGAGGAAACCATGAGCAAGACTTTGTTTCGATGAAAAAACCTCAATTAAGAGCAACATGAAATAACCTTAGTTTATTCGGTCAAAACATATTAAAAAAAAAAATTCCATTGATAAATTAATGTATGGAAAACAGTAGGACAAATTTGTTTGATAACACCTTTTGCAATGTTGAAAATTATCTAATTTAGAACATAAGAATAACCACATAAAACTACTTCAGTCAAAGCCAATCAAGAAGATACATTATTTATAAATAAATAGATAAAGTAAAAGTGAGGACACAATGAAAATGATCATATTATTTCTTACTTTTGCAGTGAGAAACTAAAGCTTAGACCCAGGACTTAAGTGAAATGAGGTACATTATTAACACCCAAAGCCATGGTCAGAGCAGTAACACAGTTTCATGCAACAATAACAATGATGGAAATGATGACCCAAATATGCAGAAAGAAATGTACAGTGACTGAACATAAACTTCATGATCATAATCTTCCACAATAAATTTCCTGCTCCGTGTCCATATCCTGTTTGAGTTCATTCACACACTTAATTGAAGACACAGAAAAAATTTGCTTTTAATTAAAGAGGAAATTTCCTTAAAAATCATTAATGTTAATTTGAAGCACAGCATTGACATGCATTTTCATCAGAGACAAGTGGAATTTACTTCTCTGCTCTCTGGAGATTCTCTAATTTAGTAGCAATCTTGATGTCCTCCCCCTGAGCTCCATCTTGTCCAATTTTTAACAAAGGTGTAATTTGAACTTCAGGTCTTGGCTTTTATACTTCCACAAAGTGTTCAAGTGACAAATGTTGTTTATTTTTCTTTAGTACAAACGTATTTGTCCTAAACTATGCCACAGAGGGAAAGATGCTATATGGGGCTCCCTGTGAAATATTTGTAAAGAGGCATTTAGGAAATATTAAAACAAAACAAAATAAACAATTTGGACAATCCAAAAGAATAACATATTTATGACATTATATTATTACAAATTATATTGAAGAAGAAATTTTCAGTTAACTTTGAGACAGAAGTGCATGAATATACAACATGGTTACTACAGCCATAGCTTTATAAAATTCCTTGAAAATTTTAAAATTTCCCAAATTGGTTCTAGTGATGACCTTCAACCACCCCTACAACCATTCTTTCCACCCAAATATTTATTAATATGATTTCAGTGAGTCTCATACAAGGCAGATGAATATATAGTTCCTTGACACAACATAGAAAATGCATTGATTTTTTTGGAAACCTACCACCTGCATCTCTTAATTTTCATGAAACTATATTTAAACAATCCAGTACATTAATGTAAATAAATTGGTTTTCATAAAACAAAAAAATATGATTTGGTTTTAGTGGTATGTACTGTAGCATATCCACATAATGGCTTTTCTTTCATCTATCAAATCCTTGATTGAATTGTAATGTAGAAAAAGCAGACAACAAATGTCTATAAAAATCTACTTAAAAACTTGAATTGGTAAAAAAATCATAATCCTAAATTCTCTGAAAAATATACATTTTCTCTGACTTAAAGCAAAATTTCCTAACTTTTCCTTGACCTTGGAGGACCTTTTTTTCCTGACCATTTCCTGACTTGTGGCAAGATAAAGTAAAACCTGTACTTGAGCCAAGTTGCCCATCAAGCCAGAGTTTAGCTTTTGCATGAAGCAACTAGACACCAAACCAAAATCAATCCTCAAACGGAGAATAGCATTATAATTATTGGTACATACAGTGAGTAATAACAAATAATCAGTGAACATTTTGAATTGGGTATGAAAATCTTTGATTTAGGACTCTATTGGTGGAGTTTTTGGTTTAGATACTAGTGACCAGTTCTTGCTTTTGACACTAGTCTCTGATTTTTCCATTTTGACACTCCTGTCTGATTTTTTACTTTAGACATTAAAGGACACTAGAGTGCAATTTTTGATTTTGGACACAAATGTCTACCTTATGATTTTTGACACTTGTGTGCAATATTTGTTTTTGGACACTGGTGTCTGATTTTTTATTTCTGTCACTTCTTTCGGATTTTGCTTTTGGACACTAGTGTCTACTAAGTAACAGATCAAGGATGACCTCAAAATGTGGTTAGAACAAGAAAGTGACAAACAAGGCCCAGCCAATTGTATCACTGTTGTTCCTGTTGTATTTTAACATCTCCTGTGATCTGTTACTGAACTGAATATAATTATTTTAAATCATAAAAAAGCAAAATTCTGTTAATTGTAGCATCATAGATAAGAACCAATCAAGTTCAACTTATCGTATGAAAACAAATAGATTAGAATCACATGACCTCTAGAAGTACAGTGTATTTGTGTTGAGTGCATTGCACACTTTCTGCTCCAGTCGTTTTTTTGGTAAAAAAGTAAAAAAACCTCATGGTGTAAGTTTGCCTTCCAACACCGTTGAGAAAGAAAACAAAGAAAAAACTGATCCAATGCGAGCATTACAACATGTTGTTTTAGATCACGCGTTATCTATTTAGTTCCTACATGTACTGTAGAATTGCATAGAGCTTGTTTGAAGCCTCATCTCATACCCGACTGAGGCCTGAAACAACGTTTCAAAAAGAGTTTATCCTCACCACCAAAGAATGGGCGAAAAAGATCCGCGATAGACGACCTCAGGAAGGTGATTGGGCGACAATACGTAGTTATCAAATGTAACAAATTGTGCAAAAATACTGTTTACATGTAGGATCGGTTTACACGACAAATTGTTCCTGTTCTTAGTCCGACGTTTGTACCAAGTCCGTAGTCTGCAGCTTCGTTTTTAAAGATTAAAGACATGACTCAAATTCTTATAGCTTTAAGATTATCGCGCTCAAATAAAGGTTAAATTAATGACGATCATGTTTATTCCTTACCTATAACGTGTCTTGGAACTGGCTGTCCCACGTGGTCTACATTTCAGAGTTTTTCATCCACTGTGAGGCCATTTTCCTATCTAAACACCATCAAACAAGAGCCAAAATGTATTGAAACGCAACTGTTATTTAAGCTGCTGTTTTTGCTTTAGCTTGGGAAACAGAATGGACAGTTTGCATCCATCGTTCACGAAGTAGCAAAAAATTCAATTTCCTCGTTAACTAGTTCCAGTGTTTTTCGTCCTCTACAGAAAATGCGTTACGCAAGGTTCGTCACGTAACGTGAAATAATATTTGAATACGTGAAATATATTTGAGTACAAATAAATTTCTAAATAACGAGGAGAAACTGCAGGCACTGACTATAATCTAGCCCAATCCAATCAACTGGGGAGTCCATGTAACTTGTCTCAAAATCTTTTTGAAGATAGAAGGGAAACTACTGGAAAGAGACAAGTTATTTTCAAATTCACGAATCTTTACTGGAGTAGCACAACTTTCTTCGCAATACCCTCGAATAACATTTAAGTTGAGAAAATTGAACTATAAATATGATAGGAAAATAGATATTGTACACGGATGTATAAAGAAGATTGAGACGGATTACCTGTTACCCAGATACAAATAGGGTCTATTATAATTTTCTCTTGGTACTAGTACAGGCATAAATGGGTTAAGATTGCTTATCATATCTCTTTAGCAAGCTCGGTTAATACATTTTTTATTGTATTTTTCAAAACAGACATTGGTAGGGAACAATCATGGAAATTAAAAAAAACGTTCGACAACCTTTATTTCTCCCGAATCAACTTATAGACGGTGAACAGTGTGTAGTGACGGCGAAAGATGTGCTGATTTAAATAGAGCATAATGATGGTGAAATGTGCGTAGTTTAAACGAAAGATGTGTGATGACGGTGAATGACGCGCAATTTTAGTGAATGATGCACAGTGACAGAGAATGACCTGTAACAACAGTGCGCAATGATTTATAATGACGGTGAATGATGTTCAGTGACGGTGGATGAAGCGTAATGATGTATAATTATGTTGATATGTTTCATGACTTACCTGTGACAAAGTAGACATAATAATTCTCGAGACAAAGCTCGCTGGTATTTGCGAATGAATCGCTGAGATTGATAAGGATTATTGTTTTATTTTAAGTGCTCAGATGATTATCAGAGTAACTACATCTTAAATCAGGGCACGCGCAGCCAAAGACGAGCTTGTGATCATGAGTTTGAGTTGGGGGAGGCGGGGGGGGGGGCACGATGCTTAGCCGATTTATTAATAGGAGAAAAAGTTTATTTCCAAATATCCCTTGCGATATCTATCAGATTCATTATTGCTTCATCGACATATCACATATCCTCTACAATGTACAACTGACACAAACCTAATTTAGTGATATTTTCGGGTATATTAAATTAATATAAAACAGCGAAGGGTAATGTGGTAGTGGCAGGTATTTACTGTACATTGCATTCTTTGACGATACCAAAATTTCACTTTCTGCTGCAGTTACGGTCAGTAAATTCGTTGGCAATGTCAAGAAGAGAAAGTCTGTCTTTTCTTTCTAACTGTCTGGTAGCGATAGGTTGCTAAACCGTTCTTGGGTCATTGTTGACATTCGGAGAGAAACTCTCTCTTAAAGTCTCCAGCCTCATGTCGAATTCACGTACAACTATCCCTGTTAATTGTGGTCTCCCCACTGATAATACTGTGGTAAAATGCTGAGATTGGTTGTCTTCAAACACCGATTATCTTCTTCATAGTATAACCCTGAAAAGCATGCACAGTAAACGCATATTATAAGAAGTCATGCTCATGATGTGAGTCGAAGGTAAGGCGTGGAAACTAGGGCACGTTTGCTGTCCGAGAAAAGATATGACAAAGGGCCGAGTAATGGAAATAACACAGTCTGCCCTCATTTTTTAAATACTGGGAGAGAGGAAATGAGAGCAGAGTTGTGAGAGAGGTGCTTGGAGCGGTTAAATCTGATGCATAGCAAGGGTTTTTGGTGTTCGATTCCGTCTAGAATTGTTTTGTATTACAAGAGGACAAGGTCCTTCTACGATCAATGCTTGTAGTGTGAATCAACCGCCAAAAGTTCTACCCTTTCATACGATTTCAGGTCATCACATTTGTACTTTTGGGTCAGAGAGGATGTCAAAGGGCATTATAACGTCCGTAACATGTTCGCCTCTGCCAAGTTTGGATCGCAACTCAATCGATAATTTTTCCAAACATTTTTCGTTATCTTAAGCTAACTTAACCCTTAAAATATAACGGATTGCACCATTAATCTCCTTCAATATGTGTTTTAGAATTATCACATAAACCTACCGGCATTGCATAAAAAAACAGGACTACCATTGCTAATAGGAGACAGATCACCAAGAATTTGATGATCTTCCATTTGTACCGGCGCCACAAAATGTAACGCAGGCTTTTGAATGGAGACGAGAACCAGGCAAAGGAAGTGGCAGGACGACTGCAAAAAAAATTTCAGTGTTAGTTATAGCAAGCTACCTCACTAGGCCTCACAGAGTATTGTTAAAGGGCAGAAAAGGAGGATCTCCTATCAACAGTAACCAGCAGTTAGTGATCAACGGAATTTATTACTGGCAACGCTTTGACCCTTTAACTCCTACGAGTGATTGGCTTCTTACTTCTCCTTACAGTATTAAAATGAATCAAATGCACATGTTGTGAGAATAGTAGAAACGATAGCAATTGAAGAAGTACCTGATTGTCGAACAAATTCTCCTTGCCATTAACAAAGAAAGTTTAGAGAGAACAGTGAAGAGAATACAAACATGGACGTTAGATTGTAAAGGGTCAAGATTAAAATATTGCTTAGGTCATCATCGTGGAAACAGATTTGTCGGGAAACTCGGTTACAGGAGCCGCTAGTTAACACAACGTGACCTTTTTCCTTCGTTCTGTGTGTCTCGCCCTGTAGTCTCCTGGAAGACCTTAAAACATAGCCGCTCCTTCACCCATCACTAGAACTGACACTTAGAGAGCATTTGTGTAATATTCATTGATTTTTTTGTACTTACTTTGGTGGATCCAGTGTTGGGTTTTGGTTCGGCTCATCTCGTCCTGTTCCAGCGGGCTTCTCCTCAGCTTCTTGTTGTGTCAACAGTTCTAAAGTCATCTCTATTTTACCCTGCAAGTGAAAAGGAGTCCACTACTTCAGTAATATACACAACATTATAATTGTACCTCGGCTTAAATGGAAGCCGTGCCTTAGCTCGAGAATGGTGAGTCACATTCTTATAACTCCATCACACTTTATATGCAAAAAGCCGAAGTGTCTCTTCGAGGTTAACACTTTACGAAGTATCCTTTTTTGTTTTTGTTCATACAGAATAATTGTCACATTCTTTGCTACAGTAGTACTTAAAAGCTTCATTTGAGGGTAATTGATTATCTAATTACGCCCAGTATTGGCCTGTCTATTAGAGCCACAAATTTCCTTTGCTTCAGCACTTTATTAAGATTGAGTACATACCGCCAAGATTTGCTCTCCATCCGCCGTTCCGACTGCAGGCCACCATCCATTTGTTCGCTTCAGATCAAACAGTGACACTGTCTCTATGTTTCGTCGCGGTTTGTCTTTCAATCCTGGAAGCTGATCTAAGCTGCACTTGCCGGCATTTTTGGCAGGTTTTGGCATTTTGTTTAAGTTCAATTCTAACGTACCTAGTAAAGAAAAGACACGTAAACCACTTTAAGATGATCAATGGTGGTACACTAGCGATGTAATAGGTCAGAGGAGCTATGACACCCTATCATCCAACAACAGAGTACAAAGAACGTGCGAGTCGAGTACAAATATTCGGCGATATCGGACAGTTCGTTATCTTGTACTGTAAAAAACCTGTTTAACCGGTTAGCTGCGAGTGTTTCGCTTCTTTATCTGCCTCACTTTTCCCGCCTTATAAGAAATCCGCATAAAATAAAGCAGGTAACAAATAACTTATACTCGTTCTGGTGTGCAGTATTGCTGAGTATTTTTACTCGTTGTTTGTATTTTGACTCACTCTAATCAAAATACGGCACAACTCGTAAAATACTCAGCAATACTAGACACAAAAACTTCTAATAGGATATATGCACCGAATTGCAAATAATTTTTTTTTTTTTTTGACAAACAACCATTTTGTTCAAATTCAAGCAGAAATCATCAGCAAGCAGACAGGTGATGAGGATAAATAAATTATCAATTAGGGGAAGTAACATGATTGAAGCCAACTTCTTACGTCTATTATTATTTTAAAAGAATGTATTGGAAGACAAAACGATAACAGGTTTGTGCTACGATCGCGGCAAATCAGGAAAGTCAGTTTATAAGTAAGATTGCTTTTTTCGGAGCTGTATCTTCAACTTAGGGTGTCCATGGAATGGCAATAAAATCTAAAAATAACATTAAACTGTTCAAGAACACAACTTATGCAGTTCACAAATGAGGGAAAGAGACTTACCGAGGAAATCGTCCGGAGAGAAAAGGTCGTTATCCCAGATCTGAAGAATCAGTTTAGGGGGAATCCTCTGCTCTCTTATATCAAGGCTCCAGAAGTGTGCCTGTCGAAACAAACAGAGATGGAAATTTGCCATAGTGATAACAAATGCTGCCCAAATGCGGAACCTTGATTTAGAAAGAGTTAACCCCCATTAAATTGGAACTTTAATGGTAACATAATAATGATGATAATAACTTTGTTATTTATATAGCGCAAAATACATGGGTATATGATCTAATGCGCTTTAAATTACAATGCTTATAACATGCCTATAATATCACAATGAAATGAAAAAAAAAATCACAGTTTATCTAAATAGTTAATAAATGGATACTAAATAAAAATATTATATACATGCATATAAAGATCTATGTTAAAATACCATAGGTCATAAGGTAAAAGCCAATTGAAAATAATGAGTTTTAAGCTGTGCCACAAAAGTTTTGAGACTGCCCAAAGCTCTCAAAACGTCTGGGCGTTCCACAGGGTCAGCGCGGCTGTGAAGAACGCCCTGTCTCCTGTTGTCTTCTCGGTCTTGTTGGGCAGATCGAGCAGTAAGTGTTTTATATTTGATCGCAGGTTATAATTTGACTGTGGCTTAAGTCTAATTAAGCTTGGATGTTATTTCTTTCGCCATCATGTACATGATTAAACCCATTTTCCGTTGTGGTTCTGCTTAACCGTTAACTCTCTGAAGTAATTGACAATTTACTTCTCCCTTTAATATCCATAAATTATCCGCAAGCAGGCAATGAGAATACTCAACATTATCGGGTCGAAGTTTTCACCTTGATCTAACGTTAAATTCTCGTAACTGATTTAAAAGGAAATGTGTAGCAGCTAGAGAGGAGAATAAACAGTCAGATCTGGGAAGTTAAAGCGGGTAAAGATACAGACTCTTCTTTCTTGATTTAAACTGTTACTTCATCCAATCAAATGTATTTGGTTCAGTAACAATTACATATGAAATACTACAAAAGCAGGCTATTTCATACCTTTTTTCTTACAACCATGACTTTTTCGGCCGGAATATACAAGAACGGGAACAGGAATCTCCAGTTAAAGTTGCCTGTACCGTCCAGAGACCTAGAAAAAATCGTCAAATCATGAAGGCACTTTTCGACGGATTTTACCAGAAAATAACCGTAGTAATCAGAGCAACCAATCAAATGGAAGCAAATTATCCCGTGGAGCCAATGAGAACCCAAAGGAGATACAACCACACAGCCTGAAGCGCGGGAAAACGCGGGTGACCAAGTCAAGATTGGTTTTAGTATGGAAACTGAGTGGTCGAGAAAATGGAGCAAGTTTTCTGGACCAATTACACAGCGAAGTAAAGCAAACCCAAAGAAATCCCTGACTACTTTCGATAATATATGAATCAATTAATCTAAGAGATAAAGGCAAAACTAAGGACTCAAGGAAATCAGGTCTCTATGTGAAACTGTTTCGTTTTGTCTATAACTAACCTGTAGTGAACATCTGTCTTTTCTTGTTTATCAATCCCCGATATCCATCTGTGAATCGAAAAAACTTGATTTAAGTTAATAATTTCATGTGATATCAGGCCAAGCGGAAATTTAGCGGTAAAAAAAGTAAATTCAGCCGGTAATTTCCTTTACAAAAGAAAATTCAAAAAATTGAAAAATAGGACCTGATAGAATGGGAGAGCTCTTCGACCGTCGTTCTGTTTCTGTGTATAAAAACTTCCCTCGATCGAAGGCTGAGAAACATAAAGGAAGCCTTAAACATTTCAGAAAAAAAAACCAGTTAAACCTGTAACCCATAACAGTGACCAGCATCTAATATCATCTCAAAGTAGCACTAATGAACCAAACTCAGGCGCAAGCCACAACAAGGAAGTTCATAATTGTTAGACAAATTCTCCTTGTCAGTGCCATAGAAAATGTAAACCTAATATCATGGAGAATATGCGTACTGATGTTAGGTTGCAAAAGGTCAACACATCTAGATTACCCTTTCACGTAAATGTCGCTCATCGCTTCACCCATAGCAGACACTTCCTCAAGAATGACGTCACTCGTGTTCCATATGATGACACGTAACATGTACTCTCCAGGCTCTCGGGGTGAGATGTTAAACGGTAACCCTGGCGGTCCATAATTTTTAGGGAAAATGTCCACCCACATCTGAAGTTTTCCCTGAAGTAAAATTACGAAAAATATCATAAACATGTGTATTATCTAGCTCTGCTTGATAAATGGAAAAAAAATTATCAGATTCTAGATTCTAGTTTTGTCTCTCAAGAACGTGACTTCGGCGAGTGAAAAGAGGCCCTTGCAAAATAAAGAACGTTTCGTAGGAAAAGGGTGATTTCCATGGTTTTTTATTGGGCGAGTTTAGGCAAGGAAATCGAAAAGAGTAAAAAAGCTTTCCTCATATGTTTTGGAAAAGGCGCTAGCTTTAAAAAATTCAGTCATTTAGCAAAAGCGAAAGGACGAAACTATCGAAAAGTAAAAGTAAACTTTCCAGGTAATGTATCATGCTCGTCGTCATAGTTTCCTGGAATCCAAAATTCAAGATAAACAACTTCAGCTTTAAATCAAACCAGTTCATATTAACGTGACAAGTAACAAACCTGCTCTACACCAGGCTGCAAGGTGTTGTACAGCGGTCGCGTTTCCACGTGCTCTGGCACCAGTGGTAAACCGTTCAGCAAGTGCAAGGCAAGGCGTTGATCAGGGGGACCCATGTGAGGAGATATTGTCATTCCAATCTCTGCAAAGAAGTAAAGGGAATCATCAAATTGATTCATGTGCAATGGAAGGATGAAAAAATGGAAGCCTCACACCACAAATATCCTTCTCTTGTCAGTATAATAACATCGCTCGTAGTAGTAGTGTTAACCAACAACACCGATTTGTTAAGGACAGGCAGAAAAATGAATATTGGCATGTTGAATCCAATTTCGTGCAACACATGCGTCTACGAACTCGTTTGGAACTGAAATTAAGGTTGTATCAAAAGGCTGTCGTTAAAAGCTAACTCTCTAATTACAGTAAATATTAGCAGTTTCTAAATGTTAATTAATTACCAGGGAAATATCATGAGGATAACATCGATATATCATTAGTGCTTTAAAAGGAAGCTATTGTAATCCATCTTTAAGGTGACAGTTTTTCCTCATTTGGCGTCCTTCGTTAAACAAGTTTCTGACTTTTAATACAAAAACTATCCTAAAGTTGCCAAGCACATATTTCATAGCTGAAAAGATAATGCAATGTTTAACCCTTAATACCCTAACACCAGTCAGTACATTCTTCACTCCATTCTCCATCAGTTTCCTTTGGCACCGACAAGGAGAATTTAGTTAAAATCCAGAGTTATTTAAGTCTGCGATCATTTCCTCAATTCTCATGAACCTTTTGGTTGATTTGGCGGTAACACCCAGTTACCAAGAAATTAGATGCTTGTCACCCTCAGGGGGTTACACGTCCCGCACTTACCAAAATCTTCCAGCCAGTACGCATCTCCGTGGAATATTACTTTGTTGTTTCCAATAAATTTCGGTTTATGGAAGTTGTTTGTCTCGCAGTACTTGTCCAAAATCTGCCTTGGTGTGCGGGCGTCACGCCATTTGTTAATACCGGAACTGAGATCAGGAATTAGATAAATTTTCAATTAAGTGTCTAAAGTATTCCAAAATTGCTCTAGCTTTCCTATAATTTGCTCTGTGATTAGTTCAGTAAATTCGCACTACAATCTCAAATACTCACATTTAAAACTTAAACCAATCGCTTAATCATCACTCGCCGCGCCTCAAGCAAATTGTTTGTTTTAACATTGAAATCTTCAGTATTAGGAACTTTCAGTATTTTACTCAGTTCTCACTAGCTGCTGTGATAACTTTATTCTGGTTTTATGACACCCAGTTCGAAATAAAGCGCGCTTATCACTAACGTAACAATCAAACGGAAAATAGAGTGTGCTTATCACTAACGTAACAATCAAACAGAAAATAGAGCGCGCTTATCACTAACGTAACAATCAAACAGAAAATAGAGCGCGCTTATCACTAACGTAACAATCAAACAGAAAATAGAGCGCGCTTATCACTAACGTAACAATCAAACAGAAAATAGAGCGCGCTTATCACTAACGTAACAATCAAACAGAAAATAGAGCGCGCTTATCACTAACGTAACAATCAAACAGAAAATAGAGCGCGCTTATCACTAACGTAACAATCAAACAGAAAATAGAGCGCGCTTATCACTAACGTGACAATCAAACAGAAAATAGAGCGCGCTTATCACTAACGTGACAATCAAACAGAAAATAGAGCGCGCTTATCACTAACGTAACAATCAAACAGAAAATAGAGCGCGCTTATCATTAACGTGACAATCAAACAGAAAATAGAGTGCGCTTATCACTAACGTAACAATCAAACAGAAAATGGAGTGCGCTTATCACTAACATAGCAATCAAACATAAAATAGAGCGCGCTTATCACAAACGTAACAATCAAATGGACATAGAGCGCGCTTATCACTAAAGTAACATTCAGACAGAAAACAGAGGACGCCCTTATCAATAACGTAACAATCAAGCCAAAAGTAAAGAGCCCACTTATCACTAACGAAAAAAAAAACAGAAAATAGAGAGCGGGATTATCACTAACCTAAAAATTAAACAGAAAATAGAGCGCGCTTATCACTAAAGTTATATTCAAACAAAAAATTAGAGGACGCGCTTATTACTAACATAACAATCAAACACAAAATAGAGATAGCGCCTATCACTAACGTAACAGTCAAACGGAAAAAAGAGCGTGCTTATCGCTTAAGTAACATTCAAACTCAAAATAGAGATAGCGCCTATCACTAACGTAACAGTCAAACGGAAAAAAGAGCGTGCTTATCGCTTAAGTAACATTCAAACTCAAAATAGAGATAGCGCCTATCACTAACGTAACAGTCAAACGGAAAAAAGAGTGTGCTTATCGCTTAAGTAACATTCAAACTCAAAATAGAGATAGCGCCTATCACTAAGGTAACAGTCAAACGGAAAAAAAAGCGTGCTTATCGCTTAAGTAACATTCAAACTCAAAATAGAGATAGCGCTTATCATTAACGTAATAATCAAACAGAAAATAAAAAGCGCGCTTATCACTAACTTAACCTTCAAACAGAAAACAAAAAGCGCGCTCATCACTAACGTAACACTCAAACAAAAATATTTTCGATCCTAAAGTGAAAATTGCTTCTGTTACTTTCTTATTAAGTGCTAATACTTACGTGCAGTAGGATTGAGGCAGGCCACACATGGCTCCAAACTTTGACAGAAACCGATTTTCCAGATCCACAACTGTCTCTCCAATCTTGTCATCTTTACCAATCAGATCATAATCCATCACTGTGACACACAGGTCTTTAGATATTGGGATGTGGGCCGTAACCTCAAACATCCTTAAAAAAAAAATAACGAAGTATAGTCTAAGTGGGTGTAACAGCTCCAGTGTAAAGAGCGAATTTCGTGGACTCAACAGGGTGTGAAGAGGTGTAGCAGCTCTATTGTATAACGCAAATTTTTCATAGACTCGACAAAGACTTGTTTCTAATTAATGAAGGGGGAAACAGTACCTTTAGCAGTGTCACTTCTTTACTCATTTGTTGCGTTAAAGGCTTGCTTTGTTAAATAAAGAGACTAGCATGTGATTTCTCCTTACAGTATTACTGCTGATTCAAACATTAAGGTCATGGAAATGAAGGAAATGATAGCAAAACAAAGATGAGTTAGGATGTGAGGGTAAAAAAGACAGCAACCAGCCACCTCACGTGAGACGGTTTGTCACAACGATGTAAAGGTGAAAAGCTTACTTTCCAAAGACAGGGTTCAGCGTGTTAGGAATATACTTGTCTTGATCCTTGATCGTAGTTTTCCCGAGAGATACGACCAGATACGGATCAGCCTGTTAGAAAACGGAAGGCAAAATTCAAATCACAATAGCATCGCCAATACAAACGCTTTTTAAAGATCTTACACAATCTACAACACAACAAAACACAGAGACGTGATCCAAAAGGTGTTACTCCAAAAGTGATATATCAGGCAACTTAGCAATACTTTCGCTCAAGATAAAAGATTAGGTTCCACAGACGGACAGTCCACCAAAACAAGAAATTCTATTGGATCGTTTCCACCCATGAGGACTAAAATTTTACCATAGGGAGAAAAAGAACTGAAAAGCCCTTCCCTCCAAACATGGTTAAACCTCGGAAACGGCGATTCCATTTCATCAAAAGTGATTCGGACACAGACTGAACAATTCCTTGAACTGTTTAGACGGACTCTTTTTGCGCCTTAAAGATGTGAAGATATCATTGCATATTATTGTTTTGATCGTGCGCGGTTGTTTTGAACGAACGCACGGTTTGAATAAATTATTTTTGCACTTGATGCGCGCGCTTTGCTTAGCATAATTATGATGCGCCATCTCGTATTTTTCCATGTATATTATTAACACGTAATCACACGTAATTTTTCTCGTGCAACTTGGAATAAATAAGCACTTGTTAATTTTTTCAAAGACCACAAATTGCACTTGCCCTACGGGCTCGTGCAATTTTGTTAGTCTTTAAAAAAATTTACTCGTGCTAATTTATTCCAAATTGCACGAGATATCGTGTGATTACCTATACAAGTTGCACAGCACATAAAAAAAAATTGTCAGTACTCACCAGGCCATTAGGATCCATGGGTTGAAGGTCAATAGCCTAATATCAGGAAAGCAAAAAAGGTAATTAAATGTCTCAAACTCAAGGTTGAGTCCATTTTTATGACAAGAAAAGAAACTAATTAAAAATAAAATTATCATCAATTCACGACAAGAGCATAGGGGTGCTTGCTGTGATTCAAACCTGACGGATGTTCCATACCCCCATTGTATTGATTTTATAGCGGCAAAACGGATATACGGCCCATAAAATCTGTTCTAATCTAGCTACACACATTAAGATGAAAGTATTTCATATAACTTGCTTTGATGGAAAACGAGGAGAGAGGTCCCAGTTATTGGCAGTTCTTATTGCATTTGTCTGAAGTGCACCCCGCGAAATGTGCCGTAAATTACCGTTATGCTTTATACTCCAATTAACAACAAAACACAATATCATTATCCCAACACTATGCCTTCGAACCAACCTTTATGACATAAACTCTGACCAGACACTCAACCGGTTCGCTAGGAGGCAAGTTTCTCAGGATACGAGGCGGCAGCGGGAGATTTGGGTTGCCTGGTAACGGGTAAACATGAAATGCTCCCTAAACCCACAAGAAACACAGATTTAGTCGGATAGACATCTCTTTAGCTCAATTCATGGTAGAAGGATATCAAACTGATCTCTTGTCAAACCTGACCTCGAAGACTTTCGATCAAATTAAACCCCCCCCCCCCCTTCAATTTTGACTTCAGTACCTTAAATTCGCCAACTATAGTGGCGTCCTCTCCAGGTTTGGCTTTTCCACGATGAAGTTCAAACGTCTTAACCATGTCTTGGAACTTTTCAAAAACGTCCACTTTTTCAAGCTCTTGCTCGTACACCTGAAGAAAAAAAACAACAACATCAGAAAGGACAGACCATTTCTTATTCTTTCCACTAATCATGCTAATTTGCAAAGTTTAAGTTGAGTGCTGTTGGGAAACTTCAGTATGATTATAACCCTTAACCCTACAACCCCCTCGAATGACCAGCTTCTAATTTCCCCTGAATCACACATTAAAGTCATGAGGAACCTCTTAATTGTTGAACAAATTCTCCTTGTCAGCACTCCAGGAATTGTATAGAAAACGGTATGGAGAGTGTACATACTGATGTTAGTGTGTAAAGGTTTAAGTAAGATGCCAACCGATAGCAGATTACTCCTCCTCCTCCTCCTCCTCCTCCTCCTCCTCCTCCTCCTCCTCCTCTCCCCCCTCCCCCCCCTTCCCCCCCACCAATCCCCCAGGATTGGTGGGGGTTGAGGATCACTTTCTGCGAGGATCACTTTCATTCACGTCTTTATCCGCAGTTCAAATATATGACTTTCATATATTTTTAACCGTTTATTTCATCACTTCACGGGTTTATTTAGAACCAACATCATGACCAGCTCCCAGTTGGCTTGTTAGCTCAGTTGGTAGAGCGCTGCACCAGTATCGCAAAGGTCATGGGTTCAAATCCCGTACAGGCCTGAATTTTTTTCAGGCCTTATTTCCACCACTGCCTAAGTAGTGCATATTACTGCGAGGATCACTTTCATTCACGCCCCCAGGATTCTGTTAAGCTTCTCTATGATCTGCTTTATATTCCTGAGGGAGGGATGGGCGGAGTGAGGGTAATGTGTCTTACAAAGAACAGGACACAATTACTCGGAAAGCGCTGAAACTCAAACCTCTTTAACAAGGCTCTATCCGGTTACCAATTTAAATTTGCGTTTTTCGTACTTTGTGAGGTAAAGAACGCTCTATGAAAGCCACGACGTATTTCCATAGCAGAATAAAGATTGGAAGTACCAATATTAATTCGTACGATACTGATGAAAAATACCAAGGAAAAGCAACAATTATTTCATATGTACATACAATTATCTTGTCGTAGCCACGCTCTATGTAATCTCCACATTTATCATAATCGCTCAGTGAGGCGTAATACTTCGACCACCAGTCAATGTCCTCCTCAACCAATTCCTGTCCACGAAAAAAAAAAAGAAAAAAAAACAGGATTCCATGATTTATCAACACCTCTTACACACGGGCTTCGATAACTTTTTCCAATAGCGGCTGCCGGTGGTGAAATAGATGGCTGCGTGTGTCGTAAGGCGACACTCAAATACCTGAGCGAGCTCGCAGGCTAAACAAACAGCGGTGAGAGGTCTTATGGGCGGCGGTAGACCGCCATTAAACGGATTTTAGTTGAAATCCCTGCCTTACGTGAAATTTTTTCGCTTACTTTTTTATGCTATGAAATGAGTAATGCACGTTCTATACCGATAATCCATCATAGTAAAAATTCCAATAAATTTTTAGTACGAAATAACAAGTTGACAACTGAAGTTTGAGGGATTGGGATTGCACAAAAGAACGCCTTGAAAACAATCCAATTGGAGCTGTTGAGAAGCAAACATTTCTAAAACGAATGGTGCTATGAACATATAAACAAAATCTTTCAATGATCGATCGCTACAAAAGTTTGACGACATCTTTGACAAACATCGAAAATAATGAAATCTACTGGAAAAACCCCGGCGTACAATCTATCCAAAGTGTCCTTTCCTTCAAGGAAAATTTTCTCGTTCGTCTTACCGATTTTTCCGTCTCTTCAGAGATGTCAAGTAAGTAAGAACCAGACTCTTCATCTTTGGCTGCATCGGCTGCGAAAAATGTCAAGTGGACCATTTATGTGTTTCCTTATGTTAAATCATACCCAGATTACAAGCACGTTTCCAGCAAACTTCAAACTTAAACCAGAAACAATGCAATTTTTATAGGTAACAACATGATTTCTCGTGCAGTTTGGTGTTAATAAGCACGAGCAAATTTTTCAAAGACGACAACATTGCACGAGCCCGTAAGGTGAGTGCAATTTGTAGTCTTTGTAAAATTTACATAGTACACTTAATTGAGAGAATACTGTATCTAAAGCGAGAGAAAATTTAGGGGCCTAGAAGAACAGAAAGATTTCACAGATTGAGAGATTTGTTTTGTTGCAAATGGCTCTCTCTCTCTCTCTCTCTCTCTCTTTTTGTCCTTTAAAGAATGGACGACAATTAAATTTACCAGAAGCAAGCTGGTTCGTCTCGCCTCAGGAAAAAAAAACTAACTAGACGAAAACTCCACCAGGGGATCATGCGTTAAAATAGTAGGGTATGCCGGAGGTGGCAGATACCGCGACTGAATTATTTTTCTCCTTCAACACCAACCTTCATCGTCACCCAAATCATTGCCGTCCAGAGGCAAACACCTGTAAGGCTGCAGTGACTTGATGCAGTAAACACCGACAACGGGTCGGCGGCCAAATGAGCGGTTATCCCGCACTTTGATATTCATGGGTGGAGTGTAGAGTTCCTCTTTAGGAAGGTACTAAGATGGAGAAGAAAAGAATATTGAAGAAGAAACCATCTCTGAAATACGCAGGGTTTCAATATCTGTTTCTATGACCCGGCTACCGATGTTGTAATAGGCGGTTGTACTGTGAAGCGAAACCCAAACACGAAAGCCTGCTATCAGGCTAAAAAGACGGAGATGAGAGGTCCTATAAGCGGAGGTTGACGGCTGTTACCCGGGGTTTTTTTTGTTTTTTTGTTTTTTTTTAGATTCCTGGATGTGTTTGGACGTAACGTGTATTTAAAAACTCATTCTTTTATTGCAAGTAAAGGACATCGACGTTGCCTCAGTCAATAAAAATTCAAAACGACAAAAAAAACAAAACACGTGCGCACAGGCCAACTTCCGGCGACCTTTTTCCCTAGAAACTCACCCCCTTTTACATGCAATTGAGTGATGGAAATTCCAAATGACTACATAGCATATCACATCATTCTGGTTGATTAGTACAACCACAAGTGACTAATTCCCAGCAAGAATCACCTCTACAACAATGATGGTGATCCTAAGTAACCAAGCTAAGCAATCCCTACCGTGTCAAAAAAGAACAGCGGTTGATCAAAGTTAGGATTTTTCTGAGTGTTCTTAATAGTCGACGATTGAATCACGTGACCTCCGCATTCGAATTCGATGCTTGGCGAGGAGACATTAGCCAGTTGAAACTTCTTCATGTTTCGAACGCCCCAGCATAAGACCTGTAATAAAAAGAGCGAAATTTAGGTGGAACTAAATTGTAATAAGCTTAATGAGGGAGTAAACTACTCCCCCCCCCCCCCCTTCGAATGGCTCCGCCACTCAAAACATAGAGCCCGTGCTGTGAAGTAGTATGTACAATGTCTCCTCGAAAGAATTGTCTTTTGTTCAAGGAGTATGTGAAGATGTTATGCTTAGTTTTCTGCATCGTTAAGTCTATGTAATCACTATGGATGTAAACAAAAACCAAAGGAACAAGAAAAAAACCAACAGGTGACAAGAATGGTAAACAATAAACCACAACTTGAAAAATTTGGATGTAAGTTTTTTTTTTATGCAAGTTTCGAGTTGAGTGTAGTTTGCGGTATTTAATCCTTAAATCCCTAAAAGTGATTAGCATTTACTTTCTCATTACAGTATCGCCCCGAATCACACATTAAGGCACGAGAACACTGAGTATGATCACCAACTAGAGAAACTCTTGATTGTTAAAAAAAAACTAAACTCTCCATATCAGTGCCACGGGAAATATATAGAGAACAGTTTGGAGAATATGTATACTGATGTTACTGATGTAAGGGTGTAAAGGGCGTGTCCACGACCGAAGAAGCAAACTGTAAGAGATAAGAGGTAAAGTTTACTGGCTTGCTACTAACATACACACACGTAGATTAGTGGTACTAGGGCCCGTTTCTCCAAGGTTCAGGTATCTTAATGGGCCCGTAAAGCTGATCTGTTTTCATTCAGGATGATGACTTCAAAAGTTTTACAATAAAACTATCAGCTTAGAGAGACAAAATGGACTGGTAAGAGTGCCAAAACCTACTTCTCTTTTCTTTACATTTTAATTATAAAATATGGCTTCGGGCCTGTTAGGTTATCGGGACTTTCGAGAAACAGGCCCCTGGTTTTCATACCTCAATAGCTGTGCGCTGAACCGCGGGTCTGATTCCACTGGGTACCATGTACAATGACGGTTTGTGTTCTTTGGTGGGTGGAAAGTAAGGTAAGTCAGCTCCCTCGTCCTGTGGAGTAAATACAAAATAAAACAACCACATAAAGGTTTGTAGCATTCAATTATTATTGGTACTAACATGATTTCGACTGCAATTTGGTGTAATAAGCACGAGTACATTTTTCAAAGACAACAAAATTGCACGAGCCTGTAGGGCAAGTGCAATTTGTATTCTTTGAAAAATTTACAAAAGCTTATTACACCTATTTGCAAGAGAAATCATGTTATTTCTTGTTAATAATGTACATGACATAACATCACAGAGTGTCAGGACGGACAAAATTTTGAAAGCGTGTGCGCACTATTCGTAATTTGCACTCGTGTTAAAACTTTGCACTCGTTTTCAGCTAATCAGAAGCACGTAATTTTTCATGTGCATTGTTAACTTAGTTGCACCCTTCCTTGACTAGAAAGGCAGAGATCAAGTTCGAGAAGGACGTTTTGAGGACCAAGAGATACAGGTAAACTCGAGTAGCTAGGGCAAAGTGCCACTTAAGATAAGAAAAAAAATTCTTCTCCATATATGCCACAACACTTACCAGGAAAAGCTCGAACGCAACCAAAATTTCCCCGCCATCTTCCGTGCCTTTTTTCACTGGTTCCCAAAGAAGTCTTGGAGCTGGCGGTGCCTGGCCATTTAATTTAACAACAGGTGACTCCACACAGCGACCCATAAATTCATCTCTACCCTAGTAAGAAAAAAATGTCTTCACATTTGAAAGGAATGTTAAGAACATCAAAACCGTTCAAGTTTGTGAGCGCAAGTGGTGCTTAATTTCACTTCTTATACGAAGGTCAGACTTCGCAGACTTGCACTTCTCTTGATAATGGGTAAAAAGCCTTCCTCTTCCTTCTACTTGTCCTTATTCGGTTCTTCCTCTCCTACCTTCTCGCCTCATCGCTTTGCTTATTCCAGACTTATTACACTCACCTGCCATGAACTCTTCACACGACCCTGATGATGACATCCGCTCAGGTTGTCAAAACGTCAGTCACCATTACCGACAACAGTCCTTCGCAGGACTACTCTTACCCCGACGATCAGACTACACGATTAAGCGTTATAATCGCGTTCAGACAACTTACTGGGTGGAGAAGGATAATCTTTGAAGAGTATTCTCATATTGACAACACGGAAACACCTACATAGAGATATCCTTTCCCCGGAAAGTTACGTTTAACCCTGAAACGTCAAGAAGTGATCATCGTGTAACTTCTCCCTATATTATCCATGAATTATCCAGCAGACAGGTCATGAGAATAATCAGACTTGGCAGGTAAAATTTGATACCTTATTTTAGCATCAAATTCTCTTAACTAATTTACAAAGAGATGTAGAGCAGCCAGAGGGGAGAATTAACAATCAGATCTTGGGAGTTAAAGGGTTAAGACATCACGCTATGGCACGATTATGTCACTATAGTCGTCTTACCACAGGGTCTTGATCAAAGAGTTCCAAGACGACACGTGGAGGTGATGCCTCAGTGATTTCAGGACTGCCGTAGATGTGGACATTTTCAAAGATGAGAGTCTGGTCCCAAGTGGGGCACAGTGTGCGGTGAATGATCTGTGATACCTGACTCTGAGTACCAAAAGAAATGCGGACGTAGGGATCTAAATAGAACAAATAAAATCCAGAGTGAAAACAGCATTAACCTTCACCTTACTGTATTGATGCTGTTGTATTAGTTGATGGTTGAATAGAAGGTTACCGATCACTTCACCGAAATGCCAACTCGCCACAAGTGGTCAACTCGCCAACAACTTTGATCAACTCGCCCCACTATTTTTTGTTCCTGGATTTGTTACCCGGTAACATCATCATCTTTTTTCTTTGGCAAAGAACAAATACGAATGTCGGCCAATTGATCTACGGTGTCAGCGAGTTGACTAATGGTGTTGGAGAATTAACCTTTCGGCGAAGTGACCAGGCACCAAGTGGAACAGATTTTCATACAATTGTTCAGTACTGTTACACTGGAATTTCAGAATACACTGACTTTCGCAGTCAAGGTCTAAACATTCGCAATATTTTCTTGTGTTTTCCAGAGCTGGTCACATTTTATTTCTTGTGGCTCAGCAAACAATGTATCATATCAAACGACTTAGGCTAGCGACTAAATGAAGAACGAGATATAATTAACATCCAGGCATTTTGCCACTGAATCATCCTTGCCACATTACACTCACCAGACAGTCCATCAGGGTCTGCAGGCAGGAGGTCCCGCCCTTGAAATAGGTACACTCTCAGCTGATACTTGTGAGGTTCTGTAAAATAACCATGAATGCATACTTGAGTCTATGTCACTGAAAAGGCAAAGTTATGGGAGATAAACCGTTTTGTAAGGCGGGGGAGCAATTACAAACTGTATTATTATGTAAGTCCTTGGAACGAGACCAAATTATTAATTTTTGTGGCTAAAATGTTCCCTTGAAATTTTACAAATTCCCGGTGACTATAAAGGTTAAATTTAGTAATGGTCATTCTATCAATATCGATTAAAAACTAACATGTCGAGTAGCTGAAGTAAAATACAAACTGTCGTGTAATTTATAGCTTAAACCTCAACGTTGCAAGGCAAATGCATCCTTCTTAATTATTAACAAGGACACGAATTGCTAAAGGTTTGCTTTTCTACCAGCTGGTTATTTCGTGTTTTATGAAGGACGGTTACGTGTAAAGAACAATTTTATTTTTCCTAAAATTCATTTTAGTTTTGAAGTTAAATAAGTGTTCCTTAAGCTATCTTACGTACTTTCAAATGTGATGAACATCCGGGGCACCATCATTATTCCCTTTCTACCCTGTTAAACAGATTTACTATTTTGTTAGAGTAACTTCATAACTGTCTGGTCCAGTCAAAAGCTATGATTAGCACGAGAAAAATTATTTGTCCGAGATTGGACATTTTTTAGTTACCTCTGATCACTTTAAATTTATTCTCAGGTTCAGTTTTAAAGAAAAAGAGAATCTTTGCTTTTTTTTTCCGTAAGGCAGAGTTCGTGTCTTTTTTTTTTTTGTTTAACTTCCATAAGGGCTTTTGCAGGTAGAACTTTTTTTGTAAAGAACAACTGCAGAACTTCGCCCACGACTGGACCATGGTAAGGACAATTGACCACACTTTCTCACTAGATCATACCGCCAACGCATACCCCGTTCTCTATAGCATTGAGTGAGTAAGCGTATTCCTACCATCCCTTGATAAAACGCTAATACGCCGAAAGTTAACCTTACCCCTACCCCTACCCCTCTTCCCCAGCATTTTGTCAGATTTTCGCCAAAAGTTTGTTAGTATCCATTCCTACTCCAGAGCACTACAACACAAAGGACCCGCCAGAGTTCGACCTTGGACCTCTCGATCCGGCATTCATGCTAACAACAACATAGACTCCGTGCTTTCTAAACCGTGAAAGCGCTCTCCGATTTACAAACCTCGTCAGAAATTTGAAACACAGCTGGCGCTGTCGGATCTGTTTGAACCATTTTTCGATGCCATCTTCGACGCCGAACCAAATCTCGAGTGCGGCATTTGCTGTGAAACTTTGATGAAAACACTGCAGCATATTCCCACCCCTCTGTGTCTACCTTTTCCTGGCCCTACAAAACGCAGATAATGCACTTTTATTATATGGACATTGATAACAAAACAGAATTTCTCCTGTTTCAGAAGCATGGTATCTACACCGGGCGCACCCTCACACATCATGGCTTTTTACACAATAATCACCCACTTTCCAATAGACACCCAAATGCAGGCTCTTCCCAAATTTTTTAACCGATCTTACAAGGCCATGTGGCTCCTTGCCTTAAAGTACTCTCTTAAATTAACCTTGCGAAAGGGTGTCTTCTTTTAATATTTCAGAACTTTCAGTTTTGTTTTCTTATTTTTTTTTAATCTGCAGTGATGAAATCGTACTCTTTCAAAGTCTGTAGCAAAGGGCTGGCTTAATTCGAAATGATGCGAAGAGATAAATTATCACCCAAACTAACCTCCCATAGGCTCTTCTCGCTCACCCCGAGTGAGGGACAGAAGGCGCCTCTAAACGCTAAAGTGAATCATTACATTATTTCCCAGAAATAATCCTCCAAGTGTTTTTTACAAGCACTTTTGTACCTTTTCCTCTTTGTGGGTAGATTTCACCAAGCTTCTGCTGCGAACCCATCTCCTTCTCCTTGACATATGATACGTTTTCTCCACTGCCACATAACTTCCTGTACTTATGTCTACAGTGTACTCCCAGCCTGAAAGCAAACAACAAAACAGTCTTATCATGACGTTCATAACAGCACAGCTGTCAGCTTTCGAAGGCATTCTTTTGAAAAGTTTCGACTTCACTCAGGTGAGACAAAAGTTCACTAAGACCGATTGACCCTTAACACCCTAACATGAGTAGGCATACTCTTCTCACTGTAATATAAACGTCTCCTAAGGCGCTGCGACAAAGATTCTCTTGTTGGTGATCACTTCTTTTATTTTCTTGCCCTTCACTTTGAGTTCGGTTGTGGGACAGAGAAAACATTTTGAATTGAAACCCAGACCCTCGCTCTGATGCTTCACCAATGAGCCACAGAGAACTCGATGGTAATAGGACCACGGCGTGCAAAATCAGAAAGCTTGGCCTTCCCACGAAAGTGACAAAACAAATCACATTTTTGTTTATCAATTATCTTGTTACCGTCCTCATCCACCGCCCTGTTGGTGTCCACGTTCCATTCTGAAGTCCACTCCCAGCCTTCAGGGGCAACTATTGAGTCCTTAGCAGTGGCAGCATTTTCGTGCTAAAATGGAATAAATCACGTGCATTTCCGTTAACTATGAATTGTGTCCGAAAGTTTAACTGTTTTAACTACGCGAGGTGTAATTTAGGCAAGGTTGAAACCGATTCATCGCCGCGGCTCCATCAGTTTGTTGTGGGGGGCTTGAGTGAGGTTTTTCAGGGAATAGCGCTGTTTTTCCGCTCAATTTGTTTTGGCATTTTTCTCGCTTCGTTTCCCTCCTTCCCTTCCATTTTGAGGGTCCTTCCCTTCCATTTTGAGGGTAAGTGCTCATTCCACACACCAGTTGGTTGGTGTAGTGCTTACAGTCGCCTAGCTCAGTTGCCGTGGTGATTTCCTTGCTGTTCCCTTAACGGCACCTACCCTATTATACTTTTACTTTACTTTAAAGACAACAAACACCTTGCTTCCAAAACTGAATGTGGGGAATGTTCACCGAGGTTCTCCCTTTACGTAATCTACGCTCTTTGCATGTAAAAAAGTTACACCGAGACACACGCGAGCGAAAGGACAATACTACATGATCGCACATTCTATAAGAATCCGTATTAAGTAATACCAGTAAACACGCGTAAAAGCTCCATTGTTTCCATGCTCAGTGGACAACATGACACTCTATCGGTTGGCATATAGCGCGTAAAGCTTAGTATTGGTATTGCTACGAGGTACTCACAATGTCTGTCCAATTTACTGACGCTGGCGACCAGTGTCCCCCAGGAAAACGTTCTTCGTTTTCAAACACGTCCTCCATAAAACTTTTACAGCCTGAATCCTTTTCATACGCTAAGCTAAAAGATCATTTCACAGTTCAAATTTATAGGAAAAATGGTATTTGATAAACAGCAAATCCTTCTACTTTCTGGAGGTTGCCTAACTGATAGACCAAACTGGTGAGCAGTACTTCAGAAATTTCCAGTGCATTATTATGACCTCAGCCATAGCATGTTCCAGGCCCTAAATCAGTGTAAATGGAAAAGGAGTAGGCGAGTGACAAAGAGTGCTCGTGGTTTTTAGGAATACGAGTGACCGCAGCCGTTTTGGAGCTCATTTCCTCCAACAGAGAGCCTGAGACAGGCTACTCCGCCAGAGATCCACGAGTTAGTTTTGCACAAGGAGGATAAACGCAGAGTCCTAGCTAACGCAAAGGTGCTATGACCATTGCAAGTTCCATGCAACCCACTAACACTGAAAATAACTAAATTACTGTCTATTTCTACGTAACCAATAGATTCCCTCTCGCCGTGTACCTATTGAATATTAGATGATTGGCTGACACACATTTAACCCTTTACAACCTAACTTCAGTATTCATATTCTCCATACTGTTCTCTGTACATTAACAAAGGTGCTGACAGGGAGAATTTCTCTAACAATCAAGAGTTTCTTTAGTTGGGGATCATTTCCTTTATTCTCATGATATTGATGTATGATTCAGTGGTGATATTGTCAGGAGAATTTCTAATTGCCATTCGTCTGTTCATTGGTTACAGGGAAATCAGAATTTGGTAAGAATATTAGTGATTCACTGTGCTATGCCTCGAGTGCCACGATTTGTTTTCAGATTCCACGTTGCCATGCATCCGTTCAGCAATAGATCACAGGTGACGTCAAAATGTAGTCTGTCTTCCACTAGATCATACAAGGGCGTATCCACCTTTTTGATTTGTTGCAGGCATTTTTAGAGATCTGGAAGTGTGCTAACCTAGTACTTTGACGTGACGAGATTAATTCTTGATGCTTCTTTGTTATCTAATAACTCGAAAGTATGTCGTAAAGAAAGTTCAATTTTTGTTTCAACCTTTGTAAGAGTCACATTATTCGAGTCAAGCGTGAGGAAAAAAATTGTAAGCCCAGCGCTGCGGGGCTATAGGCTGGCTACGCTCGTGTCATTAGTAAGAACCAATCAAACTACAATCTAGCGTAGCTTATTATGTTACACGGTAGAATAAGTTATTTATAACTCTAATAACCCACCTTAGCTCTGGATTAACAAACCACTTTCCATCAAAACTCCAGCCATCAGGACGAATAAACGAGTCCTTTAACAGCTTCAGCTGCATAATAATTCAATAATTATTGTCATTAGCCTAAAATTCGTACTTCGCTTTATCCTGAGAAGAGGAGTTATCTAAATATACTCCTGAGTGGAGGCCAACACATATGGAGTAAATTGTACTTCCCACGCAAAAAGAAAAACATTTTAGCCTTGGTCAGAACTATTTTAGGCTGGACCTATAATTGCGCAATCCAATGCCCTTTAGCAAATTCATGGAGGCATATTTAGTATGTGTTAGTATGCACTGTACATAAGTGGCATTCTCAAGCTAAGACCTTTAGAAATCCAGCGAGGTTTTTACTCTGTTAAGTTCTCTCAGAGCTCGAAAAAGCAGTTTTAACTTTCAAAATCCATTGCTAAATGGGGAGAGAGTAGAGGTTGTAATTTTCACGATATGCAGCAACAAATCAGTGGAAGCTGAGGACTCAATCAATTTCCTGGAATAATAACTCTGTCACTTTCTCGAGAATACGTTAACTCACCGTTCCACCAGCATTTGACCAGGCAGGCCGTGGGAGTCCTTTAGCAGTCCAGTTACCAAGCACACTCATTTGGTTCTCGTACTGAGGACAAAAGCGCAACGTACATAGCTTTTCATTTGAACGCAGATTCTCTGGCCATCAGTTGATTTCTCGTGAGGAAATACGCTATAGAACCGTTAGTCACTAGTGGCCTATTAAAAAGTAACCAAGCCGTTTGCAAAAGGATTACGCTTTTCGCCTGGCATTCTTTTCATAGATTGAATTGTTTTATTCCTTCCTTGTGTAAAGACTGCCCAGCGATCTGCCTATGAAATCGGGTTGGATGTCAGATCGCAATTAGTTTGAGCGCCGTAAATCAAACTCTAAGTTCTCATAATGAGAGGAAAAGAATGACTCGATGAGATCAGAGTTAGAAGTGGTATTACTGATTTAAAACCATTCTGATAAGAACTCAAGCGCATAAACGCGAGTTAATAAGTCACAATTGCCTTTAGTCCTTAATCTGTTTGGCTGAGAAGGAAACAAAAGATTTTTACACCAATAATATAGTAAAAAATAGATTCCGTTTTTCATTGAGGAGAATTCCCTTGAAATGAAGTACTCTTTCAAATTTGTAGTCACTTCCGATGTGCATTGGTTCGTCATTATAATGAAAGTTACACCCAGTGTATCTTTACAAGCTAATCATTGAAAAATCACTTTTAACTTAATTTTACCGTTTCCGCGAATACGCAAAAGTCGCCCTCAGTCTCCTGGCGGTTAGTCCAGGCCTCTTGGTCTTTCTCAAGTCCAAGCCAAAGCATGGCGCGGACTTGAGCGGGAACTTCTGGGTAGTCCTCTAGGTTAAACTGTTTCTTTCCGGGGTACTGTGAGGTTAGAGAAAAGATTCATTTCTTTCCTTCGATGATATCTGAACATTAAAAACCGCTCGCAAGGCAACTTTTGTTCGAAAAATTACCTGCATAAATAAATCCAGTGTCTTTCCGCAGTATTTTCCACGAGCCCCTGCATGTGTTGAGTACAGAAGATCATAGGCAGGGATACGATGATAAGCTATTCTCTTCTCTCCACTCATCATCCAAATCACCACATCTGGCATACTATTCTGCGGCTTTAGAGACATTCAAACACGACTAAAAAAACATGTCTGTAGAGGTTTAAAATAGAAAAGTTTTCATAGGCGGCTGCCGATGGTGTAATAGGCGACTGTGGCCGGAAAAGGGGCCGTTAAGCGAAACCCAAACACGAGCGTGCGCGCAGGGTAAACAGACGGCGGTAAGAGGTCCTAAACGCCTCAAGTATATCATTATTCCAACAATTGCCCTAACGTCCCACTTTACCCTCTAAAAGATGTTCGACTTGAGAATAAGGAGCTTGCAATAGCTTAAAACTCATTGAAGTTACCTTACTGACCGAGTCCCGGGCCTCAAGATCCACCTAATCAAGGATGCGACCTCCACTTTGAGGTAAAGGAAGTGGGTATGATAAAAAGCATTCCCATGGAGCATTGCGATGAAGTTAGCCAGGAAAACCAAACCCAAATTTACACCGAGCGACCAAGTCTCCGTTTTAGTTTTGCATCTGATTAGCCGAGAGGGAGGTGCGAGTTTTGTAGTCCAATCAAAGAGAAAACAGCCAAAGCAGCGAAAAGGCAATACAACTCGAAATTGTTTTCCACAGTCAATTGAAAGTTGTTTTTTGTAGAGTTGGGAACGAAAGGAATTTACTGTATTGTGTTCAAGCATGTTTCGTACCTCTACTGCAAGGAAATGAAGCTTCTTTAAAAAATCCTCCACGACTCCAATCGTTTCATCTACGTCAGTCGCACTTGTACGAAGTTTTGAGGCCTCTTCGATGATACATTTCTGATCAAAAGAAACGTAGAAACAATAATTTGTAAATTAAAAGTAAAGAATTTTGCTTTTCACTTTCCAAATCGTCATTTACCACATTTACTGTGTTATCTTCGCTACCACTAACCACCCTTATCCCTTTCTCGTTTGGGCTCACCTCCCCTCACTCGAGGAGCGAGGGAACGTACCCCTTAGGCAAAATATTATTTCACAGTTTTCCTGTAATTTAAGTAAATTTTCTACTTCGCGGAGGAGCGACTCAAAATATCGCGACGTTCAGTTTAGTTTTCTCAATTGCGACACCGACAGAGTGTCAAGGAGACATATGCGTGAGAGTAAATGAAACAATCAACGCAACCAAAAGGAATGGCTTTACAAAATCTCACATCTTAGAACGCTTTTCGATTAAGTACCGCTAAAACCAAAACCAAAGTTGTCAAATCTACTAATAAGAAAAAAAGAAAATATTATTAGGAACCAATGTGAACTCAAAGTAGAAACCAACCAAAGAGCGGGGAAAGGCAGGTGACCAAGTCGTGATTGATTTTAGTTGTGCATCGGATTTGATGAGAGAGTGGCGCGAGTTTTTTTGGAACAATCACAGAGCAAAGAAAAGCAAAACCAATAACATCTCGGATTACTTTCGACAATCAATTGAAAGTGGCTCTGAATCAAAGATATATAATTAGCATCGATGTGAATTTGACATTTTCACACTGACCAATTCACTTTCTCGTGTGTCTCTTCTCTTCAGATCAAGATCGTTGATTCCGGGTGTTTTGGCTGCCAACTGCGGAAGCGGTTTTCTGCGAATCATAGGAGATTACTTTAATGAAGCCGTATTTATTTGAGTGTTGATCTAAGATATCTCATCTTTTGAATGTGTTCTGTTCACTTCTCCTTACTTGATCAACCTATAACTTCTCGTGCAAAATCAAGACATTATCCAACAAACAAGAGATCATAAGGAAACAAACTTATTAACTAGCGGGTACAGATTCTTCTTTTTGCCTCTCAAAGAAATGTAGGGCAGTTAGATGGGAGAATTAAGAATCAGATCACGGGAGTTCAAAACAGGGATTAAAAATCATAAGACTTGCTGATAGATACAAAACCGCCTCAACATGATCAACGTTCCTAAGACGGATTGTGTGATGACCCTTTCTTCCAGCTTCCTTACCTGCAGCTCTCTATCAATGTATCCAGCATTTTAATTGTAAGAACAGCAATGGTTGTTAGAGTTGCTTTCTCAGAAACAGCCAGCTGAACTTTTTCCAAGTCTGACTCCTAATTGGAAAATCACAATACACACATCAATCCTCCGTAAATAAATGGAACGTTTGGCACATCTGTTTAGCGAAATGTTAAAACTCACAAGTTGTTCACATATCCGTGTCAGAATATTTCGTGGCTCCAGTCTGAAGGCGATATCTTCCCAGTGGCTATCTACATTACAACACGGTTTAATATCATTCCATGGCAGGAAGTAATAGTAGCTTCCATCAAATATAGCGTTTGTTGGTGACGTAGAAGACGACGAGGGCGGCACTGACAAGTCCAGCTGGTTTCCATAGTTACCTGAGAAAAAAACGCATACCAGAAACTACAATGGCCATCTCGAGAACAGAAAAATAAGGAAGTAACTGCCATGAGAAGGCAGGGATGTGATGTGCACTTGTCTTTTTAGGGGGGGGGCAGGGAAGGGGATCCAAAATTTTTAACAACTTTATTTCAAGGAATGCTTTCAATGGACTACCATCATGTAACAAAATCAACATTTGCATATCAGAAACCAAAACAGAAACTAAACAACAATGTAGCAACAGAAGCAAGCGAAGAACAAGAAGTTTATCACTTTGCAATACTTCTCGAAATTGAGTCAAGGGAACTTTCCAATCAGTACTTTTACAAAAAAGTGTGCGTATTGCGACAACCGTGAGCAATTTTTTTTTATATGATAAGGTGACTCCTTCGTTTTGATTGGTTCTTGTTAATGATCTATTAAAGGACAGTCCTATAGACGACGCCACCGTTAACAGCATTTTGTTTTTCTATCATTTAAAAAAAACAAATGCCATGTTGTCGTGGGTCTGTTCAGTAATAGAACACATAACAAGTCAACATTTGCTAATCACGTATCCATTCATACCTATGCTTATTTCAAAAGTAACAGGTCCATCAGTACAAGCGACTAGTGTGGCTTCCAGGAAGCAGGCAAACAGCTTGTATTTACGCCGACGTAGATAAGTCTGGAAGGGAAAATAACTGAACTTAAACATGCTCTGGTTTTTAAAAAATATTTCCCAGAAGTCAGGCCACTTTCAAGACGGGCAAAGGTATGTGACTTGAGCTAACACCCTATTGGGTTTGGTAACACTAGGGTCTAAGTCACATAGTCTGTGCAGAATGTTAGAGAGCTTTTCAATCGACTGTCGTAAAACCAAATCCAAATTAATCACAACGGTCAATCAGAAAAAAGGAAAATACCTTTAAAGCCAATGAGATCTCAAACCGACCAAACTGCCTAAAGCGCGGGAAAACGCGGGCGACCAAGTCGTGATTTGTTTTAGTTTATCATGTGATTGCCTAAGAGAATGATGCAAGTTTTCTGGACCAATCACAGAGTGAAGTAAAGCAAAAACAATGCAGTGCCCGATTACTTTCAACACTCATTTGAAAACTGCGCGATCCAAATGTGCAAAACTGTTCGGTGCTTACGTCACACCTCTTTCTCTAACATCAGTCGCGTTGATTTTGAGAAATGTCCGTTGATGGCAAGAAAGGGATGTCTACGAACATGTCACGTTATACAAACTAATAAATCGTTTCTTTTTTTTCAAGCAGGAGCTACGCATACCTGAACTCGTATAATGTCATCATTTAGTACTTCTTCGACCATCTTGGTATGTTGAGTGTCCAACTTTGTCTCCAGCTCAACTAAAGCTCGGCCACGGTATGCTACACCCTGACCCTGAAAGTAGATTGAGACTCAAGTAAACACGTCAGCCAATTACAATAAAGGTATATCTAACAATTTTCCGCGATTAAAGCTCAACGAAAACTGTGAGCTTCGATGAACACATGATGTCCCTAATGTACGAGTATATTTTCGCGCCAAGTGAACACTACGATGTTTATCATCTATCAAAACTTTTTTGCAACGCGTACGACAAAATGGTAACAAATTGCTTCCCACTTGATGCTTGGTTTGTTTACTTTTCAGTTTTCTCTGGTACGACTTAATGAACAAACAAACATGTCCCTTCTTCTGAAATAACAGCTGAAGACTCTCTCATCTTGAATTGAATCTTAAACGACGACTTTCATCGCACTGGACATAAGGTTTACGGGTCAAGTGATAGATTGAGATCAATAGCTCGCGAGCAAGCTTAAATAATTGATGGACTGTAAGGGTGTAAACTATCAAACGTATGTATTCATGAGGACTTACAACGCCAAGATTTAAATCTTGAAATTCATCAGGAAGATCTGAGTATTCTCTTGTGGAACCATAGAAGTTTATGAAGCAGGGTCCAAATCTTGGCAGGTAACCTAGAAGTACAAGAGAACAGAGTCGTTCAAATCATGGCAGTAGACTGTTGATGAATGAGGAAGGCGCAAACAGAAATGATACTTCCAGAGAACAAATATTTAAAACAACAAGAAAGATCCTTTCACTTGTTGCTCTTGTTGAAGCACGTTGTTGTTCTCATCTTCATTGCTAAATAACTTCAGAAAAACTGAAAAAGCATGTGCAGGTCATGACCAAATTTCACAATGTTACAATATCAGCTAGTTACTGTTGATCTACTGCTGCCTATCAGACCTCTTAACACCGACTGTTTTGTCTGCGCAGATCAGGGAATAGATTAGGCCGTCTTGGCTTTTGTTGGGGAGCATACGGCATACACCATGGATCTCTTTTAAACCCTACTTTGGCTTATTTTATTTCTTATAATTATTTTTGCTTATTATTTCAAGATGATGTTCCTCCAAAGAGGTTTGTCTCGGACACTGCACTTCCAGGACTAATAAACAGTATATTAAGTCTTTTTTATACATGTACCAACCTTCCTCTCCTTGTCCAGATATTTCAGACATGGGAAGGTAATACGTTCCAATGCAGTCATCGCCACTTATTTTGTCCCTAGAAAACAACAGTTTTGCATAACATAAGTATTATGTTCAAAAATGGTTCTTATGTTGAGGGCACCTGAAAAAGAAAAAACATCTGAGTGCTTCATGAGGACTGGAACCTCAGAGGAGCAGATTTTGTAGCACTTTACTACTAAGCTGAAGAGAGCTTATTCCCTATAACACCATCTAACTAAAAATTCAAATTTAGCGTCACAAGTGTTTCAATATTTGGCAGTGTACAATTTTAGCTCAACACTGATCATCAAAATGATATATTCTCCAGTCATCCAGATACCCTCTCTAAAGGAGGTGACATCCATCAGCAAGGAATTCTAAAAATTTCTAACGGGGAAAAATATTTGCAACTCTAGAAAAATTTTTTCAATAGCATGTATACAACAAAATATACTTTTCTAGGCATAAATTTGTTGATTATCTGTTATATTGTTGACATGTACCAATCAAAATTTGTATTAGACTTAACTTGTTCAACTTCAAAATTAACTAAAAGAAGTATAATAAAATAAATTAAACAATAAATATTATTTTAAAAATTACATACCAGTCCCATAACTGCAACTTTAATTTTTCTGCCATTGTAGGGAACTGGAAAAGAAATTTTACGTACTTCATTTCATCTGTCTGGCATAAATATATTGTTGGCGCATACGTACATGTGACTGTACATGACTTCTCCTGAACTAACTATAACCATTGAATTTATCTTAACACGCAAAGTAAATGTCCATTAGTATTGTGTAAAGTGTATATTAAAAAAGGCAACACTATACGCATGGTCACTTTTTGACTCCATGACACCAGATTAATCAAGAAATGTTGTAAATCTTTTAAAAGCTTGGTCAGCAAATGAAAAAAATTATTTATTTATCACAAGGGCAGGAAAAAAAACTCAGTCCCGATCCCATTCCCACACCCAAAGATTAGGACCTGAGATTTCACAGTCTGATTCTCTACCAATTAGCCATAGAGAACAATTGGTGTGCAAGATCATTACCAGGTTCAATTAAAACATGACAATTGTCTTACATACGTGTAGGTAATAACATTATTTTGAGTGCAATGTGGCGTAAATAGGCACGAGTAAATTTTTCAAAGACAACAAAATTGCACAAGCCTGTAGGATAGGTGCAATTTGTAATCTTTGAAAAAATTACAAGTGCATATTACACCAAATTGCAAGAGAAATCTTGTTATTACTTGTTACAAGTATACATGAGTAAAACACGACTGGAAGGCAAGACAGATGTAAATTTTGAAAGCATGTGCACACTATTTGTAATTTGCACTCATGTTACATGAGAATGCACTCATTTTCAGCCAATCAGAAGCGCATAATTTTTCCACGTCCTTTATTATACTCTAAACAGCACTGAATAGACATGTTCCTGGCCAAGCTCACCAATATTTCCTCTGTGGCTCAGTAGTAGGGCAACCTGCTTAGACAGCACACTTGGCGTTAACACTAATTTGAAAATGTTATTTGCAAGATTGACCTTTAAAACAATTGGGCCCTTTATTGTAAAGAGAGATTTCATTCTGGTTGCTCCTGAGAGAGAAAGTGTTAAAGACACAAACAAGATTTCAATTCTAATGTAGCAACCAAAGCAAAAATAACTTGTACCTGAAATGGAACATGTAGCTCTTGTTTGAATTCAGGGTGATCACAGTTTTTGTGTACATCTGTTCTTGCCTAAAAAAGGAGAAATCTTATTATTGGGACCTTAAAGATCCTGTGTGTAAGATGAAGCCTATCCTTTGTTCTAAATTGCTACCCAAGTGGGATTGCCAGCTTTAATTCCAAGCAAGAAAAAAGAATTTAACTTTGTGCAGCTCTCTAATTTTATTTAACTGAGATTGTAAGCTTATTGATATTTCCCAATTTTTTAAATAAAAAACGAACATGTACCCCCCGGTTGGCTTTCTTTCCCACTGCACAAAAATTAACCAGTCATTCTCAATTCTCACAGAAGCAAAATATTTTTGTTACATGAAAATCTTTTACTTATAGCCAAGCCTATTCCTTCAAAATGGCTGAAAGTTACGTTCTTTTTTTTTCAATTTTTATAAACTTAACATTCAACTTGGTTCATAAAACATAGAAAAGGAGCTTGGCAAAAGTCTTGCTATTTTGACTTAACACCTGATCAATAACACATATGTATTGATCCTAGTTCAGTAAACTTCAGGGGAATTATTGCACGGGCATTGTTCACTAGATCTGGCAACTTCCAGGCATCTGTGTCCACCAGAAGAACTATGATTGTATTTTGAAGTAAATTTGTTGTAAAACTTGCAGTTCACATAGATATGCCTACTCTTAAAGGTTATTTCTTGAAATCAGTTATGGCAACAAGAGTTTCCATTTGATCTCTATGTTCCCTGATAACAAGAGTACTGTTCTGTAGATATACGAGTATATGTCAGCAGCTACATATACGTGTATACATTCTGGTTCATGTTGGTGCAAAGTTTTTGAGACCATATTGTTTTAAAGCACAGGAAAATTAAAAAATTTAATCAAACAGGTGAAAAAAAGGGCATACTTCTTTGCCAGCAAATGAGAACATCATGTAAGGGTCAACCAACTCTTTCATCTCCCCACCAATAAAGGATTTTTTAATTGTCTCACATACAGCAGAGTCCACTGCAAAGAAACAAATGTAACAGAACAAAAAGAAAAAATACATAACAAGTCCATGAAAATTTATTTTCTATGGTATGCATGTCCATATGTCTCAGACGGTTATAGACATTGCACAGCCTAATGAGCTTTTAAAATGTACACTGATTTGATTCAGACAAAAGAAAATTGAATTTTAGGAACTTCAAGAGGTAAAAAGCTCAGAACTAGAAAAGGATGCTAAACATTATTCACAAAGTTAGTTTAAAGAAAAGTCCGATTTTGAATTTCCCATGTTCTACCAAATGAGATACTGAGAACTTAGACAAAGGTGTATTTTTATCTTTTTAGGGTTGCATTACTCCCAGCACTAGGAGAAGCCACATGGATCCCCTACAACTACTAATAAATTGCTAATAAAAATAAAGTATTACTCTGTGGAATATCCTCAGCTCTATACACTCTCAAGGAGAAAACTGCAGGTCTAAGCATCATGCCTGGAGGTTGGATCAAGTTACTAAAGAAAGAAAACACAGTCAGAGTGCAAATAAATATAAAATTTCTCTACATAAAATGATCGTGACATGTATGGAAAACTTAAATCAAATAGGACAACAAGATAACCGAAACACAATCATTATGGCTAACACACAAAAAAAATCTAATTTAGATTCAATAAATGAAGAGGCTTTCTTTGTACATAAGCAAACATTTCAAGCCCACATACCAAATGCTGCAAATTTCAAATGTGAGTTCAACATCCAAAAAAAGAAACAAAAACATTGAACAAACCAAACTTAATATCACTCACTCTTCAATATCATCAAGGTCATCTTGATCCTCAGTTATCGTCACTACCTGCACAAAGATATCACATAAAAAATAGCACTCTCAAACATTCGCATCCTGACATTAGTATTCATATTCTCCACAGTGTTCTCTCTACATTTCCTTTGGTACTGACTAAGAAATTTTGTTTGACAATTAATCAGGAGCTTTCTAATTTGGTAATTGTTTATTACTTTTATTATTTTTATGACCTCTAAATCTGATCCAAAAGTGAGACAGTAACAAGAAATTAGAAGCCGGCAGTCACTCTTTGGGAATCAAAAAATAAATAAAGGGTTACATGATTGGATGGATGATCAAAGCTTTAATCTCAGAAAGCCAGGGTGCCCAAACCATACAAGCATTCATTAAAGACATATGTTAGTTACCCTGTGGCACCCAAACTGTATCACTGCACCACCCTGAGATATCTCCAACACTGGTAATTAATCTACATTTACTACGTGTACATGCCGAGTTTAATTATTCACAAACCTTGCACAATTTGATATTATACATTTATAGAACACAGTTTGAATCATTATCAGTGTATGTAACTGATGAAAGTAACACATATTTAAATGAACAAAAAGTGCGAAAAGTTTCATGTTTCAAAGCAGTTTAGGCCTCAGCTATTTGTTTATGGAGAGTCAAGTGGTGTTCCATGCTTTCTTTACGCAAACGAAAGCATCAATCACAGTGAAACATGGAAAACGCATTCTTTACCAATCCTTTAATTCTAAGAAGTGACTAACATGAAATTTCCCCTTATAATATTCATACATTAGCCAATAAACAGGTATCAAGATTTACTCAAACTTATCAGGTACATGTAGAAGTTGTTATCTTGATTTAACATCAAATTCTTGTGACTTTTTTACAAGGAAATATCAAGTGACTACAAGAGAGAATTGATGCCACACTCGTTTATTGATACCACGCAATCTTAGACTATCTTGCTAACATGACAGTCATTACATCAAGAAATCCATTGTATTTCTCACTTACTGGGGCTTCATCACCAGGTCCAAGAACCATAACTGTAACTTTCAAGTAGCCCTGCAAAGAGTGGTTTAAAAAAGGTTTAGAGATACATGTGCATATGTATCTTACCAGTTATCTTTAAAGAATGAAGTACAATACAAGGGTTGTAAAAGGAAAATTAATAGAAGTATGATCTGAACTGAAGGAAGTTGTTGAATTTGATTATATGCATGTGTTGTGAGCATGCCATGTTCGTGAGGCACCCAGAGTCCAGTGCACTAAAATATATGCCACTGAAATTCTCCCACTAGACTATTTGAGGAAATGGTTAATTTTCTTCATCACCCTCATGCACTGAATTAAAAACCACTATGTATCGGCGTGGATCAATTTTTTCTCCTTAGTTTGTAAATTATCATCTCGTCCTGATTTTAATTAGAATTATCAGTTTAAAATCAAACTGAGATATCAAACCATTGAGGAAGGAAAATGTGAAAATGAGAACTAGTTTAGCCACTGTGAATGTGAACATGTATGTGAGTGTATCAGCTGCTCTATAGATCAAAATACAGGACAAGTTATCCAAAATACAAGAAATGCTTCTTACTTTCGCTCCTGCCATTTTATCCTCTGGGTCAGATAAAAGTATCCACTTTCTTAGTACAGAATGAGCTGGAAAAAATGAAGCAGCTGAAGTTGAATCTAAACCAAACATCACTACTCTAAACATATTTGAGGTATATAACCCCAGCACAAGAATATGGTACAAAATCTTTCTATTAAAGTTACATGTACCTCAAATTTAAAAAATGTTAAACACAACTTAAAGACAGAACAAGTTTCATAATAAGGTAGATTTTTGTGATCTTACAAGGTTCATCATAGAAGAATCCAACATCACACTGCAAGAGAAATGAAAAAGTCAAATCTGACGTAGCATGAAACATCATGAAACATCATAAAACACGAAAATAATTGTGAAGTATATCAACATTCCCTTAAATTTTTTGCCAGAACACAATGTATGTCAGCTTCATCATCAATAATTTGGAACATAATGAGATTTACAAATAGCTTTGGCGCTAGTATTGAAACTAGATAAAATGTGTGCTTTGTACAACATAAACATTTTTCTCATGCTTTATTGAGGTGAACAAAAGTGCTTATGTATGAATGACTTTAACAACCCTTTAGCTCCCTCCTACAATGTTTTGAAAAAAAATTCTTGCATAAATAAATGATGGTACAACATATAAACATTCCAAATAACTATCAGTATAGGTATTTTCCATGTTTTTTTTACTGTAAATAACTATGTTAATGAGAGGAAGATGTCACGTGACTTGCATTTAACTAGGCAAATCTCACCTGAAAACTCCCCACCATTGCATTTGCTCTTAATTTCTTGGAATTAAAAACCTGGAGAACAAAATTCAATATTCAGCACACTCCTGAGCAAAGTAAGAATAGTGAATTATTTAAGTAATGTAACCTATTTTCCTGATCAAATATGAACAAAGTACAGCATTTTATCATTTCTTAATCATTTTCAACAGCCCTTACTTGCTGATTATTTTTTTCTTATTTAAAACATTTGTCTCTTTCCTTGTTCAAATTGGCCACGAAAAACCTCACTGTGGTATTGCAGGTAAATTGAGTAAATTCTTTATCCATCTGCGTAACTTCTTTCATATCATACCTCAAACAGGGCTTGAGCATCAAACAGTTTGTGTGGTGTAACATTGAAATTGAAGAAAAACACCTGTTGAGATTTAACAACATGGCAACTATAGTCAGTTTAGTTCAATGTGCCTTAAGGAAATAAAGCAGAATTCTTCTAGAAATCAGGTCTTCTGATTGAGTAAAAAAAAAACGATTATATTTCTTTTCTAACCCTTTCAACCCCTAAGGATGACTTACAGCTAATTTCTTCTTACAGAATCACCACTCAATCAAACGTTTAAGTCATGAGAATTAAGGAAATGATCACCAACTAAAGGAGCTCCTGACTGTTAAACATTAATTCTTTTTGCAAGCACTATGGGAAATGTACGGAGAACCCTATGGTGAATATGCGCACTACATGATGTTAGGGTGTCAAAGGTTCAGGAAATCTAAAGTATATTTCTAGCAATCCTACTTCTGATTTTCAAACCTCATCATAAAATGGCTTGTTGGTTGATTTGATGACTTTAGTCTGCCGTGACTGATTGTCCATTGTCACACGGACCACAGGGCTGATGTTAGCTCCTGCAAGCTGACGACCCTCGATAATCCTAACCCTCACCTGAAAAGTGAAAAAATTAGCATTAATGAAATAAAACACAGACCAGGCCTTTATTATTTAAAACTGCAAGGCATATGGATAGTCATGTGAAGTTCCAAACAAATAGCTGAACCCTCTTTGATTGAACGTTGTAAAAAACCAAAACCAAAATAAGTACAACAACCACTGACAGGGAAGGTAAAGTCTGTACTAAAGCTAAGTGGCCCATCCAGAGGAAGCTTATCCTAGTTTCCATAACATGAAGCAACAAGGAGTATTACTGCATGTACTCCCCCTTTGGATGGGATGTTAGACCATCCCCAAGTTAATAGCTCATTAACCCTTTAACTCCTAAGACCTCACTGGTAATTCTCCTTACTGTCTGCCATACAGTTCTCGTGAATAGTTTTGAGAATTTGGTGTTGGATCAACTAGTAATCCCCTTATTAATATTTTTCCTTATTCTCATCAATTGCTTGCTTGATATTTTATTGATCTTAAAAGGAGAAATTCTGTCTTGATCACTCATGGGAGTTAGAGGGTTAATGGCTATTTTCCAAACATTGAACTAATAATTTACAGACCTGAAAATCAAGATTTTTGTCTGGTAGCTTCTTCCTTGCTTCACTTTTTGCCAGTAAATCCTCTGTTCCAGGTAGTTTTTCATGCATCCTTTTTTTTTTTTGGATAAATAATTGCAAGACAAAGCCATTAAATGTGTATTGTAGTTAAACCACGTCAAAGCACACCTTGAAAGTAATGCTTAAGAGAGGATTTGGCTACTTTACCCAAGATATCTTCAAACCCAATCAGTTTAGCTTGCAAGCAGGCCTCCATTATGAGGTTATTTAATAACAAGGATTGCTGAATGAGTATCATGTTTGCATCTCCACACTGTCAGCTAACTAGCTTTGTGTGCTAGGTTCTCATTCGAGTTTGCTTTCCCACCCTCCCTCTCTTGGGGCACAACATTTTCATTGTTATCAACAAACAGAATTTTTTGGCACAAACATTTCTTCTTGCTTACCTTTCTTGACTTCCACCAGGTGGTGTCTTTGTGCCTTCTGGTCTCTCATCCTTGCATGGCTGCTCAACCTTCGATTGAGCATGATCTGTCTCACGTGGAGGTTCTGGAGTAACTGCTCTCTCAACTGGCTGCGGAGTTTCTACTGGGGAAGATGGAGTTGGGGCTGGAGCAGGTGGGGGAGGGGAGGATATAGCATCCCCATCATCATCCATGATGGCCCGTCAAACAAACCTAAAAAGAAACAATATAAAAGCTATAAGGATATTGAATTTAACCACAATTATATAGTATATTTTAAAATCCAGTTTTGAGACTCAGGCTCATGATATATTTATCTTTGGTATTAACCCCTTTACTTCCAGTAGTGACTCAGAACTATTTTCTCTTAAATATCATGCTGGTAGGTGATGAGAATAAAGAAAAATATCAACAAGGGGATTATTGTTTGAGTTAACACCAAATTCTTAGAAGCAGTATTATGGGAAATTTGAGGGCAGACAGTAAGGAAAATAGCTATTGATTGAGCTCTGAAGAGAGAGAAGATTAAGGTTTAGGCAAACAAGACACTACATTGTAACAAGAAACTTTGATTTGTGTTTTTCTTTTTGCCAGTATTCCAGGATTCAAATGAGAATTAGTTGTCTTCAATTAACGCCTCTCTTTGTCAGCTGTTGGTGGGAAAGAATGCTACATGTATGAGCTTTGTAACTACCAATGATCTCCATAGCCATGTTAACTGAACTTATATCATTCTGATGGATCAGTGATAACTGAATTATGATTTACTGAGATTTGAAAATCGATTCAGAGGCAAATGCAGAAGATCTTGGAAAATTAATGAGTAACCTTAATTCTCATGATCTGATTGTTAAACCTATCCTCGAGCTCCTTGCATCTTTCCTTGTAAATTAGTTACAAAAATTTGTCATTAGATCAAGATGACAACTGTTACCAGATACGTTTAGTATTCTCATCTTACAACTTGACTATTGGAAAATGTCAAGACATTATAGGGAGAGGTTACACGCTGATCACTTCTGCGAGTTAAAGGTTATCCTGTAATCCAGTCTAATGCTACATGTAATGCTTTTAGTGATCTTTTCTTGGACAAAATATGACAAAGATGCGCATTTCAAGGTATGGAGTCGGCATGGAAGGAAAAGTAATTTCCTCAAACACGTGACATAAAGTCAGAAATACGCTTAATATCAACGGAGACCGAAATCTATGGCGTAAGTTTTAATTACCCTCATATGGATGCATTCTTACACACACTGACAGATTATAAAGTGTACAACTGATATTTCCATGAAGTGAGACGCGATCACAAAGTTAAACTGTCAAAAACTTCGTGATTTTGCTGTTCAGTGCTTTTGGTTTAACTGATCTTTTAGCAACCCCCTTTTTCCATGTTTCCGTGTTCCAGTACATCTCTATGATCGCTCTCACGGTGAGGAAAGCGCTAGGCGAAAGGTATTCTGTGAAACTTCCCAGGTTACTTCGCAAACTGATAAGATCCATTTTTTTCTTTGAATGCCTTTCTTCATTTTGGTGGTCAAACCAAGAAATCGTAGATGATCGACATGTACATCTTGACTCAATCAAGATGAAAGTGTCGTTCATCCGCGATTTCATCCGAAGTTTTACGGGTGGAATGCGAAAATTAAGGCAAATCATAGTTATTAGAGTTACTCTTCCATAGAGGCGCCCAACCCTTTATTAAAAGGAGGAGGATGTAAATGAAGGTTTTTTAAGATTTTTAGAATTGTTTTTTGAACATTTAACATGAATGTGAAACTAATGAAAAGGTGCAAGTCTCACAAGAGTATTCGGAGGGCAAGCCACATGCACATCTGCATACTGGTGAGATCCGCAAATTATACCGTTGTGTGTTGAAAAAAATTAAGGAAAGCTCGAGCATAATGACGCTTTAATAACTAAAATTCTTAAAAAAAATTCCTCTATGTTACATTTGTTAGAGTAGTATTTCTAACATTCGTTCGGTTGTCTCTTTCCTTATTCACTCTTTTGCTATATAAGTCACTATGCTGGGTACAGCTCAGATCTGAGTGAGAATGCAGGTCACCAGCTTATAAAAGTGACACTTACTAGGCTTTCAATCCTCATGCAACCTTATCAATTCTCACTCAGCTAGCAAATCACGTTAAATTACGAGAAACAGTTCCTGCATACTAAGTATGTACCTTCGAGATGTTTACACTGTACAAAATGATTTTCTATCTAAAATTTCTTAGTCTTACGGTCAAGGTCGGGCAAAACAAAAACAAGATTGACAATACGATAAGTATAATGAACTTACTAGCAGAATTAGAATCATACTTAGAAAGACGTCTTAAGAGAAAATAGCCTTCGAAGACTGTTTCATAACAACAGAATAAACATGCAGAAATTCGGAGAAGAAAGGGCGTACCCAAGGTACCGCCTCGAAAGAGCAACGTGCTCTTCGTATAAGTTCCGTGATTATAACTTTAGTACGGACGATGAAAAGTACTACATGTTTACACCTTAAGTCACCTCTAAGAAAAACAAGTGTCGAACGTGTTAAACTGAAATTTAAGAACTATTTTCTTGATCGTGAATTCGACATGGACTTAACCTAAAAAACGAGAATAGTCAAAGAGGTTAAAAAAATATGAGAAATGTTACTTCCAGGAAATTCCTATACGGGATCAATTTTTATAAGATAAAATCATTCTTCTTCGTAATTAAACATCTCTTCTCAACATAATGGAAATACACCAAGATTTAGCTGCAAATTGTAGTTTACGTAGAAACATCTGACTCCATGTCAAATTTACGATCACAATAAGAAGAAGGTGACCGAAATTCTACCTGTAGGATAAGACCGCCAAAAGGAATAAGAAACGATCAACTGGCTTATTATAATTTTTACTGAATGGCCTATGGTAATATATTATTTCCATTCATTTTCCAATACTTAAATAAGTTAAAAACACATATACAGAAAATTCTTACTGGATGCCATTTTTGTCTTTTAACACATTTCAACAAGAGAAAAGTTATCAAGGCTGAGTACTGTCATCAGAGAGCCTGATTTTCCTGCTTGCACTGGAATTTGCAGCAAAATGTTGTGCTGTGAATCTCGGCAAGTCTGTTATTCTCAGCTAGTTTTACTTAGCTGATTGTTGTAGGAATGACGGAGGGGAGGGGGTGGGGGAGAGGTTTTGAGGGGCTCTCACAAGCTATCATTTTGAATCATTAAATTGAGCATATTTTTTAATGACAAATTTTGAGCATAATTGGTAGGAATAATGCCACGTTTTCAGGAGTGACACCCAAACAAAAGCACAATGCCCGAATTTTCGTACATAATTCATCTGACCTGAGACGTCACATATCGTTACCTTGACAACTAACCCTCTGAATTTGTCCGTTGTTTCCCTGGGAATTTAAAAAAAAAAGTTATTGGAAAATAATTAGGGCTTCCCCATCCCCTGACAACACGAAACGAAAAGGGCCAGTTGTGGCCGTTTTTTTTTTTTCTGGGCATACACTTTTTTGTTGAATCTCACCGTGACTGTAAAACGTGATACTTTATTGTATTTTTTGTAATTTGTTAGCCCTTGGAGTTTATTTTTTATTTATTTATTTTTCTAACTTGCTTTGCATATTTTTTAATTACTGTCTTAAATCATTATATTCAACGAAAAATTTCCACAGCCGGGTACTGCAGGAAAATATCTTACCAAAACATTCGATTCTTTTTCTTGAAAGAATTTGTCTTTCTTTTCACATAATATGATAAGATGTGAAGGAAACTGGACAGGGAAAGAAATACTTTTGAAAGGTTCATTTGATTCAACTCACAATGACCTGCTGAGTGACTCTTTGAGACAAAAATATTATAGAGAAACCCGTAAGAAATTCGAACCAGCAAAATCAAGAAAACAGTTCTATTCCGCAAATGCATATAACAGTTCAGCCTTTTCTTTGTCGGTAGTCAACTTCCAAAAGATATGTAATTACCAACACATTAGCGCGACGCACATTAAACTACAACCTCAACGTTTTTCCACTTAGTCTATTTTAATAAAGATAAGTGAAATTTATCGGAAGAAATAAGAGAACACTTATACACGCGGTAATCACTCAAGATCATAAATTCCAAAACCATGTGCTAAGTTCCCGAGAGGGGGACACGATTATTTGTTTGGATATTCAACGTGCAAATATTCCGTCAACACTGGGTTTAATGCTTCCCCACGTATATTGAAAATTTACCTCCTCAAAAAAAGATTTAACTATCTCACCTTTAAAATCTTCTCTTTGCCTCAAACTTGCATTTTTCCTTCTAAGGGATGATTAACTCCGACATGGATATCAAATTGTGATAACAATTAACTCTCTTCGTGGCCGCGAGGGAAAAATGAAAAGGATTTGGAAACAAATAAAATGGAAGTAACAATGGCATTTTAACGATGCTCTTCGGCTTGACTTGTTACCATGTGAACGTTCGCTAAGCAGACAAAATTTGAATTTACTGTTTGAACTTGAAACTTTCCACAAAGCCTACACTGACGATGAGATATTAAACTGCAAACTACTTTATCACTGATATATTTTGAAAAGAGAACAATTGTCTGAATCTGTTGTTTGAAGAGATGCTGTGAATAACCACAGGTTTAATTTCACAACCAGTATATTCGATCACAAGAGTATAAAGAACGATTATTATTCATAAGTTATTGTGACTGTGTGCGATGAAATTTAAATATTTTTTGAGTATTATTGTAATATTTAATCGAGATCGAAAAGGCGACTACTACAAATCACTCCTTGGTTATCTATCAGCTGGGACAAGCTCTGTGAAGGTAAATTCATAGACGAAAGGTTTCCACCTTTCTTTCCCCCTTCCGTCCCAGTTTGATAAAAATATAGAACCTGTTGAGAATGAAAGGTGTGTTTTAATACTACAATTTATCCCCCCTTAATTTGGCAGAGTCTGCAGTCTTGTTAGGCTAGCGTTTAAATAAGTACTCTCTCTTTGTTAGCGGTATCGCATCGAAATTGTTTTACATTGCTAAATTAAGCTTATAAAGGGGAAGCAAGCAGAGACAAAATGTTTAATTTTCCCTGTATTTGTAATTCTAAAGCTATTCCGCAATAAAATTTATAGTATCCAACTGTATAGTAAGAAAGAGTAGGGCCACGTGTGTTCATCCCCAAAGGTAACTTTAATAGTGTGGTTTATCGTTAAGGCAAAACCGTAGGAAAAGAAAAAAAGAGCCTGAAAGATTTTTTACCGACAGATGGCATAGACTATTTACTCAAGGACATTCACCTGCTTTTGATAAATAATAGCTATTGATCAAGACTGAAAGGGTATTGACGTGCATAAATTGTTGGGAAAACACAAACCTTAATTCGTCTTATTTTGAAACATTTCAGTTGCTAAACGCTAAGGAGATTTCCGTAATAATCCATCAGAAAGAAATCAATCAATTCTATAGATTATACTACACTCGTTAGACACAAAAATCATGCACCTGCTGTGGTATTTACCTTAGAAAGGAAAAACGCTAATTATTATGTGTAATTAGAATGAATCAAACAATCGAAGTGGATCAAGTCTTTCGACTGCCTGTCGTTTTTATATCACCTTGGTCATTTTCCTCTTTTAGTTCACAAAACATCGCCTGATGCAAGTAGGATTGTTTGAACATTTGCTTATCTTAGCATGAAACCTCACGCTCTATCGGTGAACCGGCGTAACAACCGACGCAGAATAAAACAATTTTCAAAGTTATTTTTTGCTTTTCCTCGCTCTGTGATTGGTCCAGAAAACTCGCTCCATAGACCCTCTCGACCTATCAGTCGCTCAATCAATCGATCAATCAATCAATCAATCAAACAAAAACCAATTACGACTTGGTAGCTCGCGTTTTCCTGCATTCTTTTCGAGTTTTCATTGGCTCTTACAGGAATTTTCCTCACTTCCGTTTGGCCATTGTGATAACTTTGGTCTTAGTTGAACGAGACTGAATTTGAAGAGCGCTCTAATAGGTAAACACGAGAAAGGTTTTTGGGTCAAGAGCCAAAGGCGAGTGATTTAAAAGTTTTCAAGTGTACGCTTCATATCGTAAGTGCATGGGTTAATACCCTGGTATAACGACATTTAACTGGGTCTATTGTTTTCATTCAATAGTTACGAGTTTCACTGTAATATAAATGATAATTTCTGACCGATCAAAGGGCGAATAACATATCGATTAGTTTCAAAACGATTCTGTCCGATCGTCAATATTACAACGAACTGTCTACACGAAATATTTAACTGGTTTCCTGCTCATTATCTTTGATGACTGGGGAGTGCTGATGTATCAATAACATCGATTCAAGCGAATGCGTTGTACTTTCGCAAGATGTAACTCGGTAAAGTACTTTGAAATCAGTCGTATTTGATCAATTTATTTTTATAAAGAACGCATGCGGTTCAACTCTGAGAAAGGATGTAAGTGTTTTTTGGGCCGTATACAATAAGAAAAATGATAAAATTATAACTGATTTGCTTTTTAATAGCATTTTTATTGACCGTTTTTAGTGCTATCTTTTTTCACGACAATTTCTTTAGGTGAAATGACGTGTAACTTCGACAAAGGGTCTATCGGCGGCGATGGCTAAAATGACGAACAAACCGGGGTGTCGGCTTTAAGCTGCAGCTAACACTCGAGTCACAATGCTTTGACTCTAGGAAAAGTGCAATAGAATGTTGAACAGAGGACTTATGTGGTTGCTCTGGTTATACTCCACCATACCGTTTCCTTGGTTTTAGAAATGCACCACGCGACTTAACTGTAAAACTTAAAGGGCATGTAAACCCAAAAAACGTTCGTTTTCTTTTCACATGGATGTTTAGTAAATATATCAAGTACACCAAAGGTACCATTCGTTTATTCTCAAAAGTCCATTTTCACTTTGTAAAAGCTCTTCCAAATTCGAAACATTCGCCATCTTGAATGGCGCCATCTTTCCTGTGACGTCACGGGTGGACCCTCCAAAGTCTCGTTTTATAATCGCGTGAGGCACGAAGGAGTCTTTTCTACAGCCGTTGTTTGCTGGTCTCGTCATGATTTTTTTACTTACAGTTTGCTTTATATATTCAATTTTTTCGTAATGGTGAAGCGTTGTGTCGTCCAGTTTTGTACTGATTCAAACAAAACTGGGCATACAATGCAAATATTTCCAAATGACGCAAATTTGAAGCGACAATTTGTGAAATTTGTTCAAGTGAAAATAGCCGATTTTGTCGAGCCGTTCGAACGTTCTGTTGTTTGTAGCAGTCATTTTTCTTCCTGGTGCTGTACCGACGATTCAGGCCTCACCAGAAGCAAATTATTCGGAAGTATAAAAGCGACCCATACAGTCGGCAGACGACGAGGATTCGGAAGTGGCCGACCGAACTGAGAAAGAAGTTGAGCTCTTCAAAAGTTAGAGGTCAACAGAGAAAGTACAAAATCGATTTACATGAAAACGTTTCGTTAATTAAACAACAATAGCTTTATTGGTTCTCTAAAAACATCTTTTTTCTCATCTAATGAAATATTATGGGGAAGCCAGTTGTTCGGGAGCCAGCGCTGAGCCCGTAAAAGACACTGACATGTCTGAACCTTTGCCTGAATTCGAAACACGTATCAAAGAAAGAGAATTCGTTGATATCAGTGTGTAATAACGTGATCTGGAATTTTGTCGGTTCGATACAAAGAATTCTATACAGGATCCCATAATCAACCCTTATGTTCTATAAGAAAATTCAAGCCAGCCCCACTTGGTGCTTCCTTTGAGAAACCCTGCAGAGAAACAGCAGAAGAATTTGTGTCACGGTTTTCACAGCAGTGAAAATACATTCAAAGGTCAATAGGACAATATTCATCATTTTGAGTACAACTGAAAAAGATCCTGATTTCAGCTTGCAAAACTATCTTTTCAATATTTCAAATCGAAGCAAACACAAACAGGGTTGGATAATTATGAAGGCCACACAAGGAAATGTACATGATACAACTTGTTTATCGATGGAAATGCTTCTGAGATGAAGGATATTGTTTACCGCACAAGATAGCACAGCGACCCTAAAGTGTTTGCCGAGATATCCCCAACACCAACGAACAAGCTATCTGTAGGCAATTTAGCGAAATTTCCTGCCAGGAAAGAAGCGAAAAACAACAAGCTCTAGTACTGTATTATTAAATCAATGACAGAAACAACTCAAGTAAATCGATCTCAAAATGTAACAAAACAGATGAAACAGAAAATATTTAGCTTAGTCGTTTCCGGTGTGATTATCTGTGCTTTGCTGCTGCCTGTACGCGTACTTGGCCGTCTCCAGCACCCAGAAATCGAGGCAAATGGACTGAAAACCTGGATGCTCAGTGATACAACTTATCTGGGTTTCAGGCCATTTTGCCACAATTGCCCGATTTCCGTACAACAAACACTTTCATGAGTTGTCGGCATTGGTTGACAAGTTCCACACTCGCACCTTTGATAATTTTATATAAAACACTTTCAGAAGCTCAAGTTAAAAATAATTATGTTGCATTCCTTTAGATTGTACCCTCGCTTTATTGCATTTTCATGTTAAATACAAATAAATCACAAAGTAAATTAAATACCAGTCTGAGTTTCCGAGACGGTCGCATCGCTGTCGACATGTTCTGTACTGTCTTCATGCGGATCGCTTCGGTGAACCCTACGCGGCTCATATTGTTAAGGACGTGGCCCAGACTCTCCTGAAGATTCTGGATTATCCCCAGCGCTGTCATGTACAAAGCTTAAGGCATTCGAGTCGCTATCTTCTGAAAAAACATCTTCCGAACTACCGCTACTTACACGAACTCCCACACCAGTTCTACTGGGGAATATGTGTTGCGCAACATTTTGGTTCCACCGCTTACGTCACGACTTCTCGCTATTGTTTTTACCGGAAATGGAATTTCAGTTGAAAATGCCGATTTTCTCCTAAAATAAGTCGAATTGGACAAAACTAATTTCAAATTCGTTTTCTACGCCACTTTTTACATAGTATAAGAAAAACATGTATTTTTGGGTTTACATGCCCTTTAAACCCAATGAAAGGCGTGACGTGTTATTGGTTATTTCTCCCTGATAAGGGCAGAGTGGCTTTTATTATCGTTGGTACCCTGCGATATTTTCATTTGGTCCGATTGGCTCTTATTTTCAGGTAAGTTTTTCCATCAAAAACGTACTCTAGGTTTACGTTCATTACTGAAAGACCGCAAGCGACAAATTTCTTGTAAGGAAGGGGGCAATTTTTCGACGCCCTTCAGAATGCTAAACTAACAAACAGAGAAAGATCACTGAAGCAATTTCTGATTCGAGAGCACAAATCCTATTTATTGAAGCTACAAGCTAACACCCTTCTATCTCAGATAGTTCTTAGTTAAGCAATATTCAAATGAAAAAATAATTGATTATTTAACAAAATGCAAACAATTGTCGCACCCAACCTGAATGGATGTATCAATTGATAACAACGCTTAAGAAATTAACTTGAGAAATGGAATTGTATCCACAAAGATTAATTACAATTTCTCAATAATATATTCATTCCCGCGGCTAACCTAAGGACTCATTGTCAAATGCTATATTTCAAAATTTTCCAAGGAAGAATTCATGTCATATATCAGCTCATGTTTAATACCATTATACTTGAGTTATCTGTTCGCACTACTAAACATTGCTAGACAAGTAGCAGTTCTTAAAGATTAACTTTGTCCTTTGAAACTGTCAAAGTATTTTTTCCTCTTTTAACATGCTAACTTGACCCATTTTGTAACATGGCCACACATTAAGCGTCACGCTCTCCTAAAATATTTTTGATGCGTGACATCTGATAGGGATGTCACGTAAAAAAGTCGGAGATTGCGTGACGGATATTTAACCATGAGAGAGCAAAATAGACCACTACCTAAGAAACCAGCTGGTTTCAGCATTCAACAATACATTGAAATCATTTTTTGAATGTGAAATTCCCTTTCATTCCTACATGTTCCATTGTCTACTGGTCAAATACAGAAAGGGATTCATCGCCAGCGACAAAATGTAAGACACATTATTTCTATTCGCCCGCTATTTCTAGAGTAAACAAAACTACGCAAAAGGCGAATACTCTACGTTTTTAACGAATTTACATCTCAAACCTCAATTGGATAGTGCAAATGCATGGAACACGAGAAGAAAGAAACAGTCGCTTCACATTGAAAACAAGCAAATCAAACAAAGAGATAAAGCAAAATCAAATAATTCTCTGAAAGGACTCCTAAGCACCCTTTTTCAACCTAAGTGATTCCACTGAAAGCTATGCCACCAGCATAAAGGAGTCAAAACATTACGTAGGGCATATAAGAGTAACTAGGTTAACAAACATATGACCAGTTATGCAATCATCATTATACTACCTAACAATTTGAACAAAGGTTCAAACATATTTCCATAACTTTTGATAATTACGTAATAGCTATTCAATTGTCATTGCATTGCATCTCCCACTAATTTTTTCTGATTAACATAATACTGAAGATTCATTCCAATATATTAATCCTATTAACATTTCATTCTTTATAATAGTAGTATAAATTCGACACATTAGACTTTGTATTGAGCTGTGTTAGTTTTACGTCGTAGGGGACGATTTAAACGTTGAATATCTTCTTCACTGAGTATCCCTGAAAAAGAAAAAAAGGAAAAAGGATCATCAAAAAGGTAAAAAAAAAAACACGATGTAAAAATAGAATCATAATTATTTTACAAACTCTTTTACTCCCTCGTTCTAATAATCATTCTCCTTACCTCCTGCCATACAATCCTTATGATGTTACTTTGAAGAATTTAGTATTGGATCAACTAATATTCTCCGACTGATATTTACTTTATTCTCATCACTTGTCTACTTGATATTATATTGATATTGGTAGGAGTAATTCTGTCTTGGGCGTTCATGGGAGATAAAGTGTTTAGCTACGCAAAGTGGTTTCGTATTTTTTTTTTATATCAATTCTCTGACGAATCGGCACTACCACAATTTTTCTTTTCTTTTGAGCTACCAAAGAAGATCCTCAATAATCGACAAGTTGTTGATCTTTTGGTCATGTCGGGTTACCATAGCAACCATGTGCCACCCTTAATTTAAAATCCCTTAATATACTAAAGTGTTCGGTACACTACGTGTACCATATGGTCATGAATGTTTTTTCTTTTTTCCTGGCGTTAGTTGGGAACCGATCAACAGTTTTCATTTAATTTCATTCCATTTAATCCTATAGACCATTGTGCCGGAATACACCGCAAAATTTGTTAAGACACTTTGGTTCACAAGGCCTCTTACGGAATTTCGTTTTTCGAAATCAACCAATCAGATGTGCATAAAAACCACACGTACCGCGCGTTTTCCCGCCATTTTCACCGCCACATTTTATGGGGGAGGAGGAGGAAGAGTTGTATGAATATCCTTGTTTTTCAATTTCTATGCATTGACCAGAGCCGTATATCTGGCTCTGATTCACCAATCCAGGCGTTCATACAGCTCAACTATTAACAAACATCATACTCACCGGCATGGAATACAGGAAGATAACAATGGCGGCCACGATCAGTAGAGTGATAAGTACTGCAATAATGATCCATTTGTAGTTTCTCCATATAATGTACCGTAAGGTCTTCAGAGGGGATGTGAACCACCGAAACGAGGTTGCTGGACGACTGTAACAAAACGAAGGGAACATAAATCCAGTTTAACAAAAACTACTCGTACTGATTCAAATACTTACTCCCTTGATGTTCATTCACATAGCGTGAATTTCAGCTGCTACCTACAAATTGAGTCGATGCTTTCCTTCAAAGTTCAGCAACGAACTCTTCGCTGAATATCAACACTGCCAGGCTCTTCATATCACAAACATGATTAGCTCGTTTACTTACTTAGGTTCGTCTAACGTCGGGTTCTGATTTGGTTCATCTCTTCCCTTACCAGCCGGTTTCCCTTCAGCTTCGTCGTGGGTCAACAACTCCAAGGCCATTTCTACTTTACCCTGCAATAAATAGGAAAATAAAAAGCTATCGTTGCTCAAACAATACATTACAGAACTTAAGCATGTGAATTAGCTAGATCTATTTTATCAGCAAAACTCAGTAAAAGACCAATAACAACAGTAGTCAACTGATAAAAATTTGGGTAAATTTTGAGTCAAGGGAAGGGTAGATGCGCAGTTGCTCCGATACTGACATTCATCCGCGCTTTTCCTTGATAACAAAGGACAACGGAATAACAAGCCTCCATTGAAATGGCAAATGGAATATTTTCCTATATCTCCTTGTAAAAATTCCGTCTCCTTTTCTCTTCTTTAACTGTTTCAAACCTTAAAGCCAACAAAATCATCAAAATTTAAATTCACCTTTATGATAGAGCAATTTTCAGTTCAGTTTCGAAAGACCAAAACCACAGTACTCACGAAAGCCAATTGGAGCGCAGGTCGACATCAAAGTCAGCCAGTGGGAATTCAAGTTAAAAACAGGCAAATTAGTTTTGAATCTGATTGGATGAGAAGGTGGCGCGATTTTTTGGGACCAATCACAATGCGAAATTGAGCAAAAGCAAAGCAATCGTGAATTACTTTCGACACTCAATTGAAAACAGCTCTGTGTCCATGATGGCATCTGACGCATAGTACTGCAAGCCAACCGGGAGAAACTGATGAGATGTACTCTCATTCTCCTATGTACGTCACGTGAAAGGAGACTTTCTCTTTTGACCTTACCGTTAATTGCATCTCTTCGCCTGCCTCCTGAGCCACACAAGGCCACCAACCGTATACTCTCTTCGACTCAAACAAGGACACCGTCTCTACACTGCTGCTGGCTCTTCCTTCCTCGTATGAGGGTATCTGCTGCAGACTACACCTCCTGGCACTCTTGGCTGGCTTGGGCATACGGTTCAGATTCAGCTCTAACTGACCTAGAAAGAAAACCACAAGGTTTGGATGAAATATCTCATTGATCAAAAATCAGGGTTGACCTCCATTATCTCGTATTCAAATTTAACTGCTTTGTCCAATGTCAGTTATTTATCATGTTTCGTTTCCCTTGAAAGTACGAGATATCAAGGTGAAACAACACAACTAACAGCTAGCGCAAACTTGCCCTCATCTCAAGTGAAGTTTCCAACAGAAAACGAACAAGAAAGTTAAAATTATCCTCATCAGTAATATCGCAATCTGGATACTCTTGTGCTTTCAGTCAAACGGCTCAAGGTAAGGTAGATCAATGTCAATATTTGGCAGGATTTTTCCAGGACACCAATTTTAACCTTAAACCCTTTCATTCCCAAGATTTCAAAATCAATTCTCCTTACTTACATACAATTCTCTACATTCATTTCTTACAACGTAAATTCTGAAAACTTTGTTGCTTGGGTTGAGCAGATTTCCAAGACTTTTCAGGAACTGTAATCATTTTCCAGTCCTGGAAATGTCGAAATAAGATTCCAGGACTTTTCAGGTTTTCCAGGACCTGTACGGACCCTGACACACAAAATCCAGAAATAATTCTGGGATCCTAAAACACACAATTAACACTCACCTAAGAAGTCATCCGCAGAGAACTTGTCATTGTCCCAAATTTGGATGACTAGGCGCGGAGGGACACGTTCTTCTGTTTCGTCTAAACTCCAAAAGTGTTCCTATCATGATATAATCAAACCAATGCATTTAAATTAGCACCTTTAGTCTGAACATTACCTTTGTTGTAACAGACAAGGAGAATGCAGTAAGCTTCTTATAATAAGCTGAATTCTACACGCATTTTGGTTGGTTCTGACTCATTATCTATTAGGGGACAGACGCATAGATGACGTCATCAGCAACAACATTTTCCTTTTTTTTAATCACAGAAAACAATTAGATTCCATGTTGCGGTGGGCTAGTATAATAATAGATCACAGAAGACGCCCACATGTGGAAAAAAACTGAACAGACGCACATGGAATCTATTTGTTGAATTCATAACAAGAAGAGGCCAGTATTACCTTCTTTCTAACAACCAGGACTTTCTCCGCAGCGAGGAACATGAATGGGAATACAAAACGCCAGTTGAAGTTTCCTTCGCCGTCCAGAGACCTGAGTGATACAGGATGTCACAATAGAGATATTGCATGTACGGATTAACTGTGAATGCTGCAATCGCTTATCGAATCTCAAAATATTACTGTACATGTAATGAAATCAGGGCCACTCATTTGAAGGGTATATTTGAACACGCGACAACTCAAACCCTTCACGGCTACAGTAAAAATTGCAATTATAATAGAAACTACAGGGCTGGAAAGATGAGACAGGATTGGAAAGCAAGCCACCAAATCAAGGTATGTAGGACAGTGTGAAGTGCTAAGAATGGGAAGAATTCTTTGGCAAGATTTCCATCTTCTCCGTCCACTTCAATGTCGTTTCATTCTTCAAATTTGTCACAGGTCCACCTCTCTCATAACAACCCAAATGAATTTACCGCAAGCTTAAGCCCGACAAATCAACGACAGAGTTAGTTACACATAACCCTTTACACCCTAACGTCAATGTGCATATTCTCCATACTGTTCTCCATACATTTTTTAAAGTGCTGACAGGGAGAATTTGTTTAACAATCAAGACCTTCTTTAATATGCGATCATTTCGTTTATTCTCGTGACCTTTACAGGTGATTCAAAGTTGGTACTGTAAGGAGAAATAAGATGCTGGTCACAATCTACATACCTGTAATGCACATCAGTTTTCTGTGAGTCGTCAATCCCAGCGATCCATCTATTAAACGAAAAGTACAAAACATATTTTCACCACACTGCAAGAAAGTAATTTCTTAGTCGTGCAAACGAGTTTAATACACATCGCTTTAAGATCAGCTTGAGATATAGCGGGAAAACGATCAGTTTAGGCCTGATATAAAATCTAACTGATTGCTTCGATGGCTCGAGGTATGATTCCTTTACACCTTACCATCATTATGCAGATTCTCCACACTGTTCTCTATATATTTTCCAAGTTACTGACAAGGAGAATTTGTTTAACAATCAAGACCTTCCTTGGTTGATGATCAATTTCTTTATTATCATGACCTTAATTTGTGATGTTGTAAGGAGAAATTAGGCGCTAGTCACTCTTAGGAGTCAAAAGGTAAAGCAATTCTTCCTTTTTTTTATTTTCGGTACCTACCCTTTCACGTAAATATCACTCATTTTCTCTCCAGTTATTGATGTTTCGTCCAAGATCACATCACTTGTGTTCCAAATAATTACTCTCAATTCATAGCTGAAACACGAACGTTAAAAAATACAACCTCTTGAGTCACTCAGTTATAATAAACAGTACCATAGAAAGCAATGCCGGCTCAAGGGTAAAGTAAGCTAAAATAGTTATACAAACATCATGCGTAAGGTATGCAGTACCGGGAGGGTTAAGTAAAACAGTTGCAATAATGTGTATCAACACTCACTTTCCAGGTTTGCGAGGATTAACATCAAAAGGTGAGCCTGGGATTCCCATATGCTTCGGGAAAATGTCAACCCACATCTGAAGCTTACCCTGAAAGACAAATGTGCCAAGAATTAGAATAACACTTCCCACAGTACTTACCTCTCGACACCAGCCTTCTTGTCACGTCGGCCAATCAAATCCAAGTTAAGAACCAAGTTATAACTGGCTCCCAGGTTCTTTGACCGCTTATTACACTTAACCCATTTAACTTCCAGAGGAGATTAATGCATTATCCCGCACGCAGGTAGTGAGAACACTAACACTTGTCAAGTAGAAGTTGTTATCTTGATCTAATACAAAATTCTCGAAACGAATTTACAAGGAAATGTGCAGCAGCTAGAGGGTAGAATTAACAATTTCATATCGGGAGTTAAAAAGTTTAACAAGCTTCAGCTTAGCGTTTTGGGATTGTTTACTCTTAATAATAAGACTGGACTGTTTTTATTCACAATCATAATGATGACTTGAAACTGTAATATTTATCGTTATTTTCAAAATTCTGATTTTCTCTCTTATCGACAATTTACCAAAACTGAGAGGGACAGTGAACACGCTGATCAGTCTAAGAAGACAATGGGTGAACCAAGAAGTCAAGCTGAAGTATCGAAGTTAGTACTGAAACTTCTACCAGTGTTTCTAGCAGCCTGACAGCTATCTTCTAACAGGCCAATATAGAATGACATATACTTTACTTTTATCACTAACAACTGTTCTAGCTATCCAACTAAGGTTCCCCTCCCCCTGTTAAAAGCGACATACTTGTACCTGCTCGATGTTAGGTTGGAGTGAGTTATACAATGCCCTGGTCTCGACGTGTTCAGGTACCACCGGCATGGAGTTTAACACGTGTAATGCCAAGCGATGGTCAGGTGGACCCAAGTGGGGATGGAACAGCATTCCTTCCTCTATTAGACAAAACAGGATATGAAGAAGATATTACCCCAACATAAAAAAGTTGATGCCAGAAACATCCTTGTGACGTAAAATGTAAAGCATGCTTAGTCAGGTATAGACTCGAAGTCTGGTTGGGCGAGGGAATAGCTTTTAAAAATCGCGCCCCTCAGTCAACAAATTAGTCCAATCTGGACTTTGTTTTGCTCGAGGCTGTTTTAATGTGTACATTAAGGATAATAACGTTGTGATGAACCCTTTAAACCCCAACATCAGTTTGAAAATTCTCCACATTGTTCTCTATAAATTTCCTCAAGTGTTGACAAGGAGAATTTGGTTTAAAATCGAAAACTTCTTCAGTTGATGATCATTTCCATTATTCTCATGACCTTAAGGTGTGATTCGGGAGTGATAATGTAAGGAGAAATGAGATGCTAATTACTCTCAGGAGTCAAACGGGTTAAATTCGTTTCAGTGTTCGAGAAACTAAATTGTAAAGCTCTCTAAGAGAAATTCATTTACTATAAAAAGAAATTTCTGAATAACTCACCGAACTCCTGCAAATTGTAAACCTTTCCGTCCAGCACCAGCTGCGTGTTCCCAAGGAACTGAGGTTTACCTAAGCTGTTCAGCTCACACCAGTACTCTAAGATCTGACGTGGCGTCTGCGAGTCACGCCACTGGTTTGGACCCGACCTGTCAATCACATAACAAGTCAAACAAGTCATTCTTCTCTCCGGCCTTTTTTGTCGGCAAGGTATACTTTTGTTAAGTGGTAACCAAGAGTACCACGTTTCTTTTGCATCTTTGGTTTCGACCAATGTCGTTGACTGACTTTACGTTAGTCACGCCACTGGTTTGAATCAAAGGTGTTCATTCCAATACAAAATCACATAAATGATACATCAGGATAAGATATGATTAAATATTCCACTCATGCGCAGTCAGGATCTCTTCTGATGGTTCACCTTCTAAACCAGCTGGCACATTAGGATTTTTATCTCTTGGCTCTTTATATACTCACGTGCAATACGTCTGAGGCAATCCGCAAGTGGAACGGAAACGAGACAAGAATCTGTTCTCCAAATCCACCGTAGTCTCACCGATCAGATCGTCTCGGCCGATAACGTCATAGTCCATGACGCTAATGCGCAAGTCCTTGATGATGGGAATGGTGGCGGTCAGTTCAAACATCCTGGTAGTAAACGAGATAGAAATAATACTCTTGTATAAAAATTAAAGCTATTTAAGTTACTTAAAAAGAGCAAGAAGGATAGAAAAGTTACGCGTGATCGTAATCAATACTCGATGCACAGAACATTTGCGCCAAAGCTATCCCCGATAGTATTCCGTTCTATTTGTAACATACAAATGGCCCAGCTACGTGGCTAACGAGTACTTTGTATCTCAGGTCGAAATGCTTAACAACGGCCTACTAAACCTGCGCTGTACTTTAATATATCGAGTGTTTATCATAAAAATTACAGCGATTATTTCAGTATCCAAAAAAATAAAAATTCTTTGTATCTTAAAAATTCCTTTGAGCTCCCGTTTACATGAACGGGTGTGTCGTTGCTAAGAGGGTCACCCTTGGAGCAACTATCACCCAAGAAGAACGAGTACAGTGTTATCCTTTCGTTTAAGCACGACAGGCAGAATAAGTTTCAAACCGGTGGAGCAATCCTTCTGCCCGTTGAATTTTCAGGATTTCAAGGCGATTTTAGGCGGTAAAAAAAAAAAAAAACCGGGAGTAAGTTTTACCGGTGATCGCCTGTTACACTGCGAGCATGGTGGATGATTTAATACAAACAATAATCCAAGATATGCCAACTTACTTTCCAAACAAGGGGTTCAGATTGTTTGGTACATAGCTATCCTTGTCAGAGACCTTAGTCTTTCCCAGATGTACGACAAGATAGGGATCAGCCAGGCCACTAGTGTCTTGAGGCTGAAGGTCTAAAGCCTGGCAAAAAAAACAAACAAACAAACAAACAAATAAAACAAACAAAATTAATAGTCGATTGGGCTGTCATTGTGTAAGAGTGTTTACTTCATCAATTTGAGTCGTTAAAGCTAAGGAGGGATTTCACAGCTTCAACTTGATTCATGTTGATCAAATCAGTATTCTATCGCCGACTAAAACAGTCATTCGCAAGATTACACACTTTTCCGAGTCCACGTTACCAGTTTGACCATAAAGAGCGATTGTCATAAATTGAAAGCGAGGTGCGAGCTCCACTCCCATGCGGTCCTGCGACGTAGCGTTAAAACGCAATGCAAAATATCAGGGCCCAGTTGTTCGTAGGCGGATTAGCGCTAACCCAGGGTTAAATTTGAATGCAGGTTTCTATATTTCTCTGTTCAAAAGCCGTTATGGAATAATTTTACCAATTCCTTTTAGTGCATTCAATCATTAAATTGTACAAAACAAAAATGGGATTAACTCAAATTTTCTTTCAAACCTTTCAGATCTGAAATCAAATTTCACACTAACCCTGGTTTATCTAAACCCAGCTTAGAACAATTGGGACTAGTTTCGCAAGCCATGGATAAAAACTAATCAAGGAAAAAATTAAGCCAGAAAAAAACCAAGCGAGGCTGTTATCTTACTCGTATAACGTATACTCTGATGATACACTCCACTGGCTGACTAGGCGGCAGTTTTCGTAGAATCTTGGGCGGTAAAGGAGAGTTCGGGTCACTTGGCAGAGGATAAATTCGAAAAGATCCCTGAAGCAAAGGAAAGTAGAAGTAGTAAACTTTTATATACTATTATAAAGCAGGGTAAATCTTTCACGCATATGATATAACTAATAAAAAGGGATGCCATGCTCATACAAAATCTCACAATGATTCAAATTTTATTCAAAAACTATTCTATTACACTTTTCTTTAAAATCTGTTGTAAGATGCATGCATCTATGAATACAAAAAGGTAAAAATAAAGATTCAAAATTATATAGCCATTGCTAAAAACGAATGTTTTACTGATTCCGCGCGGACACAAGGTAAGTGTAGCTGTATGGACCAATATCACCGAATATCGCTATCGGTTGTCCTAATTATCTCGACCAAAATTTCGAGTCTGGTCCAATATTTTTTACACACAATAGTGTGAAAATCTCATTCGAATCACCGTTAGGTCTCGAAAGAGCGCCTTTTCCCCCTCACTACCCTGCTGAAGAAAGCCCCAGAGAAGCTTGTTAAAACGACTGACCACGTAAGTTATGGTTTTCTAGACGGCTAAGCTCGGAAAAGAAGTGGAATGGGGTTCTCTCACTGAATGGAAGGAAATAGAAGGGGCGAGGGGAGAGGGAGAGGGGGAGGAGGGGGTAGTTCCAATCAAGATATCCCTAAAGTAATATCGTTGGTGTCAATGGAACCGAGGCTTCTTGTCACTACATACCACCTAACGGCAAAAACATCCAAAATCCTACTACGATTTATAACAGACACGAGCCAACGGACTTCTTCAATGGAAATCACTTGACTATGCAGCAACTTGTTGATCCTTTTTGACTTATAATAATTCATTTTTGTATCAACAGAAAATACTGGCCCTCTTTAAGGCTACATTTCCTTCTTATGTGAAACCATTGTGCACGTCACGATTCGTAAGGCTCAACTTTTACCTTAAATTCCCCTACAATTGTCTCCTCCTCTTCAGCTTTGGACTTCACTTTTCCTCGGTGGATGAAAAATGTTTCTACAAAGTCCTGGAAGCCGTTGAATACTTCAACCTTCTCCAGCTCTGTATCGTAGACCTAAAGAAAAACAATCGATAAAGTATTCGAAGGGCTCTAAACACAATTTTCCTCAAAAAGGAATGGAAATAAAACAACCCAAGGAGCACAATTCTTCTCAAGCAATGATTACTGATAAAATTCTCCAACATGATTGGTTATCACCAGCCCGATAAATACTAAGAGGACAGTGTACGCGTCTTGCTTGTTACTGGACAGTTTAGTAAGACAGCTAGAGCGTAGTGCTTGTGCAACTGGACAGAATGCGCCATGTGCACGCACTGTTGTCGTGCATTTCGACGAGCTGTTATGTCGATGGTTGATTTCTTTCTCATATTTTGCTTAAGTTTTGATGAAATGGTGACAGCTTCTCGACATCTTACCATGATCTTGTCAAATCCTTTTTCAAGATACACACCGGCTTTGTCAACATCACCCACAGAGGCATAAAACTTGGACCACCAATCGATGTCCTCGTCTTGTTGTTCCTAAAAAAGGGGCAATCTTAAATATTTCTTGATAGTTGATAGTAGTTTAAGGATTTAAAACAAGTACTATGTGTACTTTGTATTTCTATGGAGTGTTTCTAGACTAACATCACTTTTAAAGAACGAATCGGGCTCTTCAAGGTCATGTCCAAAGCTGTTCCTTTCCGACAAGAGACTCTATTCATTTTTATGCTACAATAGAGCAGTTTTCAACTCAGTATCAAAAGTAATTCAGGATTGCTTTGGTTTTGCTTTATTTCGTTATAGGATTGGTCCAGAAAACTTGCGTCACTTCCTAGACCAATCAGATTCAAAAGTGTGAACAATAGCGACTTGGTCACTCGCTTTTTCCCGCGCTTCAGGCAGTTTGCGTGTTTTCACTTCCAGTTCTAATTGGCTACTGGCGATATTTTCCTGGCCGTTGTGATTGCTTTGGTTTTGGATCGAAAAGCTTTCTAAGGTGAAAAAATTTTAATTTCACTTCTCTTGAAATGCTTTTAACAAGAGTTACTTTACTTACACTTCCTTTCTTCTGCTCCTCCTTGATGTCCATAATGTGAGACGAGCCATGTCTGCCAGACTCACTCTCCGCTAAAAAAAATAAGTGTGACAATAAACTCACGAAGTTCAGCTCTAGCATGTCTAATGGTAAATCCACAAAGTAGCACACACGAGTACACTAGATTTCATAGTGCATTTAAGTCTTGGGTATAAAACTACTAACATTCTCTTTCATCGTCTACCTCTTCATCTGTTGGGAGCAATTTATTCTCATTAGCACGGTTAAGGAAGAATCCTAAATCTCAGAGCCTTGGAGGAACTAAAGCTCGATATCTTAAGTTGTTTATCTGGGTCGTTGAAAGTTGTCTGAAGTCCTTTGACCCCTAGAGGTGATTAACATGTCACTTCTCTTTTCAATATCCATACATCATCCAGCAAACAGGTATTGAGAATACTCAAACTTATCCGGTTGAAGTTTTTAATGTTCATTAAGGAAATGTGTAGCAAGTAGAGGGGAGAATGGACAATCAGATCGCGGGAGTTAACAAGTTACTTACATGGAAAGAAGCCTTTAAAATAGTTATTGTTATTTATTTATTGTTTTTTTTTTTGGGGGGGGGGGGTGGGAGAAAGGGTGACCGCGTTGACTGCATTCAGCTTCATTTTTTTACTTCGCTACATTTTCATTTAGGAAACTAAATAGGAAGCTAAAATCAAACCCGGAATTCTACAAGAAATCCCCGACTTTGTTATCAAGCTTTCAAGGCATTTACATTCTCTTCACCCATGTCGTTCACAGTATCATCTGTATCCTAAGAGCTCATATCCCCCCTTATCATTAACTGTAACAAAACGAAAGAGTATAGTAATGGCGGCTTGGCACCTATCAACTGACCTATAGGAAGGTCTGCAGGTTCATCCATACTGGCGGGTTCACAACGAAATTTCTTCATGGACTTCATGGAATGAATCCCGACGACAGGTTTGCGGCCGAAAGATCGGTTGTCGTGAACCTTGATATTCATTGGTGGGGTGTACAACTCTTCCTTAGGCAGGTACTGTGAACACAAAAATAACGAGGTGCTGTGAAAAATATGCAACACACGGATTCCGTTCTGTATAATATAAGGCGTCGGATGCTACGCGCTCTTTGATAAAACGTCGCCAATGACGTATCAGAGCATAGACACACTGCTGAAGTCATAACATAAAATATCGTCCTCATGGTGCACAGTTGTGCAGATTTTAGCAAAATCACAGGCATTTATGAAAAAGCTAAGGAGAAGCTGTTGACGAGAAAAAGAGAGAAGAAATTATATAGAAATACGAGAACAACTCCCCGAGTATTTTAGCGCTGAAAGGCAAGTTTGTTATCTTCCTCAATCCACTTTCTTAGTTTCGTCTCTGCAACACGATGACACACACGCCTTTAGCTCGTGTGCACCTTTTTGAAGTCACAGACCAGTCTCATGGCAAACTGCAGTCTATAGAAGCCCTTTTCTGCTTTTATTTCGTGTAAAGCAAAACACTTCACACTAGAAATGCACTCACCACGTCGAAGAAGAACAATGGCTGATCAAAATTGGGATTCTTCTGTGTGTTCTTGATGACTGTTGAATGAACAACATGTCCACCGCACTCAAACTCGATGCTGGGTGAAGCTACACTTGCCAGCTGATACCTCTTCATGTTCCGTACGCCCCAGCATAGTACCTGCCAAGGAATCGAATATTGCACAGACTAATCAATAATCAAATAAATCAATGCTCCTTAGATAACCTTGTGAACCTTCAATCCTGGCCAAAAGTTTGGGGACACACCTTTCTCTTGTATTATGAGAAAGTAATGTCCATTTTCCACTCACACAAGCAAACACTCTAAGATTTTGCCCCACACCTCCTGTCTACACCCTCCTCGGGATCTTTAAATTGCGTTTGATTTCGGGCACCCAACACTGTCCGTAGGGAAAGGAAAAAGCAAGGAATCGCAATTTACCCGCAAAAAGTGTTCTAAACGGTTTGGCCATGATTTTCGCTGGCCGAATAACACGGAGTCTCGCAACGGAAGATCTCCAAAGGATGAAGTGGATATGAAAGCGAGCTTCGCACTACTGAACACTACTTGAGCAGTAGTGAAAATAAGGCCCTATTTTCGCTACTGCTCAAGTAGTGTTCGTTACTGCGAAGATCGTTTCATATCCACTTCTTAAGCCGCAGTACATAAACATTATTTTCATATACTCAGGCATTTAAAGGATAAAGTCATTGAAAGAAAAACTTTTCGAATATTTTTCGAATCTTTCTTTATTTTGAGTCCATCAGGAGAGATTTTAGAAGATAGTCATCTGTCGTATTTCATATGTTAGTCATCGTGGATGTGTTATGACAATGATGTTGGTGTTCGACAATAATTAACGACATTTTGCTACAATAAGCTCTAGTCTAAGCTGGCTTCTCGATTGAGATATACCTCTATAGCTGTACGCTGCATAACAGGTCTGATTCCATTAGGCACAAGAAACAACGATCCTTTCATCGGTGGAGCAAATGGTAAATCTGCACCTTCGTCCTGGGTAAATGAAATCAGAAGACGAAAATATATCATCTTTCCATTGGTTTCACGTGTATAACAATGTCATTCTCACTGGTCCCGCATGTCTCAACAAAGAGACGAGGTCTAGTCCAATATTTTTGATACACAATAGTGTTCAAAGCTAATTCGAATCAACACAGACAGGTCTCAAAGAGAAGCTTCTCTCCGTTACTAACCAGTGAGGCAAAGCTCCGGACAAGCCACATTTTAATTCAGTCTTAAAGGGTAACTTCAAACAACGACTGATAGTCCAAGCAGGGATAGATTTCTAGCCGGCTAAGCTCATGAAAGAGGCAAAGGACTGACGTGCTAAATGTGGGGTACAGGGGGCTGGGTTTGAGTCAAGACAACTGATATTAAACTCAGTAATGTGACCCAAACTTTTGTTACAAGCAAAACAAAGGGAAGGCGTACCCGCCCAATCAACCCTCATATTTGGCCAATTTGCATGTTGTGCCCTCGACATTGAGCCATACACTAAACTGGACAGTGACGTTTTTGTCGACTTCCATATCTTCGATAAGCACCGTTTGTCAGTGTTCATTTAGGTTGTTCATAAAGTGCTCTTGCATTCTTTTTGTGACAGATAAAAGGCGCTCATAGTATGAGAACTGATTTTGATCATGTGTTTCCTTAACCTTTCGTAAGGATAGAAAATGATTAACACAAAGTAGCACACCACACACAAAAGAGAAAAAAGAGGTAGCTTTTAGTTTCACGCACCAAAAACAGCTCAAAGGCAGCCAGAATCTCGCCAGCTTCCTCTCCGCATCGTGTGACATCATACCACAACAGTCTTGGTGCTGGGGGCCCTTGTCCATTCATCTTCACCAGTGGTTTAATCACACATCGACCCATAAACTCGTCTTGACCCTTCAAGAAGAAACCGAAAAACTCAAAACTAAGTCATCGATCTTATTTTCTCCGCCTCTATAATCAATTTTCTCTGCTTTTAGGCGCATTCGATGACTAAAGAAAATTACAGGCTGTCAAGTCTACTGAAAACTCTTATCAAAAAAGTTCCGGCTAAATTGACCACACCAAAATGTCTACGTATCGTGGAAGGTCCCCTGCATCAGAATAGGGCTAACCTTCCTCGTTACTTTGCTTGTGTCGAAAGTAAACTTAGGTTGCATTTGTTTCCAAATAACCAACTCACCACTGGGTCCTTGTCAAACAGCTCGATGATGACTTCCGGTGGGTTATTTGCAACTTTGTCGATACTGCCATAAATCTGAACATTTTCAAATATCAGCGTTTGATCCCACGTAGGACAAATTGTCCGTGTAAGGATTTCTGTCACTTGGCTTTGGGTACCAAATGCAATTCGTGCATAAGGGTCTGAAAAATATATCGTAACGAAAAAAAGAGTGCACATTGCATCACGACGCAGTAGCTACTAAAATGAAAGATAGAGAAACACAGGCTGATTCTTGGGCGAGGTTAGGGAGTTAGACGCAACTGCTAAGCCATTCATCTGAAAATGCAGTTACACGAGCCAGTTTCTTTTAGTCCCAACACGAGTCCAAATGTATTTTGCTTTTTCGGAGTCAGGAATTAATCATCTGTCAACTGATATCTCAGACACGCGTTAAAAGCGGACAAAGCCAAAAGAAAGTGGACGAAAAAATTGAAGGGCAAAGCAGGAAGACCTTCATGACAGGAGAGTAGACAGGACTTAAGTGCGAAATAGTTTGAAGTTGACAGGTGAAGGAAAGTCAACTGGTCCGCAAATTGACTTAGCACAGATAAAAATGCATGCAGCGGCGATAAGACTTGAATGGTGTCAAGCCGTAGGGATCTCCTGTTCCACCAAGCACGAGGCTGAGAGATACATGTACCAAAGTAACAAACCAACATGAGTGCATTTTACCTGAGAAGCCATCGGCATCTGATGCCAATAGATCACGCGCTTGGTAAAGGTAGGCCCTCAGCTGGTACTTGTGTGGCTCTACAAAGGAGATTAACGGCTGGGTTAATCCCTTACAAACACCTCATCCTCAGTTGACGAGAAAGGCGATTAAATATCACCATGACGTCCCAAAAGTCACCTGGTCCATGGCCAACAACGACTTTCGGCAAAGAGAATAGTTTATCTTTTTCAAGACTCATCCACCTTAATCCTTGTAAATTACGGGATGTCAACAAGTCAAGAACTTCTATCATGTCACACTTGTAATTTTAATGTGTTTTGTGCATCGGAGGACATACGTTAACTTAAGTAGCCATCGAAGCTACAACGAACGTTTTAACCTGAAAAAAAGAAATCTTCTCTGTTGCCTAATGCTGATGGTCTAGTATCAGGGTCAAATATCAAATTTCTTAAAACATTTTCTGATTTTCTACCGAGGAAACTCTACGAATTGCAAACAAGAACCAATTTCCTTACTGTCAAATGTTATGAACATTCTTGGCGCATTCATCATCGTCTCTTGTTCCTTATCCTGTGGGCAAGAAATAAAATTCACTTTAGGATGTAGCTGAGGCCACGATAATACTGAATAGGAAAACAGCCTTGTCGCATAGGAAACCACTCCCTTTAGGGGCGGGAATCTTTCTACAACGGCGACCTCTCAGCGATCCACACAAAATTTTCTCCTCTGTGTCTGAGAATATCTAGTCCTCAAAAACTGAATTTTGTTCAGAACGTGACTTACCAGAAAGGTAATTTATTTAATAGCCTTATTAGTGTTACTAAATGCGACTGAACAGGTACCAACCAAGCAGTGTCCATCTTACATTTCATCGAGTGAGGTGACTCGAACACGAGCAGTGAGGAAGTGACTAAGTGGTAGCCTATGTCACACACTACTTCTGACTGCGCCTTGTGTGACAGAAAAGACAGTTACACCATCAACGCCAATTTACATTAAAACTCACTATATCCAGGGAAAAGGCAACAGCTAAGTAGGCCATAATATAAAAAACACAGACTCTTACATCATCACCATCGCCGACATCAATATGGAAGACCGCGGGGGCACTGGGATCCTCTTGCACCATTTTTCTATGCCATCTTCTTCTCCGCACCAGATCCATTTTACGCTCCTTGGCATGAAACTTCATGGTGAACACTGGTGAATACTCCCACCCTTCCTTAGCGAGCTGTTCAGCTCGGATCTACATTGACAAAAGAGAAGCAATCAAACTAGGTTTCTGTCTGTATATAACACTACATTAACCACACAGTATATCGATGCCTAACAACCAGCAACTATGAGGTCATTGTTTCGTTTGCACTAGCCATGAATGGCCTGGGTGATAACCTGTCTTCAAGTTTAAAGTCATCCTATCACCTGTTCTTGTTCCATTTTAGCATCTGTCACTAACACTCTATTTCTGACCCATCTTCTTCGCCGACACAAGTGGTACGTCTTCTCCACGGGTCCATAACCACCAAATGTGGCTTCCACAGTGTACTCAAAACCTATCAAAAGATAATTGAAAGAGCAAAGCCAAAGTGTATAAGCTAAAACCTGGCTTTGGTTTTGCTAAGAACGTAAAACCGTGAATTACCATCTTCATCCACGGCTCGGTTTAAGTCGACTGTCCAATCTGAGGTCCACTCCCATTCTTCTGGACACACTAACTCATCCCTGGCTGTCACAGCATCACCACGCTACGAAAGAAATCTTCTTGTAAATAGCAATTGAGAACTTGTACTTCGTAAATAAAAAGAAGGGAACGAATCAAAGGCGTCAAAGTTTTCAATGCTCGACATGTGCTTCAAAACTCTCTTAAGAGACGTAAGTGCTCTCTTAGGACTGACATTGCATGCAATCTTCTTCAGCATTACTTCATTACTTGACGCCCCAAGGTATGGCTTTGAAAGGTGATCGTGAAATTCACCTTTCACGCATACACCAAAAACAACGGAACATCGTTGTTGCAATTTGGTCCGCGAGTAATGCAATAACACTTAAAAATTTGTGTGCTCGCGGTTGGGGGATTATTGTGGACTTTTTTATGGGTGGGGAAGATGGAGGAACCAAACTTGGATTCATTAAACAAAAGTTTTTTTCCCAATTAGATCCGAAATAGGCTGAGATATACTTCAAGAATATTATATTCTAAATTCTAAATAATGAGTCGAAGCATGCGATCATGTTGTTGCAAGACCTTCAGATAGGAGGGGAGGGAGGGAACCTCTCGGTCCATCTCCCTGGACACGCCACCGAAGGTTCAGGTGGCAACAGAACACTTACCACATCCGTCCAGGGCACAGAGGAAGGTCCCCAGCTGCCACCAGGGAGACGAGACTCGTTTTCAAACACATCTTCTAAAAAGCTCTTGTGACCACTGTCTCGGTCATAAGTCATGCTATTAATTTTAAAACAAAGACTGTGAGGAAGTAGAACTAAAATCAAACTTCAGGAGACATTCATGGTGACTGTCAAGTTATGACGTCTTTAACAATCAAGAGATTGTCTGTATATTAGGTACGTGCACGAGAGATAGCGCGTATGTCTCCTCGAGTGCACATTTTAGCTCGGCGTGCGAGCTAGCTGTAGAAAATCCCTTTGGTCTTTAAATTTCAATTTCAATTTCATTTTACAAATTAGCCAATCTCTTAAAAGAACTCTAACCTTGACATTGTAAGACTGACGAGGACATTTTTCGCGTACTTATGTTGTTTGCTTTTGCGGAGTATTGTTAGTTGTTTTTGAGCTTTCGTTCGCGAGTTCTTTTACCCCTTTGTTTAGAATTTTAAGAAGTTTTGGAGTTTTTATTTTAACCAAACGTTGTGCTTCATTTAAAAACTCTAATACTTATTTTCTACGGACTTTTGACTTGAACCTTATTTTTTCGTAAATGGATTTTTCACACAGGCCCTTATAAGTGCTGTAGGATACGCGTTTCTCCTTTCGCGAAAAGACTGGAGAAAAATCGGGGAGAGGGTTACCTGGAGTCTTACCCTCATTATCAGTACTAGACCCCTTTTAGACCTCTCGCCGCCTTAACCCTTTAAATCCTGGACGTGATTAGCATGTAACTTCTCTCTATCGTATCCATACATCATTCAACAAACAGGTGATGAGAATACTCAAACTTAACAGGCATAAGTTGTTATCTTGATCTAACAGCAAATCCTCACAAATCCTCACAAATACTGTAATAGGGAATGTACAGCAGCTAAAGGGAAGAATGAAAAATCACATCTTGGGAGTTAAATGCTTGAGGCGTGAGCTTAGGGCCTTAGACTTTCCCGCCGGCGAAGAAACACTCATGCCGAAGCGCTTTTGATTAAGGCCTGCTCAAAGGCATATTTTTGCCTCGATGAACACTTACACCTCGTACACCAGATAAATTTGATAACTACGTTTTACTTTTTCAAATTTAAACGTTTTGGTGTGAACGAGGCCTGAACCTTTTTAATCATTTCGCATCTCGTTTAGCGTAAATCTTTACCTTAGCTCTGGGTTCACGAACCAGTCTCCTTCAAAGCGCCAGCCGGGAGGAGTGACAAAATACTCCTGATACAATTTTAACTGAAATAAACCGAATTAAATTGTTATCGGGAGGAACAGTTGATCAGATTTTCAGAGCATTTCTTTAGAGTATAAACACCAACAGTCTGCAGGCCTTAACTCTTTTCCACGACCAATTTCATTATCAGAGCTAACTAAAATATGCAATGTAATTAACTGATTTAAAAATAGGACTTCCTCAAACTTTTTTATGTGTAGTTATCGATTACCGTTTTAAGTAACTTTCTAACTAAATGACTCCATATGAAATCTGAAGCTTCTTTACACCTATACAGTACCACTCCCCTACAGTCACCTTCTGTAGGGCAGACAATCGTCACCTCTCTTCTACCTACATATCTGCATATCCTGAGATACTGCACTCATATACCTGCTAAGACTCCAACACACAACTGCCTTAATCTCCCTGCTGAAAGTAAATCGGTAAGTTAGGGCATTTTACTCAACAGTCATTACTTGAAATATTCAGTTAGCCATGACACTTCAACGGAGTCATGTAAAAAGTAAATAACCGAGAAATCTCTTTTCCAAATTTCAGTTAACTACCTAATCTACATTAAATCTTCAGAGGGCTGATGAATTTTCCGATAACAGGCTAATTACGCTAAATTCGTTCCGAACGAATCAACATCTAAAATAAATTTCTAGTAAGATTTGAAGCAATGAAGAAAATACTTACATCTCCCCGTGCGTTTGACCAAGACGGCCGAGGAAGTCCCTTGGAGGTCCAAGTACCAAGCACATTCATTTGATTCTCATACTAAATGAGAAGAGGATACAATGGAACAAATATCTATTACATATGTAACTGATCACCTCACACTGTTTGGTACTGTCAACCTTGTCATACAAAGTGAAACTTTTTCAAACCACGATTCCACATTCAGAACATCAGGCAATGGTAAGAAAAAACGTCTAAAAACGACTCTTCTCGAATATAGATGTAAAAAATATGTATATAGTTATGAATACTCAGTGCTCGCTGATCGGACCGAGAACCGAAGTGTAAAAATATCATATTATATTTCTCAGTCAGTATGAGGACTATGATTGGTCAATTTTGCGAGCCGTATTTCACTATAAGGCCCGCTAAACTCAAAAGTTTGTTTGTACTGAAATATTCCCCCTTTGTTTAAACCCAGAGATATAATAAATATCTTACTAAACTCGTTTTCTCGGTCCCCACTGTAAAATACAGAACTTCGTTTTTTTTTCCGTTCGGATATATGGCCTGCGGGCTTGGGCCATATATCTGAGCGGAAAAAATTGGGTCTATAATTTAAAGTACAGGCCCCGGTTGTTCGAAAGCCGATTAGCGCTAACCCACGATTAGATCGCCCTAACCCAAGAATAAAATTTAACCTACGATTAGTTTCTGTTCCTGAAAGCGCGATTAGCACTATCCCAGGGTTAAAATAAAGGTTAACTTTAACACACCTAGCGAGGTGGATTAACTCACTAATCGAGGGAAAACTTTCCCCAAACAAAACAAAATGGCCGACTTATTACTTGGCGGATTAGGCTTAATGCCGGCCCCAAGAAGGAAAGAAAGGACATTTAGGCTACCAGACGACTTTTCCCTGTCCAATTTTACTGACGAAGAATTGAGAAGTCGATATCGTTTTGGCCGAGAGTCCATAGAATTTTTATCTGAGCTCCTTCGCGACGATCTTGAAAGAGATACATCTCGAAACCATGCTTTGTCGACAACTGTGCAAGTCCTTGTAGCGTTGCGCTTTTTCGCCTCCGGTAGCTTTCTTCAAGTTATTGGAGATACTCTGGGCCTGTCAAAGTCATCCGTGTCCCGTATAATCGGTCAAGTTTCGCTTGCCCTTGCACAGAAACAAAGAAACTTCATCAAGTGGCCATCGACCGAAGAGGAGATACTTCAAAACAAACGCGGTTTTTTTACCAAGGGGGGATTTCCTGGGGTGATTGGCTGTGTTGACGGCACTCACATCAAGATTCAGGCACCACATGAAAACGAAAACGATTTTGTCAATCGTAAAGGGTTCCATTCCATAAATGTGCAAGCAATTTGCAATCACAAAGGTAGGTAAAATACTCAAATGTCACAATTAGTGTTCTATAAAAATTGCAAAATAACCTTTGGCAGGGAGGGGTACTCCCCTTATAGAAGGTTTTAGATTGAGATTTCTAGCACATCAGCTGCTATGGGGTTGCATTGTTGGGAGTTACTAGATTGCAGTTTCACATATTCAGGAAATGGGAGTAGTGATAAAATTTTTTTTTAAAATATTTTTTGAGTCAAATGGTATAGGTGGAGTTTGGTTTGCAAACACACATACAGAAAATTTACCAAAATTATCACACCAATATTTTAGTGACAGTATAAAAAAGTAAAAAACAAGGGAAAAAAGCAAGAAATAATGTGGGATATTTGTGAATATATTGCTCAGCTAATGACCAACAGAGTGCAACAATCAGCAGGGATTTCAAAATGATGCAGTCTCCCAAATTTCAAAAAACAAATTAAACAATGAAAAGGTTTTCCAAGTAAACTAAATATTTGTATCAGTTACCCCAGTTCATCATAGACACAATTATTGTTGTTCCTCTTTGCAGTACATTATTGTTATAAACTGAGATGAGATTTTCTACATCATAGGTAAGAACTGGTCACATAACTTCTTTGCTGTTTTATTTTAGGCATGTTTACCAACATTGTAGCACGATGGCCAGGCAGCACCCATGACAGCTTCATATTTATTTCATTGAATCTTTATTTCATTGAATCTTTATTAAGTCATAAGATAAATAATCACATATCCTATGTTACAACATTAAAAGAAGGTATATATATAAATTACAGAGAAAATCAAGATAAAAATTATAAGACTAGATTATGTTTAAAAATTAAGCGATTAACAAACGTGTTTTTGAACCTATCAGTGTTTATTTTAGGATGGTGACTTGTCTCTTTCCTCAGATTGTACTTGGTTAATTTCTTTTTTGGCATTTAGGGATTCAAGAATTGGCCAACAACTTAATATCCAACACCAGTCCCTGGAAGATGGTTTACTGTTGGGTGACAGTGGTTACCCTTGCAAGCCGTACCTGATGACCCCTTACCTGAATCCAGTCACTGACAAGCAGCAAGAGTTCAACAGTGCCCACAAAAGAACAAGAGTGGCAATAGAACAAGCCTTTGGCTGGTGGAAGCGAAGGTTCCATCTGCTTCATTCTGAGATCAGAATGAAGCCAGAAAAAGTGTCCATCATTATCGGAGCATGTGCAGTTTTACATAACATTGCAATTCTGAGAAAGGAACCTTTGGATGGCTATGCTGAGGCTGATGATCAACCTAATCTTGTTTGCTTCCGGGGTCCAGAGGATGGCAAGGTCATCCGAGACCACATCTGCAACACCTTTTTCTGACAATTTTTAATTTTTGTATTTATGCCTTATGCAATCAGTTTTGCTCTTAATTTAACTTCCCATGAAATATAAAAAATTCATATATGCATTTAAGGGGTTTCTGGTTGAAAAAACACATTAAAATAAGTTTGACTCAAGAATCTGTTTTATTATGTCAAAATACATTTTGAGAACAAAATACATTGTGTATGTTTTATAATATATTATACGAGAACAACATTTGCCCAAAATATTTCTTTAACAGGACTTATTACACTATTCCTCCTTTAAAATGAATTGGTGTTGGGAACTACAAAATTTGCATTTAATGCAGTTGCGAAGGTTTGGTTTGCATTGACCTGTTGCTCCAGAAGATGAATTTGCATTTTCAATTTTTGTTTTTTAAGATTCAACATTTCCTTCTGAGTACACAGGCATTCGTACTGCATTTTTAAAACATCGCCATTACTTATCCTTTTCGAAGGCTTCCTCTGTTCATCAGCCTTGGCTGGTGAAGAATGCATGTCTTCATTAAGGCTCAGACAGTCTTCTTCAAACACAGTCTTCGCAGACTCTGCTGGTAAATGAGCATCTTCTCCTACAAAATATTTCAAGCACAATTAAGGTTTCACTCAGGCTCAAAAAGTGTGAATTTAGTTTTATGCATGACATAAATGAAATAACAGAAGGAGCATCTCTCCGCAAGGAATCTGAGGCTTAAACATGTAAAAATAAATTATTCAATTTCATAAAATGAATTTGTGTACTGGTAGACTTAACTCAGTGAAATCATTCACGAAAATGCTTATAAAATCTGTAAATCATGTACTAAAAGTTAAGCTTATTTTAGACAGATAAAGGGGAATCAGAGCGAATCGACAACGAGAACCATACCACAGTTTAGTGATCGAAAAAATAGGACATGATAACAGGTACAACAACAAATTATTTCGTCAATCACAAACATAAACAAAGTTGCGTCAAAACGAAATAATAAAAATTAGTTATTTATACATGTAAATAGCCGATCGTAAATATTTGAAGAACACTCCTTAGTACAAGATAAATAAAGAAACAATAGGAGCACTTTGTCTTTGGCAAAACGAATTTTAACCAAATTATAAACCGCATCCAAGACATTCTTCGAAATCAAAGGTTTTTGTCTCACTCCTCAGATCGCTTTCCAAAATGACGGAGCTATGCAATCTTCGACATGTGAATTAATCAAGTGAAGCTGAAATTTATATATATGTCTGCTAAATTACTGACAGTCCTTCATGAGCGTTCGTCTATATTCAGCTTAAACAGGGTTTAATCGAATGCAACCCTAAAAATGACGCAAAAGCAGCAAACCGGTTTGGAGTTCTCCGTAGCAGCCTTCGCTTAGTGAAGTACAATCATGAAATGTGACGGGATAATAAACTAAACAAGGTAAAACTTGATTAATACAGTTACGGATATTGGAAAAAAAAAACATGCAAACTTATCTTTTCCTCCCTTGTGTCCGAACATTTCGTATGCTCAAAGACGGAAAGCGATTGATAAGCTGAAAACCCCGCCGAAACAACATGGCCGGTTGACTGTCTACAATTTTAAAATTTTTGGTAACCTAGAAACAATAGAGAATTGTTTACAAACCTGTCTCAAAGCCAATCAAACCGCTGAACGCCGGCGTGTCCTCAAGCACCTCAATAATCTCTTTGCTGGCAACACTCGGCGACTTTGGACGCCGACCACCTCCAGTTATCTTGGTCTCCCTCTTGAATTCTGCAAATTCTTTCTTGGCGATGCTATGGAGATTTTTCCACTTGTCTTTTACCGCCGTGACTGTTCGCTTGGCTGTTCCGACCGCATTTACCGCTTGGGTTATTTCTTCCCATAGCATTTGTTTCTTTTTGTTGGTCACAGCATTCGTTAATTTGGATTAGATTAAATCGAGATTTTTTTTGACATTATCGGTGATGACTTCAATCTCATAAACTGAAAAATTATGCTTTCTTTTTCTGTCTTTCGTTTGGTTTCCACTTCCATGTGCACTCTCCCTTTCCGCCATTTTTTCCCTCCAATTTTTTTTCGCGCGTAGCCGCGTAGCTCTTAATAACCGGTTTGACTGGTTTAACCTCAGCTTAATCGTGGGATAGTTAATCAAGGGATAAATCTGCTTTCAGGAACGTTATTTTAAACCTAGATTAGCTATCCTTGGGATAAGAAATTTAATCGTCGATTAACCTCTAATCGAGGGATAATTTAATCGGCTTTCGAACAACCGGGGCCAGACCTCGAACTCGGTTAATAAGAGGTATCTTTTCTTTAGGGAAAGTTTTAGTTTTAGTCGTCATTTTAGAGAAATGTAGATCAGCTCAATTGCTAAGTAATACAAAAGTCAAGACATGGTGAAAGTGAAAGGCTCCTACCGTCTCTGCATAGACGCAGAAGTCTCCCTCTGTCTGTTCTCTGTTGGTCCAATCTTCCTGATGTTTCTCGAGCCCCAACCAGACTATCATTCGAACATGAGCAGGGACTTCTGGAAAGTCTTCAAGGTTCATTTGTTTCTTTCCTGGGTACTAATCAGACAACAGCGAAAGTATCGAAAAAAGTTACAGCACGACGTATGAAGTAATTAATCTTACCATAAAACAAAGACAGTTCATCTCCATGAGATCAAATATTTGACTCAATCCTTGACTTCATTGATACAAGTTACTGCTTTTTAACTTCAATGAATTACAAGTTTGTATTAGTCTGTATAGAGTGCTTTTCGGTTGAGTGTCGTTAAACCAAAACTTAAACTGAAGGAAAATATCTTTTAGAGCCAATGAGAACTCAAAGTCAAAGCAAGGCAATTGCCTAAAGTGCGGGAAAACGCGGGTGACCAAATCGTGATTTGTTTCAGTTTTGCATCTGATTGGTTGAGAGAGTAGCGTAAGTTTTTTGGAGCGACAACAGAGCGAAGTTGAGCTTCATCAATGCACTCCTGGATTATTTTCTCTTCTAAGAAAGTTTAAGAAAACCTCAGCTAGGAGCAGGCAACGCGACTTGCGGAACACCAGGAAACAGAGGAATCCAGTTGATTCCCTATGCGCTACTTAGCATCTAAAGGATTGATGAGGATACATTATCTAACCTTCATGAACATATTGAGGACCTTGCCACAGTTCTGACCACAGGCATCAAACTGAGGTGAGAACAACACCTCATAAGCTGGGATACGGAACGAAGCAATTCGCTTGGTACCACTGATTAGCCATATTACCACATCCGGCATGCTGTTCTGGGGCTAAAGGAAAAACAACCACAAAGATGCGTCAACAACCAAGTATTGTATAACTTATGCCAAATGCAACCTAGTGAATCAAACCATACAATTCACGAGGACACACCTCAACAGAAATATCTTTCAATCTCTGCATGTAACCCTCAATTTCTGCCATGGCTTCAGCAACATCCGTCGCACTTTCACGTAGCTTGGTTGCCTCCTCCATGATGGCCAGCTGTAACAAACCAGAGGTTGAGCATCATCTAACATCAGCATACAGATTCTCCTTACTTTTCTCTGTACATATCTTATGGTACTGACAAGGAGAATTTGCTTAACAATCAAAAGATCCTTCAGATATTGATCATTTCCATTATTCTTGTGACGTTAATATTTGATCAGTCACTCTCAGGAGAAAAAGAGATGACACTGAATAACAGACATGATCAACAACACCGCCACTGATGGCAACGATTTTGTTTAAACATCAAACATTAAGTTTGATTACCAATTGTCCAAAATAGCGAGGCGTTGAGAGCGAGACAAGTTTCCAAAGGAAAGATAACACAGATTTTGGCATAAAAGTTAACGTAACTGTTTAAAATTCATAAAATATTCCGAAAGGGCGAAGTAATTAACCCATGAAAGTCGTGCAAGTTTGGCCAATGACACACTCCTGTCTGCCAAAGAGGTTTCAGAATTTTGCACAACGCCCAAAGTTTCAATGTATACCTACAATGAGTGGCAAATATCTTGGCACGCTTTACAACTTTTTAAATTTTTTCTACAACTTTCATCTATCTCCTCCTCTGCCCCATTTCAATTTTGCCTGGTGTTAACCAAATGATCACTAACCTACAGCAACATTGTTTGCGGAGAAAGATAGGACCGTTGAGTGACTTATTAGAAATGAATTACAAGACCTCTGTTTACTATGTTGAGTGGAGGATTGTCCACCAACTAAGGGGAGGCATGCCAAATACTCTTGCCACCCATTGTAGGTGTTTATATTGGTTTCACATACACTTGTTTCTCTACTTGACATAAGTAAAGTGACATGAACAAACCTTCTCCAAAATTCTTGTGTCTTGAATCTTAAGGTCTAACTCGTTGACTCCAGGAGTGGAACTGTCAATCTTAGGTAGTGGTCTCCTACAGACAAGAAAAAAATTATCATTTCCTGTTTTTACTTTCCTAAGGAGTAGAAAATTGAACAGGTGTCTGAAGTGGCCGTGCAGCCTGGATATCAAGATAAAATCAAACGGGTTTACAAGTTGAAAAAGTATTTAAACAAACTAGGGAGACCAGTAAAACCCCCCTACTTTCACGCGTCACGTAATTGTAAATACACTCTCGAAACTCAAGTCCCAAAGTTGGTTTTTCTCTACAGTTAACTGACAACAGTTGTTCAGAATTAGCTTTGAGAACTTGAATTACATTCCTCAACCAAATCATCCACACTATAAATCACTATATTTCGCTGCATATTACACAGTTAGCAGACCTGGCCGTTAAGAAATTCTTTTTTGCGATAAAACTTTCATGAGCTGACTTTGATGTGCTTTCTTAAGATAAAGGGGATCAAAATGATGATGTAAATTTGCCACCGTAAAGAGTTTCTAAAGCTGACGTTACGAGACGAGGCTTCGCCGACGCTTCTCTTAAATAGTTAAATATATTATGTAGTGTCTCAGTGTTTGGTAACTTCTTTCAAATTGGACGGTTAAAGTTTCTTATTCATGACCACAGATCGTTCAGATCTGTACGCAGCTGTACTTAAAATGGAATGCCCTGTGTACCTGCAATCATTGATCAGCTGATCTAACAAAGCTATCAAAAGTGAGGCTGTTTCGGCTGTTGGCGCATTTGCTTCCAGACTAAGCTGAACTTTCTCCATGTTCGTTTCCTGTTACAACGACAAAAACAAACGTCAAACCATTATTGGGTCTTTTGGGCCATTCCACCATATAAGGGAAAGATTCACAACAGGTTCACACCGCTTAGGCAGATGATTTCCTAAGGCGCTGAATACTATAAGTACAACATCACATCCGATGTTACACCATTTACACAGTTCGTCCAGTTACCTTGAAAGTTTGCCGATACTCAGATAAAATTTACAAGAGAGGAAAGGCAAGAGAGGCGAGTCCTTAATAAAAGCACAATATCAAACTAATGTCCTATTTCCAATGAGCCAACGGTCGTGAGTTTTTCAGTGGAACCGTTTTTTAAGGCCCGCCGAGGCAAAAAAGAAAACCTCTAGTTACTGCATAAACGTTTCATTTAACTTCACTGACATTTTCAGACCAAGATGCGTCGAAACTTTTAATCGTAGCCGTCAAATATTTCGGATTTTCTATAAAAATTTCAATTATCCCATGGTCCACCTGTGGTTTCAAAGGTCAATAAAGCTATAACGTATCACCTAGTAGATATCTGTATTGATATTTATGGCCTTGACTCACCAATCGCTCACACATTCTAGTTAAGATATTCAAGTTGTCCAGTCTGAAGGAAATATCTTCCCAGTGACTATCCACGCACACACAAGGTTTGGTGTCTCCCCATGGAAGGTAATAGTAGTAGCAGCCATCGTAAACAGCATTGGTGGGTGGAGTAGTGGAAGACGATGGAGGAACTGACTGATCAAGCTTGTTGCCATAATTTCCTAACAGAAAACAGTAATCACGTTTTAAAAGCACGCATTTCGATCGAGTCTTGCCTCACCAAGTAAACGCAACAGCCAATAAAAGCAAAGGAAAGCATCACAAAGAGCCAATAAGAACTCACAAGAAAACTGCCTGAAGCGCGGGAAAACGAGAGGGACCTAGTCGCCATTGGTTTTGGTCTTGAAACTGATTGGTCGAGAAACGGCGCAAAATGTTTAGTCCGGAAGACTCGCACCACTCTCCCCACCAACCAGATGCAAAATTAAAACCAATCATGACTTGGCCGCCCGCGTTTTCCCGCGCTTTAGACAGTTCGGTTGGTTTAACTTTGAGTTCTCATTGGCTCTTAAAGGTATTTTCCTTCCTCGTGATTGGTCGTTGTGATACTTTGGTTTTACGGTTCTCAATCGAATAGCACTCTAAAGAGAGGTAAAGCAAACCACCGACCCAATGAAACTCAATTTAAAAATTGCAAAGTGGTGTGAATACCACAAAACTACTTCTAATGTGAAGCCTAAAAGAAGAATGGAGAGTTTGACTGCATCCTTCGTCTAAAAAAGATTTCTCGACCCACCTATGCTAACTTCAAACTCCAATGGTCCGTCTGTGGATGCTATCATCGTTGCCTCCAGGAAGCAGGCAAACAACTTAAACTTACGCCTGCGTAAGTACGGCTGAAGAGCACAACAAAATAAATAAATAAACAATATTTACCCCTTTACAACCCAACATCAGTGTGCATATTCTCTATACTGTTCTTTCTACATTTCCTAAGATGCTGACTTGGGGAACTTGTTTAACATTCAAGAGCTTCCTTAGTTGGTGATCATTTCCTTTAATCTCGTGACCTTAATATGAAATTCAAGGGTAATTTTTTAAGGTGAAATTAGATGCTAGTCACTCTAGGGGGTTAAAGGATCAAAAGCAAAAAAACGACAAACGCTGTGATATGTCTTTCCTAGTGTTCAAAAGCTAGCATAAAACTCGAGTTAAGGGGTGTTTGAGTTACAAGAAAATTTGGTTTTAATGATCAACTGAGTTGATGATGTAAATTGGCCACCGAGAGAATTTCAAAGCTGGCTTTTCGAGTGTTAGCCCTTCGTCAAGGCGAAACGTCAGCGTTAGGAAATCTTTACGGTGGCAAGTTTACAATATCAACTCAGTTGATTAAACCAAATCATCTTGTAATACCCTCTACCGGAAATCTGATTTAGTATAAGTTAGCGGTGAGTTAACAGAGTTTTAGTTGGCGGAGTTCTACTGTATTGGCAAGAGTGAAGTATGAGAGGGCAATTTCTCATTGGCGGTCATCGAAACACTTTGTAAGAAATCATAAGAAAACGAAAAATTACTTCTCCAAAGGTTTAATTTCTGAAGTACCTGTACTCGGATGATCTCATGACTTTGCAGGTCTTCGGCAACCTCCTTTGATGACGGTCCCAGTTTGGTTTCCAGTTCCACTAACACCCTTCCTCTGTAAGCAACTCCTTCACCCTGAAATAGGATAATAATAAAAAAACGAACATGTAAATAGAGATATGCCAAAAAACACGACTAAAAAGTCAATCTTCTTATAATTTGCTTAGTTCTGAAAGATATCGTGTTGTAAGTGAAACATCGAAAGTTTCAAATTTCCTTTGGTGGGACAAGAGGAATAACTTTAGAAAAAAAAAACATTGGCGCAAGGATGCTTTTATCCTATGAAAGAGTACAAAGAGTCAACAAGGACACGCCGAGCCACACTATTATACATTTCACTCAGTTGTGGGATTTTCGCACAGATTTTTAATTCAAAAATTATCTTAATGGTATATTCCACTACTTTGATCATTACATGAGACGTACACCAACCAGAGATGGTGGGCAAAACCAAACTTTTTTTCAGGTCTGAATTATACATGTATTAAACACTTACAATTCCAAGATTCAAGTCATCGTATTCATCAGGCAAGTCGGAGTACTCCCTTGTCGAGCCATAGAAATTAATGTAACAAGGACCAAACAAAGGGAGAAAACCTGCAGCAGTACAGAATTGTACCAAGGTTTGAGTACTCCTCAACAGAAGTAACAATTCAAGTCACACGCACATACAAACATAGCAGTATCCTAAACACGGCTTTTATCCAAAAGGGTTCAACGGTTGGTCCTGGCTAAATGAAACTTGATTTTTTTGCTTTCATAATCTGACACAACTGCATCAGGTTGATTCCAGCCAGGGAGTTTTATCAGTTCTTTACCTCTTTCTACTTTTGTGAGTCACTGTTTCTCAATAAGAAAGAATCATTAAAAAGTGACGAAGCCTTGTGTGACATGCAGTTTTCTGAAGAAAAATCACGTTTCCCGCTGAGATTCAAACACCAGCTGGTAATTTATTTTTTCAACTCCAAAAACACTTAGGAAGTTCTAATTGAATTTCAAGGGACAGCATTCCTGACAAGAACAAAGTTGTACTCATTATCACAAAATGTAAAAAAAAAAAAAGGAAATCAGTAACTATACCATCATCGCCTTGTCCAGAAATAGCGGAAATTGGCAAATAACCTGTTCCAATACAATCATCTGCTGTCAATCGATCCCTGCATGGAACATATATTTTAATTTAAAATTACAGTTGAAATTATGTAAAATTAAGATTTAACAAGAGAAGTTTCATAAAGTGAAAATTCGGAATCAAACGTTCTCAAGGCATAAATTTGGACCATTTAAATTTCAATTGGGAGGGAAAGATGATTTATCGCACTGAGTCTTTGTGGAGCCTTACCAATCAAATATCTGAAGTTTTAGCCTCTCACACATTGAGGGGAACTGCGATAAAAAAGCAATAAATCAACATGGTCAATATACCAAAATCATCATGGGAATGAAATAAAACTGCATGCATAAAAGTAAATAATAAAATATTTAACGTTTTACACAACTCACCTTGAATTGTACATTGAGTTCTGTGTTGAACTCTGGATGATCTGAATTGTAATGTACTCTAGTCTTTGACTGTTCAGAAAAAAATTGGCATTAATAAATCATACTGACATTACTTCATGTTCAAGCCAGGACTGAACAAGAACTAAAGGGAGAGGTAAGGGGCAAAATATTTCAACTGCTAAATTGTAAATTGTTCTACCATAACAAGTTAATTAAGAAGAGCTTAAGAATATATTGGTCCATCCTGATATTCAACAACAAATGTGAAAAAGTTCACCTTCCTTCCAGCAAAATTGAAGACAAGGTAGGGATCAACCAATTCTTTCTGTTCCTGAATAAGGCAAAAACAAACAACAATGTGCAACTGATTTAATACTTTATTAGAGTTACAACTGAAGAAATGTAGTGTTAATTGATAGCAAAGGGCATAAGAAAGTGTTGACCTTCAGCCGAGAAGAACAGACAGATGGACCAATGGGTTAACATATCAAACACTTAAGCATCTACACGGGGATAGCGGAGATAGGCTAATATTTATTATACTTGATACCCTGATAGAGCATTGGCCAAGTTCAGTTTGTCAGCCAAACTAGATGTAGCTACTAAATCCCTTGAGCACTACTCGCACTTCCACGACTTGAAAAATTTTGCACCCCTGTATTCATGTGATTAAACCCTTTTCCCATAAGTACGAGTAGGAGATACAGTGGCCTGACAGTTAGCAAGCTGGACTGTTGGTTCAGGGATCCCATCTTTAACCTAGCCAGGTCATTGTGTTGTGTTCTTGTGCAAGAAACGTAACTCTCACAGTGAATTTTCTTAATTAAGAAGTGGAACCTGCATGCTGTCTCACTGTCAATGAAACCTAACTAATACTGGGAGGCGACCCATACTGGACTTACCCAGAAAATCCAGATAAGGTTCAGCACCTTGTGAACCATGCACAGACTTACTTTTTACCTCATTTGCACAAGTTTAGTGACTTTATTTTGACATCTTTTGCTCTCCATATCCTTTGTAGCAGTTTATAAGATCCTACCCCTCCAAGAGCTTTTTGTCATAACTATTCAATGGTGATATATATTAGAATCAAAGAATCTACATTTTACCTCGCCAACATGAAGAACTCTCTTTACACCTTCAAAGAATCCAGAATCCACTGAAAAAGATAACATAACAATTTTATTCCAATGACAACTCAGAAGCTTGTTGTAGAGTTCTGAAGGCTTTATACTTTTTTGTTAAAAGACATGTTTCATCATAATTGCATTGATGTGGCTTTAGTTTTTGCAAGTAGCCATCCAATCTTTAAATCAAAACACTTGGTCAAAAATATCAAAAGGACGATGCTGCAAAGGTTGCAACAAAGGCAAACAGCGTACTTCTAAGCTGCAAGGAGATCACCAATGACAACTAAGCTAAGGCCCAACAAAGCAAATTGAGCTAAAGCGCAAGCCTACGACCCTGTCAAAACCTTCCTGGAATATCTAATGTGACATGGGTAAAACCCCTGCAAATTCTTGGTTCTAAGCTGCCTCAAAATGTCACCAAAATATAAATGGCTAGGATATAAAATGAGCCCTGCAGTAAAATTGATAGCACAAGAGGAAGATTTCACATCAACAGTAAAAATATGATTAATTGATGGAAAATCAGTCAGAAAATTTACCACCTTTTATCATTTACCAGATTTCATATAAATGCAAGTGCAATAAAGACAATCACATTTATCTCAAACTAACAATGAAATGCTGGCACTTGTTCAGGGTTCCTTGCATTAGATTGATGACAAAAAAGTAAACAAATATTTAATTATATTTCTCTATCTTGTGACAATATATATAGTCCAGCAACAAATCATTAACAATATTCATGAAGCAGTACTTACTTTGAGGAATATCTTCAGCTCTGTATACTTTCAGGGAGAAGACAGCTGGTCGTAACATCACACCAGAGGGCTGCAACAAGTTCCTAAAGGAGACATGCATTCACAATTTATTTTGCAGTAATTTAGCACAGTTTCAGTCTTGGAATTCTTAGGGTAAGAGTTCCTAGGTAAGACAAACAAAACGTGGTTTATATTCTGCATAAAAAATGGATTGCAAAACACAAATTTTCCACAAATAATAATAACTTAATTAACAGCACTACAACTACTCACGATTCAATATCATCTGTGTCATTCTCTGTTGCACCTTTTGAGGAAGACTGCAAGAAAGAAAAAATACAACTTTTTGTTTAACCCATTAACTTTCAAGAGTGACCAAGATGCAATTTCTATTTCTTACACTATCATCAGAATATCAAGTAAACAAGTTATGCAAGTAACAAAAATATTATGAGAAGATTATTAGTTGATCCAAAGCCATATTCTCCAAACTTACATTAGAAGAATTGTAGGACAGATAGTAAGGAAAATCACCAATGAGATCTACTAATGATTTCTTGGTAGTGATATAGTGTCTATTTACTCTGTACCATACAATTGCATTTGAGGAATTAAGTATAAAATAGTGCTTACCGGAGCTTCATCACCAGGCCCCAAAACCATGACAGTTACTTTGAGATAACCCTGGTGGGAATGAATGAAAAGAATTGATAGGAATTAAACAGTGATGATCAAAGAATAAACAAAGCAAAGAGAAAAGATAGGGGGCATTAAATGAGCAAGCCTTAAAGAGAGTAAAAGATGAGATGGTAACATAATTATCAACTACTAAAGGGATTTAATATTTAGTGTTATAGAAATTTAACATCATGTATTTCACCTCAACAAACCACACTTTAAACTATTTTAAACCTATTTGAATCATTATTCTGTTTATGAAAATTCCTAGCATTTAACCTATAAAAACTATACATTAGAAATACCAGTTTACGAAAGAAAAATGCTGCAACTTCCATCAGTTTGCCACCACGATAACCCACCCTTTTCTCAAGTTCTCCCAACATCCTAAGTGGGTTGTAACACTAGTAATCTGACACAAAGTGCAGCAGTCTATTACTTTTTATTATAAAGAAAACTTTAAATGTTTCAATTTTCTTTGGGTTTAAAGGCGCAGTAAACAATAGGTTTCTGACAAATCAAAATTAAGGCAATACATAAGTTTCTTTATGGAACAAAATCAACAAATAACAGAAGAATGCATCGTAATAATTTCCCTTTAGGTATGTGCATGTTATAATTTTGGTATTAAATTCTAACAAAATTATATTCAAGTTTAATACCTCTGCTTTTTATTATAACAATCATAAATCAACCAGTACTTAACTATCATTACTGTATTGAAATTAATACCTTCAGTACATATAATCAATAAATTTAGTTAAACTCAAATACAATTATATGAAACTAATGATGAATCATTAATATAGAATTTTTAAAAAATGCAATTATGATGAAACATGTCTTTTAACAAAAAAGTATAATTGTTATGAGTAAATTCAGTTCAGAAAGGTCACAATTACAAACTACTTCAAATTGAAAATCTTCTTAATCTCTCTTTACATTCTGAACACAAGAAATAAATGTTAACATGAACATTAACCATTACATCTCATTTTAACTGTGAGTGTCAATAAACACAACTGAAAATTTTAACATTCACCTAAAATAATTCACAATTCTTTTTGAGGAAGTTCCAAACTAATAATATCATCTCCTATTTAGGAAACCAGGTCTAAATCAATGCTCAATTAAATCATTTACAAAGGTTAAATTAATCATTACAGTCTACATCAAAATGTCTATCTAGCCAGGTGTGCCAGTGAGTTCATCAATTAATATTTGGTTGAATAATTGCAAGTTTAAACCAATCCATTTATCATTATCATTATATTATTTCTTATTTTCTATCAATGATCACTTACCCACAAAACTTTCACAAAAATTGTTGTAACAGCTATTAGTAATGATAAGATGCACATTAAAATGATCAAATGTATTTTATTTAGACAATATACTCTCGCTTTTAATTTTTAGGGCATTCCATACATGTAATTGATATTTATATTCACCGCAATTTTTCAGATCAAAAATTTATCTTACTTTGGATTTCCATAACAATTAACATTGAGTAGAACATTCACCCTATTTCATTTAACTATTTCATGTAGTATTTTAACTGCACTTTCCAAAAAAACTTCTCCTCCTTTGAAACCTTTGTGTATATCAATGAAAATATTTTTACCTTCCTTTGGTAAATTTGATGAAAATCATGGCACACAAATTTTAAAATGTCTGAAGCACAAAGAATTCCTCAATATAATGGATGCCTATTATTTCAATTCCACAGTTAAAATTAATTTCAATTTCTAAAGGTCAATAAGCCTTCTAGTTTAAAATTGACACTAGTTACCTTCAGAATAACATTTTAGCCTTCATTTTTGTCTCAAGTACAAAATATGTTTTATCACTTTTTTATTTTAATTAAAAAAGTCCCCACAATAATAATTTAAGTTTCAAAAATTTGTAAACAAGATCATTAAAAACATCTTATTCACATAGTTTGTCGCAGACGACTTAATGAAAAAAATAAATTGAAAAGAAGGTAAAAAGGAAATTGTGCTGTATCATGCTGTCATAAACACAAATAGCAGGATATTTACTGCTGGAATTCCACCACTTCTCCGTCCAGAAGCCCCACGTGATTTTCCTGTGTCAGGCTGCTCATCATCCTCATCTTCATCCTGACATTTTAAGTAGTCACTTACATAATAAGTGCAAGCATTAAAACTCACTGATACCACCTTACAGTAAAACACCTGATACATGGAAAGCAATATTTAACATATGAAAGCTGTAGACCAGTTATAAAATACACCATTTTCCTACAGCATACTCTGTTCATTTGCACTTGTAAGCACTTCTGATAAATGGTGCATGTCGTTTCTTTTCAGTAAATTCTAAAAAGTATTCATCATCTTGATTATTTGCCACATTGTTTGATTGAAGAATTGAATCTGCGTGGCAGTTTGTCCCACTTGATGATCATTACATCCTTAAAGTGAGTAAGCTTGATACTTTGCACACTAAATAACTCACAATCTGGAAAGTCAAAAATTCCCCTTAAGCCTCGTGAGAATCATTATTATGAGTACCCTTGCCTTTAATACATTGACATATAAATCAACACTAGTACACAACAATTTTAGAAACCATACTTATTTGTACATGTTTCATTCAGTGAATGATGTATATTATATAATGCATGCAATCAAGATATATCTAAATATTAGATGTTGAAAAAAAATAATAATAAGATAAAGAACTCAAATCTTTTTTAGTTTCTCAAAGCAGAAGCCAACAATATGCAAAATCTCCAACCCTGCCCACTTCAATTACTGGTATTTTTCTAACTGTGTAATTATGCATTAATATCAATTGATATACACTTTTACGTATCTGTATTGCTATCTTAAATTATTTGCTGATATAAGCACACCTTAAAAACTTCTGCAGAATTCCTACAAACAAATTACTTTGAAGCACTACCATGTATTGTAAGAGGTCAAATTACTTGAATTCTGTTTTCCTTTAACAACATCCTAATCTCCTCAGTAGAATACAGATAAACAAGTATAAACAAGTGAGACAATTTTCATTTGATTAATAGATGTTCATACATTCCATACTGCATGTATTTACCAATACATTAGCATATGTTGTTAATCACTACCAGTGTCATGACTATTATAATTTTTCAATCCATGTTTCATTACACAGTCCTACATTTGATTTCCATGAACTACAGGCAGGTCCTGTGACATGGAATGAGTTTGTATTCTGATCTATATTATAAAGAGTACAGCAAGTCATGCACAGTCACTGCAACTCAGTCCTTGTGTACCAAACCTTAAGATGATTAATTCCTTTCCTCCAATCTATATCTAACACTCAAAATGTCAGACTTCCAATACTTGTTACACTTGTTTATCTACACTGTACCTTTATCTACTCCTATAGATAACAATAATTAAAAATAGATGTAAGAAAAATTTACCTGCTTACTGAAACAAAAACAATTTCCTAAGAAGCTGAAGAGTAAAAGTTTGCTTTGTATTCAAAATAGCCTTTTACATGTGTCCACAGCTTTCTTTTCTTACCTTAACCCCAGCCATCTTGTCATCAGGATCAGTGAGTAGAACCCATTTCCGTACAACAGCATGGGCTGTGGAAACAAGAATAGTGAAGAATTAATGACAAAAGCAATTTTATTACAAACCACACTTCCCCTGTCTGTTAAGTAAGTTAAAAAGAGGGATTCCCTAATTATGAAAATAGGGGGGTGCATTTCCAACAATGTTAAAAACTTTACCGATGAGCAATTTTCAACTTTGCAACTTCAATTGACCTTTGAAATCTCACATCCCCTTTTGCTCAGATGAAAACTAAAACCAATTGGGACTTGGTCACCAACAATTTAGGTGGTTTGTTAGTTTTTACTCTGAAAGCCTCTGTGTGATATCCATAGACATCCAGGATTACATGAAATTTTTTTAAACAATTATACCATTTGCGCCACCTTGGCACTATGCACCTCATTAGCTATTTACCATTTCATATCTAATTTTTTCTGATTGGCTATGGTTTTGATTTTAAGACATTTCATTATCAGATATACTATTTCGTATTTAATCAACACTTGTATGATAAGAATAATTGTAATTATCACAATGATAAAATTATTTTTATCAAGATAGGTACTTACACGGCTCATCGTAGAAAAAACCAATGTCACTCTAAAGAAGAGAAAGAAAATTTAGTGCATTCATGGTTTACAAATATTTTTTCATTACCTTCTTAAAATTGGAAATTAAATTCTAATTCATTTCTCTCCTTTCCTACTGCCTAATTTCAATCATATGAAAAAGTGCAAATTTTCCTTGGAAAAAACTGTTTAAACTCAGAATAACACTTATTCACATTTAACTGCCATGCAGCTAATAATAATTAAAATTAAGTTTCTGTATTGAACCAATCTAGTTTTTAAAATTCGGAACCCTCATGTGGAACACAACTGTGCAAGAATTATGGGAGTCTCATTTTCAAAAATACAGCAGTTAATCCGCATATTTTACAGTCACCGATATCAGTCTTTTGGAGTACTATATTCAAGATGATCAGAAGACATGATCAACTGTACATGTACATAGTAGGTGCATCATACTGTTCTTTATTGATCTAGAAGTGAAAACTCAGCCTACCTTAAAGTAACCAATCATGGCATTGGCTCTCAGTTTTCTTGAATTAAAAACCTGTTGAAGTTACAATTACATGAAAAAATTGACATCAAAAAAGGCTGTCTCACATTTTAATTATTCTTCAATCATTGATACTTGGATATGACAGCTCTGCCGCTATATCTTATTTTCCAACCTTTTGTAAATTGCTCACCTCAAAGCTGATTATTTCATCAAATAATTCCAATGGTGACATTTGAAAATTGAAGAAAAATGTCTGAGAGAAAACATAAGAGAATAAACTGACTTAATTTAAATTAAATACAATTGTGAAGCACAAGGAGGTTTTGTATTATGAAAAGTCAAAATTGATCATTCAATTCTTGTTCCTTACATTAGGATACAAAGTGTAAAAGGAAGCTGTAAACATTCATGTTCCAAGTTTTATTGACAACATTATGAAACAAAAACTTGAAACACCAAGTACCTATATGTCAGCTTATTCTAAATACAGCGTGTAATACTAGAGATAAATGAATCTGAGAAAAGTAGTAAAGCTCACCTCATCATAGAAGGGCTTGTTTGTTGAATGTTTGACTTTTGTCTGGCGAGTATGGTTCGCAACTAGAACTCTGACAACAGGACTTATGTTGGAGCCAGACAGCTGGCGACCCTCCATGATTCGTACACGAACCTGAAACAGTTTGACATATGTGTTAAATCTTACTTTTCCTCCTGATACAACTGCCATCAAATACACTCCTCTATCAGCAGAACATCTCAGTAAACAATCCAGACTGAATATTAAACTAGAATGGTTCTGATGGCATTTGTACTTACATGCCCAATGTACATGGAAAAATCAATGCCCTAATTTAATTTGAATTTTTAACCTAAAACAGTGTACATGTTCTCTTATTTTATTTGTCTAGAGTATATCCTTGAGAAACATTCCTCAAGAAATAGATATGTTTCCTATAGCTTCAACAATTTCTTATACATCAAATTATTTTGAATGTTAATCAGTACTCAATTCTTTATTACAGAGTCCAACCTAATTTTCTGGTAGGTAATTTAGTGTTAAAAACTGGGTTGAAAACGTAAATTAGCCACCGTAAAGGATAAAAAAGCTGACGTTTCGAGCGTTAGCCCTTCGTCAGAGCGATTAGATTAGATTAGCGATTATTCTGGTACATTGGACCACTACTGATAAAACATTACCACTGACTAATGTAACCATTTGGTGGAAACCTGAAATGAGATAATTCTTACCTGAAAGTCTTGAGGTTTGTTGGACAACTTGTGCCTGGCAGTTCTTCTCCTTCTACGCTTTTTCCTGTGAAATGTAAGGAAGCACTATAAATAATTGTTCATAAATAACAATTAATACTGAAATAAGATGCAAGCGTGAAAAAAGGTAGAAGCTACAAGTGACATGTTCAGTCACCTACATCATATAGCTAAACAAGTCCTTCCATCAAATTTCCTGAATTGAATGCTTTCACAATAAAGAAAGTCTGCAGCTGTTTCTCTCCTATTTAGATTCTCTTTAGTATGACTGTTGTGCTGAGATTGTGTTGAAATTCACAAATTACATGCTGATAATAAATTGCTGTGAAGACTTAGGGAGCCAAGGATTGTGCTATGCAGGTTCAGTTTATGTCTGTAACAACTGCCTTGCCTCTTAAAAATTCTATCTCCAAGCTTTCAGTAAAGCATACTGTCACGAGTTACAAGCCTGACTTAAAACTACAAAATTCACCTTACTGTCTGCCATACAGTTCTTATGATATTAGTTTAGAGAATTTGGCATTGTATCAACTTACAATCCCCTAATTAATATTTTTCTTTATTCTCATCACTTGTCTGCTTGATATTGTATGGATATTGTAAGGAGAAATTCTGTCTTGGTCACTCATGGGAGTTAAAGGGTTGAGTTTATAATTACCTGACTGCATCATTCACACCCTCGGCACCTCCTCCTTCCACATCATCCATGCCTTCTTCTTCCAATCCAAATTCATCACCTTGCTCTGTACCCAGATCTGTTTCGTCTGTTGGTATAATGTCTCCATCAACCCCCTTGGCTGGTTTGGGAGGAATATACTCCAAACGCAGAGCCAACTTTGCCTGCATAAATAAGAAAGACAAAAAATTAATTCCACCCATAAAATTGGTAAACTACATCTGTTTATTAATCAAATTTTCTGTACAACATGTCTCAAGAATACAGTCACCATGATGCAAAAGCGATTACACTTGGAGATTACTACTTGAGAATAAAGGTAGAGGAGCAAGTTTTAGGATTGAGCTGTGCACAATAGATGAGGGAGGAAGAGGAGAGCTTATTTCAGTGATCAAAAAATGTTTTAAAAACCTCACCAAAGAGAGGGGAAATTGCATTAAGTAAATGACTGATAATTAATATCAACTGATTGCAACTGCTGACAGCCTTGACTTTCCAGATATAGATCTTCCAAGAAAATGTACAGAGATAGTACAATAGTACATATATTTTTTGATTTACCATCTCTTGAAAAAAATGCCAAAAGAATCAAAGAAATGATACAAGTGAGTATAAAATCAGTCACCTCCCATAAAATAATTATTTGTTTATCCTGCTGAACAAGTCTATATTGATTGGTAATAATGATTAAGATTTGAAACAATTATTTTTATTGCTGATATATCTGACTGAACTTTTCTCTTCCCTTTCCAGTCCCAATCTCTTGCCTCTTGAGATATCACCCCCCTCCCCCTTCCCAAGACCTCATTACAAGTTCTTAACAAAGTGCTTATAATGCAAAACAAACACTCACCTGTGTCATCCTGTTACTACCATCTAGCAGATTGACATCAGCCTGCATGGTATGGCTACTGTCCTTGACAAGGTCTTTCAGGGGGACGGTGGCCGTGCCAAGAAGCCTTACATAAAATAAGTTGTTTAAAGAGAGGTCATGACCGATAAAAATTACCTCAACCTTGAAATCAAACTGGAAACTTAACCAGATTTAGAGGAAGCTAGTCACACCCAAGAACTACCCCTTTCCCTTCAATATACAAGTACACAGTCAAGTTAAATTTTTAAGAACCCTTTGAATTAAACTTTTGAGATCAAATAAAATATCTCCTTCTTTGTTCTTGAAAAAAAGTATTTCCATTAGGCTCAGAGCTCTATACAGAATGGATTCCCTAGCCCCATAATTCTGCCTTATGAGTTATTTCACATTAGTATTTGGAAATTTCATTGTTGTTTACTTTACCATCTGTGATTGTTAATAAAAGCAAGGGAACCACTAGTCAGCATTTTGCACACTTAGGGGAATATTGAGAGGGAAGATGTCTTTGTCCTGTTCCACACCTTACATGTTATTGCTGTGCTGATCGACATTCAAGAATTAAATTTGACTTCAGCTCAGTAGTAGAACAATGCTCTAGAAAATTCATTTTTGCAAAGGGAATTGATATTGGCCAAACTTCATAACATGGTTATGTGACAGTGGTGTGGTGTGACATACACTCCCATTAATTAATTTGACATTTCAAAACCACTGCAGTGTTTATGCTACTACCAGCTCAAATTAATCTTAGTAGAAGCAACATGTTTGGAATAGGCCAAGGACTTGCATAATTATTCTATTATTCCCCCTTAATCAACAGTCCTGATAATTGCTTAACCCTAACTGTCTGCCATACTGTTCTTGTGATGTTAGTTTGGAGAATTTGATATTGGATCAACTCAATCTCCTAACTGATATTTTTCTTTGTTCTCATTACTTGTCTGCTTGATATTGTATAGATTTTGTTAGGGGAAATTCTGTCTTGGTCACTCCTGGGAGTTAAAGGGTTAACTATTAAGCCATTCCAGTGTGGGTGCCACCTGATACCCTTGAGAAACCTTAATTATGGGCTACTTAGAGGTTAACCTTATTACAATAGAGTATTTATTTATCATAACACATGGGTGAAAATTCTTCTATTTCAACCATAAATAATTTTGAAATTTGAAGTGGACATGTATATAATGTCCAAGGAACTCACAAATTGCTTAATTCAGATTTCAGAAGTGAATTTTTATCCAAAACACATGCCTTCTATAAAGGTTATTCATATCAATTGGTCATATCAAATAATGCTCTTTTAGATAAGAAAAAAAAGCACACCCTAAAAATTTATCTCAGTGAGAATAGTATAAATAGCAATTGCTGCCAGACAGTTTTAGGTGGTTTTGTACCTTACTAAAGGACCCTTATCCTTACGAAAGTGAAAAAAAATCAAATATAAATGACAAATCTGATTAAATATTAATTCCAAAGTTTTTCCAAGCACCCTGTCAGGTTTAGCCATTAATGACAAATTGAGAGATGTTTGATCTCAATAATTATTTCTGACAGCTCTCCGTCATAGTTTATGCAAACAGACTATTCACATTTCAGGTTTATTTCATTCAGACTTAAAACGCAAGAATTCCCAAAATTCTCCTTCCTTTTTTTTCTGCTAGAATTTATCACTCGTATTACATAGAAAACTTTTATCAAAGTTCTCTTTCTGCGTAATTAACCTTACGAAAAAAATTCTCACTTGTGAAAAGTAGGTTTGAATAAATTATGAGCCGAACAATATCGTCAATATGAGGGCGGTTTAATCGTGGGAACCGCTGTAACGTGATTCTTAAAAATAGCAATCAAGATTAACTGAAAACGTAAAATATTGCGTCGAAAATGTTTTTCTACCGAAGGTTATTACAAAATATCACAGCTGCTGCCATATTTTTTTTAAATTATACACAACAGAAAAAACATTGATTGCCGAGAATAAACAAAACTTTAAAATATGCTAATTTGTCTCTACATATGACGGAAAGCGAAAACGCCAATCACCTGGGAGATAAAAAAGAAAGAAGGCAAAAAACTAAAGCTACTGATTAAGTCTACAGTGCATCGAAAAATAAATCATAAAGATTTAATTTCTTTGTACTGACGCGAAATACCGTCCATCGTGTCCAAATTACCTTAATCCCCGTGACGTTTTTTTAAAACTTCGAAAGGCTTCTGTTCGACACGAAACTTATAAATGTATTCGATATTATTGATTCAATTTACGCCTTGTCTCGATCGCGGCGAATAATCGCAGATAGAAATTGCGACTAACGCTTCGCTGTTTTTAAACCAAAGACTACCGAACAGCATGCCATCAATAAAACTCCTGAAGACTCATTACAAAGTCTATGTCAGCCTTGGCACTGATCCAACGAAAATGATAGTTCGATCGACTTAAAGTTCACGCAATACTCCCTCCAAACCGCGGGTTTTTCCACGAAACGATCTTCTATAAATAGAAACAGTGATAGACTGCTTCGTCGATTTCTAGATTTCTTGTGGTAGAGATAGCCTTGAAGCGATTATTTCGGCAAAATAAAAGAAAAACAATGAGATCCAAGTGATAAATAGGCGAAACTTCAAAATCGTGAAAAACGATTTTAACATATATTTATTTGAACTCGTGAAAATTCTGAGTATCAGACTCCGTTTGTTCTCGGAACTTCCTCTGATATTAAAAATCGCCTCAATTTTAACCAGTTAATACAAAGTCTTGATCTCCAAAATGGTTGAGTGGGAATAAGTAATATATGCTGTAGAAATAAAGAAGTTGGTAAACTTCCCGTCATTACTTTAAAAGATAGGCTTGATAAAAATTGACTACAAAAGCTCAGGTTAACCGCAAAGGCAGAAAAATATCAGGTTAGAAAACTAAAATATGTGATTCAACGCGATAAAATAGAGTTATAAAATTTCTTACAAAGAAAAGAAAACTCTGTAAGAAAATATCACCAGGAAATAACGCTAGGATAATATTAATAATAAACACTAACCGATTTCTTCCGATGCGTTCCCAATCCTTGACATGAACGATCAAATTTTCCTCTACAGAAAGTGGTTGAGTGCCTAAATCCCATTCAAATTTCTGTTAAACACAATAGAAACAAAATATTAAAAATTTAAAATGAAAATTACGCTCTAAATTTATTTTATCCACAGTAAAAATTCGTGCGGCCATTAATAACACATTAGCGGTTCTCCCGTCCTTAGGTCGTCAAAAAGTAACCAGTGCTACCTCGTTCCACACTGGGTTCAGCTCATCTTTAATCACTTCTGTCTTTTTCTTTACCCCTGAAAATTAACCAAAGAATTGGCTTAACTTCTTGTTAAAATGCGTCAATGCCGAATTTAAAACAAGTTACAAAAGCGAATCGCCCCACCTCAAGCAAAATGTTAAAATAACACTGACTGTTAATACACAACTCAAAAATACGGTAAGTACAAACCTTGGAAAGTAAGAACGACATAAGGGTCGCTCTTTCCAATGGTCTCTACATTGGGCAAATTAACAGCACTGCTTACGGCAACCCGAAGCATTTTGGCTAGCTTAAGTGTTCAGATTTTGACTTTTTGAGCTTCATTCATTCATATTTCATTCAACCGCGGCCATCATGCAAAACATGTTGCCCTGAGATAAGATACAGCGCTTCATGCATGATGGGATAACAATAGAAATGCATAACTTATCATAAATTATTCATACATATCTATTGAAGAAAAAACATCAAATAAAGATAATCAAATCTTTTGTTTTGAGTGGTCGCTTTGTAAGATTATTGAACGGCAAACAAAGAAGTCAACAGAGCAGATAAATAGCTTTCTGGAATTGGTGAAGTAGAGGACACAGAGAGTTTCTGAACTTCGAAGGATACTGAACTTATTGTGTAAACATTCTGATTTCGACCTTATTTGAAAGTATTTTGGGCAGTTCTTTGCCCTTATGATTAAACACGGGTCCGTTTACGAAGAAATTTCCCCGAAATTAACACGCCCAAGAAAATTCTTGAAGTTTTGAGAAGAATTTTTGCACCGAATAAAACAAAAACAAAGGATTAATCTAACGCGATTAATGTTCGAGAAAACAGAACACTCCCCAGAGAGTCCATGATTTGTAAGGAAATCTCTTGTTTAAAGCAAACTTGTCGTCCCTGCCCTCAACAAATAATCCCTTCTTCATAGGGAGCAAATGTAATCCATGATTCTGCTCCTTGCAAAAACAAAAAAACTAAAATAATGAATCGGTTTACTTGTTCGAATGTTATCACGTTTACCTTGAAATTCCAAACTGGCGTACGGGTCACTTTTTCCTTTGCCTTTCTTGTCGACAGCAGGCAAGTTGGTTGCCTTTATCTCCCTCAATATTAGGAAAGGCATTTTATCTTCTTTGGGATTAACCTAAAGCGTTTTTCTTACATTCAGAACTAGCTTCACTGCCGAAGAAGATTGCCAGCCGTTTGGACCAACACCCGGAAAATTGAAGTGTGATACTTAGTGAACCTCGGCCGTCACGGAGTATCGTCTTTCTGACACATTCTTGCGATAGAACTCAACGCCTCGAAAGTTGATGAACCGTGACTATTAAGCATGTTACACGTTACGTGTTCTCTCAAGAATAATCTTCAAATGATTGTAAAACCCTGCAAAAATTTCTAGTAAGAACAATATCCTCGTTAACTCTCTCTTCATACAGAGACAAAACAAAGACTCTCGTGGCCCTGTTTACGTTTGTTTTCTAACAGATTCTGGACTAATTTGAGCTCATTTCCGCTCAGCAGGATTTCATACGAGGAGAAACATCGTCACACAATCTCCCAACCTTCGATCTCAGACTACCTAAGGGAGGGAGGGTCGGGGAGATACGAGACCCATAGGAAAAAATAGAACGAGAGAGAGTGGGAGAGAGAAAATTTCAGTACTCCTCTTCCATCTGCCTTTCACTTCGGGTTACGTCTCTCGTCCACCAATCGACATTTATATCTACATTAGGGGATTTGCAGTTATCATATAAATGGTAGCTGGTGCAAATGATAAGTGAAGCCATGTTAAAATCCTTTTCAGCACTGACGTTTCACTGATCGCGCTCCGTTAAGTATTCCTGATTAAAGATCCATTCCTTTTTATAAGAAGAAGGGAGTTTTGATTATACATATGTAATAATTATATAAAAGTTGACAACGACGACGGTACGTGCAGCGTAGGCAGGAACGTCTGGCGTAGGGAAGTTATCAGATTTCTTAGTACATATCCCACTCAGGCTCCTACCCACCCCCGCTTCTTAATTAACGCCTGTAAAAGACCTCTGTATATTTAAATCTTCCACAAAGCTGTTCTCCTTCTTCCTTATTCCATTTTTTTTCATAACTTTTCAATGTCATAAGTTATTATCAATGTGCAGTAATTTTCGAGTCCAGTCATTCTAGATTGTCATTAGCTATCTACGGGATAAAAAAAACTGTAACTTTTATCTTAAGAATAAAAAAATAAAAATTGTTGTAGTCTTTATGTATATGTAGTCATACCCTCCCCTACAAGTAGAAACGTTATACAGCCACACGAAGGCTAAGATTGTTGTTGTTGTTGTTGTCGTAGAATGTATAACAGATGGGAAGGGGGGAATTATACCTTTCTTTCCGAATTTCTTTCTTGGAGTTTTGATGGAAAAGATGCTCTCATAAAAGGCAGCAATTATTTTCGTTTTCTGAAAGGAGGGTTTTTTTTCTTTGCTATGGGAGACAATATCTTAAAAAAGGATTTTAGACCCAAAAGGTATCAGATCTTGTTGGTAAGTTTATTATTGGTAGATCTTTTAAAACAGCTAAATTTTATATGGATAAAAACTAATCAATTGTTTTCGTTAAAACGGTTCTAAAACATATGTCTTGCCTTTGACGCGGCGAATCTATTTATCGAGATAAAACAATACCCCTCGTATACTTTGCAGGGCTCTCAAAACTTTCATTGGCAAAAGTTAAGAAAACTTGACCAAAACTAAACCTTGACTAGCGTATTTGAGGCTCTCCAATCATTTCCCACACTCCCAAAGGCATCAAATACCAGGCAGTAATGGTTTCTACAACTGCAAAAAAATCCCGTAAAAAGTTTTCTTGATCGGAACAGAAGTTTTCGACTTGATGTCGACTTAGACAAAGTTCTGAAATTCAGACAAGGTGCTCGCAAGGAGTGCTGCTGGGCGATGGGACTAGACAGTGCACGCAATGTTGTTATTCACGATTATTGTGGAATATTCAATCTCAAGTGACATATTTACAAGACACCAACAAGAGAAATAATGGAACTATTATTTTCTCTTGGACACCAACTTTTCCTTAATCTTGATAGAACAACACCCCTTAATAATGGAGCCAACGACAATTATGAAGATGTTGTGTATTATGAACTAACTCACACTAGTGTTCCATCTCTATCAGTCGTTTTCTTCTAAGATCAAGACAACTAAACTTTCTCGTACTTAGCGAGCAACGAGGACTCGCAATCGTGCGACCACCTCTCTAGTAGAAATTTCTTTCTCGGAAATTCCTCTTCTGGTTTAAAATTCACGATGGCAGCCAAATCAGTTATTTGCGAAGAAATACTAAGCGTCGCCTCGCCAAAAATACGTTTGCACTGCAGGCTATTCGTGGTCTTTGGAGTAGGGGTGGATAGGGGTATACAATTCGCCAATTCGCCAAATCAATCAATTCAAAACAATGCAGAATGTTGAAATTGAGAGGACTAATAATTAAATAAATAACCAAATCTTTTTTCTTAGAATTGGAAATGATTTCAAAATCTCAGTCTGTTAGGTACGAACCCTGGTCTTAGGCAATGTGTAAGGCTTACAACGGGGCGTTATCTCGCCGCGCACCTTCATTCCCAGGCGTCATACGGCGCCTGGGCTCGCTTGATTTTACTTCAAATACGCACTACGGATTTAGCTGGGAATAATAATACTCAAGGTCCAGGGAGGTCTGGGCAACATTAGACTTGCTAAATTAATAAACCAAAATGTAACGGTCTTCATTCGACTTGACGTCGAATATCTTGGAAAAAAATATTGAAATGAAATATAATTGCACTTACATTATTTGAATACTCCACAACAAGGCTATTAGGTCAAGGAATCCAGCAGCACAATCTCTTCCCATGCTGAGAGGAACTAGCCTTAAGTCTGCTCTTTATTTCGCGTATTTGGATGAGGGGAATGGAACTTTTTACGTCTTATCAGTGAGATTTTACGATGAGAAAAAAAAAACGCTACAAAGGTTTGCAACATGAGTGAAATAAATATGTACGAAACCTACGCTTTTCTTTGCTGCAATAAATCGCAGTTATTTACCTCGGTAAATAAGCAATTGAAGAACTAATGAGATAAGTAGCGCTGATTCAACATGATTGGCTACGGTCTAAGGTGACATAAAACTGTGATTAAAAGCAATTTATCGTGTGCAATTTTTACAGCCTGAGTGAAAAAATACTATTTTGAAGGTGGTGGCGAACTACTAACTGTAATTAAACGTCTCCTTAAGCTAAAAAAAAACTTTTAAAAATAAATGTTCGTGATTTTCAAAGTGAAATGGACAGTTTCCCTTTCTTTTGGCACAGCAAAAAATCACGGCCTAAAGCAAATGAAAAACAAAAGATTTAAATCAATGAATGTGCTTAATTGGAAAAAGGGTCCGTCATTGTTCCTATTAAAATAGAATCCGCTGGCTAAATTTGATTCGTATTACGAAGCCATTTTAACCATTTTGGTTTAGAACGATGAGTGACTTTTGCGGCATTCAAATCAGTTAGTCTTTGAACATTGAAACTTCTGCTTTACAGAATGCATCTTTCGAATTCAGCGACGTAGTTCAAATAACTCTTAGAGACTCGAAAAGTGAAGAGCAAATGTTGAAGCTTAGGGTTCCTCTTAACGGTGCTGTGGTGAAAATCCTTTGAATGACAGTTGGCGTGAAGGTCAAGGAAAGAAAGGCTCTTCAGAGATTTCACCTTTTCACACGGTAGATAGGGAACATCGCAACATTGCCCGAAAGAGCGACGGAAACAGAAGAGGCAACGTCTTAGCAAAGAGCCTCGGCCTCCGAAAGGAAAGCAGGTATTTCTTTACATATATCTTTGCACTTTGGATCATTTTATTGAGAACGAGACTTGATGTCCACCTTTGTAACTCATTCTCGCAAAAAAAAAAAACAACATTGGGCAGGCATCACGATACTATTCGACAAGTTTTCGTAAAAATATCATGCGTTTCCGACCACCTCAATTTTTTTTACCACCAAAAAAAAAATTCATAAAACTTAATTAAAATGTGACGAGAGGTAATCATAATTGTTCGTAATTATCAACTGATCATAGGAAACCAAATTTTTTTTTTTTTGATGGTTGGGGAAAGATTTTCAATTCTTATAAATCACGGAGAATTTTTCTCAGATAATAGCTACCAACTAGCTAATCTAAAATTATTTTCCAACGTTTGGCATCATATTCCTGTTTTCATACTGAATCCAACATAGATGCATCGTGCCGATTTTCTGGAAGAAAATTATGACGTCTTTCCTATACTGCACGGTCTATATGCAGCGTGTGCCACAAGCACAATACTTCCATTTTTTAGCATTTTATCACATGGCCGGAGACGCATATCACGCACACCTATATAGCGATTATTGGTAAGCACTATCAAATGCGACCACGTCAAACTTCTTAGATTACCATGGCATTTCCAAGTACGGTCAAATAAAGCAAAGTATTTGAACGTTGAACCCTTTTCAAAGATTTTCTACATAGACTATACATTGTGCTTTGTAGAAACTATTGACGGATCGTGACACCATAAGAAGCTCCTTTTTCCTCAACGGCTGTCACGCAACGCTTCACTCTCTTCGAGGGGAGGCGGGGGAATGGAAAAAGCGTTGCGTAACATACCGACGTAAAGCTGTGAAGGAGACAGTGGGCTGTTCGGTCCAATTTGTAATAAACTCTATGGGCCAAACCAGGAAGAATGCTGCTTGATCAACATTATTTGACTGTATTGTAAACAAGGTCTGAACTTGAAGGTTTAAGACCGATGAACAGAACGAGGACAGCCTGGTTGTTTAATGTCTTTCTCGAGGCTGATAATGCAGAGTTCGATGCGTGACTAGACTAACCGATGGGTGCAAAGGATATTATTGCTTGTTCCCAGTCTTATCATTTCAGGAACTTAAAACAACAGTCCCTACTTATGTTGAAATGCTAACAGGTTGCAATAAAGGACCAAATTTGGATATATCACGACATCTTCGTTGAATGGCAATTTTTTTTGGTGAGTTTTCATTTTCTTTTTTTCTTCTTGGAGATAAGTAATGTGATTACGCCAAGGTATTTATTGACAAATTCAAAAAGTATTTATGCCATGAACGCTGTGCTGTATAAACCCCTGCTAGGAGAATTTATAACTCTTATCTTCATCATCGTTGTTTCTATCATCATCATCATCATTATTATTGTTATTAATGTCATTATACTACTCTATTATTATCACTATTACCATTATTATCATTTATATTATTATCATTTAAAAAAAATGTGAAATGGAAGACGTTAATAAGAAAAAGAGATGTTGACTATAGAAGAACGTAAGAGACTTCATGTTGCGTGACAGCAGTGTATCTACTACCCAGTGACAGGTGTTTAAAATATATCTTACTATCAAGAGACAATGAACTTTAGCTACAGGAATTGATGGACTCTTTCTAATTATCACCTAGCAGCAACCAATCACATTATCTAATGAACTAGCATAAAATCCATGAAAATCAAGCGTCCTTTTTCATGTGAAAAGGGTGATTCTTGCACATCTGTTGTACAGAGTGAATACTTCAAAGTGAGCCAAGAGATTAAATAATTAGACAAACGACTACTGATTGTTTCTTACCTGTAGTTCAGTAAACTTAGTGAACGGAGCTAAGTTCTCGACAAGAAATTAAAATTAGATGAATCGATACAGCAGACACCCTGTAATTAATCCTTCGAATTATGCCTGATCTTTGAGTCTATAAGGTAAGTTTTTAAAAAATGTATTATGACTGGTTGATGGTTGCTCCTCCTTGAAGATTCTCAAAATATAGAAAACTGTAACATTCAGTTAAACACCAACAGTAGTCTCGTACCCAGATCTTCCACGGCCAAGCGGTGACAGTTATGGTTAAACGATAGGAGTTAGGTAGGAGATTATTAGGATCCCTGAGAGACCTGTCATTCTTTATCACCTCGGGGGGTGGATTTTGGGGAATCACCTGATTTTCAGGGGGAAGAGAGGGGAATCATTCGTCCCTAGCAGAGTTTGAAATAGTATAAAGACTGATGGTCACCATAATATTTCACATAATTTGCTTGAGAATATTCACAGGCACTGTAGCGATCATTCTGCATTTGTTCCGTCACCTGGGGTGGCTCAAAACGGTTCCGTTACAGTCTTTTTTAATTGTTTGATGATTCGATACCTCTTTGATTTTTCGTCTTAGTCATTTCCTTTTCACATGAAAGGGTTCCACCGCCCGTTAAAACCCGTTCGGGTTACGGGCACATGAAACTAAAATAAAGCGGAGATGCCATGGTGACCTGCCGCTTCGCGAGAAATTTCTCAACTCGTTCAGTGTAGTGATGATTGGGCAATTGTGTTGTGCTGTCTCTGCAGCACTTAACAAAAATGGTGATAATCATTCCTAATTCATTTATTAAATTCTATTGAAATCGTCTTACGCCTAATTTAGGCAGTGCGTGTGAGCCGGGGTGTCAGTCAAACGCGCGTGAGAAACTAGCATGACAAACCTTTTTTTTAAGGAGATTTAACCTTTTTTTTTAGGAGGTTTCCTAAAGTGCCAGGATAGCTTGATTATTCCGCTCTCGGTCATCTCGTTTCCTATATTTTTTCCTTTTTTTTTTTTTTAACTCAGTCAGACTGAATAAGGAAATAAAACAGGATAATCTCGGTTATTTGTTTTACATGATTCTCACTTGCTTGAATATTTTAATGAATCCCTTTACTTCCTAAAGAAAGTGCCCCTTTGTACGCTTTTATTTTATCCTATTTCCGCTTTCTTAGTTCTGCCGACGCTCTTCGAAAAAAAAAAGAAAAAAAAAAAAGAATAAATTTAACGGAATTAATAGTAGTCCCTTCAACGCTAATTTACGGACTGTGCGTCGATGTGATATTCCTTAAAAACCACTTTTACCTGCACCTTAGTTCTAATTGTTTCAGAGGTCACCCTTGTGTTCAGTATTGTCTTATTTTTAAACAGACAAAAGCAATATTCAGACTACTAATGAGACTTTCAGACGAGCAAATAATTACAAAAGGAACTAGATATTCATCAGCAATTTTTCTAAAATTCATCAGAAAAATTAAATCAAGAAAATTTGCTCAGACAAGAAAGTAAAAGTATTTACTGCTAAAATTCAATTTTCGGAAAATTGATGCCGGGACTAATATATAAAAGCTTTTTCACTTTAAAAATTCCTTCTGCAAATTAGATTGAAAGCCGTTTCCCTAACAATTCGTTTCCTGCAATTTCATTAAATGTCAGATAAGTGTAATCGTTTTATTCTATTTTTTTCCTCTTAAAATTTACATCGTTAATCTCGCATCATTTCAGTGAGGAAACAGTGGATCTATTCCATCTATAGAGTGAGCCGGTTATTTTGATAATGACGTCATTACTGTGTAGAGTTGTCAAGGGTGGTGTACTGGAGCGAACCTGCTCTCGATAAACATCTTAAACAGCTCGGCCCAAACACTCGATTCCAAATTACTCTGCAGGGTACAGAAGGCAGGCACGCGAAGAGGCAAAACATTGAATGAAATCCGTCACTGTAATTATTATTTTCCTTCATTATATCCAGCAGGGATACTTCTTTAACTTGAGGGAAGGCACAGACTTGATAAAAAAATATAGATATCTATAACAAATCCACCAATCAGAAGCCTCGTTTGTGTTTCGGTTCATGACAGCCATATTACTGTGGGTGGTTTCCTACTATCCATTTTATTTCCCATGATTTGGTCCGAGTTATGGAACTAGAGAATATTGTAGCTAACACTGTTTATTTAAAAGCCAGAGAAAGTGAGTATAACCTCGAATTTTGCAGTTAATAGGTCACCTTGCGGTGGATGAAAGCTCGCAAATGTTTCGAACACTTTTCTGCTCGTCGAGTTCGTGCATTCGAACTGAAGTGTCACACAGGACTCTATTCTAATATTTTGAACGTGTTTCTCCGTGTTGCAGGTAAAACTAAAGGCAGAAGTAAAAAATGGAAAGAACTACTGAAATTTCCGCATCATACTATATCTGCAGCTATTAAGAACGATGGTAAGCTTTCATGTTGAGTTCTTCTGACGGTAGAATGCAGGTTTTCGTTATGAGCTGTTCGCCTGATCATATTCTAGGTTAAAATGGCTCGTAAATTCAGTAAGGTAGACTATTCGTGCGTTTCCTCCCTACAGTTGTTCTCACGTATGACAGAATTTGTGAGAAGGAACCCATTGGGAGAGAACTCTTTCGGTTATTTTGCGCTGGCGATGCTCCACTTCAGCAAGCCATCGACTTCCTCGATGAAGTGGTAAGCAGAAAATCTCGCATGTTTGTTGGTACCTTGCTTTGCAATTGCATGGACAGTCTTGCGTAATTCGCGGACGCTCTCAATTATGCTGCGGAAGCTTTGATAAACGAATCATTGTTTTTTGTCTTGTTCTCAAATTAGGACGTATTCGATAAAGCAGAAGCAGCGAAAAAGCCCGAGTTGGCTCGTCAACTGGTAGCGAGACATCTTCCCGAGGATTCGGTAAGCAGCGAACTTAGGTTACTAAGGACATGTTCTTCTCTTTTATTTATTCGGGCAGAATTTGTCGCTCATTGCAGATAATTTAGATCGTTAACGGTTCTGTTGGTTGGGATCACGGCAATAACTTTAAAGTTCTTTACGTATATCATGACCGTCTGGTTTATTCTCGATGGCCCTCGATAAAATTCTATTGCTTCTGTGATCTGCGAATTGAATTACCCATTAAAATTAGGGTAAAAGTAAATGATTAGAATTCCAAGTTGACTTACAGCACTTCTTGCGCGTTAATGAAGAGAATCATTTATAATTTAAGGTCACACTGAAATCACATTTCACCTTGTTGTGTTGTTTCGTGTCGAACCAGATAGCATCACGATTGATTATTCGTCAGTGTCTCTGCATGATCTCTCTTGCCCGAAATACGATGTATATACAATCCATGATGATTTAATTTATAAATATTGAAACCCTAGTGGCTTGACAGCTCCCCAATCTACTACAAGCCTTTCATATTTTATTTAATTTCTCTACACCCAACTGTGTTCGTAGAGCTCTTAAATCGCAGGAAATATCTAACCAAAATAACTGTAGTTGGCCGAAAGCGAGTTGTAGATCTTGTCTTAGCGCATCTACCTGTAATTTATCGTTGCAAATTTCTACTGTTTACTTTTCTTTAATGGAAGATTTGCTATCTTTTATGTGCTCTTGATATTGATCACCAACTATTGTAGATCTTGTAAACCCAACAGAAATTGTAATGCTAGAAACCGGCTCTGAACTGTTTTTCCGCAGACACTGTTTTTGGTGTGAATTTTGTTACGCTCTTATCATTGAGAGATCAAGGGATCTGCTTATTGCCAGTGTTTTTTTTTTTTTTAGAAACTTGGTGTATCGTCTGTAACACGAACTGGTTGAAACTTACCAACCCCTCTCTCACTTAAAAAAAAATTGGTGTTTCAAAGATCCAGCTAATTTAAACATGTTAGCACAACACATTGCCTGAATATTTTTTGACACTGTCTATGTACGCATTGCGAGTCTTGCTTTACGATTGCAGCTGCCTTTTCCTTGTTAGCTTTCGTATGAATCCAGGGTAGTGCAGTTAAACAGATAAATGGTTATACCTCTAATTTGTTGCAAGAACTACCAAAAGACCTGTATCAATAATTAAATGTTTAGACTGGAAAATATACACGAATTTAATTGAAGGAAACTGTAGTCTTTGAGAGAATGTTCTCCATAGTATGGCAAAAGGAAAGAAATTCTCCTAAAATTTGCAGTGCTGCCATATATATAATTGTTGGGTTTTTTTTTTAGATTTAATTACATTCAGAGGATGAAATTGTGCAATGAATTGATTTGAAGTTATTTTGCTACAAATTTGTAAAGTGTTTTTTAAATACATTGTATATTTCTTGAGCAGTGACCTGCGAGGTAAAGAAAAATTACTTCGTGAAACTGTTCTTGATATTATTATAAGCGCTTTACTCTTTGAATTTTTGTGCTGTGTTTATCTTTTGGTGTGTGGGATACTAAAAGCAAAATTTGTTATTGTCATGCTTCAAGAAATTTTATTAATTTTGATACTATAGTTGTTTTGAATTCAAAATAAATTATATGTAAAGTACCCTTCTAGTGGTCAACTAGAAAATATAAATGGGAAGGTTTTTGGTCACTGTTTAGAGCTATAAAGAAAAATTAGCTCAAAGTATAAACAAATATTATTAGTTACTGACACACATTAACTTTGTCCCACATAGAGTGAGCTATCAGAGCCTTATCTTAACCCAATTTCCTCACATCTTTGTATGGAAAATCAGTGATGGATGTCTTAAAAATTTTTCTGTCTCTAATAAATTAGATTACTAAAACCAAACATTTTTATTCATCGCATATGGATCACTTTTATGAATAAAAAGATTTGGAAGAATTGTTTTTTGCTAATCAGATCTCTTTAAATATTGGTAATCATTCTTGACACAGCCCCATACACATCCTTGTTTTTCAGAAATTCTAAAACATTTGAGAATGGGAAATTTCAGCTGCCCAAAAATCTCTGTTTATTCTATCTATCAAACTTATACCCTCCAGGGAGGAGGAGGGGAAAAGTGTTCAAGACAGAAACTTATTTGTGATTGTGATACCTCCGCCTTGCGTGTATCTGGTTCTGACAAGCATGTTCAAATGGACCATTGACAAGGAGGTTATAAAATATTTTCAGTATCACTGCTAATAGGACTGTGCACCATTTTCATTTGCACATTATTTAAAAAAAAAATTTCTGGACCTTTAAGGTATCCTGTTCAAGAGGTGAACAGTAAAAATGGATCATAATATGTCATTGTTATTTACAGCGACGCACATCAACCTTCAAATCTCAGCTTAGTACCAGGATACCAGGATGTTTGTTTCTTGCATCTCATTGCATTCTTTTTTTTGTTTGTTTGTAATAGCAACCAAGAGTGGCTGGTATCATGGATGACACAGCAGAAAAAACAAGAAGCATAGTGGCCAAATCTACTGATGAAGAATTCTCTATGGAGTTCTTTAGAGATGCTGTGAGGTATTACTAACAAGTTGTGCTGTAAAGCTTTTATTAGTACAGATGTAAAAGAGAAGTGGTTGACATGTGTTGTTGTGTGGAGCTATTGATTGTGGCAAAGCTTGTCGAAAGCTTCACTTCTTGTTTTCCTATCATGAATCACATGTACAAGTACAGTGATAATAATGATAATAATAATGATAATAATAGTAATAATAATTACTTGACTTAAGTGTTGCCAGTGATTGTGTGTAATTGTTTCTTTTAAAGAGGCATATTTCTGGTGTCAAAAGTCATACCTAAGAGTTGCATTAAAAGAGTATAAAACTTTACTCCAATTTGTTAACTCTTTAACTCCCATGAGTGACCAAGACAGAATTTCTCCTAACAATATCAATACAATATCAAGCAGACAAGAGATGAGAATGAAGAAAAATATAAATTAAGGGAATATAAGTTGATCCAATACTAAATTCTCCAAACAAACATCACGTAGAACTATATGGCAGACAGTAAGGAGAATTACTAATGAGATCTTGGGAGTTAAAGGGTAAAGTCATAATACATGTAACAATTTTATTGGTGTTTGAGAGTGAATAGCATCTCATTTCTCCTTATAACATCACTCTCAAATTGCACATGAAAATGGGGGATCTCTACTGGCTGCTAAGAGTCTGAGCCTTAGCTAGTTTGATACAGGATTTAGCAAGTATAGCAAAAATATGTCAAATAGGAAAATTGTGAATTAAAAAATAAACCCAACATCATCAGCCAAAATTCTTATTCACTTTTTTTTAAAGAGTGATTTTGTAATTCCTAAGGTTTTGACTGAAAATATGCTTTATTGAACAATGTCATGTTTCTTGGATATGAGATGTTAGTTTTGTACATACTCTCTTACTATCCATGTTTCTAGCAGCTTGAAAGTGTCTGCCAAGAAAAGGGTAGGCTCACTGTGTAAAAGAAGGAATATTGGATTTCTACTTCCTTTCCATGGCAATTTATTTCATTTTCCAAGTACTTCAAAAAGTAGTGATGGCCTTGATAATCAACTCAAACAGTCTATTAATTGCCATGACATTCAGAAGTTTTCTGGCCTTTCACAAGTATCAATAAGTGCATAAGATGCTTGTGGAAACAGAATGACATAAATATTATTGGAGAGTGCTAGATAATTATGCTTCTCATAGATCTAATCAACACTGTTCATAAACTCTTTTTTTTTTCTTACAGGGAAGTCAAGGATTTCTTGGGGGAAAAGCCTTTTGAGGATTACCAGCATACTATGTACTTTGCACGGTATCTTCAGTGGAAGTGGCTTGAAAGGTAACTTGCTTAAACCTTGAACCCCTGCGAGTGACTGAAATGTAGTTTCTCCTTACAGTATCACTCTTGAATCAAACTTTTAAGGCCATGGGAATAAGGAGAATGATCACCCATGGGCATTGGATAAGCTATTGATTGTTGAAACAATTATAACTAATTTAAGCCACTTATGATTTTTCAGTTTTCATCCATCAGCAAAGCTAAGTCATTCTGCTTGGTTTGTTGGTTATGAATAAGGAAAGTATTTGTTTGGTGCCAGAGCTAGTTGAGATCTGTGAGAGGAGTGTGTTTCAAGTCGAGTAACCCAGCTTCCAAAGTCATTCACTGACAGTGGCTAGTACTGTAAGCCATAAAGAGAGCAGAGTCTCTTGTCAATAATGAGATTCTTAAAGTCATGGCTGACTTTTGAAACTTACTTTATAGCCAGTGATGATGTTGAAGCTGGAGTCACTAACCCTACCTGTAACATGTGGCCAACAAACAACTTCTCACTTGACTCTGATAATGACTTAAGCTAAAATTGTCAAAATATCAATCACTGATACTGACAGTAATTCATCTGAAGACTATTCGTGCCACCCAAGAATCAGGCTACACATTCAATTAACTGTTACTTCTGGGTTCAAACCTTTTAATATTAAGAAGTAAGTGTGTTCCTACATGTTCTTAAACTGGGCTATTTTGTTTATCAACAGACAACCTGTTACAAAGAAGACATTCCGCCATTACAGAGTGTTAGGGAAAGGCGGATTTGGAGAGGTAAATGGAATTTATTTTTCATAATTATTTAGAGTGGGAGCTATATGGCCACAAACTGATGGACTCCATACATTTGAAGTGTAGCAGTAAGAAAATTGCCTTTGAACAAAGACAATTTTTGTCTTCTAAAATCACAGCATTTTCCTAGGAATGACTTTTAAGTTCTACCTCAGTCCTTTTAAATGGTGTTAGGGAAAATTTCCACTACCTCTGCAAAGAAAAAGGGGTGATATAATCCTATTACTACTATCAATATCTTTACCAGACATTGATATTTAGAAGTTAATGCTAGTTGTCTCCATTGTAGGTCTGTGCATGTCAAAGCAAAATCAGTGGGAAAATGTATGCAATGAAGAAACTAGAAAAGAAACGGATAAAGAGAAGGAAAGGAGAAGCAATGGCATTAAATGAGAAGCAGCTCTTAGAAAAAATTGACAGCAGATTTGTGGTGAGTACTAATACCTATAAAATTAAAAGTTGGTGATGTTGAATAAATCTAAAACCAATTGTAACTATCTTTTGCTTCCTTTTCTCTGCCAGTATAGAAGATTAATCAGTTGTTAATCATAAACCTTCTCTAACTATCTGAAAATGATTGAAATTATTTTTGTGAATTGTTATAAAGGTTTTTTCCCTCCCCCCACATGCTTATAATCCTCTTCCTACTTACTCTATATCTTATAAAGAAAAAAGTACATTCATAGAACAGATGGTATGATAAGAATTATAAAACCATGATTTTTATTGTCTCATGAAATGCTGTGAGAAATGAAAACCTTAATGTGATATTAAGGAAACCAAGAGTTGTACAATAAACACCCGCAGATAAGCCACTCCTGGAGTATGGCAGCTCAAATTTTAAAAAAGAAATCACTATTAATGAGAGTGTTAAGAAAGTTATTGGTTGCTTCACAGAACATCTACAGGTCTGCATAAACTCACTGACTTAATGAGAATGCTGTAAGCAGTTCTCACCAATAATTTTAGCTGTAGTAGTATGGAAATCGTATGTACATGTACCAACAAAGACTTATGGTTGATCTTACTCTGATACCATTCAACCAGTGTTTCTTTCCTGTCAGATTTTTTAAAAGACGACCATTAGGGCGTCCTTAGCTTAGTAACCAGGCATTTGATACATCATGAAGAATGTTTAATGAATAGTGTTAATTTTTGCTGATTTGTGGCACATTTTTCAGATGTAAAAAAGCCACAACCCTAATTTATTAAAAAAAAATTGTGGGGAAAAGGTGCAGCTTATCTGCATGTGTTTGCAGGAATTGGAATGATTGTAGCCACAATTTTAATTCTTTTCTTTTCAAACTTTGTTCTTTTTGAAGGTCAGTCTAGCATATGCTTATGAAACCAAAGACGCGCTCTGTATGGTCTTAACACTAATGAATGGTGGAGATCTAAAGTTTCATGTCCATAACATGGGTAATCCTGGATTTGAAGAAGAAAGAGCTGTATTTTATGCTGCAGAAGTAATGCTAGGATTAATTCATTTACATTCAAAGAGAATAGTATACAGGTATGTAATTTTAAAAAATGTAGTGTATTTTTTAAAATGCAGTATTCTATCTATAGGTGTTTGGGTGTTTTTCAAAGGGTATGGACATTTAGAACAGAAAGGCAGCACTGAGAAGTCCTAAAGACTCCTTTAGCTATCAACTACGGAAATATAACTTGGTACAGACCTGTAGTGTAGGTAGTCTAGGGAATCTATTAAGCTTCTTTGATATTCCTGGAATGCAACCAACTTGAAGAGAATTACCAGTAGAAGTAATATGATCAGTTAGAAGTAATATGACTTTTTTTATAAAGGCTTCAAGCCTTTATAACCCCTTACTCAGCTGTCAGTCTCAAATGCGCTCAAAGATCAGATATACAAGTTCAATGTAGAATGATTAAAAAGAAAATAGAATCGAACATTGTCTGCAGTTTTATCATTACAGCAGAATTATTGAATGATGTACCTCTTATTGGTCTTGGTTACAGAGATATGAAACCAGAAAATCTGCTTTTAGATGATTATGGTCATGTCAGAATCTCAGATCTTGGTTTAGCTGTTCAAATTAAAAATGGAGAGACAATACGAGGGAGAGTTGGAACAATAGGCTATATGGGTAAGTTTGCTCCTTTGTTGTTACTAAGCATAAGTCACTTTGTAATTAAACCTTTCACTCCCATGAGTGATCAAGACAGAATTTCTCCTTACAATATCAAGACAATATCAAGCAAACAAGTGATGAGAATAAAGAAAATATCAATTAGGGGATTATAAATTGATCCAATCCTAAATTCTCCAATCTAATATCACAAGAACTGTATGGCAGACAGTAAGGAAAGTTACTAATGAGATCTTGGGAGTTGAAGGGTTAATTAGCCTATTCACAATGTAGAGTGAGCCAATAAGTTTTTTTCTTGATAAAATGTCAACCTACTGTCAAGCAGACAAGTGGTGTGAAAAAATAAAACTATCAACTAAGATTAATTTTTAGTGAACCGGAAATTCTCATACTCAACATAACATGAATGGTGCATAAAGAAGGGTGGGGAATTTGATCAAAATATGTAATAGCTATTTGGAGGTCTTTTGGATTTAGAGTTGTGTAAGAGTGTAGTAACAGCACTCAATCAGAACAAAGGTTGACATCAAAAGAAGCAAGAGATTTCTGAGGTCAAACACTTTGAACTGATATCAAATGTAGGAAAGTGCGAATGAGTTGCAATCATTTCAAGTTTCACTTTTTATTGGAAGCTAACATGTAACAGCCAGATAGCAGTTGAATTTAACTCAAAGAAAGCTTCTTTCATTTTCTTGCAACTGATTTCAAAACAAACATGCCTGGATAATTTTTTTTTCCTTTTTGTGCTGCAGCTCCAGAAGTTGTAAAAAATGAACGCTACACATTTTCCCCAGACTGGTGGGGTCTAGGGTGTCTTATCTATGAGATGATTCAAGGAAAGGTTAGTAAACCAAGACCTGCTTGATGGGCTCCACTTCTTTAGATCTGGAGAATTTTTCATGAGCCTAGCAGATCTAGTATCATGTAAAGTTACAGTGGTAAGTTTCATTTTATGTTGTTGTGTTGTTGTAGTCTCCGTTCAGAGCAAGAAAAGAGAAGGTGAAGAGGGATGAAGTGGAACGGAGAGTTAAAGAGGACGAAGAGGTGTACACAGAAAAGTTCAGTTCATCAGCAAGACTAATATGTAGTCAGGTAACATCTTGAATGTTAGAGGACTGTAATGAATTGCATTAGGGAAAATAACTTCAGCACATGACACAACAGTCACAAAGCCCCTTCCTGCCCATAAGTATGCAATGTGAATCACAGGTTTTTTTTTGATAATTATTATCAGTGGGTAACCTGGTAGGTTGCTGAGAGGACCAAATGGACTAAACAGTTTCTAACACTGCTCCATGCCACAAACATTTTGCTTACCATAGGGAGTACAAAAAAATATTTGTAGCAAAGGTTGGAAATTTGGGGAACCTTTTTGTTTGGCAATTTTTTCAGGCATCTTTTCTGCAACTGCTTAAATTACAACTCACCTGCTAGTATCATTGCTTTAGCTGAGATGAAAACAAAGATGAACTTTTTCATTAAATATGATTTATTTTTGTCCTACTTGAAATGTTTTTTTCTTCCATCTTGGTTGGCCTTGAGACATGACTTCAATTCTCTTGCTAACCTGATTTTGAAAGCTGTGTAGTACATTATTTATTTATAATATTACACATTCAAACTGTCCTCAACTTATGGTTAGCATGTGATATTTCAGCTTTTGTTGGATACCAATTGAATCATGTTGATATTACAGTATATCAAGGCTACTGTCGAGGGTGTTGGTTAAAGCTTTTACAGTAAATGACAGAAAAATGGGGTTTTTTTTATTAGAAGCAAAATTGTTCATTTCACACTCTGAAGATATGATGTAAAAGAAACTGACTGGAACAGAGTTGGTTTTTCTTGGAAAATGTTTGGATGGCATTGCTCAGCCTTCATCGGTTGGAGTTATTAGTTACACAGCTTAGAACTTCATTTTGCTGTTATGTCGCTTTCCTTTGATGCATTATTTGCTCTTTTTCTAGGCACTTCAGAAAGAAGTAATTAACAGATTAGGTTGTGGTGATTCAAGTGGAGAAGAAATAAAGAAACATATTTTCTTTAGAAATATTAACTGGCCCCAGCTGGAAGCTGGAATCTTCAAACCTCCTTTTGTACCTGATGTAAGTTTGGAAAGTCATTAAATACTATTCTTATCTAGCTTTGACCACCCATGGCATCACTAAGCAGCTGATTTTAATCTGTGCATTACATTGAAAAAAGTTGGTTTTATCCTTAATATGAAATTTCCATTGGTTTTCTTAGCATGAAGAATTGCTTTGACTTTGACATTGTGGCTCCCCCAAAAAATTTTCCTGGCTGTTCCCACCAAATCTGTAATTCTGTGGGTATAAGTATCAGCTAATACTGATCCTGGCCATCCTTGTTTTAAATTACTAATCTGAGAGAAAGGAGACCTATTCATTCTCTCAAGAATGAGTCAATGTAATTGAATTTGCAGGTTAACCCTTTAACTCCCAGATCAAATTTGTAATTCTCCTTACTCCCAACCATGCAATTCTTATAATGTTAGTTCAGAGGATTTAGTATTGGATCAACTAATTATCCCCAAATTGATATTTTTCTTTACTCTCATCATTTATCTGGTTGATATTGTCTTGATATTGTAAGGAGAAATTCTGTCTTGGTCACTCATGGGAATTAAAGGGTTAAATGTTTCCTGTTATCCCCCTACCAGAGACTTAAGAGGCCTATAGGGACATGCATGTGCAAAAAAAACCAAAAAAAAAGAGGAATGAATGAAGAGAAGAAATGATTAAAATGAAATAAAATAAAGAAAAATTTGATGACTAATGGGTCAAAATGGCTTTCTCTAACTTTTCCAGACCACTGCTTGATTTACTTACTACTAAGATTTTTTTCACAACAACAAAAAAAATTTATTCCCTTGTGTAACCTCTTGATGGGGACCAATGTATTTCTTATTTTCACACTGGTTACAAATGAACAAGATCTCACTTTAGGTAATCTTTTCATAGCAAACAATATTTTTGAAAACAACTCTCTGTCATCAGTTAACCTTTGCTTTTTGAACATTTCTAGCCTAGAGCAGTCTACTGCAAAGATGTCCTAGACATTGAACAGTTCTCTTCTGTGAAGGGCGTTCGTTTGGATGAAAGTGATGAGGAATTTTATAGGAAATTTTCAAGTGGATCAGTTTCAATTCCTTGGCAATCTGAGGTACTTCTGTTAAACTTTTGTTTATTTGTGTTGTGGTTTTGATGGTGAGCACATTTGCCTCCTTACTCTGTAGTTCAGCTTTTAACCCCATCATGATAGGTGCCCATGGCTTTTTCTTCTTGTTCTTTGTGAGACAGTTCATGCACACACTCAGTGCTTGCCATTTATTGTCATATGATAAGCTGAACCCTGCACTCATTTAAATTGGTTCTTATGCAAGATCCATGGGGTGACAGACACATAGGTGAGATCACCATGAGCAACATTTTGCTTTTTTACTATAGAAAACAAATAGATTCCATGTTGTGGTGGGTCTGTATAGCAATGGATCACAGAAGATGTCAAAATGTGGTACAAGCATCAGAGATACACTCAGCTGTGCTCCTTTTTTGTTCTTGCCACCTTTTGACAGCGTCAGTGATCTATTACTGAACAGATGCATGGCAACGTGGATTCTTTTAATTGAATTTTAAGTAGTTGTCCCTCACTTTAGGTGACTGTGATAATTGAAGAACAGTTGTCTGAATAGACCTGATTGGGTTAATTTTTGAAATAGGTCCATTCCTAATTATAAAAAACCTGTCTAAATTCCTTCTGCAGATGATCGAGATGGAGTGCTATAAAGAACTGAATTTATTTGAGGTTAATGGTGTGCCGTCACCTGATCTTGTAGGAGATGCACCACCAGAACCTCCCAAGAAAAGAGGAGTGGCTTGTTGTTCAGGCTCGGTTAGTGTGTATCTCAATCTTTTGCTAGTTTTACAAGGTTTATAGCAGGTGCAATTATATACCGTAGTTCTCCAAAAAGAAAAAAATTGACAAGTATTTTTGCTGAATTATATGGATGTTCAGGTTGACATGGGTGTTGTATAATTGCCATATGGCATGGTTAATGTATGTGACACAGTTCTTAAAAGTCTTCTCTATCATAATGGTTTACTTGTCAATCTCCAAAATTGAAACAGCAGAAATTATTATTTCCTTACCTGTAGTTTTAGTAAGAAATTGCATGGTTAACCAACTGTATGTTCTCCCAGTTTTTGAATGTTATTGACAACTTGAGGGTTTTTTTCAAGTTGGTGTTTTTTTTTTTAGCAAAGGGCATTTAAAATTAAAAATATAACTTATTACAATTCTTTTGTTTTGTTTGTTTGGTTGGTTGGTTGGTTTTTTTCAATGGTAGGATTTGTTATCATAATTTGCTAGTATTAGGACAACTCCTTTATTTGTTTTTCTTTTCTTACTTGCAGGATGATGGCCTTTAACAGTAAAATTAAAAACAAACCTGTTTGTACAAAATAAAAAAGTTATAAAAATATTATTTTAAATTTACCTCTGTAACTAATAGCATGCAATCAATAAGTAGTCATTTTGATGTACAGAGGAGCTGCTTGACACAAAGGCTCACACACAAGAAGTTTAACAAAGTAGTGTATTAGAGGGTACACAATCTAGTTGTCTGGGAAATTGGTAGTGATGCCATGAGAAAATAGATTATCAACTTTTGATAGATCTTTTTACCTCTGGTAGAAAGGGATTTTTTGCCAGTGATCCTGCCCTTTTTATTTTCAAAGACTGTTACCTGTATCATTCATGACATGCTTCTGTTGTGCTGTGTGGCTCAAAACTTGTTCAATATAATGACCAGAAGCGAAATTCTCTCGGTTTCTCTAATGGATATCCTTAATGATATGTGGGAGATTTTGATTGTTAATCTGACGGCATTTGTAAACCAGCAAATCTGTTGTAAAATAGTAGATAAATCCCTTTTTGCCTTGTAAAAACTAGTACAGTTTTCAGGCAATAAAGTTTTGTACAGTTGATTGATTACTATATCTATAATTTAGATTCTTCACCCACTGATTGCTCCTTATATCAGTGTTTATTTTTGTTGTTACACGCCTTTGATGTGTCTCTGATGTCACTGCTGTGTCTCAAAGCATACAGCTTCATCATTTCTTGACTTTGGTTGAGTTCTCATTAACACAATGCAACCTTGATTGTTTTTAGCTCTTCTCTATAGGCTTGGTTGGTTTGTTAATGACTGTGCTGTAAGAATGAATTCCAAACTGTCATGTTTCTAAAACCCTTAAACCTCTAACCCTTTAAGTGAATAGCATTCAATTCCTCCCAAAAAAATCACTGCAGAATCAAACATAATAGGTCAAGGGAATATAGGATATGCATGATTATCAACCAAAGAAGATCTTGACTTTAAAACAAATTCTCCTTGTCATTATTATAGGATTTGTTTGGAGAAAAGTGTGGAGAATGTGCATACTGATGTTAGAGTGTGAAGGATTAAATGAATTAACTTTAGCATAAACCTAACTTTTTGGAAGTTTACCATCTTATTTTTCAAATATGGAGGAAGGCAAAGTGTTTCAAAGAATTTTGTAACTAAAAAAAATGACTAAAAAGAAGTCTTAGGCCATTAGTTAGTTTTTAATGTTCTCCTTTTCCAAGAAAAAAATATGGAAAGCTGTTTTACACTTAGCATAGAGAAAACAGAGCTCTGAAGTGAATTTAATTGAAATGTCACTTGCTAATTGTGCTTGGCAATGTGATCTGATAGAAATTTGTAATTAATAGATGTATTCTTCTGCATCATGTAAAATATCATGAAAAAGGCTCGGATTCTAAGAGCAACTAGACAAAGTCTTTTGCTTTTTTTTAAATGACATTTGATGTGCTTAAAATATTTTTGGCACACTAAGGTTGCTGCTACCTATGTTCTGCAACTTAATTCTCTTTCACCTAAACATAGATTACTTTTTAAGTTCAATTTTCATGTGTTATTGTTGGGTAAAAGCTCGAACAATTGTTAAACACTTACTATTGCACAGTGTGTGAGAAGTACCTGTGCATTAAGATCACGTTTTCCTTTTTCCTAGTACATTGATGAATTGGTGATATCAAAAAATATATAATTGAACATTTTTGTGACATCTTTTTTTTTCTCTTTTTTTTAAGTGATATATCAATAAACCTCAAATATGAATGATGCATTTGGTGAATTGGATGAGCATGATAACATACAAATAGGGGTCTGTCTATGATGCACAAATGTTACATCACCTCTCGTGCTTTGGAGTAAGGAAAGTGCCAAGAAATTTGAAATTTGATTTAGAATAGGGCTCATCTTATTGTCAAGTTATTAAGCAAAAAGTTTGAGACCTTTATGCAATACTTTACAACAACTTATGGCTAGGTGGGTAGAGTGGCAATCAAACTACACTTTGGTCTTGAATTTCAGTAATTTTTACCCCTGTTTTTCTAAAGCAGTCTCCACTTAAGCATAACTTGAGAGTAATTTTGTGATGATTTGTTCAGATAACTTTGCAATTGCATGATCCTCTCCACCAATTGGAAGCAGAAGTACCAGTTACAACTTGGTTGTCAGGGTTTTTGTACCTGTCTTAACTTTGAGTTCTTCCTGACCCCATGTTATTGATATTGTTGTTGTGTAAGGCTGTTCTTGGGTGGTTGATCTTAGTTTGACAATTATCTAATGATTACTGCTATAGATAAGTTTATACAGCTTTTAATGGATGTGAATATTTGGCTGATTTTTGTAATTTGGTAAAATTAAAAACAGATTTGGCTGGCTTTTGTAACTATTGAAAGGGTTGTGGGTACCATAACTGAAAAACACCTTAGAGGGAAGGTCTTGAGTATATCATGGAACAACACAATGATTTGGTATATATTTTTGATTGGATAGTGTTAAGATATGGTTTTGACACAAGACACCTTGTTTGATTTCCTAGCTAGTCAGGGTAGAAAGGGTGTGGTTATGAAACTAAAAAACTGTGAAAACAAGGAATCGCAGTGAAATGCTAGAATATTATTAAGAGAAGGAGTGCTGAAATATTAGGGGCATTGACAATTTTGTGAGTCCCACAATAGGCAGGCAAAAACTGTATTATCAAGCATTTGCAATACAAAAGTACTCCTTGTTCAGATTACCTAGATGTACTCATCCATTGGGGTTCAAATTTTGTTAGTAGTTCTACTAATTTGTAATAATGTACACAACTAACAGCTTTCTTATCACCTAGGCAAAATATATTTCTTTGGACATGTCTATAATAGATCATATCTGCTGTTTTGATCAGTTTGAATTAATATTTTGAAACATGCGAATTGTGTGGCCAATTAACTGTGACCATTGCAAGCATCTTCAACCTTCTGCAAAAAAAACTGCAGTCTAAACAATTATCACATCAATCAAAAGATGTCAAATATGCTTATTATGTACAAGCAGTTCTACAAAATGGAACAGTTGTATGTACAGTTTTATTTTCCTAAATTCTGATGTAATGTGAATACAGTAGTTCTGTGTAGAGTGTTTTCTCCCTCAACTAGGTAGTCATAGATAAAGAAAAACTGCTTATTGTGATAATTTAATATGTATGAAAATCAAGCCGATGTAATAAAACATTCTTGTGTACAAATTTCTTTGTATAATGCAACCACGTCCCAAATTTAAGCTTTTTTCCTGTTCTACATAGGTATTTACCAAACTAACAGCACCATTTTGAATTGAAATTCTAAAGAGCAGGCTAAAGTTGTTGGGAGGCTGATCAGTGCTAACCCATAGTTAAGTTTTAATCTAGGTTTTGTTATTCCTTTATTCAAAAGCATTTATCAGCAGGGATGGTTCTCCCTTTTTTCATAGAGCATCTAAGCATCAAATTGTAAACAAAACGAGATCTGAGATCAGATTTCACACTTATTTAAACACTATTTAAACCCAGCTTTGAACAACTCAGCACTGACTTCAGTACAAAGATCATTTAACCCATAAGCTAAAGTATACTGGCAATTTGGAGGGTATGATAGGGGTGGGGGAAGGAGAGAGAGTGGGAGGAAAGTGAGAACTAGTGGGGGTGGGGAAAGAGAAAGTGGGAGGGGAGTGAAGAATGGTGGGAGTGGGGGGAGAGAGAGAGAGTGGGAGGGAGGTGAAAACTGGTGGGGGTGGGAAAAGAGAGAGTAAGGGGGAGTGAAAATGGTGGGAGAGAGAGAAAGAGAGAGAGAGGGGGGGAGGGAGATGAAAAACTGGTGGGGGTTGAGGTGGGAAAAGAGAGTAGAGGGGAGTGAAAAATGGTGGGAGTGGAGAGAAGAAAGATAGAGTGGATGGGGAAAAATGGTGAGTGACAGCACACGGCAAAATTGAGAATATACAGCTTTTATTAGAACTTATTACCTCTCACAAACTCACCACAAAGATGGGGTACCACAAGGGTTACAAATCACTTTCTTTTTTTATATAAATCAAGAATGTGTATTGTCTGACATCCCTTTGATGAGATCCTATTAAAAATAAGTTATCTGAATTGAAGTCCTGTACAAATTAAGCTTTTAATTTAGCTCTTTTAGGTTCTCTTTCCTCTTCATATTCAATCTCTACTCTTGCTTTACGTCCTGCACGTCTTGTAAGGGGTTTTTCAATCTCTTCTTCCTCAACTTCACTCTCTGTTTCCTGTTCACCTTCTTCAACTTGGAAGTCCTGAAATAATTAATAAAATGAAAAGGTTAGCTACCAAGACAGCGTCTCCTGACAGTTTAACCATTTCAAAGCTCCCCTTCCCCAATGCATTTCATATCTTCCCCAAAAATCTCAGGGTTGCTATTGAGCCAATCATTCCAATAATAATGTTCAAGAAAAAATTATGCATGTCTGATTAGCTGAAAATGAGTGCATTTTCATGTAACTCAAGTGCACAGTTGTAACACAAGGGCAAAGTTGTGACACAAGTGCAAATTACAAATAGTGCATGCCACCAAAATTTCATCCATTTTGACTTTCTGTTATGCGTTTTTCATGTCCTAATACAGGCTACCATACATTTTTAATTTGTGTTAGTTTGGAGATTCTAGCTTTCTCTCAAAACACTGGTTGTCTTTACTCTCCTTGCCTATGTGCTTGACAATGTTTTCATATTCAGGGGAAGTTGCATATTGATCACCATCACATGTGAAAGACAAATAGATAAAAAGGCAACAATTAAAAGAGAAACAAAAACCATACCTCGATATCACTTAGATCACTGACATCAACCTCATCTTCAGCCACAAACTCAGGCTCTTCCTCCTGTTTAAAAATTTTGTTTTTCATTTAAAGCATAGAAAAACTTTGAAAATGTATCAATACATTCATGAGAAAATTGCTTAGTCTTTTACCCAGTCCATGCAAATGCTTGTACGAGTTTTAGTTGTCCAGGTCAAAAACTGCCGATTCAGTCAATCAAAAAAACACTCAAATGTTAAGATTAATTGTTCTTATACAATACCTCATCCTCCTCATCTTCTTCTTCAAGTTCTTCCTCCTCTTCATCCTCTATCTCTTCTTTGTCTAAGGCATTGTCAAATGCGGTGCTTGGGATATTGTAAATATCTCCATACTGCCAACAAAATAATCAAACACCAAAAAATATTTAATTACGAACTTTTCAGACTGTATTTCATATCCATTTTTTTAACCTACATGTAGTCATTTAACTTACTGTCACTTAACTATCACATACATGTAGATATCAGATCAATGATGTCAGCAGGTTCATGGAATAACCAAGACAAATTACCCTCAACTGAAATATTGTCCCAACTACCACAAGTTTTTAAAATGCAAAGCAAAACTTAGATTGAAATATCTTTGTTCAAAAAAAGTAAGAACTACAGGAGAACATAGTCAATTTATTGTATTTTATTTGGTTTATCTGCACTTTACAATGTAATGCTCCCAGTAAAAATCCAAACTACAGTGATGAAAATAATCATGTTCATTTTATTTGTGTCAGAGTAAACCATTACTTACTGTTCCTTTCTTTAATCTTTCAAGTAATTCTTTCTCTATAGCATTTTCGAGCTGTGCAGCAACCAAAGCCTTATGCTGAAATAAAACAGTTTTGTAACAATTGTTAGGAGACTAAAAAAAAAACCAAGTTTCCTAATTTTTTTAAGGAAGGAGCAGAGTGGTAATCTTTGTGAACTCAGTCTTTTTTTACTACTTTTGGTCCCCCACCATAAACCATACCATCAGATCGTTCCCATCTCTAAGAATGTGTTTATTTAATTGAGAGTTTATTTGTGATATTAAGACAGGCTGGCCCAGTTCACCTTCAAGCTGGTTTAAACAAGGGCCTGTGTAAACAATAACAAGGCTATACCACAACAACCAGAGCTATATACCCAACTCTTTGTAAAAAGCATGTGGGTTCTTTAATGCCCCCTGCTAACCAGTACAGAAAAGATGTAGGATATGGCATTAGTGTTCAGTTTATTTCCCTTTTTTTTCGAGAAGACTAAAATGTATAATCATTTGCTGTTGTCATAGAAAAGAGCAAAAGCAACACATTCTCCTCAGTTATTTCAAGACCCTGAGTGTTATTCCAGCCTGGGGCTTGAACCCTCAACCTCCCACATGGTTGTCCCATGCTTTACAATGTACGCTGTTACACGGCATTATTTCACCACTGATTTTCTCCATCTTCACTTATCTTATTACAATCAAAAACCTTGTGTCTCATCTCTCTTTTCTTCTTCACAATGAAACCCATGGGGAAGGATTCCATTACAAAAATAACACATCACAATGATTGTTGAGCTATAATTGCCAACAGAACCTCCAAATGATAATTCCAGTGGCATTTTCTCAATAAAAAGCTAACTGCTATCAACACTAGTTGTACAAAATCACTAATTTCCAAGCCCTGCATTATGGGATACTGCACTTACCTCCCTTGTTTTTTCTCTTCTTTCAACTTTCTTGTTGATTGTCACCAGCTTTTTACTGGAAATACAAAAATAATGATTGTTAAATCAGTAAGAATCATCATCTTTTCTTTGCTCTCACAGAGTTAAATACTCAGTACTGAAAACTTTTAATAACAACTGGGAAACTGTACTTTCCTTACCTTGTTTTGAGTCTAAGTTTCCGCATTCTTATCAAATACTGGGAAAGGAATCAAATGATATGGTTATCACTAATAGTAAAAAATTCTATGTAACATAACTTTCTATTCAAATGAGTAGGTACTTCACTTTATAAATTCTAGCTTGAGTTGGAATGTACTAAACTTCTGTGAATAAACAAATTGAAATTCTCCCAACTATAATTAAAACTATCATCAATACTACATGTACTTATCAGATATAACCAAACAACAACAAAAACAAATTAAAACCTTCTATAATAAAATTGTTATAAAAAAAGGAATTGTTTATGGTGGTGATAATGACAATTGTGTCATGACATAATGCTGGTCATTCAGGTTGAACCATGACACAAAGCTATTCATGAAGAATGTAAATGTAAAAACTGCTCTTAATTCAATATAAAATGAATTTAACAAAGGTTAGGGATTTAATGTCACTTATTTACTTCTTCAGGATTGATTACCTGTACAATTTTGGTGTATCTCTGCTTGCATTTGTGTATAATAAAGTTTGGCCAGTATATTAGGTTTTTGTCTATTTGTTCCAAAGCTTTCTCGTAGTTCTTAGAGAGTTTCACTTTTTCCCACATCTTGGCAGGAGAATGGGCCCTCTCTATTGTTTTCATATAAAGATAACAAACACCTATAAACAGTAGAAAAACAATTTGCAGTTAAGAACATATGCAATTAAAAAAAAAAAAGCTGAGAATTAAAAAAATTAAAGAGAGAAACAAAAACCTAATTCTCATAATTTTCTCCTTGTTCACAATATATCTTGATCATCCAGAAAAGAAGCGATCAGAGTAGAATAGACAAACATCCTGGCCAAAGCTTATGGTCTCGATGTAAAACCAGATTCTCTTAACTGACATTGAAAGAAATAGGTAGCAGCTTGATTGGAGAATTACCCATCAGATCTTAGGTGTCTTGGAGTTAAGGAGTCTATTAAAAGAGCGATGAAAGAAACACTTATCCTTGCCAGATGGCTTTTAACCACATATTAATGTTCACAAAACAGACCACACTGCATAACTTTGGGGTTAATTCCTGATTAGAAAACAAACTTCAGATTTCTATTCTGTGATAGTTGATGATGGCAAAGCCCAAAGTAATAACTATCATACAGAGAAATCGAGAGAGAATAATCAAATTGTTTTAGTATGGATCATGTTGTTGTTCAAAATTTAATAACTAGGCAGGCTGCTGTTTAATTATTTTATATTTTCCACAACCGCACACGGTTAACCTTCCCCTTTTTCTTCACTATCTATACAGCTAGTGGCATGGCCAATTAGATTGCAGCATCTGTGATTGAAAACTAATAGATTTATACTAATTAACAACTATTCACTGAAGTGGAAGTAGCTAATGGTGGATATTCGTGGTAAGGTAAATATCCACCAATAGTTGTCTTAGTATATACCAAAACAGTGAGATGATAAAGTTCAAAAAGATGATTCTAACCAATACAATACAATACAATATTTATTTGCCATATACGACATTTACACATGGAAAAAAAAAATGAAGAAAATTGATGACAGAAAATAAATGGCGAGAAAACCTGAAAGAAACCACGAGGCTTATAACAAGTCAGGCTTTCTCACTTAAAATAACTAATCTTATATTAGAATTAACCCAATTATTCTTGCCACAATTACAATATATTTGGGCTCAAATCCTGTGTACATTGCTCTGAGGTGAATAGAAGAGGATATTCAGAGTATGAGTAGCCAATCAGAGCATGCCTTCAACTCTCTAAACTGTTTTAGTATGTATTGATTTGCGATATTCTTAGACTACAACATAGGCAAGCTATGTTACTGGGTATTGATTACAACCCTGGTGTTGCAACAATGGTATCTCGTTCTCTGTGCTTCAGTCATAAAGCAAATGAAAGTAATTTTTCTATTGAGAGACATCTGCTTTAAGCTCAGCTTTAGTGTCGATTTTACTCACTTACCATCCTTCTCTCTAACTGTAGCATATCGGCTGTTTGCCAATGGGCAAGCCTGTTTGCTGCACAGCCCTGTAACATTATTCTCATTTCTACAAAATTTCTGAGTAGTAGTTCTGCAAAACAACAAAAGCAACTTTATCACCCGCTCTAATTTGCAATGAAAAATTAGAACAGTAGTTATGCCTTTGAAGTTTATCACAATGATTCGATGCTATAAGATTATAGCAATAGCCAGTATGTGCGATCCTTCGCCAATTTAAACTTCTATTACAGACAAATACGTGATAATAATGATAGACTTACTTTACTTTAAATGAACAGAACCCGTGATTAATGACTTGCCAAATCACCTTTAAAAAAAGAAACAATACTTCAACCACAGGCTAGCTCATAAATGTACGAGAAACGTTTTAAACAACAGGAGTACACCGGCGATCATTCACAAATCTTCTTATCAAATCGAGTTTCAAAGTGATCACGAAGCACGTGTGTTTTCATCATAAGCCTACAACCGACCTCATCGTGTTGCATATTGTCCTTGTTTTGGCGTTACTGTATTACAGTCGTGCTAATAAATCACTTAACGCCTTTTAAATATGTAACAGAGCGCTTTTGGAAGACTATTGCCCAATTTCCATCATATGATTCCTGAAACTACACAACTTTAAAGTTTCTCCAACAAACTTAGTAACCAGGCATCGAAGGGAAACAGAGCAGATGTAACTAGGGAGGGCTGAGGTGGATATGTTCCCGACTTCCGTTCTAGTTAAGAGCTTCTTATCTGAATATAGATAAAAATCACTCTAAAGTAGATGATTTTGGATGCATGCGTACTTGAAATGGGATTAATAATCCCAATATCTAACCATAGGGGTGATATTAGAGGATACAATTATCTATCTTCCCTACCCTACCCTACCGAAGAGAGAGTGATTACTGTAAATATTGGTCAATCATTATTCCCACGTACATCTTGGATCACATCGTTCGTTAATGGTCTAAATTAAAAGTTATTGCAATTAGCAAGAAATGGCAGCAAACCATCATGGCACATTACACGAAGAAAACGACAGTGAAGATGGTAAGCTGATAGATTTGTTATTAGCATTTGTAAGTGGCTGTAAAGGACTTCGAGATGTAGTTTATACTTAAGTGTTGTCAGCCATATCCTGCAGCTGGTGTCTGTAATGAATAAAAGTTGAGGAAAATGGGTCTGTTCTTTCCGTTTAAGATCGTTCAAATCCTATTGTGAGGGTCTTCTTTCTAAACGCTTGTTAACGTTTGACCACGGCTAACGGAACTATCACAAGTTCCCTACTGTGTCATCTGGGCAAATTTTTGACACAAGAAGGCTCTGAAAATCTCCTACATTGATCCTTCTTATGGAATGTAACTTTTACAGATAAATGGCACCATATAGATGTATTATTTTATCGTGACGTTTTTAATATTTTTCGAAAACCCGCACCTGCGTCTAGAGCTCTCTTAAGACCAATATTGTCATTAGTTATACATGAGTAGTCCAAATTTGACCAGACACGCATCTTGCTCACGCAAACACCACCCACATTGACATAAAATTAACAAAAATTTTGCACGTTGCCGTGCGTTTCTTCAACAATAGATCACAGATGATGTAAAAATGTGGTGAGAACAAAAACGTGGCACACAAGGCAGACTGCAATATGGAATCTACTTGTTTTGCATGACGAAGAAGTAAAAAGTTGTCTGTGATAATGTCACCTATGCGTCTGTCTTCTAATAGGTGATAAGTAAGAAGCAATAAAACGTATGCAAAAATCAGCTTATTATATAATATCAGGCATTTAGTGAAATTACTGCTGCATTCTAATTAAAACTCATGTCAGCTTTCATCCATAACATATATTAATCATAACGTTTGGAAGAGATATAATTTATTAAATACATCAAGACTGCTGAGGAATGTATAAATTAAACTGGTGGAAAAGAAAAATACCTACTTTTGGTTTCTTTCAACAAATTCATTATAGCATATCTTTGGAGGAGAGGTAGATTGATGTCATTTTTAGTTGTAATGATGCACTCTCCAGGTATACATTTCATTAACTTGCTCATTGATTTAACCAGTGAAAATTTAAATGGATGTTTATTTAAAATTATAATTTCAAATGAAGGAGATCAAATTTCATTGTGTCAGCCTTCAAGACTGATACAAAATTTTCAACTCCTCAACTGAAGAACTGATCATTGAAACAAATATGGATGAAATTTGTAGTTCAAAACTCAAATGAATTGCTGGTTTTGAACCAAGAAATTATTTCTGTTCAGCATTTACAGTAATAATTTCAAATTTTATCATTTCTGAGGAATACTTGACCAAGCTTCAATCATAGCTTGCATTCATGATTGTTCTCTTGTCAGATGCAAATTATAGACTTGGAAAGATCACAACTCACCAACAGTTAACTGCCACTTGCCTTTGCAGCAAATTGTTCTGTGACTTCTTCTGATACATGACACTGACACTTACACCAACTTTTAGATGTACACAAATTCAAAAAATACGTAATTTGTACAATTTGCTATAAAGGAAATAGTGTGTTGTCTTTTAAAGATTAAATTACCTATTGCATGTCACACAAAGCAATCTGTCCTTACGATTTGTCCTGAGACTGACCTCTACTGAATTGTAGCTTTTACTCTTACTAAAAGTTTTACGTTTTGGCAGGCCATCATGTACACTTTCCAGAGGATATCAGTGCCAACACAGAAATTCAAATACAGATGAAAGGAGACTCGATAGCCAATGTTCACTTAGGCTTCCTCCAACACAAACACAAGTATCAGATACAATTAAACCTTCCAATTTCACCCAGGTCTACTTCGCTGACACCTATAATCAATACACCTTTCATAGCAGTAGGCAATGTTAACAGTCCAGGTAAGTTTGTTGTGATTATTCTTTTTGGAACATTTTTTTCCAGTTTTATTGCATGACTTAATTCCATCTGGTCACTACTGAAACAAAGCAACATGACGGGTTAGTTACAATTTAGTCTTTTCAACCTCAAGAATGACCAGCATTCAATTTCTTCTTATAGTAATAGCGTCAAATCATTCCTAAAGGTCATGAGAATAGGGGAAATAATCGCCAACCGAAGAAGCTTTGATTGTTAGACAAATTCTCCTTGTCAGTACCAAAGGAAATGTAAGAAGAGTATTGAGAATATGGATACAGTCAAACCCTGCTTATCCAAGTTTTATGATTATCCGGACTTGCTTCTCTGGTACCATTACCTACAAGCATTTATATTCATACTTAAGATTATTCTTTGAATGTATGTTGGATAGGAGATGGTATATAGCCAAAGAGGCACAAATAGAGTGAGTGTTTTATTAAATTTCATTAAATCCTAAAGGTCTGAATATTTAGAGCTTTTTTCAGCTCAGCAACAGTTGTCACAATGCACTTCCATATAAGAATATGAGTTGATAGCCAGAACTGAGAGAATCAATCAGAACATTCAGAGTTGGAAATTCAATAATTTTGATCATTCAGATTCTCGATTGTGCAAACTATTAAGCCTAGTCCCATGAGTCTGGAAAATCAAGGTTCTTAGACACAAAAAGGGTTAAAAAAATTTTGTTATTGTTAAATCTTTAGGAGATGACAAATGTCATGAGGTCACACTGGAGCTTGATGCACACAAAGAAGGTCTTCTCAGAGACAAATTTGTGCTAAAAAATGAAGCTGGAGAAGAATTTGTTATTGTACTTCATGCACGGGTTCTTGGATCTCACAAAGGAACTCCAATGCTGAAGGAGGGTATACACTGCATACACCATGCAAAAGACGAGGAGGAGGATCACAGTGATTGGCAGGGCTTTGATTGACAAGAGCCTGCCTACATAGAAGAACTCCAGTAGCATATTTTATTTTAGTCTGTGGCTGAGAGATTCATTTACACCTTCCTGAACTTTCAAAAATCGTGTAAAATCAAATTTTTGGTGGTTAGTTTGTAATAATATTATATACTGTAAAAGGGCAGCTTAGAACAGGAGGTGCGATGGAACAGAGGTAAAAGCACTTGCCTCCCACCTCTGTAACCCAGGTTTTATTTTTAATTATGTAATATATTTTAAATCATGAAGTCCCTTTTTGATGATTTTTGTCAGTTGTGAACAGTAGGGAAGCAATTCAGCTAAGAAACATTTTTGAACTGTAAATAAAACTAAATCAATGTAAATCTAATGTGAAAATGTGTTCTGGGCATGTACATGAAAGCATTTCTAGTATCATGAATTTAAGCAATAAAGCATTTAAAGCAATAACTTACTGAAGTTAATTCAAGAATCAAATGAAGAGGTCCTCCTACAAGACAACTTACCCTTGCTTAACCCTTTAATTCTGGTGAGTGACCAAGACAGACTTTCTCCCTACTAAATCTACACAATATCATGCAGACAAGTGATGAGAATAAAGAAAATATCAATTATGGTATTACTGATTGATTCAATACCAAATTCTCCAAACTTACATAATGAGAATCATCTAGCAGACAGTAAGGAGAATTACCAATGAGATCTTGGGAGTTAAAGGGTTAAAACATTATTTTGCATGCAGTATCTTGTTTTATGTCACTGACAACTACTTGTACAAGAGTGAGGTAATACAGGTGAATGGTTGTGGAATTGCCTTTTGAAACTCTAACTACATGTACCCAAACTGTAGTTCATTCATTTGTTAAGAAACATTAACTATTTTTTCTTTACATTTTTGTTAATTATTTCCATACCCTAATAATACACATGAAAAAATTGCATTGTTTTATGTTTGGCTGAAAATTAGTGCATTTTTCATGTAATATAAATGCAAAGTTGTAACATAAGTGCAAATTCCAATTAAAGCATGTTGTCAAAATTTCATCTGTCTTGACTTTCTGTGATACTTTTTGCATTATTGTACATTACATTGAGTTACTGACACTTATTGCTTACACTGTAACAAAACTATGCAAAAAAATAGGCTGTTTCTTTCCATGAACTCTATACCTTTATGCAATTCATGCTTCCCCTTCCTGAGTAACTGATGACATAAGAGACTTATGCCAGCTAAGTGCAATTTAAAGCTCTGTCTTGATTGCTCCTTTATTGTGGTCTGCTTACAGCTGAATTAATACCTTGTTTGGGAAAAGGCAACAAAGTTGTCTTGTCATAAGTTTTAGTTTAACTTGACCATTTTTTGTAGCATGGCTATATTTTCCTTTCACTGAATTAAAACACAGTTTACATGAGCCTAAGCAGTGGTCATTCAAATAATGACTCGTGACTGATGCTAGTGGATCTCTTCTTGCTTTTTCTAAGATAATGCAGCTTGCTGTTTAGGTGGATTAAAAGCTAGATGGAGAATGAAGTCAGCAATAGATGCTGGCAGCTGTGCTAACCATACAAGAAGAAACTTTGCATCTATTCCAACCAAATAACGGTCAGATGGTGAACTTGATGTTAGGGCTTCCACTATCGTGTCAACAACTTGGCTAATGTTTGACATACGATATATTCCATCTCTCATAATTTCAATACCTGCAAAAAACCCAGGTTTAAGTTTAGCTACAAAAGTGATCAGCACATTATTTTCAGTCACAAATTTTGTCAGGTGAAGAGAAAAAAAGATTCAGCTTGCATAATCACAGGCAAAGACATACAAGACTTGAATGAAAGTGATCCTCGCAGTAATGTGCACTACTTAGGCAGTAGTGAAAATAAGGCCTGAAAAAAATTCAGGCCTGTACGGGATTTGAACCCATGACCTCTGTGATACTGGTACAGCGCTCTACCAACTGAGCTAACAAGCCAACTGGGAGCTGGTCATGATGTTGGTTCTAAATAAACCCGTGAAGTGATGAAATAAACGGTTAAGAATATATGAAAGTCATATATTTGAACTGCCGATAAAGATGTGAATGAAAGTGATCCTCGCAGTAATGTGCACTTCTTAGGCAGTAGTGAAAATAAGGCCTGAAAATGTTTTGAGTTGAGATTAACGTCTTTGCTTCACACAATTTTCTCCTCTGATTTTCTGTTAAAATGTATGATATGAATGTATGAAATGTATAAATGTTCATACTTCTGTCAAGGTATTCCTCTCCATATTCATCCTTTAGATCATCAGTCAGTTTGTTCCACCCCTCCCTCAACTGTCGCTCAAACATATCTGGGGCACAAATGTTGGTCAAAAACGATCCTGGCTCTAAAATGCAGACTTTGATTCCCCAAGGAAGCATTTCACGTCTCAGAGCATCTGAAAATGCCTCCACACCATATTTGCTTACAGAATATGAGCCATAAAAATTTCCAGAAATAAGTCCTGTTGGTATGCAATTAAAAAAAATTAACAAAGCATAAAACTAACACAATTAGGAGCAATGAATAAAGGGGGTAAATTTCTTAAGAAAATGTGGTGCTGCATCAGTGGGAGAGTATAACAGGGTTATTGAGTATTATCAACTGAGTTGATAATGTAAATTGGCCTCTTGGCTTTGAAGAGTTTCAAAGCTGACATTTTGAGCATTAGCCCTTCCTCAGAGCAAATGACGAAGGTCTAATGCTTGAAACATCAGCTTTGAAACTTTTTACAGTGGCCAATTTACATTATCAACATAGTTGAAAATTCCAAATTAGGAGTGAGTTATGGAAGTAACCTTGAAAACTAGGTCAAATTTAATATTAGTTCTTCTACTGATTCATCCACATGCAAGTAAAAGGAAGTATGTTTAGGCTTCAACATATCAAGAATAAGTGTCAGATGTCTGTTTTTTTGTTTGTTTTTATTTTTTTTATGCAAACATATTTTTGTCTGTTACAGTACAAGCTGTTCATCTATTGGTGCTTAAAAAGTCACTGATGATATCTACTCTGTCTTTTTTCAAACTCTTACAAAGTAATTTCCCTCAGTGAATTTGTGCCAAGTAAGGCTTTGATTTAGCAATTCATTAAGAGACATGCCCAATTTGTTTGTCCCCTCCACACATGATCATTTAAGTGTGAACCTCACAATCATTTTATTTATTATTTTGTACAAAGTTTGTCTCTTTAATCACTAGTTATCCTTGACCTTAATTCTGCAATCAACAATCCAAAATTTCTACTAATTCACTACATGATACTGCTTTTAATGAAGTAGTGAATCTTACTATATATCTGTTATCCCTCACCTGCCATGCTTGATAAGTTTACCACTCGTCCAGAAGTCTTCTTTACCAGAGGCAAAAAGGTCTTAGTAACATCAATCATACCCCACAGGTTAACATCTGCTGAGTGTTTGAAGACTTCCATGGGTGTCCACTCAATGGGACAGAGAGATAGAATTCCTGCATTGTTTACCAGTCCCCACAATCCAGCTAAGGAAAAAAATGAGATCTCTCTCAAATATGAGGATCAACCTCCATTACAGACCCAACAACCACACATTGTCAGTTCTTGGGCATATCTTTGAAAAATCAGATCAAAATGTATGCTGCTCTTAAAATTGTTCAAAACCAGTAAACAGTGGTATAATATGTGCCCACCTTCTGTACACAAAGCCATTCAATTTGGCTAATCAGATCAAACTGTATCTCTGAGATAAGTCCTAATTTTCTCCGTTTTAAGTGACTTTTAAGGAAGGGTTTGTCATTACTGAGGTTATGATCTCAAAGCTCTCAACTCTGAACCACATCCCACAGTTCAGGCCAAGGTAATTTTGTTATGCAATCATAATACAACACCTTCCTCCTAGAAACAAGTTCCTTTTCCGTGAAGCATGCAAGTGTGATCAAGCAAGGTTTTCCTAAAAACACCTGAGGGAGTCTTCTCTGAAAAGGTTCTTAATATTTATAAGGTAAAATAAATTGCTGAATAATGTAATCATTTTAAGTAAAACTGATTTATCAGGAGTAAATACTGGATTTACTAGTTTGCCTGCATAACTGCTACAATTTGACTTGTGGTTGAATTACTAAAAAGGCCGCCAGCCAGTTGCTGTTTGTACCAATGTGGACTGGCCACAAGCATCACGCAATAGTTACCAAAGGTGACGCGTCGCGTGACATCCACTATCATCACGCAACGCTATTTGAGAAAAGAAACACTCGACAAAAAACCTTTTCTGCAGCTGAAAAAGTGGAAATTACTCTTAAAATAATTCGGCCTTATCTGACTCATGTCTTAGAAATCGTACCAAGTTAAACGTCAAGCAGGGAAATACAGTATATTATTACCAGTAGAAATTTCTTTCTTGACTTCGCTGTACACATCTCTAATCTGCTCAGAGCTTGTTACATCCATCTGGAAAGTTTTCAATCTCTCGCTCGTAACTGATCTCAAACTCTGTTCTCCTTCTTTCGTTAAACAAGTTGCAATCACGCAAGCTCTCATCTTGTCCAGTCGAATAGCTGTTTCACGACCGAAGCCCTGATCACAACCAGTAATCAAGACACATTTCCCAGTTAAATCAATCTTCGACTTCGGCAACAGATATGTTGCAGAATAGAAAGTTACTATTCCAATAATAATCACAATAAGCCATGAAGGAAGAAAGGTAACAAAACTTGCGAGGTTCATGGCTCTCCCTGTCGAGTCAAGAATATCTTTGAAATAGAGACGAAGAGAGAGAGAGCTGGGTTCTAGAAATAGCCTGGTCAGTTCTAAATGTAATCTACCTTGTTGTCAGGAAAGTTTATTTGTTCGTTCATTTTTAATTAAGAAATCTATTCATCGATCTTTTATTTAACGTTACTGAATACATAAATAAATGTTTATTAATTCATTCGTTCGTTTGTTCATTCATTCGTTTCTTGAATCATTCTTTCAGTTTCAGTACGCCTCTCTTGTAAGTAAACGTGCCGATGCCATTACATATATTTTGAAAGAAGGGAAGGTTGATACTAAATATTTTGAGAAGGATCTAATTTACCTAATTTTCCAGATAACTACGCTGTTACAGGCTTGTAAATCCTCTATTACATGTTCTCCTTCAACATCTCACATGTTTATGGATAGGCAATGTCTTTAAGATTTGTAGTTTGTCTACCTTTGACTTGATTCAGTCTTCGATTGCTGTCTGCTGTGCTGCTTTCTGTGGTAGAAAATTGTTCCAATTCTATATCTGCATCGGCGGAGACTAGAAAATCTCTGATTATCCCAACATTTTCGCAACGAGCTCGATTTGACCTACAAGTCACAACAACCACAAATGAGCCTAATCGAATACCACTACAGACGATGCTGCTCCAACTTGCAATAAAAACCACCGTGACGCTTTTGTTGGTTTTCTGATCCTGATCCAGAGCTTCTGATTTACTTCCTATCACAGGAAAGGGTCTCAAGTTGTAACCTCGTTCCTATTGTTTTTCTTTAATCTTGGTTCCGGTGAAAGTGCCATGATCCTGAATAGGAAGTCAGTTATACCAGCCGGTAACATGGATAACCACACCAAGGCCTTGGCATCTAAGCCAATGACATAACGTGTCTGTGGATTTCGTGAAGTAAGGGCGTGGACGACACTGTTGACTACTTTGTGTGTGCGCGGCGAGGCTACAGAGTCCAATGACTTTAAAGATATCAGACCTGCAAAAGAAGAAAAGGAAAGTTCAGAAAATAAAACAAAAAATGGAGTGCACCAGGTATAGAAAGATACATTGCACTTTGTTGCGGAAGAGCTAGGACAGTTTTTTTCGTAACACGGCATCTTACCTTTCTGTAGTCCTTCATGGCCGTATTCTTCTTTCAATTCTTCATTTAGCCCGTCCCACAAAGACTGCCACTGATTAACCAGCACATCCCCACTGACTAATTTGGTTTTGTGAGCTCCAGCTTCAATGATACTCACATTTACCCCCCAGGGGCGCATTTCCCGCCTTAGAGCATCAGAGAAGGCTTCCACGCCATACTTGGAGATAGAATAGGCAGTCATATAAGGAAGAGTAATTCGACCTGTGAGAAAAAAACAGAGATCGTTAAACCAGAGACATGTTATGCATTGCGCACAAAAATACTGCAGTCGCGGGCTCGCTTTTTTAAATCGTATGATGTTTCTGCGTCTAATGGTTGTCACCGTTTTAAGGTAACTTATAAGACACAACCGCATTAGATCTGGGAAACTTATGTTTCTTTAATTCAATGCAACCTTCAAATAAGTGGGCACTCGAACAAGAGAGGAAACAGAGGACCAATTTCTTTCAGTCATATTTTAGCCCTTTTCTTGACTAATGTCAAGGGACCAACATTACTATATGTATCTCATACTAAACAATCTTTTACGTTATCTATTTACTTTTAATTTTTGAAAGCTTTCCCGCAGCCATTATCTTTGACTGATAATCATCCTTCCGTAATTTCGGAGAAAGAGCTCGCTAAGTCAGTGTGACGGTACTCCGAATGTAAATATGAATCTATTTATTTTTTTGTCATGATTTGGACAAGTGTAATTATAAGGTTTAAGTTTACATGGAGTCACTTGAGACTCACCCAATATACTTCCCACGTTGATTACGCGTCCGCGAGCCCTTTTGATAAGCGGTAGAAAAGTTTTCGTGACGCATATCATTCCCCAAAGATTTACATCAGCAATCTCTTTAAGACTTTCTAGTGGCTGCCACTCGATCATGCCCACCGTCAGTTTTCCAGCGTTGTTTACCAGTCCCCACAATCCTATGGAGGTCAACAGACACACCAGTATGACATGAGTTACGTTGCAGCACTATTACGGTGTATTATTCTCCAACAAATCATAACATAGATTTTTCTGTTGAGGCCCATGATAACACTACTAGCTGTCAACCATTTTGACGCTGCGCCTTCTAGGTAGCTTAGCCTCATTCGGTAAATAAAAAGTCTAAACCTATAAACATTCACGTAAAGCGAACCGATCTACGACAGTGAAACAGCAGTACGCATAGCCTGCTCAACAGGCGTAACTTTGTTTGCGTCTTTGTAAGGCGGAAGCAAGCACGAGACGAGCGCGATGCGGGGGTCACGCACGAGGCAAGGAGCTCGGAAAAAAGTTACGCTTGTTCCGTAGGTTACAGTACGTAATGCATCCACAGACGTTTCTCGGGGATAAGAGGAAAACATCAGATGGCGATCTCTTAGCATTTTTCGTTGTCTCGCGAGATCCTGCAGTCAGCGACAGAGCGTAACACGTGCAAATGTTTCGGGTCCGAGAGGTATTGTTTGTAACTTTAAAATTAAATTAGTGCCTGCCCGATCAAAGTCACCCAGTTTCAACTTTTCGAAAAAGAAAAGCCGTATGGGAATCTGTTTTTCGAATGCATTAATTTATACAATGTATAGAGTTACCTAAAGTCAATCAACAAAATGTTGTTGTTCATCTATTTTATGTTGTATTAGTAAACTCTACCTATTTATTAATTCTTCGGATCGTTGGCGACCCAATTTCTGGTTAAAAAAAGTGAAATGGAGACTTGTTCCCGTTGTTCAGAAAACCAATCTACTGTCATTCGTCTTCAATCACTCTTGAAAAGCAAAACTGGAATAAATTATCGTAATTACATATATTTTAGTATGCTCAAGCTTAGAGAAATTGTCCACTTAAATTAAACCAAATTAATTTTTGGAATCGCTTGACATTTCTATACCAAAATCTGATCATCTTTAAAGTTTCAAGGAACCTTTCAGTGGCACGTTGGTAAAAATTTCTTACTGCAAGGCATTTAGTCCATTCGAGACCGTACCCGGTAGAAGAATTAGTCCACTATTTTTGAATCACTTGACATTTCTAAACAAAGACATGATACTTTTGAGAAGTTTGAAAGAACCTTTAGGTGGAAATTCAGCGAAACCTTCTGACTGTCGAGCATTTATAATTAGTCTATTTGAGAACGTGCCCGGCTGCCGAGCATTTTTAGTCACAGTGTATGATTTTTACATTAAAATTCAAATCTAATCTTTCATTAAAAAGATTTCGTGACAGAAGATTTGTTATTCAACTCTATGTACATTACATGCAAGCGGGTCTGCCATAGTTTTGACCTTCGATGAAACTGGTTATTCAACATTATGCCGCCCATAATTATTATTTTATTGCATGAGAAACTCAGCTGATCGAGAACAAAACTAGTTCCCTGACTTAACCTCGCCGATAATGGCGTTCGAGTACTGAAAATGAAAAGTTGTAACTAATTAAAATAAAGCAGGAGAAATACGGAAATCAGTGACTGCTTATTAAATCACTAGATATCGTCGCACAAAGTGTAAGTTTGATTTAGCTTTTCGTTTATTATCGTCAAACACCATTCGGAAATTAATTCACGGAACTGATCAAAACAAGAGTTGAGTTCTCACCCCTGCCTGCACAGACAGCAATTTTACTAGACAAGGTTTGAACGGCGATGTCTGCATATTCAAAACATGTCTGTTGCCCCCTCGGCTCTTCTCATCACTTTAAAAATAAGTATGATTGACTAGTTCGATTGATTTCCGGCTCTTAGAGTACGAGGAAAATGATACTTTAACAGTAAATCATGAGTCTGTTCTCTGCGGAGGAATTTCGATATATTAAATGTAATGAAGAGACGAGATTTGGGTTTTAATGGCCTAACAAGAAACAAAGCAACGTAATTGAAATTCTTATCTTCAACTTAAAGATCTATCGAATTACCTTTATTAGCCGGAATCTCGTTCTTGATGCTTTCAAAGACCTCGTGAACTTGCCTGACATTCGTAACATCCATGCAGTACGTCTTCACCCTGTCACTGCAAATGGCCCTGACCGATTCCTCCCCAGCTTTAGTTCTGCAAGTTGCAATCACACGAAATCCCAGCTGATCTAATCGCAGCGCGATCTCTTTGCCGAATCCTGACCCGCATCCCGTTATTAGAACGTTTTTGTTCGCTCTTCCTCCGATTTCCCCCTCATCTCCGCGAAGATACAGGAAAACCCATTTCAAGATGTAGTAGGTAGCTGCCACGCTCATTACCACAAGACACAACGTTGTTATTATCGACGCCATTTGATGATCCTGGAGACAAGGGTGTTTTCAAGGGGGGAGGGTAGTTTTCACGGCTAATGCACGAGGGTAGAGAGGAGGGAAAAGCTAAGGGAGAATTTATGCCGTTCTGAACACCACTCACGCTGCCTGCTCGAGAAGGGGGTGGGGGTCACCCCTCCAACTTTCTCGATTAGCAAGGGTACGTCTCCCATTTTCTTAATAGCAGAGTGTGTCTAGGAGAAAATTTCAAAGTAATCACAGCGCATCCCCCACCTCCACTAGAAAAACAATTACTCAACCACCTGAATTTTCATAGATAATTTATTGATATAAATGCTCAAGACAGGTTCCAGTAAAAGATAACTTGGGAAATTAAGATACCAACAAATTAACAATATGATACAAACGTGATTAAAGTAATTAATTATTAAGTTATTTCAAGTTCTTGGTTCATAGTTTGAAAATTAAATTATTGAAGAGACTGATCCTAAGACTGATCGAAGTTAAGTATTCGCATGACTTGATTGTCAAACCTAACTAAAGGGAAAGCGTTCAAATGCAGGCTCCTTAAGGAAATGAAGATTATTTAATTTTCTCACTGCAACAAGTTTTCTTTCCTAAAAACTCAAACGAATTCTTCATGATAGAAAAACACTTCCTGAGTTTTTTTGTTTTTTTTTACTTAATTCCTATAAAGTGGGATGGCTTATCTTTAAAAACAATATTTACTTCAAATCAACTCATGATAGCTGAAAATTGAATAAATTGTATACACTACGGAGTCACTCACAGAATGTTGTACGACTATATAACAGCTTTACAATGTATAAATAACCATAAAAAACAATTTTTTATCTAAGTTATACCTCCGGTCACAAAAAAAGGATTCGGTGGACAATTCTTTTGAAAACATTAAGAAAGAGAACTTCTAGTTATTAATCGCATGAGGGTGGGGGGGGGAAGGGGGAGGGGTGGTCGGTGGATTTTGGTTGTGTCACGATGATATCTACCTGATCTACCAGAAGGCTCTGTAATATTCGCATGACCCCCCCCCCCCTCCTCATTAGCAGTCAATTTTCTATAGTCCCCTTGTTATAATACTCTGTTGGCGACGACTTATCCCCCCTCTGTCCCTCCTCAAAACCATGCTATCCTCCCCGCAAAAAGAATCCTCCGACCATCCCTAGGGTGATAGATATTGAATGGTCTCTAGGGCCGTGGAATTAATTATTTCTTCAATGGAATTCTTCAATGGGCTGAACCATTCATATAAGAGTTTTCAAACATGTCTCGGTCAGATGGGACCACCGCCTTGAACGGAAATTCTCTCAGGACAAAATCTTGAAGTGACTCAGGCAAGTAGGAAAGAAATTTCAGCTTCCATGCATCCTGGCCAATAACGTAACGCTTCTTCGGACTCTGTGACGTCAGAGGAGACACAATGCCGTCGATGACGTGACTCACTTGCTCAGATGCGGATTTGCACCAATCACGAAAACCATTCGTCACTGAAATCATAAAAATAAACCGGTAAATTGCAGGATTGAAGGTAAATTACAATATCTGTATTTTAACACCACAGTTTGCACTACATTCCATTGAGATATTCTATCAATCATTAACCATAAATGGGTTTCCTTGCTTCGATCATGTCACGGAAAAGCGAAAGCCATATGCCACCATTCACCGAGGCTTACCCGCACCAGGTTGAGTTCAATTTGGGATTAAGCAATGAATGGTCATCTTAACTGAAAATTATGAGGGTAGAGGCGAGAGAATTCTCTCTCGCTAGCTAGTTCGCTCCAGGTCAAGTTACCCAAATCTTTTCCAACCGCAACTAGGATATCCATACTTACCGTTCTCAAGATATTGTTTGCCGTATTCCCTTTGTTTCTCCTCCGTTAGATTGTCCCAAAATTGTTTTAGGCGAGCACTCAACAACTCATCGTTTACAATCGGAGTGCGTGTGGCACCCGGCTCTATTACGCTGACCTGGACATCAAAAGGGCGCATCTCACGTCTCAATGCATCTGCAAACGCCTCCACGCCATATTTGGATATGCAGTACGGTGAGAATGCTTGAGGTGAAACAACACCTTGAGAGGCAAAAAGAGAGAGTTGGCTGAATAAAACTTGTTCAAATGCTAAGAACATTTCAGTAATACTCAAGTTCAGTTATCATTTAACAGGACGCAATGACTTGACGTTCAAGAGGCAATCTACTGCTAAAATAAATCATAGACTTGCTGTGAGGGAATATTCGTTTAATTTTTGGGATCAATATCAGTATCTGGGCAACTGCCCACCTACCCCTCCCCTAACCCAACAACAGTCAATTGATGACAAGTAAGGGTTAATGTTGGGTTAGGGGAGGGGTAGGGGGTAGTTGCCCAGATATTGATGTTGATCCAATTTTTGTCATATTCAAGGAGGTTTAGCTGTCATTGGCATTCACAGTGCAACGGGGTAAAGTTCATGTTAATCACCAAGAGCCTCAGATTAAAAGCGGGCCAAATTTATCCTGTTCCATTTTATCTCAGTCAGGGGAGGCTAACGAGAAATTGGGCGCCCGCAAAATAATCGATGACGCGAAAAAAATAGAACTTAGCCGTTTCCCCGATAACCGCAGCCTCTCGCTTGCTGTTTTTACCTCGTCTCCTTAAACTGAGAGCGCGACACAACTCGTGTGGTCTCAAAAAGTGTCAAAAGCTCTTCTGCATTGCGTCTGTAAACGGATTACATTTATGTACTATATGTGCAGATTCCCGCTATTTCGTCATTTAAGCTGCTTTACAAAATACTGTCGGGATTTGGGATTAACGTTCACATAACTCAATTAGGAATGACATTTGACATCCGGTAACTCCACGGTTACTGTTGTGTAGCCTGGAAAGTTACCAAGGGCAGATGTATAAGGTACACCTGTACCTTATAGACCTTATAACATAAGCGTGAGCTAAACTTTGTAGTCTATCGACAGTCGTACGACAGATGTTCACACCAAGAAAATATTTGTTAACATTTTGAAACATGTTTTGGGGAAATTTCCAACTGTGTCGCAATTAATCCGTGATGGTCTTATTTTTGCTTCGGACTGGTCCAGAACTTCGGACAATCCCCTCAACCAATCAGATGAAAAACTGAAAGCACTCTCGGTTTGGTCACTGGCGTTTTCGTGGGCTTCAGTCGCAACGTGGGCTTCAGTCGCAAAACGAATGCATGATCGCGGGTTACAGTAAACAGCCATTTTTTGACGTTTACTGTAACTTTTCAACGACCATTTTATCCGTCAGTTCTTGCTTGTGTCACTCAATCGAATGCCCTTTGAAGCCCTGAAAAACATAAGGATTTTCTTTTCCGCCCTTCTACCCTCGCCCACACCCGTAGAGTTGACTATCATGTTACCTGCTATGCTGCTAACGATGACGATCCGTCCCTTCGCTCTTTTTACCAATGGTAAGAATGTTTTAGTCACATCGATCAGGCCCCATAAATTGACATCCGCAACTTTTTTGTAGGCGTCAAGCGGTATCCACTCGACAGGTCCAACAGTTAGGATTCCAGCATTGTTTACCAGTCCCCACAGACCTGGAATAAATCACACAGTATTAAGCCTTTGTCTCAGCGAGATATTGGAAGAGCCTTTGCTGTAGCTAAATACTACAGGTTTACGCCAAACTTGAATGCACGTTTAATGACCCCAAGATAGACAGATGTAAAGATGAAAGGTGTGTAAATATTTACACGTGTAAACGTGATTCGACTGAAAATAAATAATTAGTACAAATATCTGAGTTCAAATATGACAACAACGAGACAAGACAAGACAAGAGAAGAATGACAACGAAACTACATGAAACAGAAATGAAATTAGAATTTGTGGCGTAACCAGATCCGGTAACCAAAACTCTCAAACAAAGTACCAAGGCGCCGGCAAAAACCAACGAAACGACTGCTCTAGTTGAGTTCATACTGGCTACCGGCGTAACCTAAACCTAACGTAATCTCACGCAAAAACGCCAACTTGATGAATAAAAAGGAAAACAATATGAAATAGACGATAAACAAATGCAAATTCTAGTTGCAGCACTTTGCTCATGACCTCTATAAAGAGCCCCTTCGGTGTCAGCAATGGAGAGGCTCGATTACGAAACGGATTTAAAGTGAGGAATTCATAAAAAACGTAGTATATTTTAATTCCACCGTGGGGTGACCTTTTTCCGAGAAATCCCACTTAAACAACTCCCGGTGTGGTTGGACGTTTACTTCGAATCCCCGCCCCCCTCTCTTCCACCTCGCTCTACGTAGAAGGAAAGGCGAAAGCGATATGTAAGCCCTGCTGATTGAATCATTAGTATGCGTCGCCAAACGGCCAAACGGCCTAAACTCATTACGTGTTGACAAGTTTGAGTTGAACTGAGATATCTTTTTCAAATGATAATTTTTGTAGACAAACCGTAGGCGTGTAGGAGGGAAATGGGTCAACGCAAATTAATGAAGACACGTGTAAGGAAGCGAAAAAAAGGTTTCACAGTTCTCGCTTTTGAAGGCGAAATGCCAGAATTGAGTAGCAGGCGTTTGTGCGTCTGATTTGTTTCAGAAAAATCTGGCTTCAACCTAATTTGAAACATATCACATCTAAATCAGTGACAGAACTGTCATTGTGCAATTAGTCAATGACAATGTAAATAACATGAAAGTCAATAAAGCAGACCACTTAAATGCTATCGGATAATGGAAGGTCATCTAAAGCTAATGGAGAGTACGTATTTACCTGATTTACCGATAACTTGCTTCACTTCGTAAAATACTTCTCTGATTTGCTCCGAATTGGTCACATCCAATTGGTAAGTTTTAAGCCTGTCGCTGATTATCGCCTTCAAACTCTGTTCTCCCTCTTTCGTCAGAAAAGTCGCCAAGACAAACGCTCCCATCTCGTGCAGTCGAACGGCTGTTTGTCGACCAAGGCCAGTATCACAACCGGTTAACATGACATACTTTTGATTTACATTCAGAACTGATTCGCGTTTCTTACGTGAAAACCACAAAAAAGAAATAAATATTGCAGTTCCCGCAATTACAAACCACATGGTGGTACAAACCGGCGCTAAAACCGTGATTCGTAGCAGCTGTTTGATTGTCCTGACTACGATCGACCCCAGCGGTGCTGTTTCGATATAACTGTTGGCTCTGATTTGTCCAAAATATGACTTAAACATTAACCGTAACAAATAGGATTTGAATGCTCGCGTAAAACCGGATGCTAAAGAAATTTGTTAAATTCTACAGCCTCGGATTTCAATTCATTACTTCTATGATGGAATGAGGATTTTTTTCAAATTTTCTAGGTTACTCAGATATATTTTAAGAAGTCTCGACTACCACGAAACAACACTTTTCCAATCGAGCCATTTTTTTGTGATGTCTTTCTCCCGCGTTTTAAATAGACTTTAATGAATCTTTTAAAAAAATCTTTTAAGCCTCTTACACGAGAGCATTTCAACGAATTCCGTAGCTAGTTTTCATCTTAATATCGGAGGAGAAGGGAATAAATGCAAGATTTTAATCAGAAAGCGTTTAAAAGAAAAATTGACGTGTTTGAGTAAATCACGTTTTTGATGGTAGCTGACCCTGGTACCTGAGTGTTGATATACTGCATGTTTTTATCAAAGAAAACTCACATAATCTTGGTATATGTAACAAATTCTAGGATCAATTTTGACTCAACATCATACAACAGACAGATGGTTACAACTGCGTGTTCTTATCAGGAGAAGGTTGGTAGCCTGTGCTAGGCTCTCGTTGTGCGGAAAAGAGCGAAAAAGCGCGCAAAGATGACAAGCAAGTGGACGATGCGGTTGCAATACGTTGTCATGGGAAAGCTGCAGCATTTTTTTCGCGCCATGATTTTTTCGCGAACACAATATCCACGCATTTACTTTTTCTCTTTGACTGAGAGCTGAGGAACAGGCTAAAGAATAGTTATCTTGGTTTTTTTCGACCAAGAACTCGGTAACTAGGTAGAAAATTTTCCCTTTATTATCCTAGCTGGTACGTTTGACAGGACGAAAATTAAAAGGGGTGCCTGGGTCACCTTGAACCGAATTGAATCGAACGAGGATGAACCAAAGCCGAGCTGAGATTGCCAAATGAATGGTGATCGGGCTAAAAATTTCCGCGTTGAATCTGGATTAAATTTCTTATATGAAACGAAGACACACTTCGTCCCACTTCGACATACTTCGCTAATTGGGCTACCCCTGCCGAGCTTACACGAAGAGACGTTAGAAAAAGGCTCTTTACTCGTCAGAGCTGAGAGCATAGCCTGAATGTGCATAGGCGTGTAATCCCTCTTTTGGTTAAGAGAATACGATTAGGCAACCTGGCATGTGCGGAAGTGTAGATAACAAGCTTATGCAAGACCTTCCAATAGGAAAGCCTTCCCGTGCCCTCGAAGCATTAATTGACCACATCCAAAAATTTAGATCAGTAAACTGTTTTGCTCTGAGTGTAATCTTTCAACAATCAAACTTGAACAAAAGCGATTACGGAGAAAAGTACGAATACCAGCATGTCCTCTATGGGAGAATCTCTGGCTAAAGAACAAGCTAGATATTTCCCGTTCAGTTGGTTCTATCTACTGCGACATTTTCAGGTCTCTGCACGTACAGAATTAATGTTTGCCGGTGAACGTGGAAGCAGTTCGTTTGTGGGAAAATACCTGACTAATGAACAAGAAACTTCCTGTTCAGTTTTGTCTGTCTGTTGCGACATTTCCGTGTCTCTACACGCACAGAAATGATGTTTGCCTGTGAACTAAAAGTCAAGACTACTGGTTTGTCGTTTTTGGAAAATATGTGGCTAATGGACAAGAAACTTCTCGTTCAATTTTTTTCCATCTAGTGATATGCGACATTTCCGTGTCTCCACACCTATAAAACTGATTTTTGAAAGAGGAAATTCGGTGGTCGACCACATGAAGATAACTCAACGTAAGAGGAAGTAGGTAGAGTCATCTAAACTTTCCAAATGTCGTACGCTTTTGTACCGTGAGAGATCGCACAATCACAACTGAATTCGCGCGCAAGTGAAAATTCTTCCGTGACGATTGCAAAAAGAAAACTTATAGAATTGATGGATCAACTGATATTGATCCGAATTGATTTTTGCTGATTGTTCCACGTAAAATTACAATTTCACTAAAAAGCTCCAGGCACTCATTAACGTAGAATGTACTGAAACAAAAGAGAAATAAAACTGAAGCGTCTTATTTTAGTTCGCTGTCACACAACATTTTTGCATCATGCAAATTCTTAGTTATCCTGAATAAGAAATTTTTTTTGCTCCTACCTGAACTGTCTTCCAGGAGTTGGTTTACTTTACAAAACACTTGCTTAATTTGCTGAGGGTCGGTAACATCCATCTGAAAAGTTTTCAGTTTTTCACTCGCCACAGATCTCAAATTCTGCGCTCCTTCTTTCGTCAAACAAGTCGCCAACACACAAGCTCCCATCTTGTCCAGTTTCAGAGCTATTCCTCGACCGAACCCAGAATCACAGCCAGTTATCAGAACATGTTTGTCTTTTATATTTAAGGTGTCTGTGTTCCGCTTTCTCGAAAAAATGGGAAGAATAAGGTAAATTGAAACAAAAGTTACTATTGCCAAAACGATTGTGAACAACATGTTTGAAATTCTTGAATTGAGACCACTTATTTTCAAACTCTGCGCAGTAGGTCCACTTCACTGCTATGCTCACGGAATACGAATCGTGGGAGATAATCTCAAAACTTGACAACCTACACTATATATAATGTGCGACACGAATAGGCTTGTCAACAAGCCTCTGCAATATCATGACTTGTTTCAGGTTGTCCCTTGTATTCGTGGAATTTCAGGAATTGGCTCTGCTTCAAGAACTTTGTCCTTACAATCGTTCTTTCTCTTGAACGCTAATCTTTTCAACTGAACGGCTTCGAAACCGAACTTTCCCTACCATGAAATTATGAATATTGTCTTTCCAAGTGAACTGCGTGGGAACTGAACTTTCCTTTCGATGTAATTATGAATTATTTTCGCCAAAAACAAAATTATGCCTGGACACTGACGATTCATTTGAATCTGGCTTCACAAAAGGTTCCAAGTGAGAATTTGTACACTTAGCACTACGCAACTTGGACAGATAGCGAGAAATAGTTGGGAATCCTTACAGCTACAATTCTGCCTTGACACACGTCATTGATTCGATTTTTGATTCGGTTGCGCAAGTTTTAAAGACTGGCTAACAATAGTTACCACCCAACTTGGCTGCCCACAATTAGTAGGGTAAGAAAGCTAATAGGGTCACGGGGTGCATCCGTTGGCAGACAATGATGGAATTTGAAAGTAAAAAAATTTAGCTAACTCTTTAACCCTTTCACTCCACAATTCTTATAATGTCAGTTTGGAAAATTTGGTATTGGATCAAGTAATAATCTCCAATTGATATTTTTCTTTTTTCTCATTACTTGTCTGCTTGATATTGTATTGATATTGTAAGGAGAAATTCTTGGTCACTCATGGGAGTTGAAGGGTTAAATATATGATACCTGCTTGCTTTTTAAATCAGGAGGCAGTATAGAATCGACCATGATATACACAACTGAGAGGCTTTTTTTTAACTCTTCCAGATTTCAATCGCAATTCTCCTTACTACCTGCGATAAATCTCTTTAATCTCAAGTCTGAGAATTTTTCATCATTCTCAACGAATGCACCAATATTCTAACCGAAAAGTCAATTTCTTTTAATGTGCAGAATGTATCTCTAATGAGATGCACTAAGTATTGTTCTCGGCTTTCGAAAAGGTACAGCTTCACAATATATTTAACAATATTGTTTCGCCGGTCAGAACATCCTTATCTCAGAACATGCAAGGATTACCATTGATTTCAGATAAAACAAACCGTTAAAACTATCTTTTATCTTCGTGGTTGACTTCAAATCCAATATTAATCGGAGACAAACGGTAACCCTGGTATCAGTTCAAATCACGTGATAACACTATCGGTGCGCAGAACTTTAAAAAGGAAAGAGTATGGAAGGAAAGTGAGTAATTGTTTCCGTGTCACAAGATGAATAATAAGCACACCGAAAATGAAATTTTTTCTGTTAAATCCACGGAAACGTAAAAATCTCTCGCAATGCATGGGCGCAATTACGTGCTACTCGAGTTGCGGTGAGAGATTTATTTTCGTAGAGAGTGCGTCACGCTTTCCTGCGGACATACCAAACTTTCTGACGCATTCATCTAATTACTCTGATGTCATTTCTTAAATTGTTGTGATATCTGTCTTCTTGTTGAAACCATGTTGCAATAAAATTACATGTTTCTTTGTTTACATCGTAACTAGCTCCCTCGTTTTTATAAACAAGACATTCTATTGGGATATTTCGCCCAAAAATTGAGGTGGCAAAGATGGGAAAACTTTTCATTAAATATTGCTCGACTAAACTTTGTTGCCACTTTTGAATTCTTGGGTGAAGCCTAATTGTTTACTGAGAAAAATTTCCTCTGGGAATGGGAATTTCTTAGTTTCTCGCGGGCTGCTTGAGGTGTTATGGCTAGCCGTTTAGCGCCCGCGAAAAGCACTCTTCACTTAAATGGTAGAACCTGGAAACTGTTGTTTTTGTCTTGCTTGGGTAAAAATGACTTCCATGAAGAATAGCCTTCTTTTTATTGCGGACCTATAGTCATTACTTAACTTACAGTTTAGCATGTTGGTATTGATAACATGACCATCTTTAATTTAAGAATATAACGAATATCACATTATTGGAAGAGTCCTTTGCTTGTTACTATGTTGGTAAATATGTTGTGTTGTTATAGAAAAAAAGTGAGTGGGTATTTTGAAATTGGTATCCTATGGGTTACCCAACATTCCTTACACCGCAGCAGTCAAACGTAGGGTGTGCGTGAGGGGATCAATTTTGGCCAACCGCGCGCCACTTTTTCGCGCAAAATTTCAAAGGAAAATATGAGAAACAACCTCTGTCTCGCATAATAAGCGACAGGGAGGGAAACTCGAGACCTCGAACACAAAGGTTATTGATTACGGGTGTCCTGTCGATTTGACATTCTGTTTTGGGCTTTACCAAAAGAGTTATACACTTCTAAAACACTGTGACTTACTGGCTTGTATGTAATTCGTGTGAGAAAACTCGGTTCTGATAGCCTGAAAGCACTCCACTAAGTGCCACCTAATCTTTACAATACAATGTTAGCACATGCGCAGACGTTTGACCGCTGTGTTGGGATATGCAGTGATACAGGAGAACACGATTAGTGCTGCTGTGTAAGACCATGTACGCAAACGTCATGATTTTGATAGGAGACAGCAGATATTTAAAACGCATCTTACTGAGATCTCATAAAAGCAGATGCTCCGTGGTAACCAAGGCATATCACCGGCGTTTTCGGAAAAAGCTGTCACCAATGAAAGTGGGCATGAAGGAAATAAAGATTGATACTTTTGCATCCAGACCCACAGCGTAACGAGTATTAGGTCGCTGAGAAGTCAAAGCATCGATCACAGCGTCCACAACTTTGTATGTATCAGGGCTGGCATTCTCGGAAAATTTACTAATTCCCTTTTTGACTGTGAAAAGAGAAAGAAAGACATAAATTATGGTTTAAATATAATAGCCTGTAGAACCAGCGCGACCTTTTTGCAATTTCAGGCGAACGGATGCAAGCGTGAAGAAAGTGCGAGGCGAGGGCGAAGTGCAAGTCATGCATGAGGGGCGGTGCGGGAGAACATGAGTTTTTGCGCTCCTCCCCAGTCCCCTCGCGCATGATTCCCACTCCGTGCTTGCCTCCGTTAGCCTGAAAATGCATAATAATCACGTCAGTTCTGCAGGCTAAAACATTAAAGATGGGTAAAAATATTAAGCCATGGTCATGTACATAGCTGAAAAAACACTGCCCCTTGAAAGGACAGCAATTTAGTCGGTTTTTTCAATAGATCTTGTTTTCTAGATATATATATATATATATATATATATATATATATATATATATACACCCGTTTTCAAAAACGTTGCAATTTGAAATATGTACACCTTTTGTTTTTTCATAAAAAGGTGTCCTTTTTGATGAGGAAAAAAAACACAGGTTTACATGTAATTGTCAAGAACTGGGAACAAAAAACCTCGGTAACCTCGCCCTACGCCGATTTTAGTCTCGGACTTAATGATGATTACGCGCTCGGATGGTTTGAGCCAAAGAGCATTCGTGGGCACGCTGAGTCATACATGAAGTTTACATACATTCTGCTAACTGCAAGGATCAACAAGGCCGAAAACATCGTGTATGACTAGATTAAGCCTTTGAATCCCAGCAGGAGAATATACGCAGTATATATTCTTTTGTTCTCATAAATGATTAACATGTAACTTCTCCCTATAATATCCAGACATTCTCCAGCAAGGGGATATTGAGAATACTCAAACTCATCAGGTAGAATTTGTCATTTTGATCAAACACCAAATCGTCGTACCCATGTGGATGAGACACGTTTGTCTTCTATCCAAAAATGTGACTTTATTTGACGATCGCGCTTAAAATTTACCGTCTTTCTTAATCTATCTCGGTATCTTACTTTTAAACTTCTGAAAATAACTTCCTACGTTGAGTGAGTTTTCTCTCCCCATATTCCTCCTTTAACTCAGGACTGAGGTCGTCCCACAATTCCTGCGCCGCTTGAGTGTTGCGCTCGATGTGCGCCAAGGCTGTCTTGAACAAACCGGGTTCAATGATACTGACCAGTATTCCCCACGGGCTCATTTCTCGCCTCAAGGCATCGGAGAATGCCTGCACTCCATACTTTGTTATACAGTAGCTGGAAACATTAGGCAACGCTACACGACCTGAAATTTAGTCAGTACGTTTCATGTTAAGTCAGTTGTATTTCGCATAACCGTCGAGGTACAAAGGAGGTGGGAAGGGGGGGACAGCGCAAAATAAGACAATTCGAGCGAGATCTCAGATCTAAGATAACAATAGAGCACCCTCTACTCTCCCATCTTGGTGCGCCAGCCGCGCCAGCCGCGCCAGCCGCGCCAGCCGCGCAGGCCAGAAGGAGAGGGCAAAAGTTACTTAGACCTAGGGCCTATCAGCAAATTATCAGCGGAAAGATAAGTTTTCGGCCATACGCTGTATTTTAAATTAATGAACTGACATTTAAACAACTAGAGAAGACAAAAACAACAACAACAAAAAACTACTATTTGGGCGACCAACTCTCAGACTTTCACGCAGTGTGCCAATATCAATGTCCTTTCTGACTCGCGCGACGGACTCGTGAAAAAGGAGGAGTGCTTTGCCTAGGGACTTAAAACTCTTCTGTTTACGGTTCCATTGTCAAAGCAAGTTTTTAAAATTATTGGCGAGGTGCATGTTGACCAGACAAGCATGGTTTCCTCGACGTTATTGGTATGAGAAGCGTTATCCTTCCACTCTATTTGTGTGGACATCTTACGTCTTACGTTTGGCTCGGAAAAGTTAAACAAAAGCGATGCCAAGGCAGCACTACCTGGTCGACGTTAAATTTTTAAATTTTTTCTGATGAATTATTTAGCTTGCCTTAAAACTGTTTCTTCATTTGAGTGACATCAAATTCCCGCATTTACTATCAAAGATACTAATAATTTTAGCCTAGCTGATGTGGCGGTAGTCTCCGAGCAGTTCCTAATTATTTTAGCGTTGCTGGACGCGTGCTTCTCCTTCCGCGGGAAAATTTGAGACGTGTCGGGAGAATTTTGCCATTAGTCTGGCGACAAAAATTATCAGTGCTGGAACCCCTGGCAGACCTTTCACCGATTTGCGTTGCTCAAGGACGCATATTTTTTCGCGAGCAAAGCCACGCTCGTGTCACAGCGCTTGTAATGAGGGCTGATGTAGCGGCTGACTTAAACTATGCAGTTGAAAAAAAAACGGGACCCCCGCCGCCAAATGCATCTACACTATGCCTAAATCAGTATGGTCAGGGATAACAGCATCTACACCTCAATACCATTTAAAAGATGATGAAATAAATCTGATTTTGTTTGGGCACAGAAAGATATGCAATGACTCACCCAACATACTTGACATGTTCACCACTCGGCCCCGGGTCTTCTTGACAAGCGGCAGAAAGGTTTTAGTCACGTCAATCAATCCCCACAAATTAACATTAGCAATGCGTTTTGATTTTTGTAAAGGCATCCATTCTATTGGTCCAGTAATGGCGATCCCAGCGTTGTTTACCAATCCCCATATACCTATTTGGTAATCACGCAACAGAAAAGGAAAACTAAATAATTCCATCAAACGAGTGACCAATTGTATTTTCATCAACATATTGGTTTGCGTAATACATTGGAACCTTATTTTAGAATGCAACCTCGGCACTCAGAAAAGTGTTCCTTCGTTAGACGTGTCCGGCCAAAACGAGAAACAAGTTGGGTAGGGGCGGAATCCCTGGTTAGCACAAAACAAGCACAGCAGACCTCGGACTATGCAATACTGACTGGGTATAAAACTTGGACTGAGGTATGAAACGCGGACTACGAACTGCGGACAGGAAATAAAAAGCACGGACTACAATGTAAATTGAGGAATAGTGGAAAGAAAGAAGTCAAGTGCTCGGCACATTTTCTTTGCTTAGCAATGTCTCTGTTTTCTAGACCCCTTTTCGCAAGCATGTTTTGAATTTAATGAGCCGTGCGATACATTTCAGGTATATATTGAAATGGTAGCCCGTAATCCGAAGTCCGAAGTACGTAGTCCGTAGTCCGTAGTCCGTAGTCCGTAGTCCGTAGTCCGTAGTCCGTAGTCCGTAGTCCGTTAGTCCGTAGTCCGTATTCCGTAGTCCGTAGTCCGTAGTCCGTAGTCCGTAGTCCGTAGTCCGTAGTCCGTAGTCCGTAGTCCGTAGTCCGTAGTCCGTAGTCCGTAGTCCGTAGTCCGTAGTCTGTAGTCCGTAGTCCGTAGTCCGTAGTCCGTAGTCCGTAGTCCGTAGTCCGTAGTCCGTAGTCCGTAGTCCGTAATCCGTAGTCCGTAGTCCGTAGTCCGTAGTCCGTAGTCCGCAGTCCATATTTTAAACTTACCAGTGGAAGCTCCACCCCCTCAAATTGGAGGGGGGGGGCACTCTCGGAACTAGAGGAAGTGAATATGTAGGTAAGAGAAGCAAAGGTTCAAAGAAATATTTTGTTCCGTAGCGACCAATGTTTCGTCCTTGAATTAATATGTTTTCTTTGTAGAGGCTTACCAAGGGAGGTTTATTTCTATTAACATCGTGAACTCTATAGATTCTAATCTAAAGATTGGTTCAAAACGAACTTTAAAAAGGAACGGTAAGCTCTGCTTTGCCCATCATTTTCACCTCTTTGAATGTGTGGTTTGTTTGCACGTATTGCATGCCTACACTCTGAGTAATACAATAAGGTCTTAATCAATATTACCTTGGTCGGAGGGTAGGAGTCCCTGAATCTCTTCGTAAAGATCTTTGATCTGCTCTGAACTTGTCACATCCAACTGGAATGTTTTTAGTTTGTCACTGGTCGCGGACTTTAGACTCTGCTCTCCTTCCTCAGTCAGGCAAGTCGCCAACACACACGCTCCCATCTTGTCCAGTCGAATGGCTGTTTCACGGCCGAAGCCAGAGTCGCAGCCAGTAATTAGAACATATTTCTGGTCTAAGTCGACCGACCTCCTTCGTGAGAAAAACCTGGAGATGATCAAAGTTAAAATTACAGCTGCAGCGACTGTTGTGTAAGTGAAGTGTAAGGAGTCGTTTTCCAAGATTGACAGAAGCTTATCCATGTTTGTCTTCGGCTCATATGATTGGAAATGTGAGCTACTAACGCGAAAAATCTGTAGAGCTGCGCTTTGTTTGCACAGGTCAAAGCAACAATTAACACCTCCACTAGAAATGAAGCAACTTTTTCTTTTGGATAATGAAGATTAATTGTTTGCCCGTTGACTACTGACGAAACAGATCCTGTGATACGACTAGAGAACTTAAGAAGCACAAGACTATTAGAAGACTGTGCTTTCCTCAAACCACACAAAGCGTGACTTAAGGAATGCGCGTCACGCAACAATCACGCGTGGTTAAGCAATGCAGGCGAGAGGCGAGTCAAAACGCGCACATTACATGGCACTTGATTTGCCATTACTCTGTCACGATATTGATAATCGTATCGTCAAGAATTCATATGAATCATTCGAAGCAAAATACATCAGGCGAACCATAGCTGAGCGCGTCAAAAATTACGCTTTCACTCCTTGAACATTTTGTTCTTCTCGGTTGTTTTCATTTAAGCCTTACCTTACCAGTACAGTTATGCTGCTCGGCCTAGTCAACCTTAGAGTTCCCAAAGCCGCCATGGTGTATAAATACGTCACGTATCGTATTTTGGACAGAATGCAGACATAGTTTGTTTACATTGTATCGTTGTACCCAGGCCACCGGGTAGTTCGGGACCACCGACAAGCGGCTTACAGCTAGACAGCTTCATGACCAATCACTTTGATGGAGAAAATGAGGAGAGAGCCACAAGGGACGGCGTTAGAATATAATGCATGTGTGTAAAGTAGAGAAAAACTGTAGAGAAGTTTTTAACTTTCTGACTGAATGATTACGGTCTCTACCTCTAAAGAAAAATAAAATGAAGCAATGATGACGATAATAATGACAATAAAAAAAACAGAAAAAGGATTTCTTGTCAACTAAGGGCTCAGTGCGCGCACGTTGTAAATTTTTTTTATAACGCACCATGGTAATGAAAAGTTTTGTAATGAAATAAAGCCTTGGGTACAAGTTCAAATTGCGTAAAAGGCCCTTTCTATGCAATGGCCTTGACGGCTCCTTACGGGTTCAATCGCAGTGGTAAAGTGAACGAATTAATAATTTTATCCGTAGCCAGGAGGGGAAACTAAGTGATGATATGATTTAAGGACGATAGAGTAGCCACAGTTCTAAACGCACACTGAGAAAGTGTTTTAGGATCTTTTGTTTAAATTTTTCGAAGGAGTAAAAATTACACCTCATGTCACGCAGGTCCCCGGGCCCTAAACTGGGCTGAAGGAGACAGTCACAACCTGGGGACGAAATAGAATCCAAAATGGCGGCTCTCCTGGACTTGAAGTTTTTTCGATGTCCAATTCAAAAATAACGACGAGTTGCATTCCGATGCGATTTATAAATGGATAGAAGGGTGAAATATTTTTTCCTTTTAAATTGACGTCTAACTTGAATAATGGCAATAGCTAGCAACTGGACGTGGGAAAAGAAGTATTTGACTTCCCCGGTCACGAGTTTAGAGTTTGTTGGTTCTGACTTGGTTCTTTCAGGTGAGGAATAATTCATTTGTCCACTTCTGTTGATCTTAATCAAACGATAGCTTAATTTTCACCCGATGATTGTCTCTATCGGAGTTTTCTGCGATCCAGTTTGAAAAGATCCTCTCACGGCTTTGGAGGGAGGCATGACTGCCTACTAAACACATCAGAAAAGAGATCAAATCCTCCAAAGTTAGGTAACTGGAGAGGGGAAAAATACCAACAAAGAGAACTTAAATGCAAATGCAGAGGAAAATTCACAATTCCTTGAGGCAAATCTTATATTGAAGACGAAGGATTCCCAGACATTGTTTATTTATTAGAGGAGATAAGTAATAATTTGGCCAAGCTTCAGATCTGTCTGATTTTTTACAGTTGATTTACTTCCACAAATCAACACACCATAGAAAAATTTCTAAAGGCCTCAGTGTAGATACCCTGTTGTATGCCCTTAAGGGGGAGGGATAAATATGACAAGCAAAATATTGTAAATTAGTATATACCATACATACAGGTGAATAGTACTTTTCTCTCATGCTGATTTGCTGGTTTGGAGGCATTTAGCAAGAACCATTCACCTTCAGGCAGTCAGTGAGACAAGTGAGGGCATTTAGAGTTAAATTTCAGACAATATTTGGTATATTGACAGTTTTTGGTTTCTGTGTGATGTAAAATTATACTAAAACAATTATTCACCTGTGTGCCATGAGGCTCAGTAAATATCCACCACTATTCACCTCCACTTGGGAAAATAATTGTGAATTAGCAGATATTCATCTGAGCACATTCTCACATTCTGTTTGCCACAATGAAAAAGACAAAAATCATATAATTACCCAACAGCATTCAAGGCTAATACTTTGAGATGACCTGGAATGAAATTGGAAAATTAAAAATTGAACTAATTAATAGTAGAGAACTCTATCCAAAATATTTAATTAAAGAGTATGTAATTTGTCAGTCATTTTGAAAAAAATGCTGATTTTACTTTCTTTAGGAAATGGACCATTGCTTGGTGTGTATTCTGCAGCAAAGGGAGTTTTATTAATTGAAAAATGTCTATTGCAAGGCTCAAGGACACATGGAATAAGAGGTACATTGTACATTTAGGTTGTTAATTTATAGGATTCGACTCTAGTTTATTCAGGATGTTCTCAAAATAATGAGAATCTATGAAATTTGTTGGTCATATAGAAAAAATCTCAGTATGTTCGAAACAATAGCATCATACCATGGAAAGTGCTTGAAAAATTTTACTGTAGTGCTAACATGGATAATTTGTTCAAAAATCATTACTGCTTTGGTTGAAGATCCTTTCCTTTATTCTCGTGATCTTATTGAATGATTCAGCAGTATTACTGTAAGGAGAAATTAAGTGCTGATCACAATTAGGGGTGAAATGGTTTAGTCAAGTAATGTATTGTTAGTAGAGTTTCTATAATTGTAAGTTCTATGTTGTACTGTAAGTGAAAAAATAAAGAATTGTGGGTGAGAACATTGGAGATCCATGTTTCCTGTGTTCACTGCAAATGTCAAACCAAGGTCAGAAGTTTGTGGTTAGAAGTAAGATTTTTGAGACTTTCAGGTTTTTAGATCAATGTCAACTTTCAACTGAAAAAAAAAATCAACATATGTACTGCCATCTTGAATTACACAAATGATGAAGGTCCTTCATTTCAAACACAAAATGTGGTGAATGGATTGATTTTCTAGCATCTCAAAGGGATTTTTTGTAAAGAAAAGACCTCACCTCACTTATATTTATAGGACATACATGATAACTTTTAAACAGGAAGAAAAAAGGGCAGAGAGTGTTCAACTACCTGAAACTGCCTTGCCTAAAGATCAAATATGGATGGCAAATGGTGAAAGTGACCGCTGGAGTCTGGTCATGCGACTCCACATATTCAGAAACAAATGTGGATCTAAAACTCTATTATAAATAATTCCAAACTCTTGTATATGTCCAATCACATTGGTTTCCCTTGTTTAGGTGAAAAGACCTTTGGTAACTTGGTGCTTATATTTGGACAAAAGGTCATAAGGGTCGTCAAATTACAAGAGAATCCCTCCAATTCAAGTGTAAGGTAAGAGTGAAATACTGAATACATTCACAATTAACTTCTTATAATTCTTTCTTCTCTATGATTAAATGATTAAATTCTGAAAATTATGGCAAGAACATTCATGCTAGTTCTGGAAACTTGGTCTTGAGTACTAAGGGCACAGTTTTTTTCCCATGCTGGCCTTCCTAGAATGGTTTAGAACTTTTTTTTCTGCTTGTTTGCTTTTTTTACCCTACAGACCAAATCAACCTCAGGTGGCTTTTGGCTGATCTGGTTTTCTTTTACCAGGTTGGGTCAAGTGCAAGGCAACCTTAGGGTCAGGGAGCCTGATCCATTCTTCAGAAAAGAAGGATCTCTCTTTGTTTTGCTTTACAATTTCTCATGCCACTGAGAAACATGTTAGGTATTCTTTTGTCTTCAGAGTTGAGGCTGCATCAGATATTGTAGCTTTTCCTGATCTGATCTGGGATGCTCACTGGCTGTACCAGGACAAGGTACCAAAACTAGTGGCTATTGCAACTGCACACAATGCCGTATGGTGCTGGGATTGGGAAGGTGATGTTAAACAATTGGTTGCCCAATGTGAAGAGCCATGTATACTGTATCCTTTATACAGACCTATAAGGCCATAAAATAGTTTTAGCAAGACTCAAGTAATTAAGCCTTTTCTACCAATTTGTTTCCTCTAAAGTAATACCTTCCCTTGTTTGCGAAAGATACTTTAAACAATCTGAAAATAACTTTTGACACGCAGAAGATTAGGAATTACCAAGTAAGTTCATGAACAGACTAATTTTCTTCTTATGCTTTAATGAAGTAATCAGGAAAACTCAAAGGATATGAGGACTTTATGTTGTTCTTTCCTTAGAAAGTTCTGTGGTTGAATTAGTTATTTCCTGTAACTTTCTTTTGGTAAAGATATTCTGCATGTTTCTTTGGATCCGATTTAGAAAATTTGATCATTGCATCTGGCACAGTTTTTAATCAAGTCCTTCTTTGGAGAGTGCAAGGAAAGAAAGACGGAAATAACCGAACACTGATTCTGCAGAGGCTTACAGGTCACTCTGGAGTTATTTTTGCCATAAACTTTAACAAACAAGGAACACTTTTGAGTTCTGTTTCAGATGACAGGAGCATACGACTATGGAAAATAACAAACCTATCAACACTTGAATCAAATGGCTGTGTGGAACCTTTGCTTGTCGTTTATGGGCATTCTGCACGAGTCTGGAATGCAAAATTGTTGGAGATGTGTTTTGTTAGTATTGGAGAGGACTTGGTATGCAATGTGTGGAGCTATGATGGAAGCATTGTGAAGTCCTATAAAGGTCATACAGGTATCAGGCTACTTAACCCTTTACACCATAACATCAGCATGCATATTCTCTATACTGTTCTCTATACATTTCTTAAGATGTATAGAGGAGAATTTGTGTTACAATCCAAAGTGTCTTTAGTTGGTGATCATTTACTTTTTTTTCTCCTGACCTTAATGTTTGATTCAGGGGTGAGAAATTAGATGCTAGTCACTCTTAAGGGTCAATAGGTTATTACCAACAATGAGGATGGTTTTTCATACTTTAGCAACTGATGGAGTAAATTTTTTTTCAAACTGATGCGCTTTTTTTTTAAACAGGTTCTGTGATGTAAGACTCAAACCAATTCTTCAAGTAACCAAAAACTTATCCTTTGTCCCAAAATGTTTTTAATTGGTTAATTTAAACTTGAATAATTATGTTTTCAAGAAAATATTTTTTGAAAATGCATAAGTGCAAGTATTTACAGAGACTGCATGGCAAATTATTTTTATTTTGAAGTGACAAATGATATGTAGCCTAACTGGCTAAGAGCAAGCCAAATTGATTATCCAATAATTTTTAATTTCTCAAGTATTTTTTAAATTCAATGTTATGTACATGTGCCTTTCAAAAACTGAAGGAAAGCTCCTCTTGCTTTCAGAAAATTATTTATTATCATGGTGATTCTAGTTTGAGTGATAAATTAAAGTAATCCAGGTTGATACTAACAATGCAATCATCTTATCAACAAATTGTATGACTGTAAAACTAAAACCAATTTCCCACTTGATCCCTTGTTTTGTTCTTAAGGCTTATTGCACAAGTTGCTTTCTCACCAGCCCATTTTTATATTCACCTTTGTTCTGATTGGTTTTTTTTTACTTCCTTTATAATGGTGTTATGATACACAATTGGTTGTTATATGTCTTGATAAGCTGAATTATGTACACATTTTGAATCATTCTTACTTATGATTTGTTGGAGGACAGATCCATAAACAAAATCACCATAAACAAAAGTTTTCTTTTTTACCTTATTAATTAAAATAGATTCCATCTTATCATGAGTCTGTTCAGTGATAGATCACAGAAGACCTACATTTGTGGTAAGAACAGCAGTGTTACACTCAGCTGGGCTTTCTGTGCCACTTTTTTGTTTATACCACATTTTGATGTTTTCAGTGATCTTCTACAGAACAGACACTTGACAACATAGAATCTATTTTTTATGTTTTTACATTCACTTCTGTCAACTGTAGCCTGTTGTAATAAGCCACGTACCATCTTCCGCAGGTCGCAACATCTGGAGTCTTGCTGTCAACCAAAATGAAAATCTCATAGCCACAGGTGGTGGAGATGGAAGTATCAGGCTGTGGCCATTATCAAGTCCTGATCATAACAGCAATGCCATTTTGAGAGAAGCTCGTCTATCCTCCTTAGAAACTAAAGCTAACAATCAAATGAACACCAGGAAAACCAAAAAGGAGGATTTTCCAAGATTTGTGAGCTTGTTGGACCAGTTTAACTTGTTGATCATGACAAACGAAGGGTGAGTAGCTGTATTTTGTCAACTAGCTCTTTTTACTGAACAGTCACAGCAAATTGTTTTTAAGAAAGTGCTTGTAATTATGAAGTTTTCTATTGAGAGAATTGTTCATATAAGAGAAGCAATTGATGTAATTTATAACAAATGAATAGCTTCAATCTTTTTTTCATGCCTCTTTCAATGTTCTTCATTTGTTTATTAACTCTTTTGCTACTTGGAGAGCTCATTGTAAAGACATTTTTTCCTTTTAAAAGGGAACTCACAAAAGTCAAACAGACAAATTTTAATATTAAGAAAATTAGAAACAGGAGCTAAATTTGTTTGCAACGATCTTCTGGACCAACAAAATATATAGAGCAGGTATCAGTTAGGAATTCAAATACCTCACTATTCAGATATCAGATTCCAAGATCTAGAGATTTCAAAGATGTCACGTTAATCAGTCCAAATCTTTTATTTATGCATTCTGTCACAATTGAACTGTACCAGCCTCAAAGACAAAAGGTGTACATCAGCAGGAACTAGAATACTCCGGCTTGTTCAAACACTTCTAGAAATGTGAAAATTACAGGAAATAATATTACCCATTGCTAGTTAAATTATTAATAATTTTCCTCTTCTAACCAGGTGTCTGTATAAGTACAGCTGGATGAAAAACAAGAGTTCTCATGGAGACCACAATGTCTTGTCACTAAGTTCAAACGCTGATGACACAAATCATAAGGATCAATGGAGGCTGCTTCTCAAAGATGCAGAGTATTCCTCATACAGTGTTGTGGCTTTGTCTCCCTGTCACAAGATGGTTGCTTTTGGAAATTTGAGAGGGAAAATCAAACTGCAAGATGCAAGTGAGTTGGAACCAATGTGGCTGTTGATTGAAACCAAGATTGTATTAACTGTAAAACAACAGTGGCAACATAATTGTGCTTTCTTCCCTCATGTCATGGAAGGATTTTGTTATTATTTGATAATGATTTTTTAGCTGAAATATTTTTGCAAAAAGTCCACATCCCCTCATGGATGGCTGAATTTTTTGAGCCACTATCATCCCCCTGCCTTGGTTTCCAAACTCATTAGAAACCCCATTTAGTTTGGATTTCTGAGGCCAAAGACCCTTCCTCTTCTAATCAATATATTTACATGTGCATGTAAAGGAAGGGGCTAGAAGTATAATTGACACAGTCAATAGAGGGGACCAAACACGAGTCAAAGTCCTTCTGTTTAAGGAATAGAACTTAATAGCCTAGGACGTTAAAGAATATACTTATAAGTATTGTATTTCCAATACAATTATGAAAATACCCAAGAGTATTTTGGAATGTATGACAGACAATGTTTAGAATTGATAACTTGATCATGGGAGTCAAAGGGTTAAGTTTTCTCTGAATTCTTTTAACAGATTTCAATTATCCCAGTGTTGAACTACAGGCCTACTCAGGTAAAGTTCACAATCTGCTTTGGAGCCAGCAGCATTCTCCTCGGCATCTCTTTTCTTGTGGACCAGATGGACAAATCACATGGTGGAATATCATCTGCACAAAAGGAGAAACCACTACATTTAATGTGACTCCTTTGTGCATCTTCACTCTTCCACCATCCAAGCAACGTTGGGCATCAGCTATTGAAATTTTCCAAATATCTAATAAAGAAACAGTGACCAACAAATCTGCTCTGATAGTCTGTGGGGATAGAAAAGGGTCATTGCATCTGTTTGATGCTAGTGCTGGTGATTTGTCAGCTGAAAAGGCAAGTTGTCTATGTTGTAGTCTACAGATTTAAGATTAATAGTGAATCTTTGCTTATTCCATAGCAATATTAACTTTTTACTCTCTAACATCAGTACCCATATTCTTTTAACTCTTCTCTATACATTTCCTTTGACACTGACAAGGAGAATTTGTTCAACAGTAAAAGCATCTCAGCTATGACAGTGCCAAAAAAAAAAGATGGTCAATATCCAGCCACATTGACCTTGCGGTTGGTCAATAATGCACATTTCACAGCTCCAATACACTGTCAAACAGACAGTTACCAAATTATCACCTTGTTGTTTTTTTTCTTGATATAATATCAAACTCCTGGTAACAGCTTTAAAAAACCTTGTTTCCACAGGGCGTGAAATTAATTTTTTTTTCTGATAGCCACTTGGCTCCTAAATTCATCAAAGTGGTAGCCAATTCAAAAAAAGTTGGTCGCCATTTTGAAAGACAAACAAAACCTTTTTTTTACTCTGTCATCTCTCTAGAAATTAAGTAAGGGAAAAGATCTTTTACGTGCAACAAAGTAGACACTAGGATGGATGATATGCAATGTTTAAGCTCACCTAAATCCAAGATGGCGTCTAGTTATTGATCGAGATGCATCTGCTGCGTTTTGGAAACAAACTTAGCGAGGAAGTTTGCTGCGGATTTGTCTTTGCAAATCTTTCTAATTCACTATATCTCTAGGTAAGGTTATGATGAAACATTCTAGTCGCCAATTTGGCGACTAATTTTCAGGATTTGGTCGCCAAAGTGAAAAATTTAGTCACATTGGCGCCTGTATTAGGCGCAATTTCACGCCCTGTTCCGGTGTCTCTCCTCTTTTTACCCTCCTGGGTACCCCAGGTTGGTGGGATGAAAGGAAATCCTGGGAACCAGTTGGACCAGAAGGAGACCAGAAGTTTAGTTTTTTTTGTTTGTTTGTTTGTTAACGTAAGTTTTTGAGTACAATGGTATAAGTTAAGAGTACTTGTACCAATTCTGGTAGAAAGAAAAGAACTCTTTGCTATGAACTTAAAAAACAGCTGCTAAAACCTTGTGTCCAGGGTCTCTCCTCTTCTTACCCTCCTGGGCACTCCAGGGATGTGGGAAGAGGAGAGAATCCAGAAACCAGTTGTACAGCCTTCGACAAAAGTTATGGTTATCAGTCAGGAGACATAAAGTTTAGTTTTTGTTTATTTGTTTGTTTGTGTTTTTTGAGTGCAATGGTTTAAGTAAAAAGTACTCTTATAAATTCTGATAAAAATGACAGAAAAATGGAACTCTTCACTTTACCCTGAACAAAGTTGTTTGAATATATCAATATTTGAATCTTTCAGTGTATTGGCCCAGTACATTCCCTTCCTCTGCTTCATGGTAAAGCTGGAGTAAGTCACTTGTGCCTTTATAATAACACAATGTACTCAGCTGGAAGAGATGGAGTGTATAGGCAGCTTAGGATACAAAACAATACTCTGGAGGTTATAGATACCAAAAAGGTATTTATGATTTATATTCCAATATCTTATAGATAATTCTCCTCTCTAGTTGCTACACATTCCTTGTAAATTTGTTTCAAGAATTTGGTGTTAGATCAGGATAACAACTTCTACCTGATGAGTTAGAGTATTCTCTTTACCTGTTTGCTGGATAATGTATGGATATTTTTGGAAGAAGGTACATTTTAATCACCTCAGGGAGTTAAAGGGTCAATAGATGTTAAGGAAACAGACAAACTGTGGTAGGTTAGTGGTGATGACCAACAAAGAGTTTCCTCTTTACATTATCAGCACATCTTAAAGCAGGAAGGTAAGAAGAGCAAAGAAAACAATGCTGGGCTGGTGGGCTGCTTTTGATTTAACACCAGATTCTTGGGGATAGAATTATTAGAAATGTATCACAGACACTGCAGAGAATCTATATTTAGATCTTGGTAGTGACAGAGATAGCACATTGTTCTATGAGAGTGGTGTTATTTTCAGATGACTTACTTAACAGTGACTTAAAAACCTTTTACCTCACCTTCCCCTTGACACTGACTTGACTTTTAACTTTGACCTGGACAGACTGTTTTTTGGCAATGTATTGTCTTTATTAGCTAGAATTGTCATTCTCTATCTTTTTCTTTCTCATTCTTAATCTAGTATCATGCCATTTCAATTGAGGCTTTGATTTGACCACAGTACAGGCCTTCTAATCCTTTAAATTCACTACTGCTTGATGTTCAATAGTTTTCATTACTGCAAAGATTGCTCTCATATTCATTGCATGATCTGCAGTTCACATATATGATTTTTATGTATTCACAGTCAGGTAAAATGAGTGTAAATATTTGATGAAAGTTAAAGTAAATGGAATTTAGTTTGAGTTCATGTAGGTTTACCCATTAGAAGTTTATTTTATCAATGTTAAGTCTGGCCAATTTGTATATTGGTATCAACAACATAAGCAAGCAAAGAAATGGTCCTTGTTAGTGGAGAGAAATTTAAGCAATTGCAGGAAAAAAGCCTGAAGAAATTCAGGCTTTAACCAAATTGGAAGCCATTGCCTCCCAGATGCTAGCTGGTAGGCAATGGCTTCCAAGGATCATGTCTTTGGCTTGACTTCTATCGGCTAGTCAAATGGAATTTATTTCATTACAAAAAAAATTGATGCTAACCTACTCTTTAGGTCTACAAAGGCCTAGACTGGGTGGAGCGACTGCTATTCATGGACAATGGAGATCTTCTCATTGCAGGCTTCCATGCTGTAAGACACAAGTGTTTTTTTTTGCCACACATTTTATTTGCTCAAGCAGGATAGCAAATTAAAATGCTTTCAATTCTTATGTGATTTTGTTGTATCTCACCACACAGGCATATTTTGTATTATGGAGTGTACAGCACAATGAGCTCTTGTGGAGAGTGATGTGTGGTGGAGCACACAGAGTCTGGGACCTAGTCCTTCAACAGTCGGTACATACTTAATTACGTGTTTAAGAAATCACTCTCACACATGCACTAAAGGATTTTGGGATTTATCGATAACAGTGATGGTTTAAAAGTTGTAAAACTTTCTCTTACTTTTAATTAATGTCAATTATAATATTTTTTTGACATTTTGGAAATCCTTGACTAACCTGATCGTCACAAATAAGCACTCAGAAGTTAAAATCATTCTCTCCCCCCCATTTAAATAATTACCTCCTCTTTCCCCCTTCCCTTTTTTTAGAAGATGAGAGCTAAGATAACTATTGATTTATAGTGTTGGTTGTTTGGCCTTGAACACAGATATCATACTTTCTTCAGAATAATTAACAATTATTCACCAAAGTGGAGGTGAACAGTGGTGGATATTTACCAAGCTGCTTCGCCGCTCGGTAAATATCCACCACTTTCACCGACACTGAGATAAATAATTCTTTTACTGTACATCACACTGGAACAAAAAAAAAAATCAGTTTATTTCTGTCAAATATTAGATTGTTGACACGCTATTTTGTCTCTTCGGCTGCTAGGAGATGAATAGCACTCACTAATCACTTCCGAATCAGCCAATCAGTGCGCGCTTTTCACCTTTGTGGTATATGCTAACAAAAACTTTTTTTTGTACTAGTTGTAGCTCTGTTAAAAAATATAAGGATCAGCTAGAATATGACATTCGGCTTGTGTAGTATTTTTTTTCTGTAGAAATGTTGCAAATAAAAAGGAAACATCACACGTAGTCGTGATCTAGGAAAACAAGAATAACCCTTTAATTAACTCCCTCTAGTTTCTCACAAATTTGAAATAAGTGTGGTGGACATGATTAGCGGATATATGGCATTTAAATTTATTACCAGGATTCATCTGTTTGTGGAGGAGTGCTGGCGTTTATCAAGGACTCTACTATTTACACGCACAAGATGACCTTCCCGTGTGAGCTGAAAAAGGCGATGTTGAAGGTAATCAACTTGGCTAAGTACATAATTTTTACTGGTAGTGAAACATGTTATAAGTCTACATTTTGATTTTAATACATACCCTTACGTGTGCTGATATTAGAGTCCTTAGCAAATCACGACGGCAAAGGCAATGAAGACGTGGCAAAATGAAAAATCTACTGGGCAGAATAATAGCTCAGCACATGCGTTTTGAAACTTTATCCATTTTTTTAGCCGTCCCATCCAAAACCATTAGGCGAAATCACCAATCACCAAGTCAGGTGGTCTAAAAATGGAAACAATGTGGGTAAATTATGTAAGTTTCCATTTGGAACTCAGCGCTGCCCACATACGCTATACTGAAGTTAAGGGATGGCGCATTTGATAAAAAAGACGGTGAACACATCTTGTCATTTGCAAAATTCTAGCTGAAAATATAAATTCATTTTTTTATCTACACCCACCTTGGCGTTGCCGACCTAACTGCATAAGGTCCCTGCTAATTTCCACATGTTTACCATGTGAATTTTTGAGAGAATTTACTCCTTTATACAGTCAATCTTTATTCATAAGATCACTTTTTTCTTAATTCACAGTCAGGTTTTCATGGACGAGAAGTAACATGTATTTGCCATGTAGATTCAATTGTGGGGCAACAAGGTAGGCAACTAGCGAAAAAAAGGGGGAGGGCGGTGGTGGTGAATTTGAACCAAGTCATGTTCCAGTTCCTTACAGTTTACAGGAGTTGGAAAAATTGCCAAGGTCAGACTCCATCTTAGAGCAGGCTCAAACACTGTAGTTGCTCCAATTAGCCTGAGGGGATAGGGGGCATGGCTTATTTATTTCCATGTCTTTCAGATAGAGGGCTCAGTCAATGTGGAGGGGGAGGGGGGGGGAGCTTCCACACATATGATAAACACTATGTATAGGGTTGAAAAACCTACAAAACTTTTCCAAACCAAATATATCTTGAAGCTTTTGTTTACAAAGAAAGGGAATAGAGTGGCTCAGAAGATAGGGGTATAAACGTGATGCTTTGGATAGGAAGGGGTAGCTTCCAAAAATCTTAAAGCCCTAGACTTGGGGTGGTGCTTATTTTAGTGTTTATTGCAAACCAAACAGCACTGGAAGGTTTATCAAAGTTAAATGATTAGTTCTACTTAACCCTTTGACCCCTAACGGTGATTAGCATATAATTTCTCCTTACCACATCACCCCCGAATCACACATTAAGGTCATGAGAATAAAAGAAATGATCATCAACTTAAGAAGCTCTTGATTGTAAAACAATTTCTCCTTTTCGACGCCCTAGGAAATGTAAGGAGAACAGTATGGAGACTATGCATACTGGTGTTAGGTTGTAATGGGATAAGGTGTTGAAGGTGTTTCTTAAACTGTTTTACTTACTTGCTTCTTTTTCAGGTGATATCAGCGACGTATTTGTAACAGGGAGCGAAGATACCAACATCCAGCTGATGATTTGTATCCAGTTTTTTAACAGTTAGAGTAGTTTTTTTAGGGCCATTTAGAGGAAAGAGAAGGACTTAATTGCTAAAAAAGTTCTGTAGTAGTAATACTAACTGAGGTCAAGCATATTTCACCCAATTTTTCTATAGGGTTAAAAAGTATCTTCCACTGAAATTGAGGCACATCGAAAAAAGTATTGATTTTGTAAGTTTGTCCTCTTTAGCTCGCCAATAGATACGTACCACATACAATAAAAGCACCATTATGGCAGTGGGAGAATAGTAACATTACCGTCATTACATACTTAGATTCATGAAGCCTGAATAATAAAATTTCTAGAGTTTTTAATAAACTTCTCCCCAGTGATAGTTCTCTCACTTTTAATAGAATTTCATTAGATTGTAAAGGGGCAAGTTTCTAAAGAAACTGACGTTTCGAACAAATAGGTTTGCCTTTTTGAAGATGTCACCGGAGACTGTTACGGTGTCAGAAAATGTCGAAAAATTGAAAGTTATCTGCCTCATTTCCATGTAATTGGGAGTGATGGAACTTTGATACTTTTGGATACTCTCTTTCATAGATTGTTTCCTTAACTCTCTTTCCCTCAGCTGACCGTTCCACTGGTGTGACCTCGTCAATTTTCACTGCCCATGGCCATATATCTAGTGTCCGTGCCTTGTGCGCCACCAAATCCCCAAGGCCAAACATACAGCCAAAGGAACAGATAAACGGTCACCCCACAAATGATAGGACTTGTCATCTTCTCTTTTCTGGCGGGGGACGTGCCTCACTCAAATGCTGGCGCGTGGATCTGTCACTCATCAATGACAGTCACCATGGGGATAAGATGGCGTCTTCACCCATGGTTTTTCTCGGAGAATGTTCGTTTCGCTTCAGTAATCACCGGCGGAGACGAAGGAAACACGATTCTCAGTCCTTTTCAGAGATTAGGTTTATGTCTTTGACGTCATTGAGTGCTGCTAATTTGAAGGACAGCTGTCAGTCGTTGTATTTTGTCTTGGCAGCGTGCTCAGATGGGTTTGTCAGGTGCGTGTGATCCTTTTTCCGCTCTACTTCCTCCTAAAATAAGAGGAGTTCAGCGTGTTATTTTAGTAAGTGGACTCTTTGCAATGAGAATATCATTTACGTCTTTTTTTCCCTGTTTGAAGTTTGACCCGATGTATTATTCGCTGATATAACGCGTTATTGGCCTCATAATTGGCACGTAAAAGACCCAAAATGATAGCAGAGAGAATGAAGCTGCAGAGGTTAACTCATTCACCTTTTCTGATAACTCACATCCCTCTATGAAACTTTGATTTACAGCCCGGGCTGTGTCGATTCTTTCGTTGAATGTTTTTTTTGTTGTTTTTTTAGTTTCCTATCCGATGTTTTTTTTTAACCTTTGTAAAGACTTGATTTGTTAGAGATAAGAAGGTGCCTTATTTAACTCACTGTAAAATCTACTTTCATTAAAAAGCAGGGGCAAAACCCACCTAAACCGCACCCTCTTATTTTGATAGAAGGAAAATGATAAATGTGGTTGCAATTAAGTATGTTGAAAAGTGATTTTGCTTCCTTCTTGATATTTTTTAGTGACTTTAAACACTGATTTCTTTTCCCTTCAGAATTTTTAGCTTTGATGAGCGTCGAAACAGGTTTTCACTTCTGGCTCAGTCCCTATACCTGAAACGCTGTGTACTGACAATTAGTCACGTGGTTGATTTTTGTACGAGCGGTAGTCCGCTGGTTATGATGTTTGCGGGAGACACAGCTGGAAAAATTTCTTGTTGGAATATCACTTCATTGTTATGTAACCAAATTAGGGAACATGACTTGACTTGTGACTTGACGAGTGTGGAGGACTCTATGATGACAAATACAATGAATTCAGAAAAGGAAACGCGCACTGCAGGGGACTCGTTAGTGGAAAACAAACGAGAAACTGTCGATAATAATGAAGGTGAAAAGACAGTTTTAGACGGGCACGTCTCTGTAGAAAAGAATGACACACCCCAACCTAGAATGGCTGCTTTGAGCTCAGAAAGTTGTGTGACAACGGACATTTACGTTTCATCACGTGGCTGTTGGAAAGAAGGAGTACTGGAGGATTGCGTGACTGATTGTAACGTATCTGAAAGCGTGACAGTTGCTAACAGACAGCGGACTGAAGAAACAAACGCAATCGTTGATACTGGTCCTTCAGCACAGAGCCAAGATTCAGTCAACTTTGGACAAGACGTTTTGAATGAAGCTATCTCAAATGATCTCATTTCTATCGGAAGTGAGATGCCTGGTCAAATTAGTGTAACTGATCAAAATGGTGAAGAGTTGAATGCCACACTAGTAGGCCAAAGTGACTTCTCGTGTCTTCCTCTCGTGCCAGTCTTCCTCGGTCTTCCTACCCACGTGTTTCACGCGCACCAATCCGGTGTAAATGCAATCTCGCTCGTGAAAAATGACGGTAAGATGAGAGAAAGGATCACATGTGGGCAACCTTCTATAAATTGGTCTTTGTAAGAACTTATCGGAGGTAATTTTTGTCACAGTTATAGGCCAATCAGAAACAACGCGGCCATTTGGGAAAATGTCTCGCTAAATTTTCGTCATGGGTATTGTCAAGCAACTTGTATGGGAAAATCGAAGATATTTCACCTCATCGGCAGTATAGTAATCTTCTTTGTGAAATTTTTTCCTATAAGGGTGTTACAATATCTGCATTCTGAGTCATAATGCGCCTTGCAAAATTACCTCGAAAGAGACTACAAAATATTAGCCTAGTAAGATGGAAGAACGCGTAAGTGGCAATAATACACCAAGATGGAACAAGATAGCTGAGGCAGGAGAAGATCAAGACTAAAAGCATATGACGAACGTAAATTTTTTTTTGCCTTTAGCAATCTGTAAGGTTCTCAAACCGTGACGTACCAACTTTTATGTGAATGTTGCACCCATTTTAGTTTCAGGACAGTACTTACTGGTCAGTGGTGGGGATGATGCTGCACTCTACGCTGCAGAGTTCAACTTGAAGCAAAACAAGAATGACGTCACCAAAGTTCACGTGACCCGTGAAGTGTCTGAACCGTCCGCTCATACGTCATCAGTGACAGGTAACAGTGGCTCAACCTCGTTTTCAGGGTCCTCTCTCTTTTACCTCGAGAAAGGAAAAGAGAGACCTTGGCAATGAGGTTGACAGTAGATCACTTGAATTTATTTTTAGATCCTTTCCTTCGGGTGAGGTTCTTGACGAACGTCGTCGTGTAGACTTAGTATTCGAGGATGTCTAACCATCATGATCCACGCAATAAAAGATTAAAATGAAACACTTCCCGTTTTCAAAAAAAGAAACGCACTGAATGAATATGGGCGGAATCGGCTGGGATTGAAGAAGAATTGAATGGACTGATTTGTTAAAAACGATATTGCAAAAGTGTACAACGCTCTGTCAACTAGCCTAGGTTATTAAATAACTTTACGAAAAAAAGGCAAATTTTTATCTCTTTAACTCCTAGGAGTGACTAGCATTTAATTTCTCCTTACAATATCATTCAGAATTACACATTAAGGTGACAGGAATAAAGGAGGTGGTTACTAACGAAAGAAGCTCTTGATTGTAAAAATAAATTCTCAACACCTTGGGAAATGTATAGAGAACAGTATGGAGAATATGCACAATGACGCTGGGATGTAAAGGGTTAATGGAGTTTCGTAGGGAGCATCGGTTTTTTTCTTAGAAGATATTGCTTTTCAAGTAACTTCCGATGTTTCTTTGTTCTTTGTTCCTTTGTTAGGTGTTAAGGCTTTGAAGGATGGATTTGCGATCTCGTCATCTGTAGATCAGAGAATCGTTCTGTGGGAGATCGTAGATACAGGGCAGGTATGTAGTAACGTAGCTGAGTAATCTTGCTCGTGCGCCGACTTGGCATGCGCTGTAAGCTTTATCTTTTCTACCTCAGTTTAAAAAGGATCAATCAGGACAAGGCGCTCTCCTTGAACTGTTTCTTCAAATCGAAGAAATCGGAACAATAAACGCCTTCCACTCAGCGGACGAATGACCTGTCTATTGAGTATTGCTCTCGGTTTCTCTTAAGTATGTCGCATGTGGATAATACTTAAGTTTCGGCGCAAGTTTGTTTAAAGTTGAACCAAAGTTCTTACTCTTGCGTTTTCTTTTCGCAAGTAGCAAGTATCAAGGGAACTCGCGTTTTAATGACCGTGTCCGATCCAGGAATTTATCCGTGCGGTTTTGGTCCTTTTGGACACAGAAAATTGTAAAGGCTTGTTTCAGCTCGAATTTGGGTTGGTTGTTGCAGTTCACACGACTGGTGAAATTCTTCCAGCAATAAGTAGTCCTTTCGATTTTTTTAAGGGTTTTTCAGTTTTCCATCAGCGCGCCTCCGAAATCATGGACGTTGCCGATGTCCAGGACTTGGAAGTCTGGGGCGAAAGGTACTCTTGACTGCAATACGTGAATATTTAGATTGGATTTGTCCTAATCTTTATTTTTTCTGGAAATTTACGCTATGATTTTTATCCTCGGAAATCCTTATCTTCTCGTTATCGTTAATTGGAGTAATGTTCCGTGGAATTTTCTCAGAGAATCGCTGTAAGTTGACCCCCACCCCCTACCCCTTGGATTTTCTTCCATCACCTACCACATTTGACAGTGTAATAAACAATCTGAATCACTAAAGGCTTGACTATTAGAGATAAACTCCATCGTTAGACAACACTCACGGTGTGAACCTTGCGCTGATGAACAAGCTAAAAATTTAAAGCAAATAAAACGCTTTAGATTGTGGCAACTATAGAATCATCGAATTCGAGAACATATCAACAGGAACCCCAAAAATAACTTTCTCAAAGTGAAAAAAAAGCAACAATTCCTGATGGAAGCTACACAACAATTCTCTCAAATCTAAATTTCGAACTAGGTCCAACGAGCAGGGAATGGAAGGAAATGGAAAGAAATGACGGGGAATGGTGGGAAATGGAAGGGAAGCACGACATTTTCTAATAACGACCTCTTCCGAGTTGCTAAGGATAGAACTTATCTTTGCAATCTCGGTCAGAGTTTGTACCTAACTTCGTCCTCAAAGTGCTTTTCATATTCTACGAGAAAAACGCATTGTGGACAAGATCGTTTTTCAAACACCTCCCTCCTCCTCCCGCTTTCCCGTAATTGAGATCATTTTGAATGGCCCCTTTATGTTCGTAGATAGCGACATATTGGAGATCGAGTCCAAGATCCATCTCCAAGCGACATATTCCAACTTATGCTACTTTAATTTTTGTTCTTTTGATTTGCAGGGATGGCCTCCTAGTCGCTGCAGTTTGCGGAGTTGGCTTGCAGACGTTTGATCTTGTCGGACGCGACTGAAGCTTGCCATTTCTTCACCTATTTCGAATTATTTTAGTCGCCCAAACTTAAATTTTTACTTAAATTGGCAAACTAGACCTAATAAAATTCAACTGAATGAAAGAAGCGCAGTATTCTTTGGTTTGCGCCAAAAACTAGTTGCCAGGCAACGTAACAGAGTAGGTGTAATTTGAAAGCGCGAGAAAGCATTGAGCCTGGAATAAATTCGATTTCATCTTCCTTTGATACCGGTGTAATGCTCAAACGTACTGAGCTATCAAGCCAGCGGGAGACACACTACTCTCCTTCTTTGTGTTTTCAAGTTGCCCACGACATAATTTACCTGGCTTTCTTTCTTCCCCCTTCAAAGCTTTGTCTGCAAATTTAGTTTAGCCACAACGTAAGGATCTGTGGGGATTGGAAACAAGTCCCACAGAAGGAGATCGAGTCCAATCAAAGTGATCCTCAACGATCTCAACTTTTCTTCTTGAAAATTTAGCAGATATCTAACCATAGTTATAATGTATTTTTTGTAATTTTATTCTCTATCCAAATTTCTACCTAGAATATTCTAGTTTTCGAGACATACGACACGCCCTATTACGCAGTACGACAAAAATGCAAAAACACACTTTCGAGCGAAAGTTCAAAAGATACTGAGGGTCATATTTTTCTTCATTGAATAGCTACTGGTGGCTCCAATGAGAAAAAAGAAAAAAAAGTTTTCAAAGTTCTGAATTACATCATTTGTGATGTGTCAGCAAAACCTAATGAGAAAGAGTAAGTGTTCTCTTCCCTTTTCCCTTTTATTTTCGGTCGAGAAAGGAATAGAGCAATTCTTAGCTTTTTCATTCCCACCGATAATTACTTAGTGAAGATTTAATGTATCTGAACATTTAGGGGTTACAAAACGAAGATTAAAGGCAAACTTTGAACTGCCTCGAGCGTAATCTACTCAGTGGAACCTGGGTACCAGGATGCCAGATGTTTGTTGACGTCACAACACGAGGCTTTCACTTTTCAAAACATCATGGCGACAGCTGTGATATTAAATGCAAGGAAATTTTCCCCGGATCTTCAATGCAAACGTCATGTAGCATCATCAAGGGAGAAAGAAAATCATCTTCATGAAACCTAAAACTTTAAGAAAATCACGATTAGCCGGAGCTGTCGCTGTGGAAGGCTCTAGAGCTCGAAGAAGTCAAGCGAACTCGATAAAGCTTCACGGGTCTGTAAAGAAAATTGTTGTTTGGATTAGACGGCATTCGGTAGATTGTGAGCGGTTGAGACATTCTCCTCGATTTGGACGAATTTTCACTTCCTTATTAGATTATTTTCATCATGCCAAAGAAAGAAGAAAGCTTAAAATGGGCGTGCAAGTATTGCACGTACTTTAATTGGCCCTGTTCTGTAAAATGTACTTTGTGCCGTGCACCAAGACCGCCTCGAGTTATCACGCAAGAAGCAAGCAGAACAACAAATGTATCAGAGGATATTTACGAGGCTGCTAGTAGCGACAGGATAATTTCAACTGACCCGATAATTTGCTCGTCGAGCGACAACAAAAGCTTGTCACCACGACTAACCGAACAGACAGAAGACAACTCGAAATGGACCTGTGCTTGTTGTACGTACGAAAATTGGCCAAGGTCCCTTCACTGCGTGATGTGCCGAGCTTCAAAACAAAAATCAGGCAAGAACGGTAGGTACACAGAGTCTGGAAATGGAAACAGGGATGCTTCGTCGAAAAGTGTGTCTCCGAAGTCACCTCGTTCTGTTGGTAACAATGGTAGGTTAGACTCCAAAACAATCAACAATGACAAAAACCGCGCGCTGTTGAAAATTCACAAGTGGACTTGTCCGCAGTGTACGTACGAGAACTGGCCAAAAACTACGAAGTGCGTCCTTTGCAAGTGTTTGAAACCGGCCAAAATAAAACAAGAAGAAGCTGTAAAGAACACGCTGCAAGACAATAACCCAAAAAGACCATCCACGTCGAAAAAGAGATCGCCTACTTCATCTGTCAGTGAAGCCACTTTAGAAATCCAGCCAAGCAGTCAGATTGGCGAAACGATAATTTATGACATTCCAGCCTCGGATGATGTTAATGATAATGAAGAAGTTCTCCAAATCCGAAATTGTTTAAAGGACTCTGACTGGCTGTGGTTGAGTGCTTGTATAGGTGTTGTTGAAGGTGATACGGCTTCTGTAGAGAGCTATTTAAACTCGGGTAACGATCTTTCCAGACAATTGACAAGAGAAGATTGTCTGGTGCTAAACCGACCTGGAGTGTTTGAAGTGGGGCACACATTAGTACATTTGGCCTTTAAATTTAAAAGAGAGGAGCTCATGACAATTTTGCTCACTCCAGAAGTGACAAGCCATCATTTAAGACGTGTCCCCTGCATTGCATGCCCTGAACTTGCTGCAGACATTAGGAAACAGATGGGTCACACCATGAGGCAACGTAAAGGAGATTGGCGTTGTTACTTCTTCACCGATCAGGTTACATTTGTTCTACCAGCAGGTGAGAATTTTAACCAAAATTATTGTAATTTTGAACACCTTGTAAACTATCAGCTTTTTAACTCTTCAACTCTCAGACATGATGAATATCTCTAGTGTTATAAATAGCAACATGTAAAATCTCTACCCTGTCACCTGATAAAGATTAGTAGTATAGCAGTCAAAACATTACAATCAGTAAAATTCATGTACATTGTGAGACAAACAATGAAATGATTCTTTTATGTACAAAACCACAAGTAACAACATTTTCTATAACATATCCAACTTTTCTTTACAATTTTAATGCATGAAAACAAGAAGACCTGTTAGCTTGAGGATGTGCATCTTGAAAAGAACCAAATGATCCCGCCCAATTTAGTATGAGATATCTATTAGCTGGAAAGGAGAATTAACAATCAGATCGAGGGAGATGATGGGTTAAAATTAAAGCTTTTCACACAGAAGAAGAATTTTTGTTCGAAAAGAAAACATGGCAACCTATGAACCTCTCTAAGACTATAGCTTTCAGGCATTCAACCCCAAAGATTTAACCTCTGGTGACTTGCACCCTTCCTCTTTATCTTTATTTTCTGTGGTTTCCATAATTATAAAATTAACCCTTCAACTCTCAAGATCTGATTGTTTAATCTCCCTTCTAACTACTACACAATTCCTTGCAAATCAGTAACAAGAATTTGCTTTTAGATCAAGATAACAACTTCTACCTGATAAGTTTGAATATTTTTGCATTACTTGTCATCATTATTGCCAATGCCAAAAAGTCAGGGAGGTTTTGCTTTGTTTTTGGGTTTTCACATCATTGTAGATTATATCACAATATTAAATTGTTTCAGAGGTTCAAGACTTTCCAGGAAGAGTACAGAGGCAAGTGTTTGATGACATCTTAGACAGGGAAGTTCAAAGAGGTAAGATGAAAAGTCATCTTATGGTTATCAGAATTGATATCAGATTTCTCCTGGTATTATTGATACTGCCAACCATTCTTAAATTTATCCACAGTACCTGGTATCCTTCCATTATGAATGTTTTGAATAAGAAATTGTGTTTTTCAGCATTTTAACTGAAGCTGATGTTATTAATTTTCAATATAATGTGATAAGTGATGCTGCTTGTTTGCTGTTATTCACTGATCAAACTGTGTGGGAGAGTCTTGCCCAAGAACACTAGGACTTTACTCTCTCCATCCAATGTTCAATTTTAGTTAAATTTCAATCCAAAAGTTATCCAATTTGTCTCTTCTTCTCAATATTTGGTCCATTTCCCCTTCAGTTCTAGAGATGGAATCTCCTGTTATCAACTGGAGTGAAGAAATTACTGAACAGTTAGGAAGTAGGATCTACCCCTTATGGAATCGTTCAGCTGGTGACTGCCTTCTAGACTCTGTTCTTCAAGCTTCGTATGGTGTCTTTGACCGAGATAACACTCTAAGACGAGCACTTTATGACAGCTTAACAGAAGGAGGCTCAAGGTAAGAGAGATGTCATAATTTTGGGCAAAGTTTTAACATCTTTTCATACAAACTTATAATCCATTCACCCATTGAAACCCATTACTTGTAAATTATGGTTAATTTCATCTCAAAACTTGGAAATGGATGCTGTGCAAATTTCTCAGATAGTTGTGTAATTTTTCTTCAGCAATTTTACTAAAATGAGGTGAAGGTAGCCAGGTGAAGATTGCAGACTATCCTGTGATTTTGGCCAGCTTCAGGGTCTTACTGGTAGCTGTCATTTGGATAAACATGGATGCAGTTTTTTTGTTTATTGAATGGAGGCGTTTGATGAAAACTGTCTCAAGGGAGAAGTTCCACTGATTTTGAAATTTCTTGGGTGGTGTTTTTTCTTCCAGGTTTTTCAGTAGGTACAAGGAGTGGGAATCTATGCAAGCAGAAACTCTTCAATATTCTCTAGATGAAGATCAGTGGGAACAGGACTGGGCCTCCATTCTTAGTCTTGCTGGTCAGCCTGGAACTTCCTTAGAGCAGTCACATGTATTCGCTCTGGCACACATTCTACGCCGACCTGTTATCATTTATGGTGTGAAATATGTCAAGAGTTTCAGAGGAGAGGTGCTTGGGCTTGCTAGGTTTCAAGGTACTTTTCACTTGGTTTATCATGCCTTAACCCAACACAACTTAACATCAGCATGCATAGACTGTAATACCTACTATTTTCTAAACATTTCCTAAGGTAACAGCAAGGAGACTTTTTTTTAACAATCAAGAACTTCCTTATTTGCTTATCCTTTCCTTTATTCTCATGACCTCATTGTTTGATATTGGGTTGATGGGTTGATATTGTAACGATGAATTAGATGTTAGTAACTCTTAGGAGTCAAAGGGTTGAATGTGTCTTACTGTCTGTCCTTTGATAATGTCCATTTTCAGTAAAATCTTTCAAAATTGTGCAGCATAGTCAACATATGATAAAAGGAAAATGTGCTTATGATGGTTCTTTTCAGTGGATTAACGATGATTGTTATTGACAAAACCTTTGATTTTGAAGAATACTTTGAAAATGACTCGCCAGATATCTTTGGATATATTATCCCTTAGTATTTTTGTCATTTTTTAAAGGATGTTACCTCTTTTGTTTGTTTTAGGAGTCTATCTACCTGTTTTATGGGAACAGACTTTCTGTTGGAAGAATCCATTAGTATTAGGCTATACAAGGGGACATTTCTCTGCTTTGGTGGCAATGGAAACTGATAACTCTAATGAACTTGGTGCAGGAGCCAATGTGGATAGTATAGACAGTGTTCATGTGACCTATTTACCTCTGGTTGACTATGAGGGCAAATTGCTACCAGTTCACTTTTTGTCTGCAGAGGAGGTTGGTATTTCCTCATTACAAGGATTTTTTAGATGCTTTATCTGGATTATGTAAAGAAGATCAAGCCCTTCTGAAAGATTTACCTACTTTGCTGTTGTAGCTTATCCCAGTTTTTTTAAGCATGAGGAGAGTATCACAGAAGAGCATTTTCTGTTGTAATTACAGCAATGATGATTGTTTACTGGGGTTTTTGACCCTTTACAACCTAACAACTCTATCCAAATTCTCCATACTGCTCTCCATACCTTTCCTAAGCTGCTGACGAGAAGAATTTGTCCAACAATCATATCTTCCTAAGTTGGTGATTATTTCCTTTATTCTTGTGACCTTTATGTGTGATTCAAGGTTGATATTGTAAGGAGAAATTAGATATTAGTCTATCCTCTGGATCTAAGGGTTAAGCTTATTAAAATATATCATGTAATCCTTGTCTTTACACTTTCAGAGGGGTAGTGAAGAGCGCCTGTTGCATGAGTGGCTAGACTGTTGTGTGACAGAAGGTGGGGTCCTAGTGGCAAAGCAGAAGCTGACACCAAGACCTGCACTTGTCAACCAACTGATTGATGATTGGTTAGATCGCTACAGGAAACTAAACAAAACCAAATGATAAGGATTTTGGGTTAGAACTAGATACTTAAGATACTAGCTATGCCTTTGTGTGACACGGATGTTCTGTGTTGACATACGTATTTTAGATCAACTGCCATATTGGCCACAAGTTTTAATCCTTGCCATAAATTTCTTGGTTTGTGAGGAGGATCTCTAGGGAAAGCAGTTAGCAAAGTCATTGAGATGTTAAGACTTGTCTAGTCTCTCCTTTACAGAGGAAAAATTGTGGCAACCGCAAGTGAAGCAGTATGAAATGATAGACCTATATTCTGGAATTTGCAGTTTTCAAATTATCAAACTCAGCTGTTTGTACTGAAACCTTGCTTCTCAGATTCTGACCATGAAGCTCAGCCATACACCCTTCTTATGAAGAGGTCCTGTTCACAGCCTTTTTGTCCTCTGTATTGATTTTCAAAATTAACTATTATAATACTTCAGAAAACTAAGGAAAACAGAGATAGTACAAAAGAGTTGGCTTTGGTTCTATGTGAGTGTTGAATTTTTTTTTTTTAATTGTGAGGGGAAACTTCATGTAACAGTTTGCACTTGATAACTTGCAGATATTCTTTTCACTGTGATCACATACCTTTTGGGAATTCTTGTGTATAATCACAGCAAGTGTTATAGACTAAATGGTTTCCACATTTTGAATGTAGCTTTATCACATTTTATAAATGTGAAATGAAATAAATTGGCTAACGATCATGTAAGATGCTAGTTGCACATATATTGTTTATATACTTAATTTTATTGCAGTCATCTTATAACAAATTCAAGTGACAGAGGCACCAGCCATTATGTTAAAATCTGTTTGATATCAGAGTGTTTCTTCGATTACTGAAATGGAGTGCTTCTGCTTTGGCTGTGTTAATAAGTGTTATCTTGTATGGCACACTAAATGTTCACAAAATATTTTTGTCCTTTTTTCCTGCTAATAATCCTAGGCAACCATTTGATACCATTACAGTATTCTAATGTGGGAAGCATGTTTAATAATTAGTTTCAATTCATACTGAGTAACAACACCTTTGAAATTTGAGTTGTAAGTTTTGGGAATATGGAAAAGGTATGACTCTCACCAAATGGTCTTCAGTTTCAGACAAGCTCATAACGCATATCTATCCCAAATCAATATGATTTCAAATAGGACTAATTTGCAAGCCGCAATTCAATAATAAGGACATTTCAGCCAAAGGTTTAGTTCATTTTCCATATTTGAACATAGTATTTACTCTAATAATGATTATTCAGATGGGTCTATGTTCAAAATTACGTTTTGCTGTTTTTAACATGGTCCAGTCTCCAAGATTAATGCATACTGTATTTAGGCTACATTCAAATCAAGCTTTAAATGAACCATTGGAATTTCTACATTTGAATATGCAAGAATTTCAAGAAAACGAGTGTACAAAAATATTTTCAGTTAGGTTGCTTTATAAATTACCAAATGTATATAGTTTTTGCTGCAGTAAACTCATTATTCTGCTTCTCTTGTTTTGTTATTAAGAACTTTGATTTGTTACGCATGCTGTCTGCATCAAAGCCCGCATCGGCTGAGCTGTACCAGGAGGTCTTTGCTGGTGAACACCTCACTCCAATAAACCACCTGCCAATATCTCTTTGAAGTTTCCCTCCTTGTCATGTCCCTGTCTTGAGCCCAAAGCCTCTTTGAAACACCCCCTTCCCCTTTGAAAAAGAAGCACTTCCTCTAAACAAAAATTCCAGTATTGTGTTTATCCACATCCCTGCTATAATGAGGCTTTCTCTCTAATAGACACTAGCCCCTTAGGACTTGATGGGTGTACATCAGCAAAATTTTCCCAACTTAACTTTTATTTTTAGTATAAATAAGCAAATGATTTAAAGTGCAACTATGGAATAAATAGGCAGACACAAATTTTAAGTTCTGATGACCCTTTCTCCTCAAAGGTGACTGAGTAATGTGAAACCACAAAAAACCGTTTTTCTTTCTTTCTTTCTTTCTTTCTTTCTTTCTTTCTTTCTTTCTTTCTTTCTTTCTTTCTTTCTTTCTTTCTTTCTTTCTTTCTTTCTTTCTTTCTTTCTTTCTTTCTTTCTTTCTTTCTTTCTTTCTTTCTTTCTTTCTTTCTTTCTTTCTTTCTTTCTTTCTTTCTTTCTTTCTTTCTTTCTTTCTTTCTTTCTTTCTTTCTTTCTTTCTTTCTTTCTTTCTTTCTTTCTTTCTTTCTTTCTTTCTTTCTTTCTTTCTTTCTTTCTTTCTTTCTTTCTTTCTTTCTTTCTTTCTTTTTCTTTCTTTCTTTCTTTCTTTCTTTCTTTCTTTCTTTCTTTCTTTCTTTCTTTCTTTCTTTCTTTCTTTTTTTTCCTTACTTAAGTGATTAGATAGCACCGAGTTACCTTTTCGGGAATGCCGTGGTCGTGAAGAACACTCTCTTTTTCTGTCTAAGTTAATTAAATTCATTCGTCTTTGTACCAACGGTACATTCCCTCTCTAATGTCAGGGCGGAAATGGCCCTGATAGCGAGGTTGACTAGAATATGCAGGTAACCAATCGGGTCGACGTCGTTATTTACATACCATCGGTCCACACTTTGCCTGCTGCTCACCACACCCATCAGAGGAAGCGAAGAAAGATCACTCGTTGGCAAACCACTGATATGTGGCTAAGACCCCAAAACACTGACAAGTAACTATTCTTACTGAACAACAGTGCGGGCACTCCATACCCTTCTATAGACAGATTTAACGTTGGTTTTGATGAAGCATGAACATCAACGGACTTTGTGTCTTGCACTTTAACTCCTGGAATGAAGTAATGGAAGAAATTGTGTTGCCCACGCTTGCCTGAGATGCAAGTGAAACAAGTTTCCTTATTCAGACACTTTCCTGGTTTTCTTGCTCGTAATGAACAATCAGTTACAGTAAATCTGTTCGACACTATCGCGATAATCTGGAAGTAAAAATGGTTTTATCAATTGTGATGTAATAGTCATGAGTAGATGACGCAAATTTGTTAGCGTTTCCTCATTTGAAGTGAAGATGTGCGCGCGCAATCTGGGTACTCTGTCATTACACCTTTGTCGTTTGTTATGATTACATAATAATGTATGCGTCCGAGAGGCCATCTCTTAGAGGTACCCAGGCTCCCGCAACTCAAAGATCCAACATGGTGGATAAGTATCCGACAACTTGGTGAACGTTCAAAATGTCCGTTGTTTCGCTGCAGCTAGGGCAATGTGGCAATCAGATAGGCGGAGAACTATTTAACACGTTAATAGATGATGCATCAAAACTAAATCCCCAGTTTATTTCGAAAAATGTCGATCATAAAGTCAACCACGAATACGAGGAAGAAGTACTGGAAAGATTCTTTTCACGAGACAGAACAGGAGCAGCCAATGCACGGGCTGTTATGATCGATATGGAATCGAAAGCGATATCTCAAACCCTTCTAGAGGCTAAGAACTCGGGAAAGTGGACATATCCTTTGGGACAGCAATTTTGTCAAAAACGTGGATCTGGGAACAACTGGGCCCATGGATTCCTGGAGCATGGACCAAAGTCCTCAGACACTGTGCTTGAAATGGTGCAGAAAGAGGTGGAAAAGTGCGACAGATTCGGTGGATTTTTGATTTTTCTCAGCTTGGCCGGTGGAACAGGCTCAGGTGTAGGGGCATATGTTACAGGTTGTCTTCGTGAAGAGTTTCCCCATTCGTTCATATTGAATCAAGTTGTTTGGCCTTATGGTACGGGTGAGGTGATTGTTCAAAACTACAATGCTATCTTAACTTTATCTCACTTGTATAAGTGCTCGGATGGAATAATTATCCTGGAAAATGATAAATTACAGAGTATATGCTCCAGGTTGATGAATTTAAAACATATATCTTTCAAGGATATCAACAGAGTGATTTCTCATAAACTTGCCAGTGTCCTTCAGCCAGTAAAACTGTTTTCTCCCAACCAAGAACCTGTTTTTTACAAAAGAGCTGTCTCAGTCAGAAATCTACTTGGTGATCTGATTGAGCAAGTTTGTCCACATCCAGAATATAAGTTGATGACTTTGAAGAACATTCCACAAATGGCTGAAAACTCTTTAGCTTACAGCACTTACACGTGGCCTGGACTCCTAAAGCACCTACGACAGATGCTGATAGCTGATGCTAGCATGGAAGAAGGTATGGAATTAAATCTGTGTTATATTTGTTGTTCTGTAGTTGTAAAAACAAACAAACAAACACTTGACATGTATGTTGTAGTTTGAAATGACTTTTGGTCAAAATTATTTTTTACTAGTCTTTAAATAAGTTGTCTTGATTCTCAAACAAATTATGATGGGAATGAATTTACATGTAGACTGAAATCATTTTAACCTACAACGTGTATATCAAATGAGAAAGATATTAAATTGTGAGCTTGGTAAAGTTGATGAAGATGTTTTTTAGGTCTTTTTATGAGCATAAGACTATGAAAATATTCTGAGTCCCCAAGAGAAATCAAACCCCAGACTTTCTGCCATGTTCTAATGCTCTACTTCTGAGCTACAGATGATCTAAAGTGAGCTAGAGAGTAAATTTTGAGCTCAGCACTGACAAAGGAGAAGATTTTTTTTTTCTATTTTCTTTGTTCAAAGCCCACAACAAGACAGAGAAAACATCTTTCTCAACATGCATTTTTGATGGCAGTGTGTCTCAGTGAGCTGAAGATACATGTACATAATTATTTTAATGCAAAAGATGAAATTGGGAAGACAATGTTTTTCCGTGGATGAAATAGGCTTACTTAGAAGAAAAAGGTATTCTTAGTGCTACCGTAATTCACAACTAAAATTAGTTGAAAATCTATAACCTTCTGATGAGTATTTCAAGAACTTGGAAATCAGAAGTTTAACTCCTGATAGTTACACTTGGAATTTTTTTGTAGAGTTGAGTAAGCTGGTGTCACCTGCTAAAATATGTCATCTATCACTTCAGTCACTAGGGTAAACATTTCCCTCCTTAGATCCATGATGATGAATACCTTTAAATGAAGGTTAAACAAAAAGTTAGAGAAAAAAGGCCAGGGGAGACACCACTGTTAATGTTCCCAGCATTTTCTTTAAATATCTGCACTTTATAAATCTCCCCTGCAGGCATTGACTGGGAAGTCAAGTTGCCTGTGCCGTCAAACCCAGACGGTGCAGATTTTCACCAAAGACCTGGACAACTGCCAAGATTGAGGAATAGATTGAACAAATCTATTGCCAACCTTTTGGTTTTGCGAGGAGTGGATGTTCACAAGGCAGATCTGTCTTCTTTTAATGATACAAGGCTTCATGCAAGCTGGGTACCACAGACTTGGGCCAATACAGTGTGGTGCCACCATAGGCCTTTCAACCATTATGAAAAATCTGCGACATTACTTACAAACAGTCAAACTCCTGTAGTACCCTTAAACTCTGTTGTCCAGAAAGCCTGGAACATGTTTACTTCTCGAGCTTATGTTCATCAGTATTTAAAGTATGGAATGACTGAAGATCATTTTGTGGACAGTTTTGCTGCTACTGAGCAAATCATCAGAAATTATTCTTCTCTGTAGGCCCAAGATTTTGTCTAACATCCATTTTGATGTTCAATTTTGGTCACAAAAGCTCCTTTTGACATTGGTGTTTTTTTTTTATTATTTTCATTTCTTTAAGTTTTGATTTTTTTTTGCTTTTTTTTTCTTGATTTTGTGGTCTGGTGAAAATTGATAAAAATATCTTTGATTCTGCCCAACACATTAAGAACCAATGCATACATTTTTGTTAAAAATTTCAGATAGGTGTGCTGCAATTAATTTGTAGATCATATACAAAAATGCAGGGCAATCAAACTAAACTAAAAAAAAGACAAACTCTAGACAGCAAGAAAATTGCAATAAAATAACCAGCAATCATCCACAATTGACTTGACATCCTAATGAAGACTTCACTAGTCTTCTGTCATTGTTGTCATTTTAGCATGGATATTCATTGTCAAAACCTGTCTAAAGTGGGTGTAAACATACATGTATCAGGTTTTAATTGGTAGTCTAACATTGGAACTTTTAAAAACAACTGTTTGCTCCAAAGTTTGATAGTATGCAAAACAGAAATGTGTTTGAAAAAAGTCACTGTACTGGTGAAATCAGTTATTTGGTCAAAAGCATTTTGAAACTTTCAACCCTTTGAACCCCAAGAGTGACGAGCATCTAATATCTCTTTACAATATCAGCCTAACTCACATGTTAAGGTCAGGAGAATGAAAGAAATGATCACCAACTGAAGAAACTCTTGATTGTTAAACAAATTCTCCTTGCTGGCACCTTAGGAAATGTATATAGAACATTATGGAGAATATGTATGCTGAGGTTGAGGTGTAAAGGGTAAACTGAGACTTCACTCAATATATAGATGATAATTTGCATCAACATTCAAATTCATTGGAAATCTACAGATAAGTACTCTGGCAAAACTTGCTCAAAACTCCCTTCAATTACAGATATTGAGCTTCAAAACATTTCATGTTCTCACCCAGTTTGCACAGTTGCTGTCTTGCACAAATAAGATAACTTTCTGAGAACAACAAACCTAAACTCAAAGAGTTATGATGTTTATATTTATTTCTCTTTCAACGATCCTTTGTTATCTACAAAACATACATCCTACAAAACAGTTACATTTTTCTCTTAATTTAGAAACCTCAAGTTATTTAATATTATTCAAAAGCCTTAGGCTTCCTAACATGGCCATCTAACTAGCCCAAAAAACTCTCTAATATGTGCTAGCATAAACAATAACTAACAATTTTAACGAAAATTATTCTTTAAATAACATAAATTAACTTATTGCTTTCTGACACAAATTTTTGCAAATTATGCAATAATACAAATGTTTAACAAATAATTTAATTTTCCTGTTAAACTCTAAAGGAGAGACTTCATCTAAATATTACAATTTACCCAGACTCACTGTTATCCAACAACTTAGTTAACAATTAAATGTAAATTCTGGCTCCTCATAAGTCATCCCATAGTTACATTAAATTCTTTACCTTTTACAGATAATTTCTTGGTTGGTCAGTTTGTGTCTGCACAATTTTGATGTTCATCATAAATGACTCACCACTATTACTTATCAATCACTTCTTTCTCACAGAAACCTTTGAAAAAAGTTAAGATTTCTCACTTTCTCAGCTTAAATCACCAACTTCGTGGAAATGGAATTTGATTGTAATTAGTTGCTGTGTTCCCTCTACAATTGGCAAACTCTTAGGATGTGAAGAATTTGTTTTCCAAAAAATACTAACAGTATTTCTTTTTATAAAGCACCACATTACTCTAATTTCCCAGCATTGCCCTCAGTAGAGGTCAAACAACTTGTATGAATATTCCTTCAAGAAAATGTGGCTTTATTAACTGAATTGTCAATGTAAATTGGCCCCAATAAAGAGTTTCAAAAGCTGACATTTCAAGTGTCAGCCCTTCTTCAAAGCTAAATGCCAGCTTTAGAAACTCTTTATTGAGACAGGAGCCCATTACCTGGAGCCTCCAGACCAATAATTATTGTACCCTTGAGTCAACCCTGTTCCCTATCTTTTTATTTTTAGAACTGAGATATGTGGGGAGTTCTTTAATTTCCTGCAAAAACACGCTGATGTGTGCATAATTGAAATACTTTCATGCGGCCTGCATGTGATGAAAACAATAGAGGACCACAGCTCTCTTATGATTGGCTATTAAGTAAACACCCTCAAAAAACCCTGTGGGAGATGCTTCTAAAAATAAAAAGACATGGAACAGGGTTGACTCAGAGGGTAAGTATGGAAGATGGAAGCTCCGGGTAATGGGCTCATTTACATTTATTTATCAACTCAGTTGATGGAACCAAATTATCATGTAATATCCCTCACTGACGCAGCACTACAGTTTCTTTGGAAGTTTACCTCACCTCACCGTATTCCTTATATAGTTTTTTTAAGGTAAAATCATTCATCTAGTAGTTGTGCTAACTCACAATGGTGTCACATGAATACCAAATTTGACTAATTTCTCTCAACAAAGATTACTTCAGTGCCTTGACATGAACTGATTTACTTTTAGGCAACATATAACCATGCTATCATTGAAAACTTCACATTGTGTGTTTACTATATAGTGCAGCTGTTTCACTTCTTTGAGAGTTGTATCATGTATTTACTAAAAACATTTGTTGAACGGCTCTTGTGGAACAATAGGCAAGGTTTTAATTCAGCTCACTTATCTAATGCTGTCATAAAGTTTGAAATGTCAGCTTTTTAAAATTAAACAAGGGTAGGACTTAATTTTTATCTTGTTTTCAAGATGTTTTTTAACAGAATTTAGGTCACATGCCAAAAAAATTAAATTGGAGTTAAATAACTTAAGCCTATAAGGAGATTAAATTTGAAATATTTAGCATGACATGATATTTATGTGTGCAGTTCTTTCACTTACCCCTTCCTGAAGAACAATAAAGTAAAAATGGCCTTGAACCAATTCTGCCTTGGTATGTTCCAGAGTGGCAAAAAGTCAAAGCCAATCACATGATTGTACAACCTTCTTGTAGTTGGGTTAACCAATAATTTCCTTCAGTGCTGTTAAACTTACTGTTTATTAATAAAAGTAATCCAACCCCTTAGACCCAAAAAGTGACCAGCATCTAATTTCTCCTTATTTCAATAATGCTAAATCATTCATTGAGATCATGAGAATAAAGAAAATGATCTCCAATCTAAGGAGCTATGATTGGTAAACAAATTCCTCTTGTCAGTACCAAAGGAAACGAAAAGAGAAAAACATAGATACTGATGTTAGGGTATGAAGGGTTAGAGAGTGCTATGCTGTTTTCATCGTTTGTATTTCTGATATCCAGGATATTTGCAGCTGGTATCAATCAGTGCCATTTAGAGCCGTCAAGGCTTCCTGTGCCTGTCGAACAGCTACTCTGTAATACCCTTTCTTCTGCTTTTTGTGACGTTTGGCAAAGTTGGGCAGGAATAACTGAAGACTGTGAATGTGCATAATAGAGCTGGTGTTGGACCCAAACCATGATACATGTGCATCCCTGTCCCAAGGGTTGTTGCTTTCTTCATTCCGAATTCCACTGATTGCCAACACCCTTCCAGGCCACCATGGATGACCATGGACCTTACCCCACACAATGTCACCGACAGACACAGGGTTTATGTTATCTGCCGGTGTCATTTGGGGCTGAAGTTTCCAGGTCATTCTCTGAGTGTATTTAGTGGATGAAGCACTATTCTTTTGCTTAAGAGAGTTTTGATTTGTGGGAGCTGATCCTTCAGTGGGTTGGTTTGAAATAAGGGAGCCTGATGATTTCAAAACAGCATTATCTTGACCAAAAACTGATTCGACTTCTTCCAAAACATTAGATTCCACAGATGATTTTTTGTGTCCAAGTTTTGCACTCTTTGGTTGAGAGTGCAAAATATATTCCCTGCGTTCACTTATTCTTGCTGATCTTTTAAGAGGAACATTTACAAGCTGTGCCTCTTGTGTCCCAATATTCTGTTGTTCTTCACTTGCCACACTCTCATTGTTGTTTCTTTCCCCATCAAAATCATCCAAAGCCTCTACAACTTCCTCAGTCTGGGTTATCTTATTACTGTCCTGTCTTTCTATGTCTTGTTCCTGTGAAGGCGACAACCTCACATACTGATCATGCAAAATGTTAGAGACACATGTTTCTTTTCCTTCAACAGTTCCCTCAGATCTAGTTGCAATTTCACTGCTGTTTTCAATTCTTCTGCTTGTTGGATTCACCTCTGCATCTGACTGTTTTGATTGATTTTGATCTGTTTTGTCAACATTGTCATGAACATTCTGATCATCAGTCAAAGAAGTCAACAATTCTTTGTCATTGCTGGAAGTCATTCTTTTTGTCACTGTACATAAAGGTGGATCAAGTTTATTAAATGACAGAACAGCCCCAAGTTGTCGCTGTCCACTGCTTGACATAACTTCAACTGGTACAACAGGAACAGAACATGAGTTAGTCAAGAGTAATTTAAACTGTGTTGAGGAAACACCCTTTGCTGCTAAATTCTTTGATCCAAGAGACCACTTGCTTTCCATTTTTACTTCAGTTTTCAGTGGATCTTTGAAATCAGCCTTGGGTTTCTTTGTTTGGGTTTGTTTCTGGACACCCTTCCCTACAACCTTCACACTGTCTGGCCTCCTTTTCCTTGATCTGCTACAGCTGTCTTGATTTGAAGACTTCCGTTTCAAGTTAGCTTCACATTTAGAATTCCTAACATTTATCTGGCTCGAAAGATTAGTTTTTCTTCTTGAATTTTCCTTCGCTTTCGTGATCTGTCCTTGCTTGCTTTTCTGATAACCAGAGGCAGATGGTCTTTTAGTTGAACTTTCCATCTCGTCCACCATGTTTTTAGAACTCTCTCGACTTTCCTTGATCAAATCTGCATCTGTAAGGACTTTCACCTCGCTAAATAAACTAGGAATCCTTCTGCTGGAAAAAGATCTGTTGTTGTGTCGCTTGTAAAACAGGCTGGCTTGTCGTGTTGACCATCTCGAGGCACCATCACCGATAACACTACTACTTCCTAAAGTTTTCTTCTCTGGTTCAACATTTGTAGCTTGTTCTTCGAGGGACGTTCTTTATTAATAGTGAGCAGAAAAAACACAAACTTCAGAAAAAATTAAAACCAGTGAATCGTTAATTCATTTAACTTTTCAACTGGGAGGATCATTGCATAAAGGATCTCAAAGAAATAATTTTTCACAATTTATCATTTATCATCACTGAGGAAATCAAGGTGAACCCACCTCCAGACAACGGCGTTCTTTTCGTCAAAAAGCACTCCTCTGAATACTTTTGATCTGTGTTTAACACAGACAAGAAGACAGTTTTCTAAGGCTTGTTCTACCGTTGCAGAAAGAACCGATCCCGCTTGTAAACAAGACATTTTTTATATAATTTCTGTTGATATTTCACTGATCCATTTCCCTCGCATTCATAACTAATTCTTCTCCAAGTAAATGTAAGGAGAAAATGACTCCCATCAAGTCAATATTTACAACAAAAATGAAACATTTTATCATAATTATTATAGTTTTTGCCACATAAGTTCATTTTTTAAGATTTATCGTTGATTTTCTAGTGTTTGAGTCAGAAAAAATGTAACAAATATAAGAAAATATTAATATTTAGACGCGCTTGCTATGTTCAAACTAGTAACTCTCAATAATTTCTCAACCTTGTTAGAGAGGTTTAAGCGAAAGAACCATGTTTTCGGGTAGTTTTGAAGCGTGTGGCAATATTATCCCAGTTTCGTACGTACAGCAAGCTCAGAATGCAAGAAAAAGTCGGGAAAATCAAATCAGAATTTTCCTGGAGCACGTAAGTAGTGTAAAAGGGTGTAATGTTTTTCTTAAAATGAAACTGCCAGACTAGGCAATTGTTTATTCGACTGCTGGCTGCCATTTAGTGACCCGTAAATAGTCGTTGCTATTGCAGGACATAATTTGTTCAATAGATCATGGTATTGACCGTAATAAAATGTTGCAAGACAATGCCTTCCGAAGCTGCTGGCTTACTGAAGGAAGTGAAAACATAGTGTTTCATGATTATCTTTCTAAAAAATTTGTCAAGGTTGGCGAGGAGAGGGGGAGGATTCAGGCGGATCAATAGGAAAAAGCTTCCGGTTTGGAATCATTTGTTCATGATCCATACTTTTCATATGATAAGCTGAACCATACACACATCTTGATTGGTTCTTACTTATGATCGATAAGTAGACAGACGCCATAGATGACGTCACCATTTTGGCAACAAATTTGCTTCCATACCACTTTTTTGTGATGATCTTATCACATTTTGACATCATCTGTGATCTATTACTACACAGACACTCAGCAACATAGAATGTATCTGTTAAGTGTTGGATATATGGATGGCACTGTTTCAAGAACGGTTATTCTATCTTAAGGAAGTGTGGAGATGATCTGATCAAGCTTGCCGACCTCTTTCTTACTCTCTTACCAACCTCCCTTTTTAGGCTATTTTTTTTCATTATCATAACCAATCACACAGACCACAGCATAACAGACTGAAGTTATGTAGTTAACAAAATGCAGTACACATTTTACCAGTCAAGTGTACAGGTCACCCGGAGCACTTGTCAGTTGCATGTAAATACATGTATGTGCATCTCTATGTCAACAGGTTACTGGTGGCCATCCTGTTTATTAAAAAATAAGGAAATTCTATATATTAAGCTCAGAGGGGTTAGGTCTTTTTAACCCTTTCAATATCAAGGTCTAATTAGTAATTCATCCTACTGTCTGCTATACAATCTTATGATATTAGTTGGAAGAATTTAGTATTGGATCAACTAAAAATCCTATGACTAATATTTTTCCTTATTCTCATCACTTGTGTACTTGATATTGTACTCATGTTATAACAAGTTCTCTTTTGGTCAGCCATGGGTGTTAAAAGGGTTTACATTTGAAATCTAAATGCAAGTGTATCTCCATGAACATAAATCAGAAATACATTTATCTAGGGCTTCTATGGATACCAGCTTAGTGGCTGACTGGATCACCTTGTAAAATAAAGTTTACTTCCCTCACACAAGTGTTAAATTCTCTTATTGAAGCTATTTTTAAAATTTTATTTCTATTATTTTTCATTCAGAGAAAATGGCCATCAGAGGGCTGGGATGACACTAGCATTGAACTTCTATTGCAGGAACTATCAATTATGGACAGTAACAACTTCCCAGGTAAGTTGGTAGTGACACCCATTAGATTCCTTTAACTTCTAAGATCTATTTGTTAACTCTCCCCTCTAGCTGCTAGGCATTTCCTGGTAAATTAGTAATGAGAATTTGGTGTTAGATCAGGGTAAAAACTTCAACCAGATAAGTTTTTGTACTCTCATTACCTGTTTGGTGGATATTGTATGAATATTATAGGGAGAAGTTTCCTTTTAATCTCTTCTGGGAGTTAAAGATTAAAGGGAAAGATGAAACCTCTAAAATTTGCCTTGCTCCCTGTGGCTTTGCTGCTCAGATGGTAATAAAACCCAACTAGTATCTGGGAGGCCTGGGTTCAAATCCCATCAAAACTTGAAATTTTTCAGGCTTCTTTTCTGCAATTGCTTAACCCTTAAAGTCCCACCAGTGACCTAGACAGAACTTCTCCTTACACATCAGTACGATATCGAGCAGACAAGTAACAAGAATAAAGAAAAATATTAATGAGGGGATTATTGGTTGACCCAAAGTTTTAAATTGCAGTCCACCCACAATGATTATTTCTTTGCTCATTTTTCATCCGAAAGTCAAATTGGATTTATTCTTTTAAAAAATTGTGTTATTATCTTCAGTATTAATCAGTTTGCTTTTTTTCAGGAAATGTTGGTGCAGGAGAGAGGGAAGGAAGAGTAATTTCATCCTTAGTGTCGAGAAGACATTTTAGGTAACTAATATCTTAACCCTTTACTCCCTAACATCAGTATGCATATTCTCCACACTCCTCAGACATTTCCAAGGGTTCTGACAAGGAGAATTTGTTAAAAAATCAAGAGCTTCTTTGGTTGATGATCATTTCCTTTATTCTCATGACCTTTATGTTTGATTCAGGGGTGATGTTGTAAGGAGAAATTAGATTTTAGTCACTCATAGGGGTTAAAGGGTAAATGTAGGTTGTCTAAATTGTTGTGAAATGGTTTTTTAGAAAGCAGTCCGAACTGAAAACTTTTCCGGACTCACTGAATTGGGGCAGGCTGGCTTATATCACATTTACAATAATTATTTGTCATTGATTGGAGATCAATAGAACCTAAAGACATAATGGTGAAATTGTCAAAGTCTGTATACCAGACTGACTTGTATAGCTACTACTGACAGCTGTTCCCATTACCTCTAGTAAGATATGATTAGAAGTATTGTTACTCCACTTGGATAGAATGCAATTTCTCCTACTCTTGCACTTGTAAGATCTCCTTAAAAATCCTTATTTCTATCTGCCAATCAATTCTTATTATAGTAATAATCCTCCAGTTGGTATTTATGATCTTTATTCTCATCTGCTTGATGTTGTGTTGTTATTGTAAAGGAGAAATTCTCTCTTGGTCACTCCTAGGAGTTAAAGGGTTAAACGTCTATTTTGTTATTTTGATTCCCAGGCTAAGCCATGGTATTGGCAGGTCAGGTGACATAGCAGCCGTCCAGCCCAAGGCTGCTGGTTCTTCTCTTCTAATGAAACTCACCAACTGCATGGCTCTGGATGTTATCAAACTAGCAGGTTAGTGTCTGAATGACAATTACTTCATTCAGGTTCAATATGCAAGCACTTTTGAGATCCAATTAATTTCAATAGTCCTGTGAATTTAAGTGACAGTGTAAACAGTGAATGAAAGTGATCCTCGCAGTGATGTGCACTACTTAGGCAGTAGTGAAAATAAGGCCTGAAAAAAATTTCAGGCCTGTACGGGTAACTTGAATTTCACTAAGACTTGAAGCTGAACTTGGCAAAATATTCTCAATGGCATTTATTTGCTAACAAATGTTTAAAAAGGTTTTTCCAGGTGGAGGGGAGGTCCAATGTTAACATCGCTGGACATAACAGTTTGTTTTATTATCACTTACAATTTTCCGCCTTTTCTTGAAAAGGAAGGGGGGGGGGGGAGCTGCATTCAACCTCAAAGGTTATTAACCGTTTATGCACTAACATGGGTATGCAAGTTCTCCATACTGTTTTGTTACACATTTCCTATAGTGTTGACAAGAAAAATTTGTTTAAGAATCAAGAGCTTCTTTAGTTGATGACTATTTCTTCTATTCTTGTGATCATAATGAGTGATTCAGGGATGATATCGTAAGGAGAAATTAGATCCTAGTCAACCATAGGGGTCAAAGGACCCAGCATAGTTTGAATAGTTCCTTTTTTATATATTATTTTTTAAAAACTTCTGGCCCACTGATGATGACATCAATGATTTATTTCTTTACTCAATAGTTATGATACAAGAAAACAACAAGGAAAACAGATTTCATTAGTCTTCAATTTTGATTCGTTAGTAATTTTTTTATGTTACTTGCTCTTGTTAAAAAGCAGTATTGATATCTCACTGTGCTGTCTTTTAAAGGTGTTAGGTCAGCAAAAGCTTGTCTGGTATTACCAGTGGCAACAGGGATGAGCATGGTAATGACACTGCTAACATTGAAACAACAGCGACCTGGTGCCAAGTTTGTAATTTGGCCTCGAATTGACCAGAAGTCTTGTTTTAAGTGCATCCTTACTGCAGGTAACTTTGGTGTTCCTCTTATCAGCTCTTGTGGTATTGAATTAAATATTTTATGTAACAATGAGAAAAATGTCTGTTTGTATTATATCTTAAACCATTAAATAATTAAGTATTTCTTATTCCACTATTATCGACCTAATTGTTGAGTATTTTGGCTTCTAGTTTTCAAAATACATTCTGTGACCTTAACTGGGGAATGTATCAGTCAATTATAATTATACTGTGTGCAAAAGATGAAAAACAACATAAGCAAAACCATTAAAGTGCTTTATTTGTAGGACTAACATGAAAAATTTGTTGCACCAAAAAGTTCATTGCTCTAAAAGTCAAGCATAAAAGTGGAACAAAACTGAGTTAGGATCATTCATTGTGGCCTTTTCCTTGCTCTGCTTTCCCCTCATATTTTTGTCTTGTTCCACAGTTTAATACCATGGCATATTTTGTGTTATTTGATGCCCTACTAATGGTAAGATGGTGTAATAGTGGAATAATAAAACCAAGAATTGGATAAGGTCAAGGAGCTATCTGAGTCTGTCTGGAGTGCATATTTTTATGTCAAGACTAAACTGCTGGGTCATTTTCATTGAAACATCAAAATGATATTGAAGGTAACAATAGATTTTCATAATTATCTTGCATTAGGGTTTGAACCAGTTATTGTGGAGAATGTTTTGGAAGGAGATGAACTGCGAACAGATCTTGCAGCTGTGGAAAAGCAAATTAAAGATTTAGGAGCAGAAAATGTGCTCTGTGTTTTTACCACAACTAGCTGTTTTGCTCCAAGGATCCCCGACAGGTTTGTGTGACATCAAGAATGGAAACATGATGTAAAATCATGATGTTTTAGGAGACATCAACCATACATGACAAATATTAAAGTGGATCAATGTCAGTATCTGAGCAACTGCAGACCTACCCCTCTCTTAACCCAACATTAACCCTAACTTGTTATCAGTTGAATGTTGTTAAGTTGGGGGAGGGATAGGTGCCCAGTCACTTATATACTGACATTTATACTTCAGTTTAGTCAGAATGAGTTTCAAGTTTAACCCCTCAACTCCCAGAAGTGATTAACATGTAACTTCTCCCAATAATATGCATACATTATCCAGCAAACAGGTAATGAGAATACTCAAACTAATATCAGGTAGAAACTGTTTTCTTTCAAGAGCAAACACCAAATTCTTGTAACTCATTTACAAGGAAATGTGTAGCAGTTACAGGGGAGAATTAACAATCAGATCTTGGGAGTTAAAGGGTTAAGTGATTGTAAACTTGTTTGAGTTGATATTTCTTTTTCCAAATACATTGTTAGTGATATTCCTTTAACAAAGGAAATCAAACCACTGTAAAATCATTCTAACTGCAAATTACTTCAAAGCAAGACATATTTATATGTACTTATTGACTAAGTAGGAGGGCCAGGTGGGAAAATATTTGGCTCAAGGTGCTGACATTCAGTTAGAGTGTAGCAAGGTTGGTGTTATGACAGAGAGCCCAATTTTTTCCCATCCATTCCAACAAAACTCAGTCAAAACAGAATTAATTTATATCACATGACCATTGCTCCTTTATTTATCTTCCTTTCCTCTTTGACCTGCACCTCTTGGGGCCAAAGAGCTTTTTCCTGACCCTGTTTATGCTTTTGGATATGGTCCTAATACATGGATATTAGACAAGTCCAATGTCTTTCAATAAGAATGTACACGGGGCTGCACAAAATTCCGATAATTTCCTATGGGCAGTTGAAATGTCTGAGTACAACTTAGACATGGGAACCCTTTAGTCAATGCAATATGCAATACTCAAGGCACAGGGGCATTGTCATGTCCCTTTGCTCCACTTTGCATGCTTTGTTTGGTCCTTACCCTCCCATCTTTATGGGTTACAAAATGATAATCAGTCCACATATCAGTTTGTTAATATTGTGTTTTTGGGTGCTTGAGGGTAGGCTGTAGCTTGGTTTCCAAACTGACTGCCCTTCTCTCCAGTTGTGGTTATCTTTACAGCACTTACTCAATGCAGTTGATGAAGTTTTAACACTCTGAGAAGGTCTTTTTTCAACCATTTAATTAGCTAAAGGTTACTTTTGGCAGGTTGGAAGAAGTTGCAAAGCTGTGCAAGGAACAGAATGTGCCTCACATTGTGAATAATGCATATGGAGTGCAGTCATCAAAATGCATGCATCTTATTCAGCAGGTAAATTCCTCTTCAACAGCTTGTAGAGGGGTAATAGAGGGGTAGAAGGTTTTTGATAAGTTATAAAGCAGGGGTATAGCAACCGTCTCTTAGCTCACAGTGGGAATAAGGGTAGCTAACAGTCAAGAAGATGTTTTTTTGGCACATTTGCTTCCTTGGTCTCTTTGTTTTAGCAGCTTCAATTAATCCTGTAACTCCTAGAATTGATTAACTTTTAACTTCTCCTTATGATATTCAAACCTTATCCAACAAACAGGTAATGAGAATACTCAAACTTATCAAGCAGAAGTTGTTGTTTTGATCCAACACCAAATTCTTGTCACTGATTTACAAGGAAATGTGTAGCAGCTATAGGGGAGACTGACAATAAGATCTTGGCAGTTAAAGAAATCAAGATGTTAGTAACTCTAAAACTTGAAAATTTAATTTTGATTCTGCCTCCAATATGGTCATCATCACTGATAATATAACAACTTAGTGGCACCTTGGGCTGTTTACAGAGAGGTGAAGTCTATTTTCAAGGGCAGTAGGAATGACTGTTTTTTAGAAACAGTTTTCACTCTGTATTTATCCAACAACTGATATATGAGGAAGGCAAATAGTTTGCTCCTCTTACAGGCAGCAAGGATTGGCCGTGTTGATGCCTTTATTCAAAGTACAGATAAGAACTTCCTAGTTCCTGTTGGTGGAGCCATTGTGGCAGGATTTGATGAGAACTTCATTGATGCAGTCAGTAAAACATACCCTGGTAAGGTTGTTTCTAAGATGATCATCAAACCTGGCCTTACTCCTTTACATCCTAAAATCAACATACATATTCTCCATACTGTTATTTATATATTCCTATGGCAGTGACAAGGAGAATTTAGATCAAAATCAAGAGCTTTTCAAGTTTGCAATCATTTCCTTAACCCCTTAATCCCTACAAGTGGCCAGTATGTAATTTCTCCTTACAGTAATTCTGCTGAATTATTCATTAAGATCATGAGAATAACAGAAATGATCGCCAACCTATCAAAACTCTTGATTGTTAAACGAATTCTCCTTGTCAGCACCGAGGGAATTGTATAGAGAAGGGTATAGAGAATGTGGATATTCATGTTAGGGTGTAAAGGGTTAATGCGCAAATCCCATGCGAGTTGCCCGGAGGTGAATAGCGAAGGATATTCGGAGTTTAAGTAGCCAATGAGAACACGCCTTCAACGCTATCCACTGTTTTAGTGTATATTAACAGATGTTAGTCTATGGCACTGACAAGGAGAATTTAGATCAGAATCAAGAGTTTTTCAAATTTACAATCATTTCCTTAATGCGCAATTCCCGCGTGAGTCGGTGGGAGGTGAATAGTCGAGGATGTTTGGAGTTTGTGTAGCCAGTGAGAGCACGCCTGCCACGTTATCCAATCAGGGGTTAAATGGTTAATTTTTGCTCTTTTATTTCAGGGCGGGCATCAGCTACTCCATCTATAGACCTATTTATTACTCTGCTGTCTCTTGGGTCGGTTGGATATCAGCAGTTACTTCGACAAAGAAAGGTGTGTATGCTTTCGTCTCTTATGACTGCAAATCAGAGAAGTGATTTGATAGCTTAACACTTTTACTCCCAAGGGCTACAGTTCAAGTAGTCATTCTCAAAAGAAAATTTTCGATCAACGTCAGTATCTGAACAACTACGCGCCTACCCCTCCCCTAACCCAACAACAGTCAATTGACAACAAGTCAGGGTTAATATTCGGTTAGGGGAGGGGTAGGTGCGCAGTTGCTCAGATACTGACCTTGATGCCAAATTTTCATATACTTCCTGGCATTTTGGCCGAGTGATTCTGGCTAAGATCTAGCCAACATCATTCAGTGAGCAATTTTCATAATCTCGTCATCTATCAACTTGACACTTTGATGAAACTGTACGGAAAAAGTGAACATAGCGCACCTTGTCACAAATTAAAATCAAGCAAGCTGCCTGAAGCGGCGGTCAAACGTGGACAACCAATTTAAGACCTGTTTTCAGATGTGCATTGTTTTAAAATTGGTTGAGGGTTTGGAAAGAGTTTTTTTGGTCAATAACAGAGCGAAGACTAGTGTAAACTCTGCAGTCTAGGTCCAAGTTGTTCAAAGAGCCAACAACGCTGTCCAACGGATAAGTGTTAACAAAACATACTTCGCGATCCACCGGATAGAGATTTGTCTAGTGGCTAGCGCTATCCACCCTTCAAACTGCTGTGACCTGGTTTACTTTTGCAACTCAATGTCGAATTCGTTATGATTTTTCAGGAAGTGTACAGTTACTTATCTGAAGGCTTATCAAAGGTAGCAGAATCACATGGCGAACGACTTCTTGTCACCAAAGGCAACCCCATATCTCTTGGTAAGGATAAATGTTAAACTCCTTTTAACACTCGCTCACCCTGTCCTCCACGCCATAGATGTCGAAATAAAACTTAACTTCCGCTTTTTCTTTCGTGAACGCAATTACTTACTGCTATTCTCTTTCCGCTATTCAAGCCATTTCCCTGGAAAGAGTTACGAAGGCTCTGGAATTGAACGCAGCCGGAGTTACTCAACTTGGCTCCATGCTTTTTACAAGATGCGTATCTGGAGCAAGGTAGGATATTCATTTTGTTCTTATCAAGATGTGCTAACGCTTAAAACGCCAGCTTTAGAATCTCTTTGCGGTGGCCAATTATCATCATCAACTCAGTTGATAAAGCCAAGTGATCTTGTAATACTCCGCACCGACGCATCACCACAGTTTTTTTAGAAATGTAACCCCTTTATACATGGTAGAAGTGCCCATCCTGAGGATGTCTTGCTAACCACACCTGCAAGCCCTTCTCCAAAATGCAGACGGGAAATAAGTCCTCATTGAGAGAAAATATATTACACCGAAACTTTGAAAGCACTCAATGAAATTTTTATTTATTTTCATGTTTTTTTTGGTTGTTTTTTCACCCTCCAGGGTGGTTCCTCCCGGAAGCACTAAAGAGATCAACGGGTACGTTTTCACTGGCTGGGGTGCGCACGCCAAAAACTACCGCTGTGCATATCTTACTGCAGCCGCGGCGATTGGGATGACAAAAGCGGAAGTAGACACGTTTTTAAAGCGACTTGACAAGTGCCTGTCTAGATTTACCTCAAAAAGCACTTCGATTGATGAATTGTCGAGCCATTGTGAAAATTGCGAGGAAAAGGAAGCCGAAGTTGAAAATAAGGACAATTTAACGGTGAACAGATAGTTATGAATTTGGTTTTAGATTTAGGTTTGTGAACTATGAACTATTTCAGTTAGAAGAATTTTGTATGAAATATTTTCAATTCGTGTTACACCACTGTAACTTTTCTGGATGTTTTGTAACACTGTTCGATGCAGTGTCGTGAAATAAAACTGAACTGATCGCATCGGCCAATCAAAATCAAGGGAACTATCACAAAAAAAGTAACAAGGACTTGAAATGATTACACGACATCGCCACAAAAACGGAAAACCCTGAGCCACTGAGTCGTAACTGGGTTTGGTTTCGCATCTGATTGGTTTACAGAATGACACGAGTATTCTAGACCAATCGAAGAGAAGCATTACCAAAGAAATGCAATCTTGGCGAATCACTTTCAGCACTCGATTTAGATGTGAAATTGCTTCATAATCAGGGTTTTCATTAAAAGCCGCTTTCCGTCAGTCTACCGCCACCTGTAAGACTTCCTACCGCTGACTGATTAGCTTACGCGTTGGCCCTCGTGTTTCGGTTTCGCCTCATACCATCGGAAGCCGCCTATGGAAAAGGTTATTAAAACCCCTAATTCATGTTTTCCTACTCAATAGTTAGAGATTGAGTGGGCAAAACTCGACTCCAACTTTGCTACTCTCTACTTTGAATGTTTAAAGAAGAATAGTGAGGCTACGGTACTTCCTCTTTACAGAGAGGTTAATTTATTTATATTCTTGCTTCAAAAGGTTAGCACCACTCTATCTCACGAATTTCGAAGTTCTTGTTGAAATTTTTGTCAATTTACACTCTCGGTACGACTCTCGCTACTCAAGTGTATTTTGTTTCTCTAAACAATCTGAAAAGGAAAGTTAGTGACTTAAATTTTACATTAGAGGTTTTACTATACCCATGCCAAAAAGTGCCGCGAATTTACTCTCCTCATTAATCAATCATAATCTGACCTCGGCAACGCGTGTTTTTCTCCCGCGCAGTTTTCCGACTCTAATTGGTTGGAATATCCGCCCTGTCACGCGCTCTTCCTCGTTTGCATTTTGGCAGTGTAAACCAAAGTCAAAGAGACTTGTAAAACAACTGACAAGGGTTGATTTAAAAAAAATCAGCCTATCTACGCATCCGTCGCTTTTCTTTTTGGGAATGACCTAATATAGCTGAGCTCTATCTTTAATAATAAGGAAAACACCAGACATTTTAAGTTTTAGATTAATAACTCGACCCTTTCAACCCATTTTTGATTTGTTCAAACAAATTGCTAACACATCCTCAACAATCTACGTACATTAGTTGGTTAAGCCAAACTGTAAAACGGCTGAAGAATAAATTTATCGAACGTTCTCAGTTGAACCACTTCCGAATACTAAATCGGCGTGTGCTTTTATGGTACATCCTGAAAACATGTCTTTGTCTTTGATACAAAGATTTATACTAATTCGTTTTCCTCTGGCGACTGAAAAGCTAAAAAGGGCGTTAATATCGAATTAAAAGCAAGTGTATTTAAAGCGACCCTTTTTTTAATCATGAAAACAAAATTTAAGCTGCGTATGGTACTCGGGAAGCAGAACTCACTTTGAATTAAATATTCTGTCAATTTGTTGTCAAGCAATGGTAAACTCAATAGACGTTAATAGGAAACCAGTCTGAACATTGAATACAATCTTCTGCTAATAAGATTGTCGCTTAAGTAGGTCCCTTACAAAGGATTTCGCCGACTGTAATATGTAAACATATATTTTCGACTTGATAAAAAAAAAAGACATGCAAAAGAGCTTTACGGGGAAAACCATAGGAAAGGTGCTGAAAATTTCATTAGCACTGAAACGGTGCAAGAAATTATAAGTGATTTCTCTCCAGTGTTAGCAAGTTGAAGATATCGTTGATGTTAGTGGTGAATTTAAAATTAATTTTACTGCTGGCTGAGGTGGTGTATGTAGATCCCACACATAATATTTACTATTATGACAAAAACTGATACAACCTTGGTCGGCAAAACACGAATTTTTTTCTTAGGAGGATAAACACTGGAGTACAAAAACTAAACGAAGAAAACGCTGGACGAATTTACGACAGACATTTCTTCTGGAGAATGTCCGAAGACGCAGAAAAACAGGTGGATTCAAGCAAATACCGCCTTGAAAGCGACTGTCAGAGATTTCGCTCTCCGTGTCTGGATGCACATCATGAAGCCTTCATTCTTCGATCGACATGGACCATCGGGAACTTATACGCCTCGAATTTAAATTTAGGGCAAAGTTATATTAAACAAGTCAAAGATCTTGAGCGGCAAAGAAAAGTATGGTTGTCAAGGAAAGAAAAAGAACAGGACACGATGCTAAGGAGATGGGAAGCCCTTAAAAAGCAAACAAAACATAGTTACCACTCGAACAGCTTGTCTGAAGTAAAAGACAGCAATTTTGAGCACAAATGGCAAAGTCAGAGTGCTCGAAGGTTTCGACAGAGAGCTGCAACAGTGGCAACAAGCTCCGAAGTCAGAAGTTTAGAGAGCATTGACGTATTCGCTGAAAATTGTAGGTCAACATCACAACCGGAAGGTTCTGCGTTTGTAGTTACTCGCGCAGTAAAGGGAAATTCAGACCAGTTTGGATTTCAAATTAATGAAGAACTTCCTCGTTTTCGGAGCAAGTCATTGAACGCTCGTTTTGTAGAATGCGCTTTTGCTTCAAATTCTCATTCAGACCGCCCGTTGCTGAGAAGAAGTATGACTAGTTTTCATCAATCTGGTGTAAAATCTCTGCGAAATTTTACCACAGAGTTCGACAGAGATCTAGCAGCGAACAACAGTCTTCTACCAAAATGGTTACCGTCGAATTTACGCTCAAAAAATATTCGCGGAAAGAGTTTTATTTTGTAAGGCGAGTGTCTTAAAATAGTACTGCCATTTTGGAACTAAAATAAGCAAGTTTATGTTTTGTTTTTCAAATATCAAAAACCTGTTAAATAATAACACATTTCACGAACACACCAGGTTTTATTGAATTTGTCCAAACATTGTATCATTTACCAGACTCTTGGCAGAGTAAATAATAGAAGAGAGTAACGTGAATTAATTTTAACTGAAATTCAAATTTGCCTCAATCTCTTATTTTAAATTAGCTGCTCAGTCTTTTAAGGACCCAATGTATTGTTAACTGTTTCAATAGGAAATTAATCGAGACTAAAACTTAATCTTTTTCGGCTGGCACACTTTCTTTTTGATCCATTCCGGTGTAAGTGATGGGCGGACGGTAAGGCCGAGGTATAGTTATTTCAAAGTGTCGAAGGTTACGAGATACTCAAGGCCTGTGAATCAACATATCCAACTGCTTTTTTCCGACATTTTGAACGCAGATACATTTTATTTTAGATTTTATACAAAATATCACAAGAAAATAAGGGCTTCTTATTTAACTCTTAGGGTGTCAATTTCACCCAATTTATTTCTAGACACGCCCAGTCTCTCAAGGAACTGAAATATGTTTGTTTCTGCGAAGTCCGCAATAGGGTAACCTCGATATGATGTTCGCACAGTGTATATTACTAAACATGGTGAAATGGCGGCGAGAGTAGAACAGTCCCATTACTTTCTCTTGACAATATACAGCAGTTCTATCCTCTTACCGGTTTAGTATTACGAGCGAGATGTTGGAAGAATTTGAGAAAAGTTTGTAAATCATGGGCCCATGCTAAGGCTCTGGATCCTGGATAGAATACTACTCAGGTGAGGAAGTGAGATACAACGCTTTTTGTCCTGTGTCAGGTTCAGATAATGAACATGGCTTCTTCCCTCCTTGTCTCTCTTACTCACCCCGTTCTTTCTTGTGTTCCCACAGATTCATCAATCTTATATTATACTAAACTGAAACAGCTATGGGTTTACCGTTACAACACGATTTTGACCAATCAGAGCGCGCGTTGTACCTCCCTATCCGCTAGCCTCTACCCACCTCCAACTGCAAACGCCGTCCTTCTATCCGTATTCAGCCTATAGTTTGATTTTGTACGCATACTAATAATACTATCAAAACTTTTAAGTTTCTCTACTGCAGGTGTTAACGGTGCTAAGGTAAACAAAATTTGTTTGAGAATGAATCTTTAAAACGCAAGACTCATTGGAAAGCTTGTCATCCGGGATATCGGAATCATAAGTGTCTCAGGAGCGCTGCGTTACGAAAATCTCTCGTTCGCTGGTACATGTATTTTGTCAAAACACAATTTTATACCAGAGATGTGTCCTCAATTCTGTCGTGTTCGAAATAAAAAGTCTGTAAAAAGGTAACACGGCGTAAAAACTAAGTAAAATTTTTGTACTACGCGGTAAAACTGAAGGATACTACGCGAGCGAGACAATTCATTAAAGCTTACATGAATTTAAAGTTTTACCTTCCCGCCAGTGATTAGTTCCCCTTTGTTCCTTACGCAACAACATGGCGCTGGGCAAGGTTTGTTAGTTCTTTTCTTTTTTCACTCTTTATTGTGGTAGTGACGCTACTTTCATAGACAGTGGGGGGTTAAATCTGATAGGAAAGAAAAATGAATGTCTCTCATTCAATGAAGGAATCAATGGAGGGTATAGACTTAATATCCTTGGTTTCTGTGAGTAGAGCGATTCTGGAATCGCTCCCGTTTTACAGTTGTTCGAAGTGATCAAATACACCGCTAAATTCTTGGGCCGGGATGAGTTCGCTTCTTAAAACTCCAATTCCGAAGATTTTGTATGGTTTCGCCATTATGTTGACATTTTTGCATGTTATTGCTGACGTTTTTATTGGTGACCTTTCAGTTCACCTCGAGGTCTTGATTGGCTTATGCAATAGCTAGCATCTAAGGGAGTGTTGGGGGCGGGGAAGGGGAGTGGTGGCTGAATGTTTTTCAAGAACGATGCCTTGGCAAGAAAGTGTATCATGATGGTCCCTCTGCTTTGAAATTAGTCAAAATAAGCTACTAGTCTAGCATTACGTGAAACCATAATCTTTGTAACAAAAGATAAAAATCAGAATGGACGATGGTTCACTTTCTGTTACTGTGAAGTAAATCGCAGCAGGAATTGAAGATTGTTTTCTTGTTTTCCACTAACACGACTAACAATGTGCCACAAAAAACTACTTAATAAAATACTACATTAATCACATTAAATTTTTTTTCTTTCTAATTTGCATGTCTGTTTGTGTTAATGACGAGAATTTCTATTATCTTGATGAATGCCTACTCAATTTTCGCTATCTATCACATTGGCAACAAAGTTAACTATTGCATACATATATGATATAGAAACTATTAAAAATTTTATGTTATTAAATGGATCAATGATAGATGTTACCATCAGTTATGAAGCAGTTTCTACAGAGTGCTGTTAACAGAATGCACTTACCATCCACAAGTATGTTTGGCCGATGTTCAAGCACAGCAGCACCTCATTTGGAAGAAAATATCTCCAAGTCATTTGTAACTGGACCTTTGACAATGCTCTCTGAAGAGGAGGAAATGATGAAAGAAACAGGTAATATTTTTTTTATTCATTCTCAGCTAAAACTCCTGTTGATTAAAAGTTTGAAAAAAAAAACCTGAGATAATTGCAACACCAGTCTGAACAAAATTCAGTGTCACATGGAACCAGTCAGAACTCAAACTAAATGTATGTGGCTGGTTTCGAGTGGCTTTAAAAAAACTTGAATGATTAAATTGTGGTATGTTCTCATCTTACATTTTATTCATTGAAGAAGAGGGGTCATATTTCACTGATTGACTGAATATCTCAGAAAAACAGTACTAAACCACTTGTGGATGATTTTTTACACTCAAGAAAAAATTGCACAAGCAAATGAATTAGCAGTGATCAAATTTATACCCTTCAATAACAAGGCAATGTTTTAATGGATCTGAGAGACTGAAATTTCCCAATCTTTGAAGTTAACAAAAGTTATCTTTCTTGGATTTCTTTCTGTTGGTCAGTAAAACTATGCTTTTGGTTTTCCAGTTGCTAGGTTTGCTATGGAGAAGATACAGCCACTGGTATCAGAAATGGATCAGAATTCAGAAATGGATCCATCAGTTGTAAGGGGCATGTTTGAACAAGGAGTAAGTTGAAATGTTACAGTAGTGTTATTCAATGGAAGGGTTGTCAAATTTTAAAATATATTATTTGCATCAGTTATAGTTTTTAAGCAGTGTGCATGGCTATCTGTGTATCTTTTTCCATTCTACTTGTCTGTCACCTGGTCAGGCAAATAATTGGTCAGTCTTCAGTTAGTCAAGATAATTTGGCTTATCACCTGAGTTGGTGATGTAAATTGGCCACTGCAAAGAGTTTCAAAGCTGATGTTTCAAGCATTAGATTTGCTTGATCAATCAACCAATTAATCAGTCAGTCAGCCAGACATGGCTGACAGACAGATAGAAAGTCAGTCATTTCAACTCTACAACAGGTTAAACAGATTTTTTTTATATGAAAGCTATGCTACTTTTCCTTCTACCTAAGGCAAAGTCAACAAGCTAGTTGTTTAGTTTACTAGCATTCAAACAGCCCATCAGTAATAAGCCCGACATTCTTGACACGATTGATCTAGATAGCTCTTACACAATCTGGTCCATCAAGTTCAGATTCATGATTTCCTCTTCTCTCTTGTTGCTCTCTTCATTATTTTTAGTTAATGGGGATAGAAGTAGATGCTGATTATGGAGGAACAAACTCATCCTTCTTTGTATCATGTCTTGTGGTTGAAGAACTGGCCAAGATTGATCCTGCAGTCAGTGTTATGTGTGATGTGCAAAATACTTTAATTGTCACACTGTTCAGGAAATATGGCACACCCCAACAGAGAGCAGAGTACTTGCCAAAACTGGCAGAGAATATGGTATTTAAACTTTAGTGCTTATGACTACAGCTGATACTTCTTGTTTTATACGAATATTGCAATTATAATGAAATTTTCCTTTCAAGGAGGGCTGTCTTTGTATTATTTTTTTTTATTTTTGATTTCATGTGCACATCATTTAAATAGTTACTTTTATTTTTTTAAAGGGAGATTGGGATGAAGTGGCCAATAAGGGAATTTGTTTGTTGGGGTGGAGGTGGGGGATGGGGGGAGGGGAATGGAGAAGAGGGAAAGGAGAGGGAATTTGGGGTTGAGAACATGATTCTGTGTTAATCAAGATCAGATTTCAGATTTCCAGAAAATTGGAAGCTTGGGAAACTTAATATGATTTTCTCTTTCCATGTATTGTTGAAAATTATTATGAAAATTGATCAACTTCTGGAAAGGCTGTTATGTGTAATGGGGATGTAGTAGTGTTTCCTTGAAATACAAAAATGAAGGGGAAAATTACAAAGATTGAAGTCAAAGTTATATTTGTCATTAACTTCCATCAAGGTTTTTGTGAGCTATTAGTAAGGAGGATGGTTACAAATTAGAGATATGAAAATTCAAGGTAGAAATCCAGTATGTCAGTTAAAAAAGTATAGAAGGACTTGTTGAAGTAACACTTGAACATATTTATTTTTCTAAGGTTGGAAGTTTTTGTCTCTCTGAAGTTGGCTCAGGAAGTGATGCATTTGCTCTTGATACAAAAGCTGAAAAGCAAGGAGACTTCTATGTGATAAATGGCTCTAAAATGTGGATCACAAATGCTGAACATGCTGGAGTATTTCTTGTCTTTGCTAATGTTGCACCAGAAAAGGTAAACAATGATAAAACTCGTGTGACTCTGTTGTTACCCCCAGTGTAGTCAGTGTCAGAGTTTCTTTGTTAATAATATACATGAAAAAAATTTCACATGTCTGGTTGGCTGAAAGTTAGTACATTTTTCATGTAACAAGAGTGAAAAGTTGTAACACAAGTGCAAAATATAAATAGCACACTGCCAATTTTTTTTTTGTCTTTACTTTCTGTGATGCTTTTTCATGCAGATTATTAAAAAGTAACAACACGATTTCTCATGCAATTTGGTGTGAATAAGCACTTTTGAAGTTTTCAAAGACTACAAATCGCACTTGTCCTAGGGGCTTGTGCAATTTTTTTGTCTTTGAAAATTTTACTTGTGCTTATATTTAACACTTAATTGTACTTAAAATAATGTTGTTACTAATACTAATCACACCCAACTGGAATAGTTACAATTACGAATTTAAGAATTTCACTTCAGCAATCTCTTTAGCAATCTTCCTTACTGTCTGCTATACAACTCTTATAATTTTTGGGTGGATCATTTGATGTTGGACCAACTTATAATCCCTGAATTGCTCAAGATTCAACAATCAGCAACTATCTTGCTTTATCATATAATTTTGTTTGTTATATGTAATTCATTCAGACCCAGTTGTTCAAAGGGCAGATAGCACTATCCAATGGAAAGATCTCTATTCAGGGGATAAGTGTTAACAAAAAATACTGTGTTGTCTGCCAGGCCCAGATTATTTGAAGAACGGATAATGCTATTCATCTAATAAATTTCTGCCTAGTCATGGATAGCGCATTATGGCTGGCTGGTGAGTTATCAGTCAGAAAGTATTATCTGCCCTTTGAACAACCAGGACTTTATTTAAAAACTTGTTCTCACCCAGTGTTTCTATGCATCTTCTGTTTTGTTGTTAATCAGGGATACAAAGGAATAACAACATTTGTAGTCCCAAAAGAAACAGATGGTCTTTCACTTGGGAAAAAGGAAGATAAGGTATGAGATGGTAAAGTTTGTTAGCTTAGTCTGTTGGTTGATAGTTTGAAGTACTACTTGTGAATTGTCAAATTATTTTAATGGACAGTGATATCAGAAAATTTTCCTAGGTGCATGAATTGGGGTGAAATAACAAGTCAAACATTCATATGATACCTTGGAAAATGTTTACAAACGTTTTTGAGTTTTTCTTTTTTTTCAATCATAGCTTGGAATTAGGGCATCATCAACATGTCCTGTGCACTTTGACAATGTGAAGGTGAGAATTTTTTTGTTGGCTTAATTTTGTGATAAAAGTGTTACATGTTTATCTTTGCACATGCAGTCAATGCATTAGGTTACCACCCCTCTCAGCACACTATTTTAACTGGTGGTTTATCTATCCATTGACTCTTTTTGTCGATTTTTGTGCAGGTCCCTGCTAGTGCAGTCCTTGGTCAGGTTGGTCACGGCTATAAGTATGCAATTGAGTGTCTAAATGAAGGACGCATAGGGATTGGAGCTCAGGTGAGTGATTGACACCTTCGCAAATTATAGAAATTGATCAGAGTAGTGTGCAAGATACAAGAGGTGTGCTTTCAAATAAAATTCTCATTTTATTTGCCATAATCCACTACAACCCACCTCATCTCCTTAGTAGCTTAAGAATGAATTAGCCCCAGGATATAAGTAGAGTAAACTAATAATCATTGCACCCCTGTATTCTCAGATGGTTGGACTTGCTCAGGGCTGTCTAAATTGTACAGTTCCTTACTTACATGAAAGAAAACAATTTGGCCAGAAGATCTGGGACTTCCAGGTAAGAGGAACTGTCAACCAGTCAGCCACACATTGGAGACACAGCTACAAAATTACAGTAAACCCATTAGGGTAACTCCTTTGCATAGAGAGCAGAATTCACGAAAGGTGTTGACATAACCCAACGTTGACATTGGTTCTAGCCAGAAGCATGTGATGCTTCTTCTTAAGCTTGATTCATCTCTTTATGATTGTACTTTTAAAGATGCATAGAAAATCAATGAGAGCTGCAATAACTCAAAAGGTAGAGGGTATGTTTTTCAGTCATGGAGAAAGAAAACAGAAATTAAAGAGGAGGTGAACCTTCAGATTGACACTTTTTGATCATATAGTGAAGATGTTTTCAGATACTACTTTTTCTAATTTGTCTAATTGTTAAAGCATTTTAGGTTAAACTTCTCATCATCAATTTTTCTACCCATACAGTATCACTATAAGTATTAGTGCTACTTGTAGTGCTACTTGTACTGTGGTTAGTGTTATGGTTAGCCTTGACCTAAACAAATTTGATTCTTGTTTTGATTGCTTCTTTAGGCTGTCAATCACCAGGCTGCACACATGCTTACGCAGATTGAGGCTGCTCGGTTGTTGGTGTATAATGCAGCACGGAGAAAGGAGGCAGGGCTTCCCTTCCTTCGAGAAGCTGCCATGTCAAAGTACTTTGCAGGAGAGGTACTGTTTATTCTCAAAACTTTATTTTCTTTGTCTCAAAGCTTCACAAAGATTTAAGAGTAAAGAAGACAGTTTGGCAGGTAATATAAATGTGCTCTAAACAGTCAGGATGCAAAGGATTGAGGATGACAAGGATTTTGTTGAATGAGACTGACTGTACTGATTCTACCCTTTTGTACATATAGAGGAGGCAGTTGTGGTCAGTTCAAGGTCATGAGAAAACAAAGCAGTATTATTAGTAATTTGGCAATTAAAGCTCATCAGCATGGGGCTTAGCCATTGGCTCTATGGAAGTCTTATGACTTGCATGCTGATTAAATTGCACAGTCTAAGAAAGGACTAATATTTAAACTGCTTGTACTTAGTCTACACCTCTCAAAATTGTTATCTACATTGAAAATATTAATGAGATTAATATTCATCTAAATTGTATCTGCACCCTCCTGTGTGTGTTTACTTTACAGTCAGCAAGATAGAAAAGAGAAAGAATATGCATTATTTGTTTCTAATCAGGTGGCCACCTTGACAACTTCAAAGTGTATAGAACTGATGGGAGGAGTGGGTTATTCCAAACAGTATCCTGTGGAGAAATTCTACCGTGATTGTAAAATAGGTTGGTGCAGTTTTTATGTCTGAATTCAAAGCTTGGGGCAAAGGGGGCTGGACAAAGACAGGAGAGAGGGCAAACTCTTGTTTTCAGTTGGCCTGGAGCTCTATGCATTCTTGGCAACCTTAATCCTCTGTTTCTGTACAATTCATGGTGTTTCCTTGAAGCTTGAAACTTCAGAACATGCGCAGATCATGTGGATCATGAGTCAAGTTGTTGCATGTTTTTATTCACCTGTCTTCCTTCCATGATCATAGTGTCCAGGGCCCAGTTGTTCGAAGGCCGATTAGCGCTAACCCAGGGTTAAATTTTAATCTAGGTTTCTATTTTTCTCTGTTCAAAAGCTGTTTGAGGATAATTTTCTCCATTTATTTTCAGAGCATTTTGAAGACAAAAAAGATTTCAGAATTTTTTTTTTCTTCTTTCAGATCTTAAATCAAATTTTATACTAATCCTGGGTTATCTTAACCCAGCTTTGAACAACCCGGCCCAGGTCTGTTCAGTTCAGACCCAGGGTAATGGTCTTTTCCTTTTGGCCTATGATCCAACTCATTTAATAATATCTTTTTTAACCCTTTAACTCCCAAAATCTTATTAGTAATTCTACTTACTGTCTGCCATATAGTTCTTGTGATGTTAGTTTGGATAATTTGGTATTGGATCAACTAATTAGTATTTTTCTTTATTCTCATCACTTGTCTGCTTGATATTGTAAAGAGAAACTCTTTCTTGGTCACCCATGGAAGTAATTTAATGTGAAGTAAAATTCCTAATCCTTGACTACTTTTTTTGTTGTCTATGAGATGTGCAGTCTATGAATTTTAAAATATTTTATATTTTCCCAAGCAATCTACAGAACACACTGCTAGCAGCTAGTTAAACATTTATTTGGTTTGATTCAGTCTCCTGCAAATGATCATCCTCTATTTACAGTCTTGTGAGTGCATCATTGGCTTTGTGTCATGTTAAGTTCTTGGATCAGTTTCGATTTTTGTTCATCTGCAGGGAAATTGAATTTTATTTTCTCCCAAATCAAGTAATACTTAAACCAATTTAGGGCAAAGTACAAGTATTAAAAGGATGACTGAACTGGTTTCTTTTGTTTTGATCACTAGTTTGAGATATTTTTTTTCCGTCAATCTAAGTGTTCCCAGGTTCTCTTGACTGTTTACCTCATTGCGGTAAGTAAACGTTGTCATAAAAAAAGAAAACCATGGAAAAGCCAACTTTGAAGTTAACATGAAGCATAAGCATACAGCGTTTGCATATATTTTATCTTTGTTTTTATTTATTAATTTTTGGAATAACTTGAAATTTAAAAAGAACAAGTAATACTCTCAACAAGATTAAACTAATTTTATCAGTAGAAATTCTATGAAAATAATTCGGCTAGCAGGCATACAGCCGGCGGGTAGTTTCATATGCTAAATAATTCCCATTTGGTTTTTTTCCTTTTTCGTTTTTTCGTTTCAGTTTTAGTCTATGATAACGTTATTGAACTCAGGAGTGTTAATCTGTTTTGTACATACATTTTTACACGTTGTGGATAATGAAAAGATTGTTTGCCTCTGTAGCTCTATATTTAATAAAATCTTGTTCCAAATTTTGTTTCTCAGTGAAAATGTCATTAGTTAACTCCTGGAGAGTTTTGTTGTCAATCAAATATCTGAATGTTTGAATTACCTCGGTCAAACACTACAATTCGGCCATTGTTTAAAACTGCTGCGGACCATGGAACTTCAAATTCTCCTAAATTGTTGCCTTTTGAACCAAAATCCCCGACAAATGTTCCATTTAGCTCAAATACTTTTATAATATGATTATCTGAGTCGCAAACTATTAGGTGGCCTGACGTTGTTAATGACAAGCATCTAGGTGTGCGAAGCTGTCCAAACTGATACTTGAAGTTTCCTTTCCTGTCGAAAACTTTGAGGCAATTATCATTCGTGTCCGAAACTACAAAATTGTTATCGCACTCAACGCAGTGGATAGGATAGGAAAGAGAGCCTTGTTCTCCAATTTTCATCAGGAACGTGCCATCAGGAGTAAAGATCTTAATCAATTTGTTACCTGCATCAGCAACAATGATGTTGCCATCACTGTCTACAGACAAACCACAAGGATCAGAGAGCTGATTGTCCATGCTTCCTTTTTCACCAAAGCTTCCCACAAACTCGCCCATTTCAGTAAAAGTTTGTATTCTACTGTTGTTGTTGTCTGCTACGAAAATGCATCCATTTTTGCTGAAAGCTATGCCCGTTGGTTTCTTAAATTCTCCCTTGTTTGTGCCAAACCGGCCAAAGGATCGCAAATAAGTTCCATCACTGTTAAATATTTGGACTCTATTGCAATCAAAATCTGTGACTGCTATCTCGTCCTTGGTATTCACTGCCACACCCCAGGGAAGTACAAACATTCCAGCGGACGAGCCGTGTTTTCCAAAAGATAAAACAGGTTGAACCTTAAATGGTTGTACCTGTACAGCAAAAGGGCTGCCATGAACATGTTCCCCGTTTGCCATTATTGTCACTTCATATCTGCCCGGAAGTTGGGGAAAATAACCAATCTTGTATGTTCCATCTTGATCAGGATTAAGGTGTACTTCCGACGCGCATTCTCGTCCTTGTTTATCCTTAATCTCCACTGTTACATGGTCACGCGCATTATAGCACCGCTCTCCTCTCGAGTTGTTTGTGGTCAGTAGAAAGTGAGCCTCACGTCCGGCTATTCCTGACTCAAGTCCTCTGTCTTCGACGACACATCGACTTGGTTTTGTTCGGTTCGGTTCTTCCAGAAAACCAATTTCTTCGTTGTTGACTGTGTCCAACATCTTTTGGTTGTTCTCGAAAACTAAACGAAGTGGTGTATTTTCGTGGTCACAGACAATTGGCTCGGCTCGATCAATATCCTCACAGATCGTTGCTAATGTTCTCTTCAGTTGAACGACTTCGCTGTTTGAACTTCGTGTTAACAGTTTATCAGCTTTGACAAGAGATGATCGTATGATCGTCATTTGCTTTTCAATGGCAGCCTTACGCTTCGTTAAGTTTTCTTTTGACCTGTTTGATTGGATTTCCAACTCTTCAAATAGGTTACGTTTTTTGGTTTCGATGACAGCAATCAAATTATCCACGAATGCTTGAACTTCTTTCTTAGCCTCTTCACTTCGTTGTTTATGTTGGGCGAATTCGTCATCAAGAATTTGAACCTCGTTCATTTTAGCTTGCAACTTTTGTGTCTGAGTTTCAATCAAAGCTCTCATCTGAATCCTCTGTTTTTCTGCTTCTTCTTCAATCAGTGTCATGGAGTGACCTCCGTGGTTTACTACGACACAAGCTTTGCAAACTGCCGTTTCACAGTTTTTGCAGAAGTATTTTAGTTCTTCACCTTTATGCCCTTGTTTAGGGCACCATGAAGGTCGTTTCAATACCGCTTCATAGTCCTCGTCTTGAAAGTCTTTGAGCGCCAGAACACGATGACCTCTATTTTTTCGGATGATTTTATGCGCGAGTATGCACTCATTGCACCAAAACGCGTAACACTCAAAACAATAAGAGGTCTCGGAGCTTTTCTTGTCGCAGTTTCCGCATCGCACTTGGTTGGTTCTGCATTCCTTGATGGCCAACACATCAATCATACCGTTGAGGTAGAAACTGGTTGGAAGATCTTTCAGATCACCAGTTTCAGGGACTCTGCTGAGTGCTTGACAGTTTGGGCATATGATTGTGTCTCGGCCATGGCTTGTTCTGTGCCACTGTTTCAAGCAATTTAGACAGAAACTGTGCAAACATGGTAGCTGTTTTGGATCGGTGAATATGTTGGAACAAACTGAACAAGAAACTTCTTCACGGAGATTATGGAGCAAGGTTATGATATCCATGTTGTATTCCCGTTCAGAAACGATGAAGTGTAGAGGTGTGCTCTTTCTCGTAATCTAACACGAGACAGTGAAGTCTAGATCATCTAGAAAATATCTTATGAACTAGCAGTTTGTTGAACTAACCTTTCCCGGCGTCAGGACCAATGAGGAATCGTTCCGATTGAAGAATTTGACCCCGGCATGCTCGGATGTTTATCAGGTCGGAAACAAATATGTGTTTGTGCTGAACTCTTTACAGACATCGGTCATTTTTAAAATTTTTTTTCTCGTTCGCTTTTGATATCACTTCTCACATTGCTGTGACTTATTTTAGCAGCACTTGCTCTGGGCGAGTTTCGCAATCATCAGAAATGTTAGAATCAAAGCCGAGTCTGCAATCCGGCCACTCCAAATGAAACCCAACCGGGAACAATGGAATATTGTGACCTGATACAATCTTGGAATCTACTCGGTTTTATATGATAATTGTGTTTAACTGGAAATGTCGTTGATAACTGACGTGGTTTGTTATCGGTTATGCTTTATGATTCTTAAGAATGGGATTCTTTTGCGTGTTCAGGGTTGAGATGTTTTGCGAGGACGCGAGTGAGACCTACAAATGACTCCTCGCTCGCGCGTGCTCAGCGTGAAATTTCGTTTCATGTCACCTTGTTAAGTTTTTTTTTTTTTTTTTTGCTGTTAGCGGCGATTACGTTTTCTTTCGCTATGATAAATTCACTTATAGGTTGTCTTTGAAGAAAAAGTCCCAAGTTTATTTGCTACGAAAAGGCTCTCTTTGTGCTCTCTATTTTCGTCTTAACTTGAAATAATTACAGGTACAATCTCTAACTATTTCTGTTTTCTCTGCAGGCACTATTTATGAGGGAACCGCAAATATTCAACTTTCTACAATTGCCAAAAATATGAAAGAATTTGAACCATGATGATAGAAATATGATCCTCTGTTCCAACACTAATCAGGACTTGACTAACAAACTTTCATTGGAATGGAGATGGGAATCTTAAAGGAATCAAATGCTATTGGTATCAGACAGTTGTCATTACTGTATTATTGTAGAAACGGTCAGAGAAACTCTTAGATTGGGATCTCTGGTGGTCCTCAACCCAGTGGCTCAAAAAAGGATCTTTTTCTCATCTCTAAATTAAAACAACGGTGTGGCAGGTTATGGATTTGTACAGCGGAGACAATCAAAGAACCGCACGAGTATGGCAGATAGAGTGATCTAGTCCAAGGCGGGATGGAGGTTTTCGTGTCGCCTGTCTCCTCTGGATTAGTCAAAGCTGACTCTGCATCAACTGTTAACATATTAACAGTCGAATTTTAGTTTTATCTGGTTCTTCAAGAAATTTTCAAAACTGTATAAGATTCTTTATGCAAGGAAAAGAACGAATGAGGCACAAAGATGAATTAAGAGCATTTTTGGGTAATCATAGAACAGTTTTAATGCTGGACTCCTGTTTTTCTTTTTCATATACTCCTGGGAGATTATCGATGTATATTTAAGTAGAGAGACCTTAGGGGCCATTTTTTTTTTTGGAGAATGAAACATGTTAAGCAGAAAGGGAAATACGCAGGTTTCTCATTCTATTTTCTTTCAAAGGGGTAAACTGTATACGTAATCTAATTTTTTATCGCAATTTTCACTATTTTCCCCTCTCCCAATTCGTTGTTGTAAAATCACTAGCTCGGCTCTAGTCGTCTCTTAGGATGTCTTCTAGGTTAAGCGACCACGCTCTAACTACTTTGGGATTTTGGGAAAGCACTTAAAATCTTCTCAATCATTCGGTTTGATCCCATAATTTATGCACGTTTCTGTGTTTTCCAGCAAACATCGACTAAAAGAACACAGAAATTCTTTAAATACTCAAAATTTCACGGGAAAAAAGTTTTAGACAAGCCTTTGATGTCAAAGAATCCGAGAGACTTAAGGGAAGTGTGGATATAAGATTTGACCTGATTCATTCCTAGTCGACATAATAGAGCCGGAGAGACGAAAATATTCCCAGAACTTTCACATTCTTTTTTCTTGAGTGAGATAGAGAGTTCAACACTTTTTGGAGCCGGATCACGAAATCTTGTACAAAATCCTTTTTTCGCCTGTTACAACGTTTTTTGGGAATATTTCGGAGACGGGCCAGAGGGAGAAGGTTAGAAGGAATGAAACCTGGCCCTGCCAAACCGTCATTGTTGGCTGCCCGACGTAAGAAGACGGAACTGGAAATACGTCAGGAGTTTGATGGAACCAAATCTTATAGACTCAATGGAATAGTGTCCGTTTTTTTCCTAGATGAACTCAGTGTTACTGCAAATAGATCTTTCCCCACTTAACAAATACGAATGTGGTGGCAAGCAGGCACTTTTTAAAAGTGTTTCAGCACAAGCGTTTCTTCGACCGCGAGAAGCTATAAACCTTTCAGCAACGCGAGCCGACGAGTGGTCTCGAAGAGGTCGATACTAACCCTGGCAAGCCTCTCCTAGACTTGCATCAAATCTTCCCGCGGGTTGAGAAATGCACGTTCTGCAATGCTTATAATCATGAGGGCCTATGGATGCCCAGACGTAGTTTAATCGCTCGAAACATTTCTACCTGAATACTTACAGGATGGTTTTTGGTAACGGGGGTAGGTTTCTGAAGAGACTGGTGCTGCGTCGTTGGGAGAGTATTACAGGGTAATTAAGTAATGTCAACTATGGTGATATTACTAAATTACCCTGATTTTTTTGTAAGTTGACTTATCAGAAGTAAGTTGCTGCCTGACGGATCGAAAATAACTAATCGCGACTAATCAACGCAGCTTGAGTTTTACAGCCAGTACAAGTCATCAAGACAATACTAACCGATCAGTTTTCAGGGGCAGGACGTAAAACATTCGATCGAAAACAACTTGTGACTCAGTCGATGACTTACGCTCACATCAAAATAAGATAATAGTCTTGCATTACGTGAAACCATAATCCTTGTAACGAAAGATAAAAATCAAAATGGACGATGGTTCGCTCTCTGTAACTGTGAAGTAAATCTCATTGGGAATTGGGGATTGTTTGATTGCCTTGTTTTCCACCAACATGGCTAACAATAAGCCACAAAAAAACTACTTAACAAAATACCATATTAATCACAACTCGATCAATGATAGATATTACCATCAGTTATAAGGCGGTTTCTACAGAGTGCTGTTACATATATGCCAACTCTCCTGGATACAGAGCCAATCTGGGAGGAGGGGGAGGGAGGGAGGGGGGCCAAATAAAGAAATTAATTTGGTAGGGGGAGGTTGCATTGGCGAATTCGGTCGGGGGAAAGGGGTGCTGGTCCAAAAAAACGTCTCCAGATTTGATCTCCAGATCTTGATCTCCAGAGGTTGGTATTTCTGCTGTTAGCAAAATGCACTTACCATGCAAAAGTATGTTTGGCCGATGTTCAAAGACAACAGCACCTCATTTGGACGAAAATATCTCCCAAGTCATTTGTAACTGGACCTTTTACAATGCTCTCCAAAGAGGAGGAAATGTTGAAAGAAACAGGTAATGTTTTATTCATCCCAAGCTAAAGCTCCCGTGATTATGAGTATGAAAAAAGAAACCATGAGATGATTGCAACACTAATCAGAACAAAATTTAGTGTCACATGGAACCAATCAGAATTCAAACTAAATGTATGTGGTTAGTTTCAAGTGGGTTAAAAAAAACTTGAATAATTAAATTGTGATGAGCCTCATTTTACATTCTATTCATTGAAGAGGAGGCACTGAATTTAACTGATTGACTGAATATCAAACAAAATCAATACCAAACCACTTGTGAATGATTCTCTACACTCAAGAAAAAATTGCACAAGCAAATGAATTAGCAGTGATCAAATGTACATTCTTCAATTACAAGGCAATGTTTTAATGGGTCTGAGATACTGAAATTTCTCCAATCTTTGAATTTGACAAAAATCATTTTTCTTGCATTTCTTTCTCTTTGTCAGTAAAACTGTGCTTTTGCTTTTCCAGTTGCTAGGTTTGCTATGGAAAAGATACAGCCACTAGTATCAGATTTAATTCGAAATGGATCAATCAGTCATCAGGGGCATGTTTGAACAAGAAGTGAGTTGAAATGTAGTATTATTTAATGGAAGGGTTCAAATTTTAAAATTAATTATTTAATGCGTTAGCTGTAGTTTTAACCCGACTGTGCATGGCTATCTGATTATCTTTTTCCATTCTCCTGGTCTGTCAGCTGGTCTGGCAAATGATTGGTCAGTCTTCAGTTAGTCAAGATAATTTGGTTTATCAACTGAGTTAATAATGTAAATTGGCCTCCGTAAAGAGTTTCAAAGCTGATGTTTCAAGCATTAGCCCTTTGTCAGAGCAATTGATTTGCTCAATCAATCATCCAGCTAGCCAATTAATTAGTCAGTCAGTCAGCCAGACATGGCTGACAGACAGAGAGAAAGTTAGTCATTTCAACTCTACAACAGGTTAAACATATTTTTTATATGAAAGCTATGCTACTTTTTCTTCTACCCAAGGCAAAGTCAACAAGCTAATTGTTTAGGTAATTAGCATTCAAACAGCCCATCAGTAATAAGCCAGACATTCTTGACACAATTGATCTAGATAGATCTTACACAATCTGGTCCATCAAGTTCAGATTCATGATTTCCTATCTTCATTTGCTTTCTATTTAATGGGGATAGAAGTGGATGCTAGTTATGGAGAAACAAACTCATCCTCCTTTGTATCCAGGTAGCAGTCTTGTGGTTGAAGAACTGGCCAAGATTGATCCTGCAGTCAGTGTTATGTGTGATGTGCAAAATACTTTAATTGTCACACTGTTTAGGAAATATGGCACACCTCAACAGAGAGCAGAGTACTTGCCAAAACTAGCAGAGAATTTGGTATTTAAACTGTTATGCTTATGACTACAGCTTGGGGCAAAGGGGGCCAGACAAAGACAGGAGAGAGGGCAAACTCTTGTCTTCATTCGGCCAGGAGCTCTATGCACTCTTAGCAAACCTTAACCCTCTATTTTTGTACAATTCATGGTGTTTCCTTGAAGCTTGAACCTAAGGAACATGTTGATCATGAGTCAAGTTGTTACATGTTTTTATTTTCTATAGAATTTCCTTGCATGCAATTTTCAATCCTTGATGACTCATACAGCACATTGTAGTGCAATTTCACTGAAAATATTTACATGACAGTTCTCACAGCTTTTAGCTTACTGACGAGCCTTCAATAAATTTTGATTAAAATAAATTGTTATGTGCATATCTAGTTTTTGACCTTTTCAATCTCAAGATCTCATTGGTAATTCTCCTTTCTGTCTGCCACACAATTCTTATGAAATTGGTTTGGAGAATTTAGTATTGGATCAACTATTATTCTTCTATCGATATTCTCATATAATAATCCCCTAATTAATATTTTTCCTTATTCTCATCACTTATCTGCTTGATACTGTATTGATATTGTAAGAAGAAATTCTGTCTTGATCATTCTTAGGAGTGATAGTGTTAACCTTTTTTTTCCAAAATTTAACATGAAGTAAAGTTCCTAGCCCCCAACTACTTTGTCTGTTGTCCATGAGATGCATAGTTTATGAATTTTAAAATATTTCATTTTTCCTAAGCATTCTATGGAACACACTGCTATTGGCTAGTTAAACACCTATTTGGTTTGATTTAGTCTCCTGCAAATGATCATCCTCTACTTACAGTCTTGTGAGTGCATTATTAACTTTGTGCCGTGTCAAGTTTCTTGGAAATTGAATTTTTTTTCTCCCAAAACAAGTACTGGTAATATTAAAACTAATTTAAGGCAAAGTACAAGTATTAAAAGGATGTATAACTGGTTTCATTTGTTTTGATCATTAATTTGAGAAATTTTTTCTGTCAATCTTAGTGTTCACACTATTCTAAAATAGATGTTCCCAGGTTTTCTTGAGGTTTACCTCACTGCGGTAAGTAAGCGTTGTCATAGAAAAAAACAAAAAGTAAAACATGAAAAAGCCAACTTCAAACTTATTAGCATAACGCGTAAGCATACAGCATTAGCAAATATTTTATTTATTTATTTATTTTTTTTAATTTTTGAGATAGCTTGAAATAGCTGATAGTTTAAAACAACATGTAATACTGTCAAGACGTTTGAATTGTTTTTTTCCGTGAGAATTCTATGAAAATAATTCGGCTAGCGGGCATATAACCGGCGGGTAGTTTTTTATGCTAAATAATTCCTTTTTGGTTTTTTCCTTTTTCGTTTTTTCGTTTCAACTTTAGTCTATGACAACGTTATTGCATTCAGGTGTATTTACCTGTTTTATGCATTCATTTTTACACGTTGTGGATAATGAAAAGATTGTTTGCCTTTGTAGCTCTATATTTAATGAAATCTTGTTCCAAATGTAGTTTCTCAGTGAAATGTCATTAGTTAACTCTTGGAGTTTTGTCGTCACTCAAATATCTGAATGTTTGAATTACCTCGGTCCAACACTACAATTCGGCCATTGCTTAAAACTGCTGCGGACCATGGAACATCAAATTCTCCTAAATTGTTGCCTTTTGTGCCAAAATCCCCGATAAATGTTCCATTTAGCTCAAATACTTTTACAATATGATTACCTGTGTCACAAACCACTAGGTGGCCTGCCGTTGTCAATGACAAACATCTAGGTTTGAAAAGCTGTCCAAACTTGTACTTGAAGTTTCCTTTCCTGTCGAAAACTTTGAGGCAATTATCATTCATGTCTGAAACTACGAAATTGCTATCGCACTGAACGCAGTGGATAGGATAGGAAAGAGAGCCTTGTTCTCCAAATTTCATAAGGAACGTGCCATCAAGAGCAAAGATCTTAATCAGTTTGTTACCCGTATCAGCAACAATGATGTTGCCATCACTGTCTACAGACAAACCGCAAGGATCAGAGAGCTGATTGTCCATGCTTCCTTTTCCACCAAAGCATCCCACAAACTCGCCCATTTCAGTAAAAGTTTGTATTCTATTGTTGTTGTTGTCTGCTACGAAGATGCATCCATTTTTGCTGAAAGCTATACCCGTTGGTCTTAGAAATTCTCCCTTGTTTGTGCCAAACCGGCCAAAGGATCGCAAATAAGTTCCATCACTGTTAAATATTTGGACTCTGTTGCAATCAAAATCTGTGACTGCTATCTCGTCCTTGGTATTCACTGCCACACCCCAGGGAAGTACAAACATTCCAGCGGACGAGGCGTGTTTTCCAAAAGATAAAACAGGTTGAACCTTAAATGGCTGTACCTGTACAGCAAAAGGGCTGCCATGAACATGTTCCCCGTTTGCCTTTATTGTCACTTCATATCTGCCCGGAAGTTGGGGAAAATAACCAATCTTGTATGTTCCATCTTGATCAGGATTAAGGTGTACTTCCGACGCGCATTCTCGTCCTTGTTTATCCTTAATCTCCACCGTTACATGGTCACGCGCATTATAGCACCGCTCTCCTCTCGAGTTGTTTGTGGTCAGTAGAAAGTGAGCCTGGCGTCCAGCTATACCTGACTTAAGTCCTCTTCCTTCAACGACACATCGACTTGGTTTTGTTCGGTTCGGTTCTTCCAGAAAACCAATTTCTTCGTTGTTGATTGTGTCCAACATCTTTTGGTTCTTCTCGAATACTGAACGAAGTGGTGTATTTTCGTGGTCACAGACAATTAACTCGGCTCGATCAATATCCTCGCAGATCGTTGCTAATGATCTCTTCAGTTGAACGACTTCGCTGTTTGAACTTCGTGTTAACAGTTTATCAGCTTTGACAAGAGATGATTGTATGATTGTCATTTGCTTTTCAATGGAAGCCTTATGCTTCGTTAAGTTTTCTTTTGACCTGTTTGTTTGGATTTCCAACTCTTCAAATAGGTTACGTTTTTTGGCTTCGATGACAGCAATTAAGTTATCCACGAATGCTTGAACTTCTTTCTTAGCTTGTTCACTTCGTTGTTTAAGTTGGGCGAATTCGTCATCAAGAATTTGAACCTCGTTCATTTTAGCTTGCAACTTTTGTGTCTGAGTTTCAATCAAAGCTCTCATCTGAATCCTCTGTTTTTCTGCTTCTTCTTCAATCAGTGTCATGGAGTGACCTGCGTGGTCTACTATAACACAAGCTTGGCAAACTGCTGTTTCACAGTTTTTGCAAAAGTATTTTAGTTCTTCTCCTTTATGTCCTTGTTTAGGGCACCATTCAGGTCGTTGCAATACCTCTTGATAGTCCTTGTCTTGAAAGTCTTTCAGCGCCAGAACACGATGATCTCTATTTCCTCGGATGATGTTGTGCGCGAGTATGCACTCATTGCACCAAAACGCGCAACATTGAAAACAATAAGAGGTCTCGAATCTTCTCTCGTCGCAGTTTCCGCATCGAACTTGGTTGGTTTTGCATTCCTTGATGGCCAACATATCGATCATACCGTTGAGGTAGAAACTGGTTGGAAGATCTTTCAGATCACCAGTTTCAGGGACTCTGCTGAGTGCTTGACAGTTTGGGCATCTGATTGTGTCTTGGCCATGGCTTGTTCTTTGCCACTGTTTCAAGCAATTTAGGCAGAAACTGTGCAAACATGATAGCTGTTTTGGATCGGTGAATATGTTGGAACAAACTGAACAAGAAACTTCTTCACGGAGATTATGGAGCAAGGTTTTGATATCCATGTTGTATTCCCTTTCAGAAACGATGAAGTGTAGAGGTGTGCTCTTTCTCGTACTCTAACACGAGACAGTGAAGTCAAGATCATTATTAAAATCTCTTATGAGTGAATCAGCAGTTTGTTGTACTAACCTTTCCCGGCGTCAGGACCAATGAGGAATCGTTTCGATCAAGGAATTTGACCCCGTCATTCTCGTATGTGTAACAGGTTAGAAACAAATACGTGTTTGTGCTGAGCTCTTTACAGACATCTCTCATTTTTTTTATCTTTTTCTCGTTCGCTTTGATTTCATTTCTCACATTGCTGTAGTTTATTTTAGCAGCACTTGCTTTAGGCGAGTCTCGTAATCATCAGAAATGCTAGAATCAAAGTTCTGCAATCCGGCCACTCAGAATGAAACCCGATCGGGAGCAATGAAATATTGCAACCTTATGCAATCTTGGAATCTACTCGGTTTTATATTATAATTGTGTTTGACTGAAAATGTCGGTGATGACTGAAAATGTTGACGATGACTGAAAATGTCGTTGATAACTGACGTGGTTTGTTATCGGTTATGCTTTATGATTCTTAAGAATGGGATTCTTTTGCGTGTTCAGGGTTGAGATGTTTTGCGAGGACGCGAGTGAGACCTACAAATGACTCCTCACTCGCGCGTGCTCAGCGTGAAATTTCGTTTCAAATCACCTTGTCGATTTTTTTTTGCTGTTAGCGGCGATTAAGTTATTTAATATTTTTTTCGCTTCGATAAGTCGACATTATAGAGAGACAAAAAATATTCCCAAAATTTCTACATTCTTTTTTCTTGAGTGAGATGGAGTGTTTAACATTTTTTGGAGATCGCGAAATCTCGCCCAAAATCCTATTTTCACCAGTTTTAACGCTTACTGGGAATGTATTAGAGACAGGCCGGAGGGAGAAGGTTAGAGGGAATGAAACCTGGCCTTGCTGTTCCGTCGTTGTTGACAACCCCACTTCACCCTTTGACCCTCAAGAGTGACTTGCATCTAACTTCTCCTTACAATATCCACCCTGAATCAAACATCAAAAGTCCGGAGAATAAAGGAAACAATCATCAACTTAAAAAACCTATTGATTGATAAACAAATTCTCCTTGTCAGCATCTTAGGAAATGTGTAGAGAACAGCAAGGAGAATAAGCATTCTGATGTTAGGGTGTAAAGGGTTAAGAAGACGCCCAACTGGAAATACGTCAGGAGTTTGATGGAACCAAATCTGATAGACATATAAGATGAACTCAGTGTTATTGCAAACAGATATTTCTCCATTAAACAAATACGAATGTGGTAGCAAGTAGGCACTTTTTATTAGTTTCAGTCGTTTCTTCGCCCGCGAGAAAGTATAAACCTTTGAGCAACGCGAGCCGATGAGAGGTCTGGAAGAGGTCGATATTGACCCTGGCAAATCTCTCCTAGACTTGCATCAAATCTTCAGTCCCGCGGATTGAGAAATGCACGTTCTGCGGTGCTTATAATGGTGAGGGCCTATGGATGCCCAGACGCAGTCGATCGCTCGAAACATTTCTACCTGAATACTCACAGGATGACTTTTTGTAAGGGGGTTAAGTTTCTAAAGAAACTGGTGCTGCGTCGTTGGAAGAGTATAACAGGGTAGTTTAATATTGTCAACTAAGTTGATATTACTAAATTACCCTGATTTTTTGTAAGTTAACTTATCAGAAGTAAGTTGCATGTAGATAACGTGAACATGAAACCTGACAGACATTGTTGGGTTTAAAGTCGCGCCGGCTAAAAATGCAAAATTGCATTTCTCATTCCCTTGCGCAGAACAGCGACAGCAACCAACTAGTCTTGTAAGAGAGGTCACGCTGAGCGAAATATATGCAGATACGCTCCATTGCCAACGCAATGCAATTTTTTTACATACGTTGCCAGAGTTTTAACACTGAGGTGGCAACTCTCTCTCTTGTATTGCCTCAGAAATTGTGCTGTGAAATGTTGCTGAGTGATCCAATTTTATGGCAAAAGTTTCAATTTAATAGTCGATCCAAAATGTAATTTTTACTAGGAAAATCGACAATGAAAATTTGGCTAAGAGAACAATATTAAATTTAATTGACCCATTTACCCCTAAGAGTGACTAGCATCTAATTTCTCCTTACAATATCACTCTTAAATCAAACATTAAGCCCGTAGGAATAAAGGAAATGATCAGCAACTAACTAAGTTGTTGATTGTTTAAGAAATTCTTCCTTGCAACACCTTAGGAAAATGTATAAAAAAAACATGGAGAATATAGATACTGATATTAGGGTGTAAAGGGTTAAAGGCTGCATACAATTACATCTCTTGGTTGGATGGTAGTTAACATACCAGAACAAGAGAGGATGGGCCCTCTCTTGTTCTGGTATGTTATGGCAAGCGCCAACAGTTTAAGTTATTTCCAATATCGTTTTCTATTCTTTGATTCATTGAGTACATCAAAACCATCAACACATTATGTTCACAGCAGATGTCGATATTTTCATCTTCCCGTTCAAACAGCTGAAAGGCAGGAAAAAAAAAGTTCAGTCTTGGCCTTGTACTGGCAGTATCTCTCCCCATGCCCTCCACACCAAGACCTCGAATTTCCCAGAGCTCCGTGCGACAACTTTATGACGTCACATAAATTAATGCGCGCGCAGTGGTGGCTTCTCTTGAACTTTCTTCGTATATACTCCATCTTTTGATATAGCCACAATGGTAAGTGAAAAAAAGAAAGTTCGCGCGATTTTTCCCTATTCTTCCCACTAACGAATGAATTTTCTGTTTCAAGGACGACATCGACGACAAGAAAACCAGCCTGTAAGTGAAAAAGCTGACATAGTATCGTAGATCTTTGGTTTCCTAGTTCAGGAAGTTGCACCCTGTCGTACGCTAACACATTTTTCGTTAATCACTCTAGCTACGTGGGGAACTTGGATCGTCGCTGCACCGAACAGTTTGTCAAAGATATTTTCTCTAAATGTGGAAAGGTCGTTAGATGCAAGATGATTAACGCGGTGGGTATTATTTGTTGTATGTTCTTTCAATTATGTTTTACTTGTAAGAAGTGCCGGCCGGCTTTGTCGATCGTATACGATTAAAGCCTATTTTATTTGCAAATTTACCACTTGTTCGTTTGTAGAAGGGTGCCTGTACTTGTCTACATCACCATTAGACGTATTTGACTAGTTTGGAGATGTTTCTCCCTTTTCTTTCACTTTGAATCATATCGTGACGTTGTCAGTAGTTGTTGAAATTGTAAGCACACCTACGCGCTAGTTTCCGTGAACGTTAATTTTCTTTGCCATGTAGATGTCTTAATTGGTGGTATGAAAACCTTGATGAATTGCCTTTTGACAAAATTAGTTAATAAGAGCTTTCTTATTTTAATTGATGACCATTTTCTGAGACGGAGACGAATTAATTCTTGTTTTATTCGACGAGGCCTTCATTACACCGAAATGCATGTAGGTCTCTTCCTCCATACTTCCGGTGTTAAATTTTTCTGTCAGCGGGAAAATTTCATTCAGAAAAGAACTTTTTACGAAGTTACTGTGTTTTCGTGCCGATTTGAAAAATTATCCTATTTCAAAGATGTAACTATTCACTCCAAAGGAAACTGCAAATGCCAAAATGTATGATGGAAAAAGATGTGTTGTGGTCTTGTGACACCAAAACATAATTCTAGGACTTTACACCCAGAACTGGACCAAGAAAAGAACTTTAGAACTTGCTCCGAGTACAACTTTTTTAGAAAGATTGAGTACAGTACTATGGAACTACATACTCTGGGAGGTTTCATTTTACTTTTTAGCTCAGATATGCATATAGTTCTGACGAACACTCTAGAACTTTTGAGGAAGTAACTCTAGTTGGCATCTTTAGAATGTGAAACGATTACCAGTTAATGGAAAAGCCATTTTCTGGGATTCAAGTCAACTATAATTCACTTTATTTTTTCTCATCTGCAAAATGCCTGGTGCTTTAGCTTGATTTTTAATAGACTTAATACCAGGTTTGTATTTGTCAAATGATTTAAAAAATTTCAACAATTTTCTAGTTGACGAGATGTCTTAACTTGGGTATTCTGTAACATCATACAGGTTAACAAAGTAAGGAAAACTACAGTGCCGTGACAAAGTCATTGTGTGGTTAGAGGCTAAGAGATTCCCCCACTGTGAAAGCAAACTTTCTCACTCATTTGTCCAGTCATCAAAATTCCAAGAACCTTTGAATCCTTTGCTAAAAGGCTTGCTTTATGGATATTCTCAAGCTGTTTTTAAAATAGTTTTAAGTTCCTTCTTTCTGGACAACTTCAAAGATGATTTGATGAGTTCTGTATTTTTAAGGACAATGTAGATATCTGAGTAAATGTTTGTTATTTACTGTGACTTGTTATTGGGTTATTCTACAATATGACAGTGGAGTCTGAAGTTTGATCTCTCTCTTTTTTCATTTCATGATTGAATCTAAATCTTTTCACTGTTGTTATGAGATTTGTTTAATTTTCCTTTTCTATTTCCACCCTTTCTTTTCTAGATTTTATGATTAAGATTTAATGATTAACTTAATTGTTTTGTCAGAAAAAAATTCTAGTCTCATGTTTCTAGCACTAGTACAACAAGAAAATTTTGACTTGAAACTTTGTGATGTTATGTACACACTACTGTACATCACCAGTAACATCATAAAATATTCCTTGATTTACAGTGATATTTGTACTGTAGAAATAAAAGATTCAGGTTGATAAGACCACATGTATCTCTTGAGTTTGAAGCACAAAGCTTTAAAAAATTAAGTGCTTCTTTAGCTGGTGATTATTTTGTTTGTTCTCATGAACTTAATATGTGATTCAGGGGTGATATTGTAAGGAGAATTTACATGCTAGTCACTCTTAAGGGTCAAAGGATAAAAGACTATTTGTAAATTAAAAGATAATCTCCCACTTTGAGTTTCAAATCCATTGAATTTGAGCTACATGTAGGTGTTAAACTAAACTTATGAATAGCAGCTACAAGATTCTAGCATACAAAGGGCCATCTTTCAAATTTCTCTCTGCCTGCTGTACTTCATCTTAAAGGTTCAAAGGCTTGGGAAGGAGAACAAGTAAAGATGCTAACTATTTCACAAGGATCAATATAACAATCAAGTCAATATGTTTAGAAAATTAATGAGAAGAATATACAGTGCTTTATTGGCTCTGTGCAGACATTGCATTCTCTTTAATACAATCTCTAATTTCTCTGCTTCTCTATTGCTGGTTACCTTTTGTGGCTTTTATTGCTGTTATTAAGTAGTTTCTTTACTAAGCCAGTTGATTGCTCCTAAAGAGTATTCATCTACTCTGAGATTTTTTTGTCACACATGGATAAAAAACAAGCTAAAATATTTGCATTTAAGTTCCTAGCTTTGTTCAACTTCTTATAGCCATCTAAAGTAGCCCCTTTTTCAAATAGAAAGCTTTTTTTTATCCTGTGAAATCAGCAGATGGTGATTGGAGCTTCCTAATATATCTCTTGCATTCACAAATTTGTATTTTTCACCTAAAAGAAAGTAGCTTTTTTTGCATGATCAAACTTCACATAATGACAACACTCTTTTTTCTTCCTTCTGGCAAGCCAATAACTGTCATCAGTTCATCAGTAGTGACTAATCTTAGTAACTCTTTTCTCTCAAGTCTCAGGAACAAATCATTTCAAAAGAGAATCTAACCAGTCTCACCTTTGTTATACTTTAGAGCTCATCAACAGACCCATACTGTTTTGTGGAATTTGAAAAAAGGAAAGATGCAGAATATGCCCTTTGTGCCATGAATAATAGGACTGTTTATGACAAGGTAAGTGGTACACCATCCAAATAGTAGACATACATGTGCATGCACATGAAATAAGTACTAATCATCTTCTTGCAGTTATCAGTGCAAGGGGCTCTGCATTGAGATATCCTGGTATGAGCCTTGGCTGGGTCATTGTGTTGTATTCTTGGGCAATTCACTCAACTCTTACAGTACTTCTCTCCTCTTGGTAACAGAAAATTGTTAGAAAATCTAGAGGTAACCCTGTGACAGACTGGAATCCTAATGGGAGGGGGGGGCAGGAGAGTAGGAGGGGGGAAGGGGAGTCAGCACTCAAGTTCCTTCATGTACTTGAGACTGGGATGAAGAACATGTGGACAAGCCTTGTGGCTTGTAATCTGACTAACCTACCAGCTCTAAAACTAAACTCAATGCAAAGATCTATAACAGATTTCAGTATCAAATGAGAAGCGTTTTAACCTGCAAATAAGCTCTGAATATTTCTTTGATCCTACATCCTCAAACTGATGCAGATTCTGTCTCTCTCAAATTTTGGTGATACTTTTATTTTTAAACTGTGCTCTGAAATAATGAAGTACTGGTTAGGTTAATTATTGTCCACTAGACCACCCCCTTACTGCCAATGCTAATCTGGGGGTACATTCTCGTGAAATGACAAGGAGTTTTGCTTCTACCTTTGGTTGAGATGCCAGTCCATTGTCTTGTAACCTGTGAGTATTTTCCAAATGGCTTTGAGAGTTTTTTTTTTTTAAATTCCTATTTGTACTTTTGGGTGGAGAGAGGCACTATAAATACAAGGTGTCTTGTCAAAGAACAAAACACAATAACAGGGCTAGGATTTAATTGGGACCTTTTTATCTAGAGGTCAGGGCATTGACTACACATACTAAGCTGGCAGGTATCCTGGATCTAATGAAATACTAGCAATCATTCATTTTTATCAATACAAATGAGATGCAGCAGCTTACACAGATTTATGGGTTGAAGCATTTGTTTTGTTTCTGACAAATCAATGGTTGGCAAGTTAATTATCTAGGCTGTGTGATTTGATCAATGTTTTTAGATGTTGATGCTTCATTTACTTGAAGAAAAACATTCCTAATTTCATAAAGAATAAATTGAAACCTTTTTTTTTTCAAAGAGGATATGTTGAAATGATTGTCAATGCTATTCTGTCCATTCCTCCAATTAAGTTGTTCTTGATTAGAACAACCATAGGAGGGTTATGCATAAAAACAGTAACCATGGATTTTTTTTCCAAATGACTGTTAACTTTTTTTCTTCTAAAATGCACTATAGTTTATTTTGATTTTTAGATGTTGATGCTTCATTTACTTTTAGAAAAACATTCCTAATTTCATAAAGATTAAATTGGAACTTTTTTTTCCAAAGAGGATATGTTGAAATGGTTGTCAATGCTATTCTGTGCATTCCTCCAATTAAGTTGTTCCGAATTAGAATGATTGTAGGATTGTTATGCATAAAAACAGTAACCATAGTTTTTTTCCAAATGACCTTGAACTTTTTTTCTTCTAGAATGCACTATAGTTTATTTTGATTAGCCCTAGATCAATAGCACCTTGTGGTCCAAGTTGCTTTCCAGTCAAAACAATGTAGTATATCTACATTGCATTATAGATGAGGTTTACTACATGTATGTGAAATTGGGAACTTTCACAGTGATTAAATGCATTCACATAGTTCTTTGCATGTGAGATCTAGTTGTCTGGAAAGGAATTGTGTTGATAATGTAATTGTCTACATACAGAGGTTCATGCTTGGTTTTAGAGTTATTTTCTTTTTGTTTTGTGGTAGCAAAATCATTTTCTAGGTGGGATGATCAGTACAGTTATTTTCAAGGATGGAAACTTGCTTCTCAGGGAAGGTTTCCAGAATTGATGCTGTTGTCAGTGTAGATACATGTGCTTTTTTTTGGAATGTTAAAATTTTTTTTAGGCTCAGCACTCAAAGGGAAATTCCTTGTTAAATAATGCCATTGGGATTTGACAAGCTGGTTCATTTTTTCTAAGATCTGCTCAGTGAACTACTGTAATTGCTGTGACTGAGAATACTAACTTGTGTTCTAGTTGAATTCATTTTTGTGATGTAGCGAATTAAATTGAAATAACTCTGATGACAAATTTTCAAAACCTTTTTTTACACCTATCTTTTTCACCTTCAAGTGGGTGAAGGTTTACTTTTTAGGGAGTTCTTAGGGAAACAAAATTGTCTAAGAACAATTTTTCCTTAACCTTCTCATCCAAATATACTTCCGTCATTAATGTGACAGTGATTGTCACATTTAAGGTAGTGTTTTCACTCTGATAGTTTTATTCCGGAAAATTTGTGAACTATTCAAACATGATATTCAGTTCCTAGTTGAGTCAGTCACAGGTATCAAACTGATTTTTTTAAATTAAACAAGAAATTTAGATTCATAAGCAACATCAGGTTATTCTGTAAGGGTTTTTTCGGTGTCATAGAAAGAAAGGTAGCCACATGCAAATTACCACCTAAAGTCCTAACCAAGGGGGTAACCAGGTACTGGTAGTTGCTTGACTGAGAAACAGTTTGTTCTCTATCCTCATCATCAGATCCTGTATTCTTGAATTTTGATCATTCCTTGACCGCCAATTATTCTATTGTAGTCACTCTGGCTGAAAATATCTTGAATTTAATGAATAGATTCCTACCTTTTTGGATATTGATGCTCAGAGAGGTTTCACTACACCTGCTGGCTTAAACAAGCTTTGTTAACGAAGGGGCAAGCCATGAATGGATTATTTAAATGAAAAAAATAAAGCAAAACATGTTAACTAGATTGATTCAGTCTTGTTTTGGAAAAAAGGTAGTTGTATGGATTAAGCAAATTAACTTTCTTGAATCCAATTGTTAATGTTATTGGTGAAACCAATCCAAGTTTTGATCTGTCGCTGGAGATGTTTTTTCCCAAGTTGTGAAAGTATTTTTAGTACAATGGGCATGTTTACACCCAGATGTGTTTAAAAATTAGTTTGGTTGAATTCAAAACATATCAAGAGTTGTGTAGAAGCAAGATACTTTTATTAGTTTTCTAGTTCCCATTTCTTGTTTGAAAGTTGTAGTGAGCTTAGTACAGGTCTATTGTTTGCATAAAGAGGACAGGTGAGCTCTGAATAGTGGGAGTTGTTTGTGGACTTAAAGAGATGTTACAGAAGAGACCCATGGGGTTTTAATTTCAGAGACTTATTTATATTCCAGTGGTTTTAAGCCTGACAGGTTTGAATATAATTATTTTCACTTTGGACCAATGGGTTCCCTCCAAATGGCAGATCTGTCATGTCTAAGGAGTAGAATTAATAAATACTGCATTCCCTGCAATGGAAAACATCTGTAGATGAAGCAGATAAATCACCTGTGTTTGAAAACTGGATGTTGGTTTTATGCTTGTAAAATTAGTATTTAAGGTGATCACATAGTAGAATCAGTATACCACTAATTTGCTGTAAGTCAAGTACACTGGGATGATTAAATTGTAACTGCGTTGTGGTCAGAGACTCTTTTAGAATTCTCATGCAAGCTTCACTGTTGGCCACCTGCATAATGGAGTGAACACCAGTAGCCAGTGGAGTGTTATAATAAGAAGATCAATTAGTGATTAATAATGGATGATGTTCATTGTTTCTTTCTTCTTCCCTTGCATGTCCTGCCCAGAATATTAAGGTGAACTGGGCGACTAATAACACTGGAGGCATGAGGAAAGACACAAGTAGTGAGTACATAATTTTTCTTCATCATTGAACACTTAATTTGCAGATTCATCTCCTTTTATTTGTGATAAGATTTGTATGGCTTATTTCATTGATTTACAACAAAGAAATCAGACTCCACCTTTGCTATTTTTATCTCGTATACACTCACACTCTCTCTGTGTTTTGAAAAGTTCTGCTTTGGATTATAAGCTTGGTATTCAAGTACTATAGGGGTCAAGCATTGAAATGCCTAAAGGTGATTTTGCAGATTTCCTAGTAGAACTGCTCATGTTTACTGTAATATTAAGAGGCTTGGATTCATGGTTGATTTAAGGACTTCCAGAATCATTGGTTTGAAGTAATTTATTGGTGACCTCATTAATATTAACCACTTCCACTTGAAGTTTTCTTGGATATTTTCTCCTGCAAAATTGCCTAGATTTTGCAGATATTTGTGGAGAGCCAGCTCTTGTTCCTGGTCTATTATGAAAGGGTATTTTCAATTATATTATTAGTATGGTGTTAACCCATTTTCCCAATTAATCCACAAGCAATCTTTGTCAAATCATCAATGTGTTTGACAGATTGGTTCTGACAACATGAATTCAACCTTCACTTGATTGAGCAATTTTTTTCTTTCAAAGCCAGTCAAGTTTGACAGGGAGGGAATGCTGTCACAACTGAATGACAACTCTGTGCTTAAACAACCTAAATATACATGTATCTCTCTGACCTTTCTAGAACAAAAAAAAATGGTTGTTATCTTTTTATGGCTACTGCCTCCTATGGAGGCAAAGCCATATTGTTGTCCTGTGGAGTGAGTGAGGATAGCAAAAAAATATCAATCACTTCTTTGTCCACAATGAGTTCTGCAGAGTTTTACCCCATATCCCTCACTCTTGGCTTTGGTTTGTTTTGGAACATCTTTGGTTGTTCAATGCTTAGTGACAATTTCTTTGAATCTGATCTTATTGTTCATCTCTTAGTGTACTATAGAAGAAAATAAACATCTCACAATCATTTCAGAAGAGTGTGTGAAAAGAGGAAGGTTTACTTCGCAGAAATGTCTTAAAAGGAGTGATTGGGGCATCATGAAAATTTATAGAATAATTTTTTTTTTTAAAGAGAGAGCATTTTACCATTTGAAACAGTGAATTGTTCCCAGTAGATGTAAAGATATATTTTTTTCAGTTCTAACCATGACAGTACAATAGATGATCAATATCTCAAAATAATTTTGCAATGGCTTCTCCAGCACGTTATTGAAAAAAAAATTTCCTTGCAGAAATATCTAAATAGGTTTGGTCTACACATTGTGGAAACTCTGAAGAAAAATGTTATTTATTTGAATAGAGATGATTTTACCATTTCAACCAGCGACAAATGCTCACAAGAGCTGCTAAATTTGCAAAGTGAGCAAGGTCTGAATATGTTCAGTTCAATAGGGTGACGCCATTCGATGGAATGGTGGAATTGCAATGGAATTAGAAAATGCTACCTTATAGCATTATCATACAACCTCTGGTTCTTTTCGATGCTTTAAAAGTTGTGCTATATCAGTAGCCATAAATTTATGCATGTGGTCTTAACTGCCAATTTTTGTCCCTATGAGTTTATAGCCTCCATTGTACATTACCTCGCCTTTGTTCGAGCAAGAAATTTGTTGCTAAATCTCAGAACTCACAGATTTCTTTTTATTCAGAATTCTGATGTATATTGAGTGTTTATAGAAGCTGGAAGCTTTCTGGATAGACAAAGACCTCAGACTGTAAACTAATTAAAGTGCAGAATCATTAAAAACTAGAATATTACACTTTTCCAAAGCCTTTTAGTTGTTTTCAACTCTTGTAAAGGAGCTCAGCTACCATGCCAGCCACCATGACAGTGGAAACCAGATAACCATTTGACAGGCTTTTTTTCAATAAATCTGTTGTGTCTCAGAATTAGAATTATTAATCATTGTTTGGTTTTGTGTTATCATTTCAGATCATTATCACATATTTGTGGGTGACCTTGACCCAGAGATTGAGAATGAGGGTCTTTATAAGGCTTTCTCTGCTTTTGGACAAGTATCGTAAGTATCTGGGTTCTTTTTAATTATTATTTCCTACATATATCACATAAGTGTTACAATTGAACTGTATGCAATTGGTGAAACATCAGTATTAATCTTCAGCATCCTCTATTTTGAAATGTTGACTGTGTGAAAATTTACATGAACCAATTAGATCTGGTTGGCTAATACATTGTGATACCTCTGATTTTATGCCATCTTCAAAGAAATAATCCAGTCAATGTTGAGGGGAGATGCATCAAGCGTACTTCACACCTGTTTGCTTATACTGCATTGTATACATGGAGAATGATGAACCAAACAAAATTGATAGCACAAAACCCCATTAGTTTTTTTTTCTCAGTCACTGATCTACTCAGTAACCATCAATTTTGAATTGTCCATACTTGTCCACTTCTATATGCAAAGTGTCACAAGAAGAAAAGTCTGAAAAATGTACTTGGTTTTTGATGTTCTTCTTAATACCTATTCCTCAAGGACAAAACCATATGGATGCTGAAGATTAGAGCTGTTCCATAACATTAATAATTATACCATCTTTGGTCAAAACAGAGATCAAATAGTTTACCTTCCTAAAAGTTCAACAAGAGGAAACAAACAAACCAGCAACTAAGAAACTCTTTTACTCTATGATTTTTCTTCAGTCTGCTTTACTAAAGTATTTCAAGTAAAAAAAAAAAACTTTTTAGATAATGTATACAGTAGGGTGCATTGCTGTCCTTAATTGCTAAAAAGAATGGCTGTTAAACTTTTCTTTTTGCCAGGTAACAAACTAGGAGTATTGTGTGTGACTCAGCCCTTTACCCCCTAACATTGGTATTCATAATTATTCTCTGCACTCCTCCTCTACATTTTCTATGGTATCAACAATGAGAATTTGCCTGAAAATCAGAAGCTTCCTAAATTGGATATCATTTCCTTCATTCTCATGACCTTAGTGTTTGATTCAAAAGTGATACTGCATGGAGAAATTAGATGCCAATCACTCTTAGGGGTTAAAGGGTTTATTACTGGGTTAAGTGTAATGGACCAGTGGCTTATCCACTTGGGAGAATACACTGAGCGGTGAAACATTTATTCGTATGAAGAGAACATAAACTCCAAGTGGCTTTTGCATGTTCTGTATTTTGCATGCATTGCCACTGTAATAATTTACACCAAATTCTTCAATTACACTTCAAGCTCAGAAATGACAAAGTCTTTGGTTTGCAGTGATTACCAATGCAAAGCTGAGAATGGGAGTGGTTGAAGTTAGGTTGCTTTTTTTATCTTTTCAATTTTTTTTTAATACTATAATTATGATAAGTTTTGGCTACCGAACTATTTCAAGTACAAAACTCTCCTGAGAATAAACATTTTGGAATTAATATGAAAGAGAAAGTTTTCTGGAAAAAAAAAAGCCAATTCAGTTCCTTTACACTATAACTTGAAAACAGGAAGTAGGCACACACACCAAAAAAAATTGACCACTAAGAACAAGGGTGGAAATATAGAAATTGGCTTTGAAAGGCTCACTGAAATATTACCCACCTCTTGCAATCCAAGTATTCAAATTCAATGTGTTTAGTTGTGCATGTCACTGAAGATTGGAGGTGGTGAGTTATGATCTTTCCATTAAGTAGTTCTGTACAGTTCAGTGGGAAAAGAAATCTCTCAATTAGTATATGCGCTATTAATGGTCAATTTAGTGGGTCATATTACAATGTACAGCCTGCTAAATTCAAGAATTTTTGTTTGCATTTTATTCTTCCCCCTCTTATTGAACCCAGAGAAATAACAGATATCTTACAGACCTTTTTTTTTTTGTTGGTCTGTACTGTAAGTTATGGAGCTTCTTATTTTCTGCTTAGATTTATGGCTGGCACACTTTGTGCTTGGGCCATAAATCCAATCAGAAAAAATTGGTCCATAACTTTTGGTGCAGACTTCAAATTCAGTTAGTGAGAGGTGTTTCCATCTGGATTGCTTTTATTTACCATTTGCTTTTTATTTCAGATTGTGCTATAAAATTATCTTAACTGATTGTATAACATTCTGCAAAATTTCTTCCATGTTGCATTTTTTAAATGTATTTTGCAGCTGATTTAAATGTAGGCTATGGATTTGGGCTTATAAAGTATGATTTGCCCCCCTTAACTTGACTCTGTTGTGTGTTCCACTTGATAAATCTGTGTTTACATACCTATGTGCATAGTTAGATGTCACCAGTGTTTTAAATCTCCCCGGGTACATGAAAGTGGCTGAATTATGGTGGGCAAACCATCATGGTGTTAAAAATCATGGTCCATAGACTGCAGGTCACTGCAAAGTTTTGTGATTTCTATTTATACAATAAATTGACTTTTGCACACATTTTGATTGGTTTATACTCGTGATCTATTGGAGGACAGACACAAAGATAACATTGCCTTGGCAATTTTTTTTCTTCTCTATTATATTTAACTTATAGATTCCATGTTGCTGTGGGTGTGGCTAGCAATAGTTCACAAAAGACACCAAAATGTGGTGAAAACATTGGCAACACACTTTGCTGCACCTTGTTAGACACTTTTTGTTCTTAACACATTTTGGAATCATCTGTGATCTCTTTCTGGGCAGATGCACAGCAACATGGAATCTATTTGTTAAGCTGATTTTATAAGTTGAATATTACCCTTCAGTTTACCAACAGTCCAATTTGTGATGCATTGAACATGTTTCATATTTGTGATATTATATACCATGCTTAGTGTAGTACTTGTTGTAACACTTCCTTCCTTATTTGCTTGAATACAGATGAATGTGCACTAATTGCATCCCGCCCAGGCGATGTATGCCATTTCCTTGCTTGTTTTTTCTTCTTTTTATCATCTTAATCAGTAGATTAGTCAGAGTTAACTAAGGAAACAAAATAGTTTCTCGCTACTTACAGTTACATTGTTGTAGATTGTAAGAGAACTGTTTTGGAAATTGCTTTGAAGGCAAAGCTTTCAATTGCGATTTTAATGTTTGCCTTGAATTAAGGGTTGCCTGTGCTATGGTTATACCCAAGGTTGTTGCAACAGAAAGTTTGACATTTAACACAAGATAATCCTCGCTCTTTTTAGGTCATGCTGTTAGCATATTTTCTTTAATCATTATCATTTAGGGAAATGTAATTCTGAAGATTGTTTGCTTCTTTTGTATCTAGTTTTTGTAAGAAAAAGTAATCCTTGAAAATGCTGAGTTAGTATAAAAACTGCTGTATTACTTTCATTCAGGGATTGTCGTGTTGTAAAAGATACTACATCTGGAAAGTCCAAGGGATATGGTTTTGTGTCATTTGTCAAAAAGGAGGTATGTAAGAAACTGTTAGAGGCAATGCACTCCATTTGTTTTTAGCAATAGTAGTCATGGATTAGAAAATTCACAATACTTAATCAGAATTAAAATGAATTGCAACTTGGTCACCTACTTCTCCCCTCACTTAACCCTTTAATTCTCAGAATTGATTAACATGTAATGAGAATACTCAAAGTTATTAGGCAGAAGTTGTTCTCTTGATCTAAAACCAAATTCTGGTAACCAAGTTACAAGGAAATGCGAAACAGCCAAAGGGGAGAATCAACAATCATATGCTGGGAGCAGAAGGGTTAAAAATTGTCAACATGTATGTGTGATCTCATGTGTGCTCTTGAGCCAAATGAAAAATACTACTTAACTTTAGTTCATTGTGGTCTGTTCTTTTTTAAATAGCAGAGGAAAGTACAAATTGAATAGAAAAAAAAATTAAGAACAAGGATTGCTGCTCTAAGTGACATGCTTCTTTTTGTAGCCTCTTCCAGTTTTAAGTTTCTGCTGTGAGTTCTTGGGAATGACTTGTCAGTATCATGATAACTTAAAGCTGACATTTTTTATCGTGAAAAATAGCTTAAGCTATTTAAATCTGACTTGCTGTCAACCCACAGGCCAGAAGTGAAGAAGTTAATTTCATGCTCTGTCTCTATATTCTTATTATGTTTCTCAATTAGTATGTGTGCTATGATTGGTCAGTTTAGCAAGTCATATTTTACTGTATGGCCAGCTAAATTCAAAAGTTTATTTGAAGTGAATTTTCCCCTCTATCTGAATGTAGAGATGAAATAAACATCTGGTCTGTACTGTAAGTTAAGGAACCTCCCTTTTCCAGTTGCTTTTTGGTCTGTGTACATTGCTTTGGCCATAAATGTGGGTGGAAAAGTATTGGTCAGTAACTTAGAGTACAGATCTCAAACTTGGTTAGCAAGAGGTATTCAACACTTGGAAGGAGATGAAATAAGTTCATAGGCACCATGCTCTTTGCTTTTATGGTCTGCAAAGCTGAGACTAAAGCTGAGATAGTTGATGTTAATTTTTGCTGTTGTTTGACAATTTTTAGGATGCTGAGAAAGCCATGAGGGAAATGAAAGGTATTTTTGTGATCTTGAATCACTTTTGCAATGTTTTTCTCTTAGTTTTTTTCTCTGTGAAAGGAATGTACAAAACTGGAGATACAAATTCTTCTTCTGCTGTTATAAGTAATGTCCAGAATTGATTTTTTAATGATTAATTCATAAACACAATGAATCTGTGCTTTGTCATGACTTTATTTCTGTCAAAATTTCCCTGCTGAGATTAGGAAAACCTGTGTGGTTTAATTTAGGTCAGCAGTTAAAAGGCAGAAACATACGAACTAACTGGGCTGCTAGGAAAGCAATGGTACCAGGTGAGGGTATGGACTTGTTTATTTGTTTGTCTGTTGGACATGATCCCCAACTAAAGGAGCTGTTAATTTTTAAGCAAATTCTTTTTGTCAGTGCTTTAGGAAATGTTTATAGAACAGTAGAGAATATGCATTAGGGTGAACAGGGGTAAACTGAAAACTCAGTGTTTGAAAACTAAACCACAGATTTGTGATGATCAGTGTTGAAATGCTTTTTTCCAAATCATTTAGATCAGTTCCCCCTTTCAGGATTGACCAATGTATACCAGATGCGAAAGCTCTCTTCCTGGTTTACTCCTGGTAAACATATAACTTTCCTTTATCATACCACACTACACTGAAGGGAATGGGAATGGGCTATAACTGTAACTTATCAATCAGAAGATGTGTTATTGATACAACTCCATTGTAATTAATATAATTAATAACAAAATTTATATCAGCTACATGGGAGAATTGGGGAAAAAATCTGGAGAAGTAGAAAAAATATTTTGAGTAATGGGTAAAGATGTCAAATGCTTCTTTTCAATATTTATTCTCCCAGTACTGTTCAACTTCAGGTGTGCATGCTTGAATATTTATTTGCTTGTATTGTTTCTTTTCAGCAACAAAGCAACTGTCATTGGAAGAAATATCACGTCAGGCCTCTCCATATAACTCCACCGTGTACGTTGGTAATCTTCCACCGGGTTGCACTGGTAACTACATTTATTTCTCTATTGTAGTATTGTAATATTGACTCTGTACTGTCATGTGCATATGCGACAAATTTTTCTTTCAAGTACTCTATTGTTTCCCTGACTAGCTTTCAACATCTTTAGTCAAACTAGAATAGACTTTTAACTGGTCCTCTGGGTTAGGATTAAAGTATTCCTTTTCTTGGGTTTTACCCAGTAATCAAATGAAGTTGTTGAGTGTTTTGCCCAGGAGGGGAAGAGGGGGGGGGGGATTTATTACCTTGGACAATAGATGGGACTTTTGTTATCCCTGCATATAAGTTTAACTCAGAAAACCACATTTATATTTATGTTGAGTAAGCCTGTGTGTACAAGTCAGAGGGAGCTTTTGAAGGCCTCCCCCTCCCCACCCCAAAAGGCAAACAATTCTTTCTTGCTTGAATGTTGTGTTGTTGTGTTGTTGTGTCTTACATTGTGTTGTTTTGTTTGACTGTTTTTTTTCTTCTTAAAATCTGTTTATGGTGCTGTTTGGAAAAAGTTGAAACCAGCCCTGACTGTTATTCAAAAAAATATTTTCAAACAACAATGTGATTTTGATATAAATGTAAACGTGTTCAGATGAAGATTACAGAATTAATTCTTTCAGAGATGAAGTAGACTGTAACTTATTTGCCTTTTTTTCAGATGATACACTTCGTCAGAACTTCTCACACTTTGGACAGATCTATGACATCAAAATATTTCCAGAGAAATTTTATGGATTTATCAAGTGAGTTGGACTTGAGTATTGAACCATGCACATACATGTACACTAACCGTGCAGTTTTTTAGCTCAAAACAAAAATAAAAGCAAAGGAATCTTGTTAATTACCGTTCGTCAGCCAGTTATTAGAGGGTCATTGTTAAGATGTTATTTTTGCGGTTGAGACGCACTTTGGAGGGCGTCGCCATGTGGAAAGGGGACTAAGTTAATTGGTACAAATACTCTGACTGTTGGCGAAGGTTTCATCGTAAATATGCACCTAATTCCACCTACTAACTTTACTTTCCAACTTCATTCCACAGATTTTACACCCATGACCAAGCATTAGATGCCATTTACAAATCACAAAGAACTGTGCTAGGAGATAATTTATTGAAAGTAAGTTTACCACTAAGATTACTTTAATTCTAGGTAAAATGAACACATATTTGGCACCTATCTCAAGATTTCCCTGATAACCTTTTTCGAAATTTAAATTTCCCATATTATGTTCAGGAGCAAATTACTTTTACATGTATGAAGGTGGCCTGACAGTCAATTCTCCCAAATGATTATCCCTCATTTATTTAAATACTGCTTATGATAGTTACATGTTCCATCAAGGCAACGTTTTTGTTGACGTATTATTTTTGATTATGGTCATTCTTGAACTGACTAAAACTCAGTTGTACTCGATAAGCGAAATAATGACATCAGTTAAGTATTGTGGTTGAGTTGTGCGTATAATTATTCTTCACAGTGTTCTTGGGGAAAGGAACAGACAGATATGAACAACGCTCAATCAGCAATGCAGCAATGGCAGCAGGTATTATGATAAGTTTACGTTCGTTAGTTAGGGAATTAAAACGCTCGACCTTGGCAGTTCCCTTTATCCCTAACTTGGAAGCCATCTATAGGTGTGAAGATCTTTGTCTTTTTTTCGTCATTATGTCGGGCCTGAATGATTTCAGACGGATTTTCATCTATGCAGTTCAACACTTCTTTAAAATACAGGAGAATAAATTATCTGGGTAGTGAAAGGACTAACTGCATGCTTTGATGCCCTGCTGTTGCACAGAATTACTTTTTAAATTCCGCCCATGTGTATGGTTTACATGGTAAAGTTATGTATCTCATTTGATCCATGTACTGAGTCAGGTTGGCCTGATGGTATGTGTAATCTTTTTTCTCATTAGTATTATCAACAATATTATCAGCAAGTTTACAATCAACAACCCATGCAGCAGCAGTCTCCGGCTCAGGCTGGGTATGTTCAGTACCCAGCAGCAGCAGCGGCAGCTCAGTATGTTTACTATCCACAGCAGCCCTTTGGGTAAGTCCAGAAGTATCACTGTCCAGTCGCCTCTTGATGTTTGGGCTTTGAAAGAGGCAGAATTGTCTATATTCTCGAAAGATATTACTACTGTATTTATTGCACCTAACATGCTTGTTTATATACTCTGGTTGTCGGTTGTCAGTCGCTTTCAAAATACTATTTAGATGGCTTGCAATTTTATCTCTACATATTAGAAAACTTGCCTCGTTGGTTTTAATTTTCTATTGCGACGAATTAGTGATGTTCTGTTTCTCTTTTCACAGAAACCAACCAATGCAAGTTGTGCAAGCAGCAATGCCGGGGTATCCTGGTGAGATATTGTCAGTTGTGAAAAGATGAGCCTTTCGAAAATCATGTCTGTGGCTACTGTGGAGTTTTTAGGTTGTCCAACTAAGAATTTGGTTTATATAAACACGAGTTTTCTATAACCTTATTGATTGTGCACTTGTTAAGAAAAGTTGTTAGGCACTCGTCTAAGTATGCGCACGCTATAAGGTTTCTTCGTCGCACCCACCTGACTCGTGATCAAATGCGAACTTCGATTTATCTTCGTCACCTATTGTCGTCACAAATTGTGGTAACGCGGTGAAAAGGGATATTCCTAGCTTAAGCCCACCCAAATTCAGGCTTTCAGGTTGTTTCCGGTTTTGCAATCAGAGTAACACCTCTCCTCCCCCTTGTGTTCCTCTCTGTTATGCAGTTGGTCGCCGTTTCCACTGGTGTCACATTTTACTGACTAAATGACTTGTCTTTAAGTATTCCCTATTTGCCGAAGTAACCCTTGGCGCAAGTCAATGGGAATCGGCCAAAAACAAAATGTTTTATCCCGGCGCCACCTGAACCCATACAAGCGAAGCGTGCGGGCTTCCCAGAGTTCACAGTGGGCCGGAATATTTTTGGAAGACTTCTGTTGACTTGCGTGATGGAAATGGGAATGCTTGTAGTTTATCGCTAATCTTAGACCAGGGTTAATTAATATTTGCATAGGATTGATCATGATCGTAGCCAGCAGACTTGATTTCCAAGCTCATCTCATTTTAGGCGCTAACATGACCATTTAAGGTCTTTTGATCAAATTCAACCGCTTTCCCTTTAGTCACTTTCCTCCTTTGCTCTTCTTCAGCTCAAATGTCGCCAGCGTCTTCAGCTGGTCAACAGCCTCCCACTCAGAATCAGCAGATGATGGGTATGATTGGGCCTCATCACCAAGGAGCTCCCTCCCCTGCCAATCCAACTTCTTACGTCATGCAGCAGGCTGCAGGCTACCCAACACAGTAGTGATACTACAAGAAACCACTGTATAAGAGCAAAGAAATCATTTAACTTAGAAACCGTCGACAGAGTTGACAATAGACGAATCCTCTAGACGAAAGAGGAACAATTTATTGAGAGAAAAATATGCAACGAAGTTTTTGAACACAAAATTCTCTCGTCTCGCATCAGATGAAAACAAAACCAAAAAAATATCCAGGCTATAAAAAAAGCGAATCCTTGTGTAGCATTGAACCCTTTTGTGTTGAAAAAGTAGGGCTGTAGTGCATAGAGCATTTTAACTATAAAGCTGATAACCATACATGTATACTTTGTACAGTTTAAAAAGTATATTTTGTATTTATTGCGTTCCCTTTGTTGGATTTGGATTCTACCTCTGACGCCTTTTTAAACGTATACACAATATTTTTTCATGCCATGAAAGCGATATCACGTACGATTTGGTGGCTCTTTGTAGAATTTAACCCCGCAATATTTGAAAATGAACTTTTTCAACATACAAAAGGTGTTCAGGGCTGGGCTTAGCTGCGTAAATAGCAGTAACTGTGTTCCATGTCACAAAGCTGTGTACATTTGTCGAATGTGGATCTCTCTCTCGCTGGTCGTGCTTTTTGTAGTGTAACAGTTTAGTATTTGTAGTCATGTGAAAAGAACAGAAAGCTCTGGGGGAAAATGACGAAGTATGAATGTAGGGATATATGCGCTGCCGCCTCCAGCGACCAGGAAAAGAAGAAATAAAAGAGACGTTTTGCAAAGTAGTAGTGCGCATGTGAATGTACAAATCACATCCAACAGTTCCTTCACAGGAGTGCGGAAAGTGAGGAGGTTGTTATTGTGGAACTCTCATATAAATATGACAAATGCAATTTTTTGCAAAGTTCTTGGCTGAATCAAAGTACTTTTCTAGCCCAGCTAAGCTCCCAATTGAAATGTCTAGCAGATGGAACTTGATGAGAACTTGGTTACATTCTAGATGCCCAAGTCTAGCAATCCTCAAAACGTATCCTTATATGAGATACAGGTCGGTAATATGCCATTTCGTAGTTAAACATTTTACAGTGTGTCGAGTTCAAAGCAACATATTTCTTTGTCACCTGAAAAATGTCTTACAGAACATTGTTTTCTAGTCCGCGAAAGGGAAAGAGAGTTGGGATGCTAGTAATCTATGCTAGCGGAAGCAATATTAGTTTCGTACGCTATCGAGTATCACCTTTGTCATGTGGAAAAGGTTTATTTTGAAAACTCGGTGGTTCACAGTCTACAAATGGTAAACGAACTCTTCACAAGACTCTCCATCCCATTTGAACTAAAAAAGCCTCCACCTCCTTATAGCAAACATTCTAAATAGCCCCCACCTCAAGTATAAGTGAGAACACAGTAGATTGAAAGTGTTTGGGTAAAACCTCTTATTTTGAAGGATACAACCAGTGCATTTACATTATCATCACCTCGGTGTAAATGGTTCCGAAATGCTGTTATTACCGATCGAAGAGAGTTCAATGAGTAGAAAGTTCATAATCGTTCATTACATGACGTTATTGTGGTACCTAATCTCTTAAAGCCTGAGCCAAAGCCTCCACAGAATGGATACCAATGCATTTCATGTTTCACGACTTTAAGTCCTGGCGTTCACAAACCTGAAGCTGGATTATTTCGTTTTCAATCTACAAACTGTCTTGATACACTAACTGATATTGTAAAATCTAAAAGAAGTGATAGATAAATTTAAAATGAAAAATATAATCTCTGTGCGTGGAAGCTTTAGAGCGCATGCCGCTTCAGCTGTAAAATCTTAGTTCAAGTTTAAGTCAATTCCGTAAATTTTCGGAAAACGTATTGGCCATAGTTCGAGCCACTTCTTAAGAAAAGGTTCTTATTAAACTCCTTTAGTCAGCTTACTAACCTCGGAGACCAACTAACAGAGGTAAAAATAATTCGGAAATTCCGGTGCTTTCGCATTTGAGTATTATCTTTGTTGGAAAAAGAGGTGTTTATGGCCCTCTAACATAGGTACTCAATATTTTCATCCATAAACGAGTCACAAAGCAGGTATACACTCACTTTTGCAAGAGATGAGACGGTCACTCTGACAAAATATAGGCAGTTGCTTTCTATCACCTATTAATGTCCCATGAATTAAATGAAATCCTGTGCGCGAAATAATGATAATCAGTAAACTTAGTCTGGTTCTAAATACGAATGTGTTTCGTTTCTCCAGTGCACAATTCGGCGCATTCAAAAATAATCTCACCGACAGAGCTGGTACGTCCAAAATGTTTGAAATTTTCCGAAGGCTGCAACTGAGGATTGCGTTGCTTTAAAATCAACTGATTGTAACGTACTGAATTTGAAAATAACACAACATTTAGTGAGTGTTAAATGCTGAATTTTACTGAAGAGAAGAACCTTAAGCGCAATCATCTATATCGAAGTTAAGTTCGTATCGAGGTCTTTCTGCTCTGAACACCCACTGAATTATAGACTCAACTTGCTGCTATTACCATTGTAAATGACACTAGCTATAGTCTGTGTCAGTCCAATATGTACTGGCCACTCGCAGTTTTCGAAAATAAAAGGCACCTTGCACGGATTACATATCTGATATTAAACAAGTAAATGCTTTTCAGCATACATAACGTTCGCATTCTTGAAAGGGACTTTCTGTCCTGCAATAAGACAAGTACCTTTTCAACAGACTCAACTGAATGGATTTGTCGTAGACTCCCTGCTCGACTATCAAAGGAGGAATCGTTAATTCAGAGGTGTTTACATTACAAGTGTTATTCTCAAGATAGATCTAACACCGTTGACACTGTTGACATTACAAACTCAATGTAAATAGTATAAAGGCGTTGCAACCACCGGAGATCTACAGATAATTCTAATCGTCAGTCCAAGTATCTTTTGCACCATTCGTCCAAGGCATTGAAACATGCTGTGCATTGGCCATCATCCGCTCCAAAGCCTCTCAGCCACTCGTAGAACGCTTTGCGATCTTTATCTAAGACAAGAAACTTGCCAAAAACGTGATATGCTCTGGTAATTCCTGCGTCAATCAGCTTTCCCCCAAGAACAAAACCTATTCCCGGGAGATGGGAAACCCGTTTTTGTTTCATGGGGCTGTTGACAAAATCAATGTGCTGCCTTGAAGAACCGCTCATTATTCCTAGAGAAAAAAAAAACAGCCGAATGATGTTAAACGATTTACGACGACAAATCGATCAATATTTCCATTTTTCTGGTCGCGTTACAAGTCTGTAACGCGTCCAGAAAAGTGCAGACCGCCAAAGGGGCAAGTGATATCTCTACATGTGATAGGAATTTATTGGACTGCCTCACTGGCTTTAGTCCATACCATTGGAAGTAATGATGGTTTCTGGTACTCAAACGGACTAAATTTTATTGGACACAAGTTCTTAATCAAACTTGAGTAGAACAGAGCGCTTTCTCTGCTGTAACTGAGGTTTTCAAAAACCTCCCTGCTCGACACGAATTAGTACTTAGTGAAAACTATCAGACGTTTTATTTTCAAGACTACAACCAGCTACATTTATACCTTCATGTAAATGTAGTGAGTTTTGACAAGCTTTCAGGTCAGATCTAATGAAATTAAATCTGTGCGAAGTTTATAAACATTATTCAAAATATTCTTTGTTCCATTCTTACATGGCGTTTGAACAATCATTACGATGTTTACTGTTGGCTGTAAATTGTTTAAGCCACTCACTCAAAACCAAGAACTTCCCAAACACTTCATATGCGTAAGCAATTCCTTCCCTTTTCATATTGCCACTAATTACGCTGTCTATTCTGGGGATCTTCGTACTTTTTTCATAGGTTCACTCACAAAGTTAACGTGCTTCTTTGAGGTCGAGCTCATGGTTCTTGGAAAACAAAAATATAAACAGACGATTCTCCTTACATATGCAATAAATCGATTACCATTTTCCATTTCTTTACTTGTACCATGAACAAGACAAAGCAAATGGCAGTCAGTTGGACAAGCACGCACTTCAAGTAATGTCTAAAGACCCCTACAACGCCTAGCAACCCGTTACGATAATCAAGCATTGACGCAAAACACAAAACAAAAGAAATAAATGGACTATTCTGGTTACATGTTCAATGAATCGATCATCATTCTCCATTTCTATCAGCCTGTCATTTTCCACCATCATAATGCTGTGTTTGTGGGTGACCGCGCCTTATTCACAAAACAATAGCGTTCCTGCACGCTCTTCCTTTTCTTTTTAGTGCCAGACCCCTCACAGACCTCTCACACGGAAGCTTTGCTTAACGCTCGGAATCACACCAGCTTCGCTGATCGTGCGGCAGTTAATGAAAGCCCACTGACAGGCTAAGAGTTGAAGCTGGTAAACTGAGCGCAAATTATGTCGAATCACATAACTAATCTGGGTGTGCTGTGCTACAATCTTTCCAGAATAATCATTAAAGTACGGATTGACAATTTAACTCATTTTTATGTCATTTTGGAAAAACTTCACGATCTGTGAGGTTAGCTATGTAAATAAATAATCATTCCAAATACAATTTCAGGGCATAAGGATGTACAATATATATACCTCAAATGAATACCAAGAAGGCCGAAAGAAATTCCCAGCTGACTTTTTCAAGGTTAGAAAGGAGCTCCCTGTTCCTTTTGTCTCTTAGAGCGTCTCCCTTCTGACGAAGAACGAAGATTATTAAAATGATTTATTGCAGTGATTAGGTCTTGTTCAGTGGTCGTAATACTAAGTTCCAATTAGGTTCGGTAGTAGCACAGTATTTCGTACCTATTACGGAGAGCTTCGCTTTCTGAACGTGCCTTGTAAAGAAAGCTTTGCCTATCGACCATCGTCGCGGACAAGGTTTCAACAGATGCGTGACGCGTAATACGATATGAAGAATCATTGAATCAACAAGGTCGCGTCGCACTGCAATGGAGCGGTTAATCAAACTGTATTTACAGTCAGATTTAACTTCCCTGTTCCCTTTAATGAATTAAAACAACTGATTTTGCAATTTGGAGCCATAGATGCTTTCTAGCTAAACAACAATTTTTTTCTGTCGAAATGTGTACCCAATTTGTTCCTTTCGAGCTCAATATGACTTCAATAGGTCATTTTAACCACTATGATAAAGGACACTCCAAATAAACAGAGTAAATGATCTACAATCAAGTCTTTTTCCTTTGGGAAGCCATTTGTGCCAAAAATATGAATCACTAGTGATAAATTGAATCGTTGGAGCTGGATATGAATCGCTAGCTATAGAAATCATTAGTTGGTGATAGATATCAATCGGCAGCGATGAAAAGCAATCGTTGGTGCTAGCAGCAAATCGAAACTGTTTGAATTCAATTTAGTTGCCGTTCTAAAATGGTCAATCGTCAGTGCTACCGTGGATTGCGTTACGTTATATTCCTTTTCCAAGATCAAATACATCCGATGGAATGTTATGGATCATGGTGGAACGCATCAATGAATCAATATTCTTCTCAGTAATGCTACGAGTAAATATCTGTGAGACCGCCGCCTATTAATCCAAAATATGGGTAGTTGAACTTACTTAAACAGGATGCCTTTGTTCCTTTTTTTTTCGGCGTTATGAGTGAGAGGAAGTAGATGGTTGTAAGCTGTAAGAGCACGCTGTTTCAATCAGATTATCCTCTACAATGCCCAACACCTAACTGCTACTAATCAGTATTGGATCCACCTAGTTCGAGAGGTCGAAGATTCTCGGAAATCCGCGAGATGGCGAAGCCGAACACCCGAAGCAGTAAATCCCATGACTCCTGAGGAACAAACAGAAACAACATGGCGGTAATTTTAAAGCGCGAACCTTCGCTCGTTAGGAAACCTTAAGAAATTGTCACACTCATCTGACGT